TAATATCATTGTGTCAATGAAACGTGTGTGTTCTTAAAACTTCGAACCCACAACTTCGCGGTACTAAATCAGGACTCTACCAACTGACAATAATGGAAAAAATATATATACATGTATATACCTGCCTACGTAAGTATCATAAAATTATCGTATAGGGCGCTAAACAACCATGTTTAAAGGGAATATACATCATTTGCTTTTGCTGTAATTTTCAGAAATGGATGGAATTGGGGGGTTGGAAATATATAGCAAATATAGTTACACTGACTTTTTTGAGGTTTTGGGTTCGAAAATGCTATAAAAACCAAGAATAACAATCATTTTCCTGTAGTCTGGTTCCCTGACTCCATATAAGAAGAAACAGAGCAGTTTACATACATTGGGGAATTGTAAGGTCAGGGAACCAGTCTAGCTGGCTTGTACCCGTTCATAGGTGTGTAATCGATTGCAAACAAGTGCGATGGTCAATTGGGGCCAGTATTTGAAAAAAAAAACCAGTTTATTCCAACGCTGGTAGGCCGACCAGCGTTAGAAATTGATACAAAAATACCACTTTTCTTGAAAATGACAGTATACCAGGTGCCATGATTTTACAGAATGCTTTACACTGTCATTCACTAACAGTCCAGCAAGGTATTTCAAAATGATTTGGTAGTTTTATTTTTTGATGTTTGCAAATGTTGTATTTTCCCTTTAATGGATGTACATGTAGTTTGGGAAGAGAACATTTCGCAACCCGGCTCGTTGCCCCTTCCGACCATGTACACAAAAGTGAACCTATACGCACTAGTTCCTGATCCCTCCATGCGAATGTGGGGAGGGAATTAGTAGTTCTCAACCACTCCCGTTGTTCGTTTTTTGTCTAAAAAATCGTCTGAAAGTGTACGAAACCTTTTTTTTTAACAGAAATTTATATAAATATATTTTGTTGCCATTTTCTTTTTTTGGACCACAAAAAACAACAATTCCGTATGGCGTGCACAGCCTACAGCTGTAGGCAAAGCGGGTAGACATCCAGGCCAGGGCATCATCGGTTATGGTGTGGATGGCTTCGATGCCGCCAGGGAAAAGACTCAGTGGGCAGTCATTCACGATGTGCTGGATGGTCTGGTCCGGATGTTCACAGTCACAAGCAGGGCTCTCTGTCATCCCCCACTTATGCAGATGATGGGCTGTTCTTGCATGGAGGGTGGGGATTCTGTTCAGGGTTAGCCATTGCTTGCGATGGAGGTTCAGTCTGGGTGGTTTTACTGTGGTATCTATGATGATCTCTCCATTGTTGGTGTTCGCATCTGCCCAGAGTCTGCGCCACTCAGTCTTAGAATCAATTGAATAAGATATGTCTTTCTTTACAAATGTTTTGTTCTTGGAGTGGAAATATAGCGGACGGTGACTTCACTTCTTACAGCAAATGGGTTATCCAAATTTTTGTATGAAAATTGGTGGTGTTGAAGTCCAGCTATTTCAGTGGCGAATGAGTAGTAAACCTTAATAAGCTGTTCACCCCCATGTTGAATCCTTAATACACACTGTGACAACATTGAACAGCAAACATTTTTTTTTCCATAAGTGGTCAGCCGCAGGTGATGGTACTGTCTCGAAGCTCCATGCTCTGACACACAGCAAGCTGAAAAAGAGGCACCCCTCATGAATATTCAAAAGACTTTGACGTCATTGTGCGCTAAATGAATTCACGGTGCCATAAATAGATTCACTCACCCCTACCCCTTTTTGTTGTTGCGCTTTGAAAAGGCGCGCAATAGATAACTTTGTCATGTGGGTGTCACATGCTTCTAAGTAGCTAGTGTAGGTTTTTGTACGTTAAAAGCTTAGCATCTTGCCTTTTGTGCACGCAGACGGCGGAGCAATGTGCGACCTATAGCATTTCTAAGAAAGCGTCTCATCAGGTGAACAAACTTTTCTATAAAAAAACTTTGCTATGGAACGCAAAAAAATGGCTACACTTCGTTTAAATTTGTCGTGGTCGCTCCGCATTTTGCGCCACATTAAACTAATTGCATCAAATGTGTTTCTTAACTGTGAAACGACTTACAAGTATTCGATACCTATTCCGTCTGTTTAAGAAGCAAATCTGTTCTTTTTATCAACATTATTCTATCAACTTATTCCAACCATTCTGATGTCAACAATAATTGTCCCCTTAATATTGATTTTTATATGTGTTGTTTTTCTTTTTGTGTTGCTTAGAACCCATTTGCAGAGTTGTATTTTGTTTGTAGAAAGGCCAGAAGTATAAGCATGACTGGACGCGTACGGGATTGGAACCTACTACCTCCGAATTACCGGCGCACACTCCACCTGAGCTATCCCGCCTGTGTGTTGGCAGTCTCCCAATTTGACACCCTATGTTCGTATTAGGTTGATGCACTAGAACGTAAGGGGACTGAGGGAAGTTAACTCATGTTCCTTGCTCTATGGTTGATGTAAACCTCCTTATCAATCAATCTAGTTTTATTTCATAACTTCATAATGAAAACATATAAAGTACGTAACTTAATAGATAAACAAAACAAAAAGTAAATGACAAAGATAAGTAACAAAGATAAATGAAAAGCAGAGAAGTTATAAGGAAGTTGTAAGAAGTCCAAGGACTTATGAAACACTCCCTTTTAAACCCCCTACCACCCACCCCCACCCCCCGAGAGAAAATCCCAAGTGTTCCCTTTACGCCCAACTACCACACCCCAACCTAAGATGTTCCATTAACTTAATAAAGACAAGAGTGTATGTATAAAACAATGTACAATGTAAACACTGTGAGAGTGTTAAAAGGAGTAATAATCAAAATAAACAAAATCAATTTCCTTGCAAGTAGTTTCTATACAATGTTTTGAAAACAGTTAAAGACTTCGCTTCAGAAATGAAAGATGGCAATCCGTTCCAGAGTTTGCAGCCTTGATAGCGAATGCTGTGTTGGAGAGCTGTGGTTTTACATTTAACTTGAGTGTATTTATGTTTCGAGGACCGAGTATTATATGTGTGGTCGCGAATGTGTCATGCAGCCAGAGATCCAAAGTGACGATGCTAGCATTTCTGCAAAACCTGCAAATTTAATAAGCAATAGCGGAAAAAAGCGAATGTAAAACTCAACATCGTGGCACTGCCCCTTGCACGGCCCGAAGCAACGCCACTTTTTCAACGAGTAACAATACAAAGTTATGTGGCTGAGAATGAAGGTTGTCACGGCGTCCGCGAGACAATGCCCCTCTTTAGACTGACACGGATGTTTAACGCTTTACGAGGCACTAGTGCAGCGCATGACTCAACATTTCCACTTGCCGAGTAACTGTGTGGCATAACAGAACCTGGCGCCTGGATCGGCCGGCGTTCGGGTAAGATATATCATATAGCTGATTTTTGCTCAAACAAGTTCCAAGTTCTTTTCTCATTGAGTATTCAAGGTGTACTATAAACGACACGTGATTGTCACGCGCTTCTTGCATAATGTTGTACATTGATTATCGCTCGGTGCTTTCGATTACTTCCTCATGCTTCCCGTACTTTCGTCTGGGTTATAGATGCACATGCGCAATCGAGCCATAGCAACCGGACCGCGTCAAGAGGTCATGTGGATCATATAGGCCATCAGCCTCGGTCCAAAATTTTGGCCACCGGTATCAAATGAGGGGAATAATCGTTATAGCGACTTTTGGCAAGGTTTACACCTCCAGAGTTGGAAAATATCTGATAGCTTTGCAACAGTGGCAGCTTTTTGGGTGTTATCACCCTTTTTTCCCAAAATGTCCATCAAAATGCTTGTTACCACTCTAGGGGCGGTATACCTTGCGCATGCTCATTATAATCATTTATGCCCTGATTTGATACTGACCAAACCCCCAGGCTAATGGCCTAATATATTTTTTAATTAACCAACAGATCGGGTTCCAGCACTGAAGATTGTGTGCCTTATGTGACATCACAGCAACAGCGCCTTTCAGTTGTCAGAAAAAGCATGGAATTTTTTTAAAGTTTAAAAAGTGGACTTTACGAAAATGCTAACCAAAAAGGGACGTTTTTTTTTTTTCATATAGTTTTATATTTCAGGGGAATGTATATTTGCGCAAAAACAACTAAAATGGCGTCTCTTTCGAGCGGGTTGCAGACCCCAAAGTATACATACAAGGACTGGGTGGTGCAAAAAGAACGAAACCCATTTTTGACAGCAATTTTCACCTACTTGTCGAGCATAATTCAATTTAATGGTATTAAACTATTGATCTTAAACATAAGTGACGAAAAAAATAATTGCATACGCATATTGTGTCTCTGAGATATGGTAGTTAAACAAAATGTCATGTGCCAAACCTGCTTGTCCAAGGACGGCTTTATTCCGTCCGCTTGACTGAGAGCTCCGGAGCTGGATTTGAAGTGACTTGTGATATTCTTGCGATGTTTTTGAAGATTTTTTTCACCACGTATGGTCGAGGAGCTATACTTCACCAGATTATAATTTAAAAAAAAACAGTTCAAATAAGTTAAGTAAGTAGGTTAAAATCCCAGTCTAAAGTGGGTTTCCTTCTTTTTGCACCATCCTGTATTGAAAATTCGTTCGGAGACAAAACAAATCGAATTCGTTGAAGAACACGAGCTGTATACTTACAACACGTATGTGATTTACAGAGTCTCTGCAAGAGGCGGCGCAAAGATTGAGGGGGAGGGGGAGGGGGGCTACTATATAAGTGTTGTCCCAAAGGAGAACTTATCAGTGTTTTCTTCGGTATTTAAAAAAAAATTGGATGGGTTTTTAATCTGTTTCCTAGTTGTCCTGTTAGATAAATCCATTCCACGGGCCCCAAAAGATTCACATCCCTTCCATTTCACAAGATCCTTTCCCCTTAAGCGATTTTACCCATGGATTTCAAACTCCGAAAAATCAAGCAACACGCGCGCCTGAACGGTTGCACGTCACCGATGTCGGTGGACTCGATCGAGTGGAGTCTAACTGCTCATTCAATGCCCTTCTAGTTCTATTGATGAAACCGGGAATACTTCACCACACACCATGACTTACAGTCACTGCCTGTGTGCAGAGCGCGCGTAGTGAAAGTGAAAACCAATCATTGAATGGTGAGTTACGTAAGGCTGTTGTGGATTTGTTGACAGTTGTCTAGCCGTACTGTAACTTGGTAGTCGTGAATATACATGTAGAAGACTACATTAACATCAACATACCGCGCGAATCTGTACTCGTGGTGCCGGTGCTTTCCAGGGGACTGACAGAGCGCGACATGGCTCAACAAGTGCCGCCCCTGAAATAACTACACGTGCATGTACATCAAGGTAAGTACAGGCAATTTCCACAACTGTATAGTTCCGTCCACGTGTACATGTACATGTACACGTACACGTACATGGAGGTACCATGGAGGAATGGAGGTACAAGGACGTATAAAGCGTCGTTTGTGGTGGAAGTTTATATAGGAAAATGATTTGCCGGGTCAAGTGCGGACCCTAGACTCTATACAGCAAGGAATGTGCAACCACTGCTCACGACTCTCAGTGCGTAACTGTGAAATAAGAATCCAACATTCACGATTGAGAGTGGTCGGAAATCGACAATCTTGCCGTAACTCACTGAAGGATCGACCTCCGCGGGGGGTGGGGGGGGGGTAGTTACGCCACTGACCACAGTTTCATTTCATTGCATGATGGCCATGCACCTATATATATGCATAATAATTAGTAATCTTCAGCTTTATAGCCCATATAGTGGACCCGAGTGGACTTGCCACATATTGATCACAGCAAAGATTGGGGACTGAAATCTCAAGTTTCATTGGTGTTCAATGCAGGAAAATACGGTTTGGAACATAAACGACAATTTTTACAAAAATGCCACGTGGAACTATGAAATTACGACTTATTTGATCGGCACATGGTGTGCACGATGTAATTTCTAGCGGTTCTTCAACCATAGGCCTATTAGGCCTACATCATTGAAGTTTGCAAATTGCGCAAACCAGCAACTATCTATAGAATGTATAGTTCTTCGTTCTCATTTGTCGATTGTGAAGTGCATCGTTATTGATTGTGATCCATACTTCGATTATAAACCAAGTTTCCAAGGGCGGCATTCGCAATTCACGGAATGGTTGCATTCTTTCTGAGTGGACGAATTGCAAGATCAATATATTTACCGAATATATAAATCCGTATCGGTTTGCATCAAGACTTCGTCACTTTCTATGGTTAGCGGCACATTTCTAAAGTGATGATTTTTGGGGGGTCGTGTCACATTTCACACCCAGATTAAATGATAACAAAAAATGGATTGCTAATTTCTCTACCTAAATCACGAATTTTCTTGTGAGCATTCTCTTGGAAATAATCAGCCCACTTTTTCCAATGTCTGAATTAGGAGATTCCGCTCTTAACTTCCGTCGATCAGTATTGGCGTATATTAGTATTTGCGTGTAGTACTTTTGGAAGACGACATAGAGTACATGAGTGACTGAAATAATGTTCATTCAAAAATATCATTCTCCCTTATAGGCCCTAACCATGCGATTCATTTGTCACGAGTGCCAATTATTAAGCGTTTGTAGTTGTCAACTACAAATACGGAAGATTTGATGTCTGAATTCAGTAGAGGCAGAACTTGCTCGACAATGAATCACAACAGAACTACTTTTGAACTGTCACTTTTTTGCCACCTTTTTTGGAGAAAGTTTGTTGCCCTTACGTGACTCTGCACAGACTGCGAAGTTGTAGCCCACAGTCTAAACGACACACACGACTCAGTGATTTACCGTACCGTGACGGGCTGGTACCGGGTACGAACGTCCACCGCCTGGGCCCTATTCGTTCCCACGCTCCTCACACAACAACAAAAAACCCTGCCATTGACCTTTCTTTTCATACCACTGTACCCCATGCCAGACCGAGACTTCACGTTTACAGAAAAAGAAACAGAATTGGGCAAAGTTCATCCTTATTCTTTGTCCACAACATGCATAAGTATTCCACGAGCCAACTCTGAGATCTCAAATTGAGATTTTCGAATATAGAGTTCTCTTTTCGTAAACTTTTTGCACCTGAGAGTAAAGCAAAAAAGGGAGTTGGAAAAAAGTAAGGCATAAGTCTAAAACTGGAACTTGTCTATTTTTAAATGATGGACCTTTCAGAAGTCTGGTTTCGGTTAATAATGATAACAAGTACAGACTTGGTATCACATTTTCCTTCTGACGCACTTTCTTTGTCCACAGTACCGAAGAAGTAATGGACTTTTTCACTTGCAAATTTTGTTTGCCTCTTTTTTTCTTTTCAGATATACGTGACTGAGAGTCACAAATTTAAGGAAATCATGGCCTGTAAAATTACATACGCAAAACCTGATTTAGGATACAGAACCTGCTTTGCGGATGCAGTATAACTGTGACCTGTCATGTTACGAACATATAAAGAGGCTGAAGTTTGTGCATCTATAATTATTTTGGACCCAAAGATGAGAGGAAGTAAACGTTTACAAACGGCCGTAATCCTATCGAAAGATGCCATGTTAAACCCCCGATATGAAACCGAAGTTGAAAGGAGACACCTGCACCAGGGGCCAATTTCATAGAGCTGCATGCTTAAGCACAACAAAACCTTGCTCAATATAATCAGGTTACCGGCAAAAACTCCATGCGATGTACATTGCTTGTGACTAGTATTTAACTGTTGTTTACTTGGCATAACAATCGCATGTAGTTTTGGCCGGTACGTATCCTGGTATTACTAAGCAAGTTTGTGTGTGCTAACCCACACTTTGTGCTTAAGCAGCTCTATGAAATTGGCCCCAGCTGATGTCTGCCTTTGTGATCTGGTGACTTGGAGAAGGATGAACCTTACCCTGCCCTGTAGCGTAACCCTACCCACCTAACACGCCAATGGTTTACTCAATGATCTAAGGTTACGGCAAAACCCTCTTCTGAAGAGTAACTTTCCAGGACTGGGCATGCGCCTACTGCTTTTTGAATTTGCTAGACAATAATTTGGAGAAAAGCCCAAACAAAACATCATTTAACTATTATCGACAACCAATCGCCCTCCCTTTCCCGAGAAAGATAATCGGTTATTAAATACGCGCTTAAATGTTTTAACCTAAAAATGGGACTGGTCATTCACCTTGGTCCCCCCCCTCCGATTTCACTGCTGCGCATAATTTGTTTTCGTGCCGCACTTTCTCTCTTTGTCAGAAAATGTCGTCGTAATTTTTGACTCCGATGTCGCGAACTGTTCAATTTTCCAACGTTGTGTGGGGTAAAATATTAACTTGTTTTCACTGCCCGTTTCTAATATTTCTTCGAAAACCAAAATGCCTATATCAATCAATGCAACTGTACAATAATGCATTGAAATCTTTACGAACAAACCTCTTTCTTAAAGTCCCTGATTAAAACAACCGGATTTTAAAGGGAATGTACAACATTTGCTTTTGCTGTAACTTTCAGTAATTAAATGGATTTGGAGGAATAGTATGTTATAGCATATATTGTTACACTGACTTGTTTCACGTTTTGGGTTCATAGATGCTGGAAAAACCAAGAAAACCAATCATGTTCTTGAAGTCTGCTTCCCTGACCCCACTTAAGATGAAACGGAGCAATTTATAGATGTTGGGGATTATTAGGTCAGAGAATCAGTCTAGCTGGCTTGTACCCCTTCACAGTCGTGTAATCAATTGCAAAGAAAATGCGGAATAACTAAATATGAAAAACTAGCGGCAGTCTTTGAAAAAAAGCCAGTTTTCTCCAACGCTGGTCGGCCGACCAGCATTGGAAATAAATACACGAATACCGCTTTACTTAAAAATGTCAGCACACCAGGAGCCATGATTTTACAGGATGCTTTAGACTGTCATTCGCTAACAGTCCAGTAAAGAATTTCGTGATAATTTGATCTTTCTTTTTTTTGATGTTTGCAAATGTTGTATCTTCCCTTTAAAAACGGAAAGTGTAAAATCGTATGTCGCAGACAATCGCACGAGCGATGTGTCTTTTGCGCGGAATCCGTTCTTTTGTCTGCGTTAATCGAGAATCGTGGGCTTGACACAACATTACACTGTACTAGGGGGCGGTCTTCAGGATAAAGATGAATATCAATATGACACTCGCTCTTACATTTTTAAAGCTTTTGTTCTTTGTTTCTCCATTTTTTCAGTGCTATTGAATATACATTTTAGTTGTTGGGACGTTCGGAAATTCCTCAAAATCCGCCTCTCTTTTTCTCATGACAAAAAAGTGGGGAATGATTCAATAGCCCATCCACCCCGGCAAAAAGTGGTGGGGGGGGGTATGGAGTATAGGGTATATATCGTGCTGGGTATATATTCCTCGGTTATAACACAGTTGTGAAAAAATGGCCCAGAGAACAAAAGATCATGTGAAATAGAAACTAACACACCCAGATTGTGAAATTATCATCATCGTATTATCCCTCTTAGGGCGCGATCAACAAATACTATGGAAAAAAGTATTCATGGTCACGGAGCCTTCTTTGTGTTCCGCGCGGATATCCGTCCATGCTGTCCATTCCCTGGGAGGACTGAGTCACTTTATGCTATTATTGACGCAATACATGTACATTATTATGTTTGCGGAGTGATATTTGCCCAGTGCTAGTGCTGCTTGCACTTCTTCAGTGGTATATAATATTATTATTGTTCGATTCCAAACTTGGGGAGGTATATTGTGATTCAAATGAGCTGCTATACGTCATATATTTGGATGGCACATTTTGTATTTCTATACCATTGTGCGTGTAGCGGTACAGGCAGACGTTTAGGTATAATCTGCACGTAGGCCTACATGGAGTTTCTTTAACAATACCTTGCGGCTGTTCAGAACTTTTTTCATTCCGCCGACAATGGTGATTTCACTGTTAGCGTGTGCGCTTTTACCCCAGCCAGCTTTGCATTTCTTTTCCTGAGGCCTTGGCAGAAACTGTCCGTATCTAGCCTGAGATAGACGCAGTCCGGTTGCACAGTCAAAATACCTGTGAGTGAATTTATTTGAATTGCATCAAACTGATGTGAGGTGTGTATTTCGGTCGTCCACTCGTTTTACGAAAGTTCGCGAAAAGCACTGCAGGTATCAATTACACCCACTTCCAGTCTATGATAGGCGCGAACTTTGTAGTCGCGCTGTTCTGACCATAGACCTGCAGAAATCCAACAAGATCAGCCAATATTTTGTCGGGATTTGCCAGACAAAAAGAGACTTTTTTGTTGGAATCCAACTGAAAACTTTGCAGGTGTTAAATTCTGTTGCATCGTTTCAGACTGCACGGTCCGCCGCTGTTGGATTCTTGATCGATTAAGGTTTCTCACATTTTGTTGTCGGTTTATGACGGATTCGGCAGGTTGCAAACTTTGCCATTGGTGGATTCAGCAGGCTGCATATTCTGTGTTTGATGGATTCTGTTAGATTTTGAAGGTTGTCTTTGAAATCTGTACAGATAGCGAAGTGTTTTCCAGTGTTCGAGTTCTCTGTAACTAATAAAATGGCAATGTCAAAGTTGCCTCGTGTTGGGTTTAGTGGAATTCAATTTTGGCATCGTTGCTTCAATCAGCTTGAAATCACTATTTTGTTTACATTCACGATAAATTTAAGATTTAGCGTGAGACGTCAAATTTTCATTTTATTTTCTTGCAACATTTTAGCTTCGTCTGTTCCTACTTAAAGTCACATTACTGTAGGACCAATTGGAGCCAAGTCATAGCGTGACAGACAGGTGGTCACACCAGTGGACAAACACCATGGGGCTTCTGGGGCAGTTTTGGTTGCTTATGCTCAAGAATCTTAAGCTGAGATTACGAGCACCGGTAAGTACATTTTTATTTACTTATTTATGTATTTATTTATACCTTTATTTATTCAGGGTAAACCCAAACAGCAAAAAGCTGGATTTCATTAGGGCCCTGCATTAAAGCAGTAAAATAAACTAGTATAGGTTTTCCCGGCTAATTTAACACTTGTATCACACGAATTCCCTATATCGATACTTTAATTTCGTCCCCGAACATCGCCAAGCTCAATTCTCAATTTGAATTTCAAAAAGCCACCACTAGATTTCATTTAAGGTGCAGTATTATTCAAATTGTTAGCATTCCGATTCATCCAAAATCTTTGAAATTCGTCTCGGGAAGCAATCGGTGTTGAATTGAAGAAGCAAATTCGTTTTTTTGTCATTCGTTTTAATGTTTTTGTCGTTACATTTCGTCTCTGGTGACATAAAACGTTACGATTCAAAATGTGCCAAATCTTTGGACTTGTTTGCGCATTAATTAAATTTTAATTTTTAACAAATATTTCCTTGTAAATGAAAGTATAGCTGTAAGTTTTGAGTTGTCTTTGAAAATTAACATTAAAATCAGAAATTAAACTTTCACAATATGCTCTTTGCTTAGCATATTGAAATTAAGCATTAAGATCAAACACCTTCGTAATGTTGCTCTTTGATATATGTATATGAATAAAACAACAGAAATAAGGTATGTCTATCAAAGAACAACATTAAGAAGGTCTTTGAACTTAATGCTTAATGTCCATGTCATTAGTGCATATTGTGAAATGTCAATTCCTGACTCTTATGTTAATTGTGAAACACAGAAATAAAAATTCATACCTTGCAGCTAACTACTTTTATGTATACATATAAGGAAATATATGTTGAATTATCATTGGTTTAATACGCATAATTCTTCAAATAAGTCTAAAGATAGGGCGCATTTTCTAATCGTATACGATTTAAGTAACCAGGGACGAAATGTAGGCTAATGACAACAACATGAAACGAATGACAAAAAACGAATTTGCTTTGTCAATTCAACGCCGATTGCTTCACGAGACGAATTTCAAAGATTTTGGGCGAATCGGAATGCTAACAATTTGAATTATACTGAACCTTAAATGAAATCTAGTGGTGGCTTTTTGAAATTCAAATTGAGAATTGAGCTTGGCGATGTTCGGGGACGAAATAAAAGTATCGATATAGGGAATTCGTGTGATACAAGTGTTAAAATAACCGGGAAAACCTATAATAGGCCTATGAATTTTACAAAATCGAATGCTTAGAAATGAAAAGGAAGGACAAAACAATGAACTGATATGCACTTAACACAAATAAAAAGCTAAATCTAAGAAAAGTTCAAAGAAAACCATACAAATTTAAGTACATCTTGGTGAGAGCTAAAAAAAAAGGGGGTGGGGATCACACATTAACTACTTTAGCCTAATCTAAACCTAACATAATGTCTTTTCAATGTTTTGGGAGGGCCGCTTTTTTAAATTGTCTCAAATCTGTTGATTTTAATTCCCGATCTAAGTACATGTACATCCTCAGGATTGTGTGGAAATTGTGTAATCATTACAAAAAATAATAGTAACTTCACTAAATATTAGTGACGTCAGTTTCATCCAATATATTTTAAAAGAGAAAAAAATCCATATCTCGATGTATTTTTTATTACCCAGTTGTTTGTGATTTGCGTTTCATGCCAACAGCCGAAATACAATTTAGAAAACACCATTCACGGATATGTACACTGTGTTTATCTTGAATGACACCGTGTTAAGCCCACCTCCTACAGTGTCAAAACGTGGCTCGATGGGTTTTATTATGAGCCTATAAATTTCAGACATGTTATACTGCAACTGAATAGAAAAACACTTGTTAGGTTCTCTCTCCCGTGCTATTTTCGAGCTTCACCACGAAAAATAGAGTTTTAAATACAGTGTATACAGGGTGAGTCAAAAAAAGCGAAACCCAAATGTCTCGACCATTGTTTTAGTGAAGTTCGGCATGTAGCATTTTCAAAATCTAGAATATGAAAGCCCACTTCATGAGCTTTCTTTTAGTACAAGAATCACTTAAATCGTTCATGTACTTTTCAAGTTACGGAATTATAAACACAACCACCGTTTAAAAGTTTATAAACACAACCACCGTTTAAAAGTTCTGTCCACGGATCACAGGAAGGTGGGCGTTCTTTCAAAAACAAAAACGAAAACAAATCACATGGATGTGTGTGAATTGTTTTCGTTTTGCTGATAGAACGCACACCTTTTTTTGTGATTCGTGTTTAAAATTCCGTAACTTGAAAAGTACATGAGTGATTTGAATGATTCTTTTACTAAAAGAAAGCGTATGAATGAGCCTTTTTTCCTAGATTTTTAAAGTGCTACATGCAGAACTTCACTAAAACAATAGTCCCGACATTTGCGTTTCGCTTTTTTTGACTTACCCTGTAAATGTTTTGTTATGTTTTTAGCAATAAAAAATGAGACATCGAGTGAAAAATAGTACCCCACGTTAACTTAATATTTATTGTACACATTTCGACTTAATTTTAGACGCATGTGCCTTATTGGCGCAAAAGCAGCCCCAAAAAGAGAGGATGGAACCGTCAAAAATAGGGGAAAAAGTTGTCATTCCGTTTAAATAAAACACACAAATGGAAACTCGTTTGGTGAAAAAAAACCGAATATGTTTAAGAGCCCATCAGGTTCAGCGACTCTAGCTTAGTAACTGATTCTGTTTTCGTTTCGTTTCTTGTTTCTTTCTTTCCTTTTTGTTTTTCAAAGAAACCACAAATAGGAAAACTGACTAAATACCTTTTGATTTGACTCATCGCATATGAAAAAGTTCAAACATATCGGTATTCCTTATTAAACGAAGCTGAGTTGGTTTGTATTAACACGAACAGAAAATGTTTAAGGTACGCGGAAATCACTTTTCTTTATATAAGATTTGAGGCTTTGCATGGTGGGGTATCGGTATCGTTTCGGTTTGCGGTAACACCATGTGGTAATAACTACTGCTTAGAAGACCAAAGACAAGTTCTTTTAGAACTTACAGCAGGACTGTTCTAAACAGAACAAAAAACTACTTAGCAAAGTTGATAATAAGCAGGACAAGTTCTTCTCAGAACTAATATCTTCTAAGCAGTAGTTATTACCACATGGTGTTACCGCAAACCGAAACGACACTTTTCTTTAGTTAACTATTTGCTAGGATGTAGCCTCAATCCTGCAAAATCCTCCAATTGGCATCATAGAAAAATAGCATATATGGCCTAGCCTCAATTCTGCAAATTCCTCCATTATTTCTTGAATATGGCACGTGGAGGGGTAGACCACTGCCTTAATGCTGCAAAATCCTGCGGCAGTGACTGTCAATATGTTGAGGCTTGGCCAGTGACATCCTGGAGCAGTACGAAGGATTTCTAGCATAATCCAGGCCTATATTTATGCATGGCTGAGCAAAACAACACAAGGTCCGGCAAAGACCTTGACAAAGTGCATCCTGCGAAATCAGTAACGCACATGCCATGTAACCTCAATCCTCCAAAGTCCTCCACTTCGGCAAAGAGGATTTTGAAGGATTCGGGGCAGTTAGGGTTATTAATGATTTCTGCAAACGACACAGGAGTACAAAGGCGTCAGTTTCGTTGCAAGATTTAATACACAATATTGCCCATAGGCCTAATATATACAGCGTGTGTCAATAAAAACGCAGGATTCAAAGCGATTTTTTTTCTGAGAAAATTATGCTACTGGTGTGCCTAATTTGATAAGGATGTGATTGTCCATAATTTAATCTTTGAAAAGATTTTTGTTTGGTGGAATTTGGACTTTTGGTTCAAAAGTTATGACAAGTTTTGTGAAGCCCTTCTGAAGCGGGTTGGTCTGATTCAATGACCTTAACACAACGACCAGTTATGTACAATGCAGGTATGCATTGAAGACAATTAAACCAGAACAAAACGTTCTTTGAAACAACTGATGATAAGCATCACTTAAATTTAATAACTGGACTATCATTGTTTCGAAGCATCATGAATTATTGACTAATAACATTGATTGTGGACTAAAGGATTATGTAAGCCTAATCCTGCCACACATGTCCTTCTTCGTGATCCACAAATACTTTCACCTGTACTGAATTCAAACCTTTCATTAGGTATGTGTGATTTCACAAATCAGACCAGCTTGGAATTTATAACCCTTCTTCAATGTACTCTATCTCTGGACAGGATTGTCCAAATGAGATGGGAATAAAAAGCATAGTGAAGAGAAGGAAAGGTACTTTGAAAAGAGGGTTAAGATTATGATGAATAGGGGTGGTGTATATTCTTAATATTTTTGTTTCTAATCCTGCGTTTTTATTGACACACGCTGTAGTTTCAAACAAGTTTCGAAAAGAACCTTTGTCATTACATGACGTGCAAAACAAGCTCAATACGTGGCGGTTAAAAAGAAAAGAAATCCACTTTTGACAGCAGTTTTTCACCTACTTAGTTAACATATTTCAATTGTTTCTTCACTTGGTATTACAGTATAACCCTTTAATCATATACATGTGTGGTGAAAAATGCTTAGTAAAAACGCAAGAATAGTGATAGTTTGCTAATTTGAATAGCAGTCCCCGAAATCAGTCTCATTTCCACGTTTTACAAATTGAACGTTTAGTGCACAAAAGTTAGAAACCTTTGCCAACAAAATGTTTGGACTAGGACATTTTTATTGAGGCTGTCTGATTATTCATGTCAGTGGTAAGATTATCTACCCCATGGGCGTCAATCGGCGGAGGACGGGGGGACAAGTCGTCCCCCACACTTTATATGGTGGAGGGTTGTCATGTCGTTTGTCCCCCCACTGGTTAAATTGGCGAAATTGCCTCAGATCGCACCACGGGGTGTCGGGGCCCTCTTTTTTTATAAGCGGGCCCCGAACCCCACGCCGTTAGGTCTTCGCGCTTAGCGCTCACATTATTAGTTCTGATCAAGGTATGTCTCCCCCCCCAAAAAAAAAACTTTGAAAAGCGATTGACGCCCTTGATCTACCCAAGGAGCTGTAGGCTTGAGTTCATTGTTGCCTAAAATTACATAACAATCAAGTGTCATGGTTGTTACCCTTTCAAAAAAGAAGTAGAACTAACAATCCTTGTTTGAAGTGTGTTAATGTTTTGGCTTCAAATCAAGCTCTGGTAGCTCAGCTCAGTCAAGGGGATGGAATGTATACCTCCGTGGACAAACAGGTTTCGCACATGAAATGTTCAAACTACCGTAGATCAGAGACAAAATATGCATTTGCAACGATTTTTTCGTCACTTATGCTTAAAAGCCAGTACTGTAATAACTACTAATCAAAAGGTTAAACCAACTTTTAAAAATCGGTGAAAATTGCTGTCTCAAGTGGATTTCCTTAATTTTGAACTACCGTGTATGTGCAGATTTTTTTTGTATTGACCTTCCCACGAGGAAGTGACTGCTCTCCAACGAAAACAAAAGAACTCTATAACTAGGCGTAACAAACAATTATATTCATTTTTCCCTGTTTCATTTAGGAAAAAAATCTTCACATTAAATAAATAAAGACCCAAAGTTATAGATAAAATCCTTGTTGAGACATCAGAGTACAAGGTTCATTTCCTGAGTTGTGCATGACTGCTGATTTTTTTCTTGTATTTCAACCAAAACTTTCCCGGTTCAGATTTGTTCTCTTTTAAATGTAATGTTCTCTATATTCGAGGAAGTCATTTATTTGTCCAACAGTTCTAAAAATCAAAGCAGGCGGGTTTGTTGGAAATACCTTTTCTTTCAATCGGTCTAAGTGCATAATCATAATGAAAACTATTCTTATTGACTCGTAACATTATTTGTTATCTATTTCCCAGGCATTGACTTTGACTCAGCTGTTATGGCCAGCGCTTCTGTTCATCGTCATCGCACTGGTTCGTACGCGATTTCAGCCGGAAAGCAAGCCAAATTGTAAGTTGTTTCGTTTGATATTTTCAGACGGTAGTATCAAACCAGTCCTAGGGGGCTGGCCATTTCATTATTAGACTGCAAGCAGTAAGAACTGGAAAGAAACCATAACTTCAGAGCAACTATTTTGCGCAACAGATCTTTTGTGCGGAAAAGTTAGCACGTCGATATATACGCCGTGAAATATACTTAAAGGGCCATGCAATGTGATTTATTACAATGCAATCCTTGAAAATGCACCTTTGTGTCCCATTAATTCCTATTTTCAAATATCGTTTTGCCATTTTCAAAGGTATTTTGGTGCCTTTGGGTTTTTTATGCTAATGCGAATTCCCATATTCATGAGCAAAAGTGTGATGTCATTTCAGGCACAAACCTCAATGTTACAGCTATTTCAGCACCAAAAGTTGTCAGAAGTTTTGATATTTCGCTGTGAGTCGTAAATATTTTCTTTTTTTCTGGGTCCACTTTGGCGTGCGTGAACAAAGTCGGGGCGGAATCCAAAATCCTCTTATATTTTCATCGAAGTCGTCAGGGTTTCTGACGAAGAACGTATGCGCGGACTTTCAGTTTTCTCGAAACAGAAGCTATACTGAGCTGGAACGTTAACAATTTTGAGTATTGTTGCTCCTTGAACTGAAAAAAAACCCATGTAAATTGCAATTCATTAATAAACGGTGGCATTTCGTCATGATACGGGAACATGCAATATGAACTGTACTACAATTACTGTTGAAGTTTTCTGCTATATTCTGTTTCTAATTGTGTTAACCTGTTAAACGTACTTTGCCTCTAAAGTTTCGTTGTGTAAAGGGTAAAGAACACGGCTATGTAGTTTCTGTTGCATTTTAAAATACATGAAAATGAGTAGAAGTGAAGCATGTTGTGTATAACATATGATCGATTGTCTTCGTTGCAAATTATAAGATTTTTAACTTGAAAAAGCGAAAGGTTGTTCAACTTTTTTTAGTTTTGGGAAAACATTTTATTAGAATTAGAAACAAATTTATGAGTGAATAACCGCATTGTTTCAGAATACCTGAGTTTGGAATTGTCAGAACGTTCTTAACTTTGTATATGATTTATTTATGTAAAGTGAGCTCGTCGGGTGTGTCCGGCCTATTTCAATTAATTCGGAGAATATGGACTTTTCGGCAACGTCAAGAATGCAATGCATCCGAGCTATTTAGAAAATGAAAACTGAGTCATTTCTTGTTTCAAAGACTATCTTTTGTGGTGTAAGTACGCCGGCTGTTTAAACAGTACAGGGTGAGTCAAAAAAGAGCTACAGGCAAAACTGCATTCAAAAATTTGTCCTGCCATTTGGGTTTCGGTTTTTTTTATACTCACCCTGAGTTGTGGATTTTGCGATTTTGCTGGCTACCGAACATTTCTTTACATGTTTAGTCATCCAACTGTTCAACACGGACAAACTAACGCTAAGATTAGTCACTGATTTTACCAAACACGCCCAAATATCCGGGTAGTTTAATGAATACTTGGTGTCTTTCAATTTTCGGAGAATCCTACCGTTTTGAATAACGTTAGACAGTATATGCGCATGCGTCCGGTTGGTTTAACACCGCCCTTGATTTCGCTTTCATCCAGGTTCTCGTGACTATGCGTCGAGCCTCGGTCCCCCCCACACCCCCCCCCCGTTTCTTTTTAAGATTGCATTTCAGGGTTTTATTTTACTGAATGCGCACGGTCTGTTGGCCACAATGATTATGTACCACGGCCCATTTCTGTCGAATAAAGGTTTTCTCCTCAATCATGCTTCAATTGACCATTGACGTCATCGAATGCTCAGCTGCACGTGCTATAGGTTAACGCACCGTTGACGCAAAGTGACTACAATGGCCCAGAGAGATTCAACCAATATCACAATACAGAACTGCTATTGAATACAGACGGGTAATTCTATACATTTTGGGGTCCAATTTTTCCCCCTATGTCCATTATATCTGACATCTAATATTTGTTCATTCTGACTGCTTAATGCACTCGTGCTCCAAGAATTTACGAAATAACGATATACCCAACAGATAAAACATAATTTGAAGTCATTCTCAAATGTACATTACAAAGTAACAAGGTAACAGGGACATGATCAATTTCACACGTAGGGCCCAACATAATTCGATTTCTCTACTATAACGAAGTTTGAATTCGTATTGACAATTTAGAAAAAAAAACACCCTACTATTTTGAATGTCTTCAACCCTGTGGACATAATATCATTCTGGGGTTTCCCCTCCCACCACTAAATCTGATGTAATGTTGTTCCACATCTCCTACCAAGGTACCTCACTGGAAATACGTCGAAAGAGTTTTCGTGATTGGCTATCCCGGCCAATTGCATACGAAGTCCAGGATGAGTGAGAAAAAAAAACACGAAACCCAAATGTTAGGACTATTGTTTTAGTGAAGTTCTGCATGTGGCACTTTCAAAATATAGGACATAAAAGCCCAATTCATCAGCTTTCTTTTGGTACAAGAATCATTCGAATCACTCATGTACTTTTCAAGTTATGGAATTTTAAACACAACCACCGTTTTAAAGTTCTGTCCACGGATCACACAAAAGGTGTGCGTTCTTTCAGCAAAACGAAAACAATTTACGCACATCCCTATTAAGTGATTTGTTTCCGTTTTGCTGAAAGAACACTTATCGTTTTGTGATCCGTGGACCGAACTTTAAAACGGTGGTTGTGTTTAAAAGTCCGTAGCTTGAGAAATACATGAGTGATTTGAATTATTCTTGTACTAAAAGAAAGCTTATGAATTGAGTTTTCATATCCTAGATTTTGAAAGTGCTACATTTAGAACTTCACTGAAACAATGGTCTCGATATTTGGGTTTCTGGGTTTTTTTACTCACCCTGTATACCCCAAGGACGAACATAAGACACAAAAAATAGGCCTCAATTATTAAAGGGTCACAAATAAATCTGAATTAATCTTGTCAAGTGATTATTGCATATAAATAAACTTCGGCCAAGTTTTTGTTCGAATTCTCATTAAAAACTGAATAACTTTTATATTTCCCGTATAAAAATGGCAATTTAAAAAGAACAAAAGCTATTTTGCGGTGAAAATCAAAAATTTCAAGGGGAGAGAAATGTGGAGAAAGTCGGCAATTGTAAAGTACTATTTTTTCATGTGCAATAATTTAACGTGTTTTATTCCGAAAATGGTGTCCACAGAAGGACGCGATGACATTGTTCAGTACTTATTTGTCAACCTCTTAACTCCCTATAGCATTTTACATACTAGGCAAACAAAGGAGTGTAATTCTAAAATTACATGTCACAGAGGGAAATTGGCAATTACCCTTGAAAAAAAAAACGGGCTTTGCGATTTCATGAGTGCTTTTAATAATTGACCTTGCTCCAAATGACGAAAGAACTGGCTGGAACCACTTACCCTGTGAAATTAATTCGCCTGAAATGGCCGTCGGAAGAAAAATGATGGTGGTGTTTAGTTACGAGAACCATTTTTTTCTCCAGTTTCTCAAAAACTGAACAGTAGTCAGTGAGATAGTTAGTTGTTATGCATCCTTCTAACGATTTTGATCAATTCTGTTGCTTAAAAAAACAACCAAACAACCCCACAAACGAACAAAACTCCCCTTTCACAGAAAGCAAATGATATTGTACGTATACGTTATAACGACACTTTAAAATACACACACAGTACTCATACTGAGGTTGCATTTTTTTTTAAACACCTATTTACAAAATAGTTCTCTGCAAAGCGTCCCTGAACTTTATGCCGATTTCCATTATTTTCAAAGCTTGTATTTTTGTTTCATTGTGCTTTGTCAAACCTGACCTACTTCATGATTGAATTGATTTGAATTGACGTCAGTTCGTTGACTGTGTTATGCACGTATACATGCGCAGGAGACATTTCCTCGTCGTTGACGTCATATCATTTACAGAAAAAAAACAGCTCATATGTGGTGGAAGTAATGAGTCAATTTTTTGGGTACTATTTCGTGAATTCTTTATACAATAGCAAACTGCAAACAACTAATGTGTCAACGGCAATCACTCTCCTCTTTTCGATTTGTTTTTCCACACCAAGACCCTCTCCTGTTCTACGATCTGCGTTTAGTCTTATTCCCAATTTGTTCCTGCCTTCGATTTAGTTCCTTAATTCCTTAAATTCGAGGTTATGAAATAAAGCAGAAACATGCGACTTTTCCCGAAAACTGACGATAGTGTTCAAAAACTAAAAACCAGGTCCTCAAGAAATCAAATTGTGCATAAGTTTTCTTAACACGGGGTATCCTTCTGAAGATTTCTTTAGCAAAGTTGTTGCTTCAAATCAAAAAATGCAGAAAGAGCAAAATAATGGTTTACGGTCGGTCGGTCGGTCGGTTCCCGGAAAAAATTGATCTAAATAAGCCCCCCCCCCCCCCCAAGTTTCCGTAAAAATTGTTTGTAACAATTCGGAAAGATGTTTATGAAAAGTTTGTAAATGGAGGCTAAATATGTACAGTAATGTTACAGCCACTTGGTATTTATCACAAATCGCTATAGATCTAGGTATAAATCTAAAGTATGATGTTCCATTATGTGCCATCGGCGTTGCATTTTTGGGCGTCGCATTTTTAAGCTCTGGCAGGGATCATTTTGTTAGATTTCATGCAAGACTTTCATGCAAGACGGCCAGAGCTTATTGAGCACTCGCACTTGTTTTGTCTTGAACTTGAACTAAATTCTTTTATCCTCGTCGTTAGGTGCCTATGATGCCAAAGCCATGCCCAGCCAAGGTCTTGTGCCGTTCATGCAGTCATTCATGTGCGATCTCGGTACAACGTGCAAAGACCCTGAAAGTATCAGCCCCAACGGCAGTGGGCTACCGGCTTACCACTCTCAGGCGAGGTAAGTAACAAAATCGACTTCCAAAACTAATTTACAACAGCCAACAAAATCCACTTTTCTTCAATCCTGAAAATTGAACTAAGTTTAGCTCAATGTTTAGTATTCCTGTTTCAATACTTTTCAGGGCCTTTTGCGCTTGTGTATCAGCCAATACAAATTATGAATATTCCTGAGCAAAACGTCGATGTCGTGTCAGGCAAAAAGAGAGTTGTCCAATCCTCCTGGAGTCCTGGTACTGCACAACTCCATGAAACAATATAGAATTTAAAACTAACGAAGCTGACTTATTGTTATAGGGGATTGCTGTAGAGTTGTTGAAGTCAACTCTTTCGGAGACTATTACCTAAGCAACGAACCAGGATTGTGCGATCATTTATGTAATTAAAAGTGGGGATTTTTTCCATTCATAAGTAAGTGGGCCAAAATAACATTAGTCAGACTAAAACGGAAAGATAGCCACCTCAACTTTCCAAGCTCACCCATGTATATTGTCTGATTATCATTAGTCTACTTTTGTGGGGTGTTTTCAGTCAATAGTTATTGGCAAGTGTTATCAGTTTCTTTTTCCAAAAGTTAAGAAATTGCTTTCCTGTATTAGTTCTGTCCACGTCTGTAGTCTTCATGACTTTCTCCATTCTGGTACTCAATTTAAGTTTTGTTAAGGGGCTTAATTATTTTGCTGTTATATTTGCACTTATATCGGTGTGCATGACGCATTTTTTTCCTTGTGAATTATTTGCCCGATTCAAGGATTGTCCACGCTATAATAATATTTTTTGGATGAAAGGAAATACTGAAGAAACCTTCCGGCGTGAATGAGCAACTTTGACATTATGACCTTGTACGCGGTAGCCGTCTGGGAACGTTTTGTCGGCCGAAATTGAAAGTGCTGCCTGTACATTTGTGAATACTCTTACTACTGAGACTATTATGTTTTTTCACCGATTTGTTAAAGTGCTGTAGCCTGTATGGGCATGTTGGCTACAGGAAATGAAATGTGTATGTACTATGTGTGCGTGTTTTAATATGACTGGCTCGTATAGTCGTTATAATGGATGGTGCAAGTGGTATAAAAAAATGGCTTTTTTTCGGCTTTTTTGTGATTGTCTATAGCAGTGGCAGACTGGGACCTTGAGTGCTCAAAACGATGCAAAAGGAGATCAGGCCAACTTTACTCACTCTTTAGCCAGCAAATTTCTCCATGGAAACTAATTGGCAAAGAAAAGGTCCTCAGTATTTCACCAACCAAGTTTGAACTTTGAAGACTCAATTCATTTTTTTTAAGGAGACTTTTCTTCAATATTTGGCAGTGGCTTGCACATGAGAGGGAAGTGAAAGGATTTCAAAATACGAGGCTAAAGACTAGACTTGGCATGTCCATCCATGGTCCAGTTGTTTGACAAGACTTACTTCTTCAATCGTTGTCATTAGTCTGGTGCCTGACTATTGAGAAATGTGTAGAAATAGTGACCTAGTACCCGATGATCCCGGCACAGTCAGCTGACAGTTGATTGATGCAGTACTGAAGATTTGTTGGACTGCATGGTTGTTTCAGATGTCACTCTATTTTCTTGTATTGCATGTTTTCAGTATCTTAAGTTTTGGGACTCTCACAGTATTGAGTCCCAAATATTAGGACTCATGATAGCGGCGGGTAACTGTCAGAATTTAGTGCCACTGAAAACGGGGGGGGGGGGGGGGGGGGGGCACATCTGCTTGTAACTGACACCCCCGCCCCCCCCCCCCCTTGTGGGAAGGGATAAGCGTTGTTTGTTTCTCAAATAGTTGTAGGAATGTGTTCTATTGTTTGGAAAAAGTTGAATAATATAAATCTGGAGACAGTGTATCTACTATCACCTTGCCTTTGCGTTTCCTTTAAAGGTATAGTCCATCATTTGTAATTTGTGCATTTTGTTCGTTTGAAGCAACAAAAGAGTTCAAAATCTAATGAAGGATACTGAGCAACTAACCTGATGAAGTTTCAGCTAAGCTTCAGCTGTACATTCCGAGAAAAACAGCATTCTAAGATCTCAATTTCAAATCAAAAGTTGCTGAATCATGTTTTGAATTGTTTTGAATTGCAACTATACGCGACGTCGCGCACTGATCCGACGAATTATAACAACCGCGCGCGCGTGTGCGTCGTTCGAATACTTGTGCGCGCTTCGCTGAATAACAAAACGAACTACTAATTTAAATTTTCCTACGGTGCTTCTTAAGAATCACCGTTGGAAATGCCTTCTTTCGTTGATTACTTTAAAATGACAGCTTCCCAGAAAGAATAATTTCACAGGGAGTTTAGTCCCCTTACTATCTTTCAACCAAGTTAGTTTTTCAACAATAATTACGCCAGTTACTTTTCGGATGGCTGCAAATGATGGACTCTACCTTTAAGAATTTTTTTTACAAGCGCCTGAATTTCAACAGAGGGCGCTGCAAATTAATTTCCTCAACTAGCTAGCTCAGCACGCTGCACGTCTTGCATGCGCTATGCATAAACATTGTCAGAAGATTGGTTCCCGACGTTTGATGTAAAGTTTTACAGGGTTTTTAAATGGACCACAAGGCATTTCAAGGAGTTAAACGGTGTTAGATATGACTTGGTCGGGATTTCAAAATGCAAAAACTGTTAATTGTTGGTTGTATATTATATTCATAGTAGGCATACTTCTAGCCCAGGTTGGACGACGTCTTCATTGCATTCCGTTGCGTGTAACAACGGAGTCCAACCTGGGCTAGCAGTAGCATACTTCTTGTCCGCACAGATTTTGTTCTCGATCTCGCCTTGGGACGGTTGACGTCAACTGCCCGGTAATCCTTACTTTTAGGACCCCTTTCCTATATAAGGTTAAAAGACTCACCAAAACAACTGACTAAATGACGCTCAAAAGTGACATTCTGATATTTCTTGGCACATTTGAACATTTGGCAATGACACCTTCTTGAATATCAGCAGGTTTGATTTTGTAGAAAGAGGGCAGGGTTTTGATTTATGAGGGGACGATGACAAACAGAAAATAGATTTAAAAAGCAAGATGGCGAACTGAAAAAAAAAGGTAGGAAAGTCACTTTTTCTTTGAAAGTGCTTTCAAAATTATAACTAACATGAGTTTGTCTGAAGAAAAAAGACTTCTTTAGCCTGCAAAAGTCACTTTGGTACTGGACAGTCATCTGCAAAAGTCAGTTTTGAACAGAACTCGTACAAAATAGAGGTGTCCTAAAAGTAAGGATTACCAAATGTTCAGACATGTCAGAGTAGGCATACTTCTAAGTTCTAGCCTAGCCCAGGTTGGACGACGTCTTCATTGCATTCCGTTGCGTGTACACAACGGAGTCCAACCTGGGCTAGCATACTTCTTGTCCGCACAGATTTTGTTCTCGATCTCGCCTCGGGATGGTTGAAGTCAACTGCCCTACCGTGCAGTTGAGCCGATCGTGTATTTACGGGCCCAGTTCTAGGCTATGCTAGTGTAAGAGAACAAATTTCACTTTTAATTTATTTGACTTAAAAAACTAGTTGGCGACATTAAGAACATGCCGGTATGTCATACATGTAGATACAGGGCAGGGTTTTTAATTGTTGAGGGGAATTTGGGGGTAAAATGACGATGACAACGACAAAACCCAACATGAAAACAAAGATGGCGATCACCGCGAGGTACCGTTAACCAGGGTCGATTAAAAAATAAAAGCAACATGCATAACTGCGATTTTTCTTTGAGAAATTGAAAATACTGTGTAAAATTTTGTGTGGTTTAGAGTTTCCTTGTTTTTTCTAAATTCCCAGTTGCATGCCTGATTATAAAAATATAATGAAATGAAATAGGCCCTTTTTTGGTCAAGAATTATGCTGAAGTTAGAATGTTTTTAGTATTTGAATTAAAACAATGCAAGGTTCCATCATATGACTATGAGTGAGTTTTCTTTCTTTGTTTTTCCATGTACAGACTTGCTCAGATAGCAAACAGTCTGAGTCCCATTGTCAACAACACCTCAACAATCGAATCACTGAAGAACCTCCCGCAGGTCATCAAGCCTCTTGCTGAGCTCACTAACGGCTTGAACTCGGAATCCTTGAAGAACTTTACAGGTAAGCCTACATTTCTTATGTATTTGTAGAAATTTGTAGAAATGTTCCAACCAAATTGAATTTGTTTCTCAATTCGAAATTCTTCTTCTTTTTTTAACACATTTGCATGGATTGACCTCAACTGCTGTTTATGTATTATGGACAAGTGCGGTCAGAATACTGCATTCTACACAAATAGAACTATCATTTAAACAGGTTCATAATCAAGACAACAATTTACAAAGAAACTTTCAACAAAACAAAAATCATCAACAGACAACAATGTTTTACATAATAGATGATCAAAGATGATCCGGGGAAAATTTATAAAAATCAAAAAAGAGCTTGTTAAACCACTGAAAGTCCAATTTATTCAATTTTCGAAATTAATGTGTGATATGATTAGAAAAATACATAAATGAAACAAAATGCCCATATCTTTTCATAAAAATACTCCCTCTTTATACATGTACAAACAGTGTATGTGGCCACCTCATTTCCTAAAGAAAAAAAAAGAAAAGAACAGTAGGCCTATAGAATTTGAGGCTTTGCATGGTGGAGAAACTATATGAATGAAAGGTTTACAGAAACACCATGTGCAAATAATTTCTCAACTAAGAGAATTGTTCTGAAAAGAACCAGAGGTATAAACTCTGGTTCTTTTCTGACCCATTCTCTTAGTTGAGAAATTATTTGCACATGGTGTTTCTGTAAAACTTTCATTCACAAGAAAAGAAAGAGGAAAACGAAAAAGAAGGAAATGTTACAACTTCACAACTTTTTATAACTGAGCTGTTTTACAAAAAATTCCAATTTTGTGTGAACTCAGCCAGGATAAAGTTTTCCATAGCTTTTCTATCTTGTGTACCCATGATGATCCTTCGCAATCTTGTGAACAAAAAAGTAGAATATTTGTTTTCATCATTAACAACTGCTCAGGCTTGTTTTTGCTTCGTCACCCTGTTACTTCCGTGAATCCACGTTCTTAGGCATATTAGAGGTTACTTTGGTCAACTTGTGATTTTTTTGTAGCAAATTAGAATCTTTGTGAAATTCATCAATCTTCAGTAAATCAAAACTTGAAAAAAACCACGCATTGACATACCAGACACACGTCAGGAATATTTGTAGAAATTTATTTAGAGTTTTGTAATTTTAGTAAAAGTTAAAAGGGAGGCGTTCTTAGCAAAAAAGTAGCAAAATCTTCTTTCCTTTTAAGATTTACAGAGTTAAAGGAAATAGTTTTTAAAATCAATCTTTTGAATACGAACAATTTTTGTTTCTCTCATAATGTACAGTGTCATCTGGAGCACATTATAGAGACAAATAGTGTTCAAATATCTTTTTTTTGTACAGCCCTATTCCTGAACTGTTTGATCGGATTTTACAAAGTTTTATAGAGCCAACTTATAAAAATTTATTGTTCTCCAGATCCATGAAGTGCACCCATGTCTCTGAGCAAACTTCATGTGCAGGGTTTTTAGTGGCCCGTTCTGGTTTATCCCCCGAAAGATGAAAAACTCCATGTTAATGAGCAAAACAGTTGGGCTATGTCATCTTAAGCCCGGTTCATGCGAATGCGAATGCGAATGCGAATGCAAAGCGAATGTGACGTCATGACACGTTCGCTGCAAAATTCGCGTAGTGTTCTATACATGTACATGTAGCAGATATTGTTACACAGACCTGTTTTGTGTTCGTAGATGCTGGAAAAACCAAGAGAAGCTCAAAACAATCATGTTCATGTAGTCTGGGTCCCTGACCCCACTTAAGATGAAACAGAGCAATTTATAAACGTCGGGAATTGTAAGGTTAGGGAACCAGTCTAGCTGGCTTGTACCCATTGTAATCGATTGCAAACTAGGTGTGGACCAACTAAATATGGTAAATTGGGGGCAGTATTTGAAAAAAAATCTGGGTTTTTTTCCACACTGGTCAGCCAACCATCATTGGAAATTGTTACAAAAGTACCACTTTTCTTGACAATGACAGCATACCAGGTGCCATGATTTTACAGGGTGCTATTGACTGTCATTCACTAAACGTCCAGTAAGGTATTTCATATTCATAATCATTTGGAAGTTTTGTTTTTTGATGTTTGTAAATGTTGTATATTTAAGCTGCTTAGAACTGCATCAAAAAGGTTCCCCTATGCTTTGTATTCTGCTTGGCCAGTTCTGTGATTTAGGGGAGTTTCGTTGTTGATTTAATCTGACCGCCAGTGAGCTCACTTGCTCATTGACCTTCATAAACATTTGGATTTGTATTTGTACAGAAAATCCTTTACAAACTGTCAAGTGCTTGCCTACAGCAGGCATAACAGCATCGACACGGCCTCATTTGAAAGATGAACGATTCCATATTAGCAAAAGAGAAACTTCATCTCTATATTTAGACTCCGGTATTATTATTGCTCATTGACCATCATGATATAAACTTTCGTATTCCTATGTGTACAGAAAATCCTTTACAAATTGTCAAGTGCAGGCATTCACCGCATTATAGCATCAGCAATGCCTCATTTGACCGGAAAAGGCCTCATCTTTACAACTGAGATCACACCAGGCCTCCTGGACCAAGTCCACCGAAAATGGGGGGATGGATTTTGATGGAGTTGGGGTGGTTAGGTTAAGTGATAAAACCTGACAACCCAATTATGGGATAAACGTGTGTATTGATACATATTTTTTCCCCACTCAATCGACCAAAAATAACCCCCACACTTCTGTGCTACAGATTATACTAATATTTTGGGGGGTTGTAGATTTATAGTTACTGATTCAGAAAATCTAAAACCTCAAAATGGTCACTTCCACTCCAAAGTGACTTCACCTGCCCTTTTACTTTGTCCATAACAACATTGGCAACTTTGTCCAGGTTTTTTTAGGGAGCAGGTCTCACATGTAAATATAAAGGGTATTTTAAAACCATTTAAATCACAAAGGGTGTCTCGTTTTTTCCCAGACATTACATAGATTACATGGGTATTTGCCCTCATTATGTTTTGGTATGAAATTCACCACACGGACCATTTAACTTTCCACTTATTGTTTTTAAAAATAGGCCAGGTTGAAAATGCTGACTATCTGTAACCATTGTGGGTAATTTTGAAGTTTTGGCTATATTATCGTCCCCAGCACACCCATTTATATCCAATTTTAAATGTTTTTGAGTGGTCGGGCACAACCCGACCACTCTTTGGATTTGTTGCGATTAATCTTTCTTTCTTTCTTTCATTCTTTCTTTTTTTTTCTGCACGGCACATTTCCGCAGGTTTTCTCCTAAACGGTATATGATATGAACTTGTAACTTTAAACATATATTGACCCTCACTCGGAGTGGTGCATATTACACTGACGTCATAATGACGTCATCGGGTGTCAAATTACAAGCGGTTTTCGTTGAAAAAATGACAATCTTCTTTCATCTATTACTCTTCAACAAAATGATCAATTATGCTCCAATCTTGTAAACAGATAGACCATAAATTGATAAACGTTTTTTGTCATGTACGTGAACTCACTCGACCTTTACTTCCGGATCTACCGGAAGGTCAAAATTAGGTGAATTCAAAATGAAGACATTAGCCTGAAATCGAAACAAAGCACAATTTCTTCCAAACGGTTTACGGTATGATCATAAAACCTTGTGTGAACTTGTACCATGTTACGAAGATGTTATAACTGTTGTTACGTCATCATGACGTCATCAGGTATCAAACTACAAGCGATTTGATTGAACGATTTGACAAAATACTTTGACCTATATCTCTTGAACTAAATAGAGTATCGTGTTCGTTTTTTCGTGAGGTTGTAGATGGTGCCTTGAACAACATTTCTTATTCCCGGGCACAAAACTGCTTGACCTTTACTTCCGGTGTTACCGGAAGTGCAATAGAAACTGAATCTAACTCTAAAACGGAAGCATTTTACTACAGACAGTGACATTATGGAAGTGTTAAGTGAGGAATGCCAATCACAAAAACATTATTTTGACGTCATCCACGAAAGGGCGCCCTCCAGCGGCACATAGAAAACAGGTTAATCTTTTAAAATGTTAAAACCCTCAATCTAATTTTCATGATATATTGCCCCTATATATCCCGTGAGCAACCGCAAATGAATTTGCAAGGTTTCATAATCATGACGTCATCTGACCGGAAGTTACTGTAGGGAGAATTCAACAATGACCATTTTATTTTTAATTTAAATCCATCATTTGATCCCTGTCTCATGACTTTGTTTTTTGCCCCCCAAAATGACATCTGTTACACTTAATATTGACCTTTTGCTTCCAAATACTGTGACATCATCAAACTGGAAGTTAGCTGTTATTATTACATACACTTAATTTCCATATTTTCATGCGTTATTTTTACTTAATGATAAACAAATGTCCTCCCTTCCCTGTTTGACTGATGACGCCATCAAACCGGAAATACCTTGTACGTGTACCCAACTGTTGACTGAAATTTTTCACACCTTAAAAGACGCATTCTTTTTGTACAAAATAATTGGTACTGGAAATGTTGAAGTTCTTGGTCCTTTTTTTCTGACATAAACATATTCATAACTTAACTGGACAATGTCTCATGAAATGGTTGTCTACCCGACCACTCTGCGTTTGTAACAACAAACGCGAACCTCTAGTTTTAACTTTTTTTTATCACTCCTCAAAATCCTGAACATTTCCAGAAACTCCAAAAATAAGATCCCTTTCATGTAAATTCAATATGGTATGTTCCATGCCCCTCAACTCATTAGAACCCAAAGAGCAGTTTTTGTTTTCAAACTATTATTAAAAAATGTCTAAGATGAATGCTGGGTTTTGTTTTTGTTTTTTTTAACGCACAAAATAATGTGTCTCCTGTGCAAAGAAATTGCATTAATGTTTTTTCCTCCTGCTTTGACAACACTCAACAATTGAAAAGCTCCGAGACCCAAAGAAAGCATCGTTAGAAAAGACTGCTTTCATAAAACCCATAACTCCTGTTCTTCAACATGGTCTCTTCCATTTCTCCATTGTACTCGCAAACTTGCAAGATCATGTTGTGAAAAAAATGGAAGCTTTTCTCATAAAGAACAGAACATTTAACTTTTCAACTTTTTCCAATTTTGAAGAACATGTAATCGTGCCTATAGTCAAAGTGACCCAAAAAGTTAAAAACCTTTTGAGTACCTAACAGTAGGCCCTATGTGGCAGAAAAAAATGTAGAGCAAGAACAATTCATTTTTCACAACAATGCAGAAACGAAAAGAACAAAAAAAATCCATTGACAATACCAACGCCATAAAGAATACATGGACACGTTAGTTGTAAATATTCTGTGCTGTCGGATACTTGTATAGTCCTTTGCTTTCTGCATTTACTTTTCCCAGCTAAAAATGCCAACACAAAAGAATGTTTGTTGGACAAGGGACAAACACAGCCCTGTTTGGACTGCAAAGAGTTGGCAGTACCGGTAGTACAGTTGAACTCACTTTTAAGAGGACTTTCAATTTCAGCAAAGCACTAAAGCACTTGTTAAAGTGTGTTGAACCCTGTAGTTCACTGTTCAAAACCCCTTTTGAGGGTGGACCACACATGGGTTCGCACAGATTTTTTTTGCATTTTCGTGAAGTTCAGGCCATCTACATTGTATGGATGCCATCCTAGTCTATGGAATATCCGCTTCCACACAAGCGTCTATGATACCGGTAGGCATGCAGATCCGGAGATTCATTATGCAAAACAGCACCGCGTCTTGACATCCGGAATCTGACCATTCAGCGGGCACCTTCTATTGGGTCTTCAGGAACTTCTTTTGCATTTTCTCAGCAACCCAATTTGCTGTTTTCATGATTTTTTTGGTATTTGAAAGAAAAACCTCTCAGCTTTAATCTTATATCCAAAACATAAAAATTCACAGATCACGTTTTTGAAAAAGAGCAGATATTCCAGGATTGCACTTTTTGGGGGTACGGTAACTCTGGTTGTGTATTGACCGTGCATAACTTGCTTCTTTTTTTTTTAGTGAATTATAAATATAAATAATTGCACAATCCTTTTTTTGATTGAAATAAAATTTGACAGATGAACCTAGCACAGATGTTTTTACATAGGCCTACATGTACAACCTGAATTTCATAGAATTGTTTTATTGGACAGCCGAGCGATAATATTCCTCCCATTTCAGAATTTAAAGCCACTCAATATTTGTTTTATATAACTGACATATAGATCCTTGTCATTTGATGTATGTATTTGAGCTTTTATTTCAATACAACATTGGTGAAAAATGTATTTCTCTCTTCCAAACCACTCCTTCATGAAAACGTTTGAACCCAACGCTGTAGCGCTGGCTCTTTGGAGCAATACGCGCAACGCTGAACGCGCACACCAGCATACATTTGCACACAAATACCGCGTCATAAAACAAGACTGATTCTAACTGTTCAATAGTATTTCCCATTCTCCATGGGCGGATACTACTTTTTGAGCCCCGGCGTGAATGGGAGCAATAACGAATGTCATGTGATGTGAGTTCCACCAATCAAATGACAAGGATCTGTATGTCGGTTATGTAAAACGGGCTTTATCCCCTTGCCCTCTAACACCCCTCAATGATCCAATTACTTTACTAGACTCCCTGGGAGATCTGTAAGGCTCTAGACTTAAAGGGAATGTACAATGTTCATTTGCTTTTTGCCATAATTTTTAGAAATGGATGGATTTGGGGGGTTAGTATTTTATAGCAAATATTGTTTCACTGACTTTTTTGAAGTTTTGTGCTGGAAAAGCCAAGATGCTGGAAAAGCCAAGAAAAACAATTGTGTTCCTGTAGTCTGGTTCCCTGCCCAACTTCAGATGAAACAGAGCAATTTGTAGATGTCGGGGGAATTGTAAGGTCAGGGAACCAGACTACCCGTAGCTGGCTTTCACCCGGTCACAGACGTGTAACCAATTGCAAACAAAATGTGGACTGAATAAATTTGGTAAATTGTGGGCAGTAGTTGAAGAAAGTCAGGTTTTTGCAATGTTGGTCGGCTGACCAACATTGGAAATTGATACAAAAATACCACTTTTCTTGAAAATGACAGCACACCAGGTGCCATGATTTTAAAGGAGGCTTTAGACTGTCATTCAATAACAGTCCAGTAAGGTATTTCATAATAATTTGGTAGTTTTTGTTATGTTTGCTAATGTTGTATATATTCCCTTTAATTCTTTCAATATTTTGGGAATTAACTCTGATTTCTTCTACTTTTGAAGACCCACTTTTGTTCAGAAATAACTCCACAATACCACAAAAAAAAAACCTCAATGAAATCCACTCATGAACTGTAGAAGCGATCGGCACAACTCAATTTATGGAGGTGTAATGCCATGCCTAATGGCTATCTTTGACATAATTATTTAGCACTAAAATTTTTTTCTCCAAAGTTGTAGTTTTCTCAGAACTAGATCGTCCTGGTGTGTCATACACTTCATGTTACTTAAAACTCTATGGAATCTATTTTCCGCCCAGAATTTTGTCTGATCATTGTCTCAATATATGAAATATACTTTGATTTTTACAGAGCGGAAGTACCTTGTGAGTGATTTCTTCCGTAATGTCAGCGACGTCCGTCAATATCTCAAGGAAGAGGCAGGCCTAGATGGATCTGTTGTGGATTCGTTGCTACATGCTCAGCTGGATGTTTATCAAGTATGTTCATTAAAATCCATCGTTATCCACCCAAATCCATCCAACCACCGATATCATTAATTAAAATCCATCATAATCTACCCAAATCCAACCAATCACAAAATCCTTCCAAATCCATCACAATCTACCCAAATCCAACCGAACAGCGATATCATTAAAACCTGTCACAATTTACCAAAATCAAACCATTAACCATTGATGTCATTCAAATGCATCATAATCTACCCAAATCCAACCAAACAGCGATATCATTCAAATCCATCACAATGTACCCAAATTCAACCAACCACCGATATCATTCAAATCCATCATAATCTACCCAAATCCAACCAGACAGCGATATCATTCAAAGCCATCATAATCTACCCAAATTCAACCAGACAGTGATATTCAAATCCATCATAATCTACCCAAATCCAACCAACCACCAATATTCAAATCCATCATAATCTACCCAAATCCAACCAGACAGTGATATCATTCAAATCCATCATAATCTACCCAAATCCAACCAGACAGTGATATCATTCAAATCCATTACAATCTACCCAAATCCAACCAAACAGCGATATTAAAATCCATTACAATCTACCCAAATCCAACCAAACAGCGATATTAAAATCCATCATAATCTACCTAAATCCAACCAAACAGCGATATCATTCAAATCTATCATAATCTACCCAAATCCAATCAACCAGCGATATTAAAATCCATCATAATCTACCGAAATCCAACCAAACAGCGATATCATTCAAATCCATCATAATCTGGCCAAATCCAACCAAACAGCGATATCATTCAAATCCATCATAATCTACCCAAATCCAACCAACCACCGATATCATTCAAAGCCATCATAATCTACCCAAATCCAACCAGACAGTGATATTCAAATCCATCATAATCTACCCAAATCCAACCAACCACCAATTTTCAAATCTATCATAATCTACCCAAATCCAACCAGACAGTGATATCATTCAAATCCATCATAATCTACCCAAATCCAACCAGACAGTGATATCATTCAAATCCATTACAATCTACCCAAATCCAACCAAACAGCGATATTAAAATCCATCATAATCTACCTAAATCCAACCAAACAGCGATATCATTCAAATCTATCATAATCTACCCAAATCCAATCAACCAGCGATATTAAAATCCATCATAATCTACCGAAATCCAACCAAACAGCGATATCATTCAAATCCATCATAATCTAGCCAAATCCAACCAAACAGCGATATCATTCAAATCCATCATAATCTACCCAAATCCAACCAACCACCGATATCATTCAAAGCCATCATAATCTACCCAAATCCAACCAGACAGTGATATTCAAATCCATCATAATCTACCCAAATCCAACCAACCACCAATTTTCAAATCCATCATAATCTACCCAAATCCAACCAGACAGTGATATCATTCAAATCCATCATAATCTACCCAAATCCAACCAGACAGTGATATCATTCAAATCCATTACAATCTACCCAAATCCAACCAAACAGCGATATTAAAATCCATCATAATCTACCCAAATCCAACCAACCACCAATATTCAAATCCATCATAATCTACCCAAATCCAACCAAACAGCGATATCATTCAAATCCATCATAATCTAGCCAAATCCAACCAAACAGCGATATCATTCAAATCCATCATAATCTACCCAAATCCAACCAACCACCGATATCATTCAAAGCCATCATAATCTACCCAAATCCAACCAGACAGTGATATTCAAATCCATCATAATCTACCCAAATCCAACCAACCACCAATTTTCAAATCCATCATAATCTACCCAAATCCAACCAGACAGTGATATCATTCAAATCCATCATAATCTACCCAAATCCAACCAGACAGTGATATCATTCAAATCCATTACAATCTACCCAAATCCAACCAAACAGCGATATTAAAATCCATCATAATCTACCGAAATCCAACCAACCACCAATATTCAAATCCATCATAATCTACCCAAATCCAACCAAACAGCGATATCATTCAAATCTATCATAATCTACCCAAATCCAATCAACCAGCGATATCATTCAAATCCATCACAATCTACCCAAATCCAACCAACCACCAATGTGCTCTGAGCCAGTGAGCCTTTGAAACTTTGGTTCTCAGATCTTCGTAAAGTTGCTTAACAGAGAATTGCTTAGCACAGAATATCTTCTTAATATGCATACCAGTAAATGTCATGTGATTTATATTGCACATGATCCGAGTTAATCTTAGCTCACTTTTGCTCAAAAGATTACATTTGTAACTATACAATTCAGCTGACCCTAAAGATGTTTTTTTTTCACATGTCCATATTCAGGCATTCCAGCTGTCTTTGGATGATCTGAATAAAAAAAAATTAATTCTCATATCTACCATTAAAAATTGAAAAAAAAGTCTTCTGAAGTCTTGAAATTTCCTTTTTTGGTGACTTTACAATTTCATCCCTGTAAATTCCTGTTTTTAAGTTTAACCAATCTTTTCAATTTTGTCAATTTCAGCTTTTGGAGTTGACAGGCTTCATTGATTTCAAAGGAATCGTGTGCAACATCACTCGACTGCAAGATGTCTTGACATTCCCGCCAGAGGCTGATGTGAATGGAGTGTCTCAAGCGCTGTGTAAAGTGCAAGATGATCAGATATCGATTATCATTGACAAGTTACAGACACAGCTGGATGTACCATATCTCATCAATGAGGTAAAGATTATCCAATATCGATATTGTCTGTGCAGTTTCTCTATACGTTTTGTGTACTACATGTATGTACTAAATAAACACCGCAACAAAAGAAAGTCCACACTTTAATTTTGAGCCTGATCGTCTTATGAAAACATCATTTATATATAGATCTTTGGGGAATTTTGTTAGCTACATTTTGATACCCTGTTTGCTACCAAAGACTGTAAATCGCCAAGATTGACAACGGTTTATGAAAAATGATGCAGTTGGAAAAGTTGCAAATATAAAAGGTTACGCGAGGAGAAATTGCTAAGCGTAACCACACATGCTGTCATTGGCCCCTATTGATTGCACAGGTTTCAAACAAAGCACGGGTAATTCAAATAGGCTACATGCTCCCATGCATACAAGCACTGTGTGATCGACATTCCCTGGCATTCGTTCGGGCAGTGTAACATTTTCACGCTGCAATTTCCACTGACAATGTGACAAGCTTTTAAACAAATACATCACAAATATCCATACATAGTTAGAGAGTATAGTGATAGTCCATCAGCTTTTCAACAAGGAAAAATCTTTCCAATCGGGTAAATATTTATTGAGTAATGGCCAATACCACTTTTTGTCCACGGCGACTGATATTTTGACTGCCGCAATAAGAACACGGACCAAAACTTGCATTTCTGGAAAAAGGCTACCAAGTAGAAGGCAGAGACAGAGCAGCACACTAAACATCTAAGAAGTTAACCAAACGGTTCTTTTCAGGACTACCATTACTTCCAAAAGGATAAATGACCATTGTTGCCCCCAAAATTGTTTTTAACAAAATAAAGAAAGAAAGATGAAAATTTTAGAGAAAAACTACCCTCACCCCAAATCCATTACATTCCTAACAAATGACAATAGACCGTGGACAGATTGAAAAATTTGCACTTGTTTTGAATTGGTCACAACTCAATAACTTTTTACCCGATTGGAAAGATTTTTTCGTTGTTGAAAAGCTAATGCACTATACTCTCTAACTGTGTATAGATATTTGCGATCTATTTTTTTAACAGCTGTGAAAAAGAGACACTTTGCGGGTTGATATTTTTTTAGACACCCTGTACAACCTTTGTGCAATAAAAACTAATATTGACAAAAAACTTAAATTGACTGAAGCAGGTTTAAATGCCACTTTATTCAACTTAATGAAAAAGTTGCTTCCTTTAGTTACCACTAAGTAATCTTTTTACCAGATTTTAACAAAAAGTGTCTTTTGCCATATTTAGTTCTCCGAGTTCCTGAAGGTTCTCGGTCAGACCGACTGGTCAGTCATTCTGGACAACGCAGGCTCACTTCTGGATCAGCTGCAAAACATCGGCAACTTGGGGAACCTTGTGGAGGGGCTCCCTAACTTGCTAGAGATTGTGAGGGCTGCACTCGCATTGGTCAACCAGTTTGAGATGGGCACCCTGGAGAGGCAACTAGAAATGTAAGCAGGGATCTTCTTGGTACCAGACGCTCACTAGTTTTCTATTTTTTATAACTTTGAAGTATGTCTTCATGGGCATGTATGAAAGCTAAAATTTTGTATCCTTTTAAATAGTCTCCAGTTATACTTTTCTGTACTCATTTTAAAGATTAAAATGAATATTAAAAATATAAATGCAGTTTCCCTCGTAGTTTATTTGAAAATTTGAAGAAGAAAAAAGCCGTATTCTCTGAGTATTCTCTCCCTGTTTGCTATTTCCCAGGTTTGCAGCATTGCTAATGTTGCTAGCATTGTGATTTTGGGCGTGATCAATGGCTACATGGCATATACAGGTTCATGGCTTCTGACTAGCGGCCCTTAAGACATTGACAAAATGGGGAACCGCCAACATATGGCTGGATAGCTCAGTAGGTAGAGCACCGGAACGGTTATCCGGAGGTCGCAGGTTCAAACCCCGCTCCATTCAGTTTCTTAGTTTAACTTTAGTAGGTTAAAAAATTAACAATAACTTCTGAACTTGTTTAATTTTCCTTGTATTTGCAGAGTTGTTCAGTTGGTAGAAAGCATCGACAATGCTCAGCTGATCGATGCAATGTGGTGGACGGATGTGAAGAATGTCATATCAAAAGGACACGATCTTTTCAATGTCGTGACCAAGTACCTGAGTTACTTCAATGGTACGTCTCCATTAAGTCATTTTTATTTCATGTCACTCCATTTGTTTTTAAAGATATGGTAATGAGCCCATGAGCTCGTGTTGAGCAAGCAAAAAAACATAATAAGCCACGTCGGAGCAAAATTTCATGGAAATGTCATGCTAATCAGAAACATTTGAAAAACAGTCACTTACTGGGTGACATCAGAGCTATAATTGAAATCTATTTTTCTGTTAAAAAAAGCAAGTCATTTTGGTGCTCAGCACATTTCTGTGCTGAATATCTGCATGCAATTGAACTTTGTTCTTTCTAACTTGATTTTTTTCTTCTGGTAACTTGCTGCATTAGATAACGTCATCCCAATCAAGGATCTGTTCAGAAATGAGACGACCATCCGACATCTTCTGGAGAAACAGTACGGCGTCACCATTGACGACATCAAGGCAATTCTGCAGCTTCAGTTGAAACCGGACAAAGTAAGTTCCCTTTTTAAGTCTGTGCATAAATTTGTAGAGGGCAAAATACAGCATTTACTCAAAGGGGGGCGCAGTGCGCATGCATACTGTTAGGCCAAAAAAAAAAATAAGTCGGTCTCTGGTCAGCGCGCCTGTCGATATTAATCATTCGCGTCAATCTTTTTTTTTTCCTAAATGTTCCGCGGTAGCTCCAACAGCCGCACCTCCTCAATTGTTTTTACCAAAGAGCACCAAGGAATGGGAAATTGCACCACAGCAAATGATTGAGAGCACCAAAGCAAATTATGAAGGACACCAATGTACATGAGGACACCAAAAAAGCAAAATAGTACCCCACCTTGTCTGTACAATCCAAGCTTAAAGAAAAAACGAAAGAAAAAAAAGCCGCGTCGCTGCGTCAATTCCAGAACTTTGGTCTGACCAGAGACCGAATATTTTTCTTTTTTGGCCTTATGTTGGGTACATGTTTTTGTTAAATGTATTTGTACACATCAATTTTGAAAACTGTTGAATAGAACTTTTAACTTTGCGGTGCGCAGGTGGAGATGTGTTGCATGTGCTTGAGGTGCATCTTCCTATGGCTTCTTGGCCGAACAGTGCCCCGTTGTGTATCAAAAGTTACATTTCCCAAAGTACAGCTCCTTGTAAACTCAGATGACTTGTGACTGACCTTTGAAGTCTCAACTTTTTAACTTCACGAGATAACAAATCTGTGGCCATACCCCTGTGATAAAAACCATGTGAGTATATTTTTTCTTACCTTTTTCTCAGATCCCCGAGTTGTTGCAACTCTTGATGAGCACGAGCCACCCATCGGAGCTCTTCTGCTCACCAGCAGCGCTGAACATCTCAGAATATCTCACTCTTCCTGGAGATTCATCCTTCAACATTGGAGCTTTGCAAGAAGCCCTGTGTAAACCAGTCGCAAACGGCAACAAAGTTTTGGATGTCTTATTCAACAACACCGACATTTTGCTCTTTGTGGATCAGGTATGATGGAAAGCTAGAAAATTGACCTATCAGTGTTAGCAAGTTAGCCACGCCCCTTAGACAACCCTATAGAATTGTGTGCGTTAAGTTTTGTTTGTCTCAGATTTTGCGCGTTCCGCATCCATTTGTATATGTAACTGGACAATATTTGACAGGCTGCGTTGACATGATTCTACAATAATTTGTGACTTTGTCCCACAAAAATAATCTTAAGTGCAAATGTTCATACTTAATTTTTTTGTATGCACAACTGAGGGAGCAGTTTCTACTCTTCATTTTCATTTGTGACGCATTTTGACATCTTAAAGATGATTCTTTGTGCTACTTTGATTTTCACTCCGAAAAGTATATTTGTTTTTTTCAAAGCAATTTTCCTAGCAATAGAAAAGTTATTCACTTTTAAATGAGACTGCGAATGGAAAAACCCACCGACGTTTAAGTTTAAAATTATTTCTGTACAAAATTCAAATTATTGGCAGTCCGAAAATAATTCGGAGGCCTTGTTATACCTACATGTACCACTGAATTGCAAAGCCAAATAAATGTAATATATTGTTAGAGTATTTTCAGATGTTTCCTTGAAAACATTAGTAGGTCTGTAAAGCTCTTCACCAGTAAAATGTTCAGGAGTTTGCAGGTTTAAATCCTGTTCTTGTCAATTTTTTTATGTTTCATAAATACCTGAAACAGTTTGCCCATTCCTATTGGTCGAGAGCCCGTCCCTTCAGTGGCTTTCAACTGCCAGTAAAACACCAATTATCCATCAGTTAAACAAATTGCCTTTTAATTAAACCCCCAAAAATATGCCATTGCAGGTGAGTCAAGTCCTAAAGAGTCCACCATCCCCCATCCAATGGGATGCTCTTCTGGATGACATCTTGGTAATCGTAGCAAGCATCCAGGACATGCCAGAGTTTCTGCAGAGCCTACCAGCTCTCCTGAGTGACTACTCTGGGTTGTTTGACCAATCCTCACTGCTCCAGAACAGCTGGATCCAGCTGCTTGCTGGCACCATACAAGGGAACATGACGGTAGAGGAGACCTTGCAATATTGGAGGTAGGAATGAAGAAAACAAAAACTGACTTACCTCAGATTGGTTAATTTTTTTTTTGAAAATCAGAGGTGAATTCTACTTCGGGATAGGCCTATATTTTGGGACGAAATTTGTCAATGTTGAAATTTGTAAAAGCATCACACTTTACGTCTGGAACATTAAAGCTGTTGTTAAAGGCAGAGTATATCATTTATCATTTGTGCTGTTTTTTTTTTTTTTTTGAAGCAACAAAAGTGCTCAAAATCTAAAGAAGGGTGCTTAACAACTAACCTGATGATGTTGTAGCTCAGTGCATGCTGTATATTCCGAGAAAACAAAAGCATGCTTGGTGCTTATTCTAGGATCTCGATTTCAATTCAAAATTTGCCGAGTCATGCTTTGTAGTTGCGCTCAGCGTCTGGGACACGTTCTCATTCAGCCAATTGCAGCTACGCGATGTCATGCACTGAACAGACGAATTATAGCAACCGCACGTGTGTCGTGTCAACGCTTGCGCACACCCATTCACGGCTTCGCTGAATCAAAAACGAACTACTAAACGGAAAATTCCAAAAATGCGTCTTTAGAGACATCTTTGGAAATGACCTTCTCTTGTTGTGTTCTTCAAAATGACAGCATGCCAGAGAGAATCATTTCACAGGGAGTTCAATGCCATTACTATCTTTTAAACAAAGATTCCTTTCAACAATAATTTTGTCAGTTACTTTTTGGATAGCCGCAAATGATATACATGTGCTCTATCTTTAAGTGGGATTTTATCATGAAGTTCAAATAATGGGGAATTGTCAATATAGAGCTGGATAGCTCAGTTGGTAGAGCGCCAGAATGGCAAAAGTCACAGGTTCAAACCCCGCTCCAGTCAAGTTCTTTGAAATTGTTATAATGCAACTGTAGTCATTTCCCTTTTGTGGTTTATTTGAAAAGTTCAATTAGGGAGCAAGGGGTAATACTCATAAATTACTCATGTTTTTTTTAAACATTCAACCAAATTAAAGGAATATCTGCATACACAAACAAGTTTGCATAGCAAAAAGTCATCCTGGGATTTATCAGTAGTCAAATGTTGTTGATCTGTCTTTCTGTGCAGTGGAGAGCCGTTCGTTTCCATCATTCAAGGCGTTCTATCGCAGACACCTGCCTGGCAAGATATCAAGTACCAACTGATTACGCAAAATATGGCCCTGGACATACAGCTACGGATTCTGGACATGTTTACTGGTGAGTATAGCAAAAATAGATAAGAAACAAAAACAACAAAACAAAGCAAAACAAAAACAAACAAAAAACATAACCAAAGGAAACATAATGAAGCTCCCATCAGATAGATTTTCTTTAAACGATGACCTGGGCCCAATGTCTTTGCACTGCTTTGCACACAATTCGTCTATTTCACGGAGACCATAAGCAGTAAGGCATGCTGACCTCGGAGGAAAAAGTTGCTTAAGTCAGTGACGTAATAGAAATCTCCATGGGCACACAACCGTTATCACGTCGACATTATGAAACAGTGCTTACGGTTTGCTCAATTTTCTGCTATAGTTAGCATAGCCTTGGTCAAGGTGTTCGATGAAAGAGTCCAATGATCAATGGTCGGACGCAAACAACACTAGCCGTACACTATGCACTCACACCTACTGCACGAAGAACGAACAGCGACCTCACGCGGCTAGTCTTTATTATGCAAGTCAGTTGGTGCTGAATGAACGCCTGGGAATATATATAAGCCTTGGCTTATGTTTTTTTCATTTTGTCGCTGGATTTCCAGTGACGACCTCGTATGAGAATAAAGATGAGATTATTAATCAGTATGTGGTCGTTGAGGCTCATTTTTACATGGATAGAGAGTTGGATTGTGGCTACATTCTCCAACAATGTTGGTGTCTGCAGACTAAATATAACTCGATATAAACCCAGCGAAAAAATTACGAAAATTTACCTGAAAAGATAGGATGGCCCACGGATGTTCCCAGGTGTTCTTTCAACACCACCTGATTTGCATATCGTAGACTAGCGGTGTGAGGTCGCTGTGCCCGCTTCGCACGGTTTGTGTGATTGCATAGTGTGGCTACTGTTTTGATTGGTGTACCATCGATAATCGGACACTATCGCCGAAGGCCCAAGACCAAGACAATAGTTAACACCATTTTTCTGCTAACTGTTAAGTAGCACCAGGAAATCTACTCACAATACTTGACATTTTGTGAAAGATGAAAGTGACAAAAAGTGCCTTTGGATAGCGCGGTGGAAACGAACAAAGATGAATGGGACTGGACATTAACCGACACAAGGTGGCGCTGTTCATGGCATTCTCTCTTACCATTGTGCGACAATTAAATATTATTAATGGGAGTGTCAGAATCCTCTCATGCCCCCCCCCCCCCCCCAGCAACACCATGCAGTTACACCCATCCTTTTTGTTTGACTTTTCACAGGCGGCTTTTGCCCGGAGGGTTGGCATAGCAACCTCACCTCCTGTTATAAATATGTCCACGAGGTCACACGAAACATGTCGGGTGCTCTGATTGGCTGTCGGGAGCTCCATCGCCGTGGTCACCTGGTCACTGTCAACCATCAAACGGAGCAGAAATTCTTGGAAAGTATCGGGTATGTACATGTATGACCTCATTTTTACAAAAAAAATGTTGAAAAAATAACTTGAATAATGCAGGCAGTAAGCTTTCCTTGGATCTGCTCATTTCCTCATTTTTTTAATTCTCATGAATGCCATTACAAAATAGAAAATACTGTTCAAAGTCTTGTGTGATTTGCAGTTTCCTTGTTTTTTCTGCATTCCCAGTTGCATGCCTGGTAATGGTGGGCATATGCTGAAAAAAAAAATGAATTTGAGAAACGCTCTAATTTTGTTACAAAATATGTAGAAATTTTAGCATCTACCAATAGAGCGCGCAAAATGAACTCAAAACCTGCAAGATTTTACAGGAATACAGCAGGCTACATCCGGGCACCCATGGATGTGTGTGTTTACGTCCTATTTGCTTGCATGTATTTTGTGTTTTGACTGGCCCCATCCAATCAAGGGCAACAAATGGGTGTTTTGAAAGAAAAGAAAACATTACAATTGACAGTATTTTGAAAATTCATGTATAACGGGAGTCGGTGGCTAGCCAGTGGTTGATACTAAAGACTGCCACATAAAAAGTGAATGTGGACTGGTGTGACTTGCACACAGAGCCGTCACTAGAAGGGGTGGGGAGGTGGGCATTTCAAAATTTTTGTCGGCTTATTGTTGTTGGCAAACTTGTAAAATTTATGGCCTTTTTATATAATTTTACTGTTGTCGGCAAATTTTGAAATCAGAGGACATTTTTCTTTTTTTTTTGCTTGTCAAATATTTCGTTGAAAGTTTGTCGGCAAATTTTTGTTTTTTCACACTTCCCGTACATTTTCTGTCTGTAACTTTGAGGACCCTTTTTTTTGGGGTTGTGGGATGTTTTGTCGCAAATTTGTTGGCAAATTTGGTCTCACGCCCCCCTCTTGAAAATGTTCTGACGACACCCCTGCTTGCACAGTCTATTGACTTTGAGCGGAACCATGATGGTGTTTTTCAGAATACTACATTTCTCCTGTTGGTTTATGGCATTTTCATGGGGAAATAACCACCCATCAAAAACCAGTTGAGGTTCAATTTTTTTTCCGTTGTATGTTTCAAAATGTCTAACACAGAGAAGGCGACCTTTCCTGGTTGGGTCTAATATCTTACGGTCCTGACTATTCCTACTGGATTGATGGAACATATGTCATCTATGAGAACTGGTTCCCGATGGTCGGAACCACCGCCCAACCTCCTGTGTCTGTGCCAGGCCCGACGTGTGGCAAAGCAAACTTTGGCACGGACGGGCTGTGGCACCATACTGACTGTGACATGCCAGCCGGTAGCTACATATGCGAGGCAGTACAAGGTGGGTTACCAGACCATGCAGTGCTTTAAAGCCTATATGATAACTTGCTTTTCATATATTTTGTTCGTTACCAATAACACCACTATTCAAAATCCAAAGAAGAATGTTCTAAAGCTAACCTTTGTGGGCCTATAAAATTTTGGATTCTAGAAGCTCTGTGGTACGATATGAGGTAATTTCTGACCACATTAACCATCTTTTTGGGAGCAAATTTCATCATTGAAACATCATTTTCGAGTTTGGAGTCATTGAATCAGCTATTTTGAGCTATAGAATTAAATGTAGGCTATACTTTTTATTCGGGGACAAAAAAAGTTGGGGGGGGGTTGGGGACAAATGATGTATCCCTCCCCCCCACCCCCCCCCCCCCCCCCATTGACACTCATGGCCCTTTGGTGTTGAAAACCACTGAGCACGTGGGCAATTAACACCTGCTCCTCTCCAATGTATACTGTATGTTTCAGCTGTGTGCGTATTACACTCGTACACACATGTCCGACTTTTGTGCACGCATGTTGGACATAAATCACAGCTGCGATTGGTCAGATTGCCATGGGGTCCTTATTGGATCAGTCTGTTGATAAATAGCACACATGTAGGAACATGCCCACAAAACCTGGCCATCAGAAGAGAAGTTTTCATGAGCTCATCACATAGCGCCCTCTATGTAAGTGTTCAGAGCCAATAGTATGTCCCTAGCTAGCTTGATTGCCGTTTGTCTTTTGCAGATCACAAGCTGGTTCAACTTCTGCGGGAGGATCCTATGAGTAAAGTCACCCGAATGTTGCTGGATCTGGGCCCGCATGTCACTGAGGCAATCTTCCGGTCATTTATCAACGCGTCGTTCATTGAGGCAAGCAAAGACTACAAACATGAATTGGCGTAAACACAGTCACCCTCTGTTCAGAATCAAAGGAAAACAAATACACAAACTACTAAACAAGTTTAACTAGTGAACTTTGTAAAAAAAACAAAAAAAAACACATTAACTCACTTTTTGAAAAAAAATTCACTCCACAGCAAACTCAGCAGTCTTGTTCAAACCAATAAACGTCATTCCCAACTTTGTGTTGGTTGTAAGATGTTAACCAGAATTCTTCTGATTTTATCCTAACTTTGTTTCTACCGATTTAAATGATTAATTCTGGGGAGACATGTATATCGGTATGAAAAGTTTATGCTTAATGGTGGAGTACCGAGGCCTCATGGTCTGGAGCATTGAATTCGTGGTCTGCGGGTAATTCTGCAGGTTGTGGGTTCGAGTCCAGCCTGGGGTCATGGTGCATGTGTCCTTGGGCAAGGCACTTTGTCACTCATTGCTTCTCTCCACCCAGGAGTAAATAGGTACCTGTGTGGGCAGAGATGGTAGTGTGGTTGACTTTAGCTGTTCTGCGCCTAAATGGCAGCATTGAGCTGTATACTCCCCAGCTGTATACTCCCCATCGGCCAAATGAACATGATTATAATAATGTAGCGCCTTGAGCACCAATACTGGTGGATACGATCCAGGCGCTTTATAAATACACATTATTATTAAATAATGTTTGACTTCTTGTCAATAGGCACTGGTGCAAATGCCTCCTAGTGAACAAGCGAGGGCGCTGTGCTTGATCGACTTGAGTAGCTTGCCGCCCTCGGTTGATGTGGCTATGGTCAGACAGACGCTCTGCAATCTGAACGTGACAGAGATATTAGCTGAGCAGATGCACTACTGGCAGGTCCCTGCATTGCAGCAACAGGTGGGTAATTGATTGTTTATCTGGGCTGGGGCTTCTGTGCAGTTGTTACCTTGAATTCAACAATGTACGGTTAACCTAAGGGGACAGGGTTTGACTGCTTCCCTCGATGTTCTCACTTTAAGAAGCTCTGTGGCATCCTTGAGGTACTGTCATGAGATGTGCTCATAAGTGGAGCATTAAGCACTGATAGAAGCCCGACATATGCAATGTGATTTCAGCAGGGTTAATTTTAGGAGGAACAATCTCCCCCCAAAATATTACAAATAATGCAATTGTTTTTTGTATGATTGGATCACATTCCAAAGATTTTATCAACTATATATTCAGTTGAGTTGTTGAGGAGATTTTTATTATCCTAGATTCGTTCTGCCTCTGTAGCACTGAGGGAGGCTAGTTTCACTATACCACGAGTTAAAGCAGTGAATAATTTTTTTTCTAATGCTTCACCCACTGAATCTGAATTAAACCAAAATTCAATAATATTTTTTTTTGATGACATAAGTTGAACATTTAATCACACTTTTCCAAACTATCTCATCACGAAATGTTTGAACACAACTCTGTTGTGAGAATGAGAACAGAGTGCAATGCACACACCCGTATGCATGTGAACACATACCTTCGTTTCCTATAGGTTGGATGCTAAGCGTATCACCTTTTTAACCATTAACATAGTCTTTCTGAATGCAGTGTTGTCTTTTTGGCTGTAAAGTAAACATATCCATTGTTATATCGCGCACTTGGATACTGTAACTTCATTGGTCTAGGATGGCCACGTGTCTGGACAAGAAAAATATATGTCATACAGTGAGAATGATTGGGTGCGTTTGGCAGGCGTGTGGAACCTGCTGGCACGCGAGCTTTGTGCAATGAGAACTGCAACATCAACCGCAGTCTCGTGTCTGGCAGGACATCAAAACATTCAGTTATCAAAGGTTACATCGCATTGATTTAATATATTTCTCACACAGTAAGTTACAGCCATTTATGTTTTTGAATTATTGGCACGATTTAACAAAACAATTGTTGACTGCTGTGATGTGGGATATGTTGGTTTTAACCCCCTCAGGTGCTATGCGCCCCTTGGGTGTTAAAAACGTCATATCCAACATCACAGCAGTCAATAATTCGAAAGGCTCCCGGCCAATCAAGGGACAGAATTTGCAGATGAGGTGTTATAACTGAGTTTGTTTCTTGTGTACGTTAGATCATGGATTACATAACGCTATTGACAGCCGGTCCATTCAACATCTCACCTGCGTACTCCCACTATGCCAATCTCTCTGCCCTCGTCCATAATTACAATCGTCTGAACGAGGCCTGGGCCGACGTCTTTGCACGACCGGTGGACCTCCAGACAATCCTGGAGTGGTATGGCAATGTGGGCAATCAGACCAAGGAATGGGAGGATATGATTGAGAGGGTCTGGAAGTCCCTGGCTGGCCCTAATATGCCCAGCTCAGCCAATGCGAGGTAAGCATCACTCACTAACCCAAGACCAGTCTCCGCATTCATGGATACATTTTTTTTTCTTCAGATTTTATGCAATTTGAATTTCCTTGATTGCAGCAGAGCATATGTAATGAGATTAAGCTAAATAAGTCGTTTTTCAGCCCTTATCGAATTTTTTTTTTTACATTTTGAATTGAGCTATTTTTCGGTTTATATTTGGTGAAAACCCCATGTGAATAGGACCTTCCGTTCAGAAGTTATGGGACTTCGAACACAGCCAGATCAGAAAGAAGAAAACAGAGAAATCAAACAAAAACCAACAATTCAAAATTGAAGTGTTTATTAAGCAATGCTCTATTTCAGGTTATTGTGAATATTAACTCCAGTTAGTAAAAACGTAAAATTTTGACTACTTTATCGTGATTTTTTCTTGAAATAGTTGAAATGAAAGAGAACATATCCTTCTGATTTTACAAAAAAGTCAATTTTGAAATGTCCACCCCTACGGCCCCCCCAAAAAAGTCTCCGGTTTCTGGTATGGAGCTTGTCCAAAAAGTGGTGCGGCGACGCGGCTTTTTTTTTTTTTTTTTTACCCGACTTTTTTGCTTCAAATTTGCTTCAAATGTCGGCTGATGACTGCAAATGGTGCCCGACTAAACTTAGTGCAAATATATGGGAGTCCAGAGAGGCCACATAAAGCTTATTCTCGATCATAACCCCATCTAAAAACACGTTGAAATTGCGCAGCAGCAGAATTCCAATCAAACCAGTAAGTTTGGCGGTTTTGAGACATCATCTTTCATTGAAAAAAAAACGTTTTCATTTTGCCGACGCGCATGGCTACGGCGACGCGCGCGCATACCAGAAACCGGAGACTTTTTTTCTTTGGCCTACTGATGTATTTTGGGCTTTATATTAAAATCATAATTACCGACAAACTACTTATTTAGCTTGACGGCATCACATAGACTTCTGGTTCTTCTCAAAACCATTTTATTATTTAGAGGTTCAGAGTGACTAGAGGCGGACTAAACCTAAAAGTGTTATGAATGACTGAGGTTGACCCAAAAACATTTCAATTTCAGACAAGCAAATTTTACGCATTGATTTTTCAGTGCCTAGATTCTGCACCCGATTTCTTGAAACTCATCGTAATTTACAATGCATCGCTGCGGTGCAACGCGTCAAATCCCTACGATGCGTCGCAGCTGCGAAGCGTTCTTTGATCCATTTCACAAACACGTTGTAAGGTGATGCGTCGTAGGTGTATTTATAGCACAACTCAGTGACTGTTGTATGTATTTAGTCAGCGTACAGTAAATAATCGTCTGGTATTCAAAAAAGAGTCGTCGAATCTCTTTTTAAAAAAGTTTAACAAAACGTAAAACAAAATAAATGGTGGATGTGTGATGCAATTTTAAAGGATAACAAGCTTTCAGTGGACTGTATAGCTAGTTTGAAATTTCAACTGCAATTATGCCAGGTTAATTTATACTTATTCAATGCATGTTCTAGTTACAACTTGACACACATTGTCTCGGTATTATAGTCTCGTGTATGTATTTTTATGGCATAAAACTGGCTAAGAAAATGGTGCTTCTTATTTTGCAATGACCACTTGCTTGCGACGTGTTTTAAGCCGTTGTCAAGGAACTTACGTTCAACACATCGCAAGTTTCGTGAAATGGATCAAACGACACGTCGCGAGTTGCGATGTGTTACACGTCGTAACTTGGGTTGTGACACATCGCAGCGCTTCATGAAATCGGGTGCTGGAGTTGTTCAAACAGCACCTAACTTTTTTCAAAGGTTAAACTTTCCATGCAATTTAATTTGAATCTTTGGAATAAATGAAGAGGGTTTCTTTGGGCATATGCAAACTTTGCTCAAGTTGTATACTCCTCTTCAAAAAATGCTCAAATCACATTTTTGTTTTCTCTGTTTGAATTCTAAGCTTGGCGGATCTGCTGGACATGCTGAACATCCAGCTTGAGCAGATACTGAGCCAGCTGGAGCCAGCCCTCAACAGTTCTATGGACTGGAGTGTAGTCAAGGAGCTGATTGCAATCGGTCAGAGCTTCCTGATTTCTCTGCCAGGTAGGGTAGGCAAGGGTAGGAAAGATTAACTCTTACTCACTGGACGTTTGCGCAGAGTGGTTCATCACAAATCCATCACAAGTCCATCACAAGTCCATCACAAGTCTATCACAAGTCCATCACAAGTCCATCACAAGTCCATCACAAGTCCATCACAAGTCCATCACAAGTCCATCACTAGTCCATCACAAGTCTATCACAAGTCCATCACAAGTCCATCATAAGTCCATCACAAGTCCATCATGAGTCCATCACAAGTCCATCATAAGTCCATCACAAGCCCATCACAATTAGTCTATCACAAAGAGTCCATCACATTTAGTCCATCACCATTAGTCCATCACAGTTAGTCCATCACAAGTCCATCACAAGTCCATCACATGACCATCACATGTCCATCACATGTCCATCACATGTCCATCTCATGTCCATCACAAGTCCATCACAAAGTCAATCTCAAGTCCAATCTTAAAAACACCTTTGTTCAACGGTTTTCATAATAATTCTTTCAAATGTGGGTAGTAGACATGTCAAAGATTACCAATATCAATAAATCGGAAAATCAGAAAAAAATGACTCCCGTTCGCTTTTTTACATGTTTCTCCACTACGGCCTATGCCCAGTTCCATCTCATTTTGCCTGAACGCCTCACATATGTGGAAACTAAGACTGTAGAAGGCACACCAACGAATGTGATTTTTTTTCGTTTTCCAGGAGATGAGGCATCACTGAACCACCTGTTCCAGAATGAGAGTTTGTTGCTAGAGTTCTTGTCTAATCAACTGAACCAATCGGCTGAGGAAATCCAGAGGCTGTACCAGGCATTTGCAAAGGTGAGACCTGGCTGATTGCAGTCATACATATTCATGACCGTGAACCCAATTCTCATTGGTCTATTCACCATCACATGCCAGATGCAAATTTTTTGCTGTTTACCAAGCATGCGCGGGAGTATAAGCCAGTTCAGTATTTCAATGACCCGAGGTCATTCGGGATAACATCACTGACGTGATGTTGCGCGCATGCCCATTCTGCTGGTAATTGACATGCAAGCGTCGTTCACCTGCATTCATGCGCCTTCGAAACATTTGATTATCCCGAATGACCCATGACCCATATCATTGTGCATATCAGGCATACAACATTTCCTCGGATCTGCTGATTTCCTCGTTTTTAACTTCTCATGAATGCAATTTCAAATTGAAATTTACTGTACAAAGTCTTGTGGGGTTTGGAATTTCCTCGTTTTTTTTAAATTACTAGTTAAGTAAGATTTGAGGCTTTGCATGGTGGAGATACTAAATAATGAAAGGTTTGCGGAAACACCATGTGCGAATAATTTCTCAACTAAGAGAATGGTTCTGAAAAGAACCAGAGGTATAAACTCGACGTTCCGGTCAGTATGCTCTGACCGTCTTCAGGAGAGTGCCTAAACTCTAAGTTTGAGAGTGCCAAACTTGCTAGTTGCATGCCTGGCATTTGCACAGTTGAAATACCAAACTGGCTTATTCGCACACAGGGTAAATGCATTCGCACACAGGCAGTCTGCTACTCATACGCTTGATGACACAATTGTGGCACTGTCACACGGGTGAAGTATGCACGCCCGAATATCGCCCTAGCTACACTTGAAAAGATGGCAGCACACGTAAATGTTAATTAGCCTTTTCCCGGGCTCAGTGATGCCTAATTTGAGAATTGTGGACAATTAAGATGCCTCCTCTACTAAAAAAGTTTGTCCACAATGCGGAGTTTAATGTTAATAGGAGTTATTGTATTGCAGACGAACGGAACTTTTCTGAAGTTGAGCAATAAGTTCTGGCACGCTGGACAAGTTTCTCTGCAGATTTTAAGCCGCCTGACACTCACATGACGATGTTATAGGATTATGCAGATTCAGGATAAAATGAGTCATGCGTACTTCACGCAGTACACATGTGAACCAGCACTCAATTTCACGAAGCGCTGAGACGCATCGCAACTCGAGTTATGACGTGTAACACGTCGCAACTCGTGATGCGTCGTATCATCCATTTCGCGAAATTTGCGATGTGTTGAACGCGTTGTAAGTTCCTTGACACCAGCTTGAAACACGTCGCAAGTTACGACGTGTCTAGTGGTCATCGCAAAATAAGAAGAGTCCCTTTCTTAGCCAGTTTAATGCCATAAACATTACATAAATGAGATTATAATACCGAGGCAATGTGTGTAAAGTTGGAAATAGAAAATTCATTGAATAATTGTGAATGAGACTGGAATATTGCAGTTGAAATTTCATAGTAGCTTTACACTCCACTGAGACCTTGTTTTCCTTCAAAATTGCATCGCACGACCGCCATTTAGTTTTACAAATTTCGAGCTGAGATCCGAAGACTCTTTGTTGAATATCAGACGACTGTTTACTGTACGCTGACTAAATACATAAAACAGTCACCGAGTCGTGCTATAAATGCACATACGACGGGTCGCACTTACGACACGTTTTGTGAAATGGATCGCAGGACGCGTCGCAGCTGCGACGCATCGTAGGGATACAAGGCATCGCAGTGCTGCGATGCATCGCAAGTTATGAAGAGTTTGATGAAATCGGGTGCTGTACATATGTGCGATGTGTCCCTTCCACTGGGGCTTTCAAAAGTGCCCACACCATAATTACCCACTAGTCCTCAACGTTTTCTTCTACAGCTTGCAAATCCCTCCGCTGGAACAGATGAATGGGAACGTCTTCTGGAGGAACTTCTCCGCCTCACGTCTGATATCCAAGACCTACCCAGCCTCTTCCAAAGGCTGCCAGAACTCTTGGGCATCGTCCAGCGACCGCTGAATTTCTCCGGCGAGTGGACCGGCCTGGCTGGCTTGATTCAAGGCAACATGACGGTGGCAGAATTCCTGCAGCACCAAAGGTGAGTGCCATTGGCTCATAGCCCGAACGACAGAGGGCGGTATTGTGGATGGTGAGGAGTGCACTGTTGCACTGGTGCATTATAGGAAAAGTCATAAGTTTCCTCATACATTTTCATAAGCAGTGCACAGTGTACACACAGATCATATTTACCAGTTCATGTCAGAGGACTTGATAACACCCACTGGCTGTTTTTAAACACAGGTACGGCTGACGGGTTAAAACATTAAGATTGCCTCGATTTACCTCCGAATCAAGAGAAAACTTGTCAAATTTCTTTTTCCAAATAAAAATTGTTCAGCTTTTAACTGTTTGGTTTCTATAAAACAGAAATCACTTATGGGTGTCACAATTAGAGTTTAACTAAATGGTTTGTGTGAAAGATTCTATTAAATTTGGTTAATGAAAGGAGATTGATATTAATGCAATACTCTCAAATAAAGCAAGATTAAGAAATAGAAGCCCATCTTTTTTTCAAACCATATGTTAATTTTAATTTTTCTTTACTATTTCCAGCACGGTGGATTTACTGGAAGCCTTGGACATGCAGTTCGGCATGCCGTCACCGATGTGGTGGACAACGATCAAAGATATCATCTTGCGAGGAGAGAGCGTGCTCAGTTCTCTACTCGCACAGGTGGACAAATACCAAGGTACGAAGGTTGTCAACAGAACATTAGAATGTAGCACACGTAAGAGATGCCAGTGGCAGTTCAGACTCACAAACTCTCAGAAAGCACCGGGCACATAGTTCTCATAATATTATATAGCAAAAAGCAACTGTTATATCCAAATCTATATAACAATAATAATAACACCAGAGTCTTATATAGCGCACGTATCTACCAAGGCGCTAAAAATTATGTCTGTTTTTAAAGACAGGTAAATGAAGTTTATGGAATATGAGACCCATTATGTAGCACTTTTTAAAAACGGTTTACAAGATGCTGTGGCGCATATTACAGCCACTGCCAGAAACACTGGGGCACATGCCTTCTCTCAGCGATAAATGTAACTGGGTTCTTTAACGTGCATTACACAATACAAGGGACCTATGGCTTTACGTCCCATCCGAAGGACAAAGCAATAATGGTTAAGTGTCTTGCTTAACGACACAAGTGTCAAGGCCGGGACTCAAACCCACACTCTGCTGATCAGACACACGATATTAGGTGGACTGCGGTGGGATTTGAACCTGCAAACTCGGTATCACTGTTCCAGTGCTCTTACCCACTGAACTAGCAAGCTTTGTTAGCAGTCTCCCAGATGCAAAATTCTGTTCAGTAGACAGATCCATTAGGCCTGCCGACTGGGCATATGGGGTGGCAACATGCGCTGTTCCAATGCTGCGCTGCATTTTCCAGAGGCGTGTCATACACACCTGCACACATGTTGGACATTTGAGCATTGTGATTTGTCAATGTTCTGCAGTAACCCATCGAAAAAGATCAAATTTCGAAAAGACGTATACACTAGGAAAGCAAGAGTGAGTAGATTTGAGTCTTGCTTATAAAGTACTTTGGTGAAAGGCAACACCTAATTCATCTATTATTTTTCTATTCTAGGACCTCTGACTATTGGGAAGCTGTTCCGTAGTGACTCTGCCTTCAGAGATTTCTTCCAGAATCAACTGAACCTCACCCAAGCAGACGTTGAGCTGCTGAGAAAAACCAGCATCGATATGGACAAGGTACTCACCTCCCCACACAGTCGTGAATTTCTATACACCCGAGGACAATGTTTTGTGTTTCCCTTTGTCCCTGTAATATAACACTGTCTCGTAGACTAAACACATAACCGTACGATCGAGGACTGTTTTTAACAAACGACCCAACGCTCGAGGACTGAAAGATCTTTTGCTCTCCATTTGTGTGTCTGTCCTCTGTCGTAAAGCCATACATAACACCCCTACCCATCCTCACTGTGTGTGTTACTGTGTATGTCAACTCCCTCCCCTACCTGTTCTCATAATGTGTCTTATGGGGTCTGTCTACAAGTCTGTCCACCTCTCCCACCCCAACTCAGTATTACTGCAACTACTTCTCACTATTCCCACCCAATACTCACTATTTGTGTTACTACTTCTGTATGCATCTCTGTCCACCCCTCCGTTCCTACTATACTATTTCTGTCTGTGTATCTGTCAACCCTTCCCCCAAGTCATGCTCACTACGTGTTATTGTCTCTGTCTATGTCCACCATTGTGCAGGAATCCAACGGTACATTCTTCTTGCGTAAACTTTCAACTTGGCATGAAGTCATATATGTAAAGTAATAGTGGCTGGGCTCCATCTTCCTAAATCTTTCAAAATCCACCAAAACCTGTTGGAATTGGAAGGATCCAGGATCCTTACATTATTTTCTCTCTCAATTTTACAGATGGTTGAACTTCTTCTGCACTTGGCCGTGAACCAGCAAAATCCAGCTGACCTTTTCTGCACTGGTAACCAGAACTTGCTAGATTACCTCCTAGTGCCAGATAATGCATCCAGCGTAGCGGGGTTGGCCGGTTCCCTGCAAACAGCGCTCTGTCACCTTAGCAACGGTAGCTCCAATGCCGACGCATTCCTGAGGACACTTTTGGCAGAACTTGACTTGACGATGCTTTCTGATGAGGTTTGTAACCAAGGGTGGGGTCTGGGTTGGGTGGGGAGGGGGAGGAGGAGAGAATACAAAAACTAAAAAGAACGGGCAATTCACAACACAGAAAAGTTGCTGTTAGATCTAAATCTTGCATTACCCATAGGGTATCATTGCAAATAGCTGACTGTTGTATACATCACCAAGTTGTATTTATTTTGCACAAAGTAACTTCACTTTTATAGCATTGTTTATTGGTACCATAATGTCAACATAGATGCAACTTTTTCAAAATTGAGGACCTTTAAGCCTCAAGTTTCACAGCCCCCTCTCTGAATACCCATCTTTCACAGTCTTAATCAAGTCAATTAGTATTCAGTCTTTGGTCAAATCACAAGTCAAAACACAAGTCAAATCACACATTATTCAGGAGTAACAGAGAAAAATCATGAGTCAAATCAAAGTCAAATCAGAAATCAAACCATCTTCAGATCAGATTTTAACCAAAATGAATCAGGAGTCAAATGAAAGTCCAATTACAAGCCAATCACAAATCCATCATACGTCAGTCACACGTCAGTCACAAGTCCATCATAAGTCAGTCACAAGACAAATCACAAATCCATCTAAAGTTACTCGCATGTCAGTCAATCACAAGTCAATCATAAGTCATTCACAAGTCCATCATAAGTTAGTCACGAGTAAATCACAAGTCGATCACAATTCGGTCACAAGTCAATCACAAGCCCATCATATGTTAGTCACTAGTAAATCACAAGTCTATCACAAGTCAGTCACAAGCCAATTACAAGTCGATCACAATTCGGTCACAAGTCGATCACAAGTCCATCATAAGTCAGTCACACGTCCATCATAAGTTAGTCACAAAACCATCACAAGTCAATCATCTAACAGTCCATCATAAGTCGGTCACAAGTCCATCATAAGTCAGTCACAAGTCAATCACAAGTCCATCATAAGTCAGTCACAAGTCAATCACAAGTCCATCATAAGTTAGTCACAAGTCCATCACAAGTCAATCACAAGTATTACAGGATGAACTCACAAAGAAATGTCTTAATTTTTGTCATAGTTCATTTGAATAGCTTGTGAGTTGAGACTGGACTTGTGATGTGGCTTTTGATCGACTTATGATGATACCGATTGATGGTCATTTATGAATATTATACTGTTGTGTAAGAACCACTGTTACCATCTCTTGAGCAGCTGAGCGCTGTCGTGGGTCGTCCCGTGGGTACCATCGACGACTGGGGTCTACTGTTACAGAAGGTAGCAAACATTTCTGTGGACATTCAGAATCTCCCGAGCTTCGTCAACCAGCTGCCTTCCCTCCTCAACATCTTCCAGCGTCCTCTGAATTTCGCTGGAGACTGGAGCGGCATAATCAGCTGGCTCAGCGATGACCAGACTTTCCTTGAAGCAATGCAGCAATTTTAGTGAGTCCCCCAAACCTCCCAGAATTTGTTTACCTAACTGTTCTGAAAAACTTTACGGTCCAGTTTTGAAAAAGCAGACAATATGTGCGGCGTTCTGGCAAAATGAACTGGGTAGATAGGTGGAAAAGAAGGTTTGAGAATAGAATTATCCTTACAGTACTACTTGTTGCATTTTCAATTGGACATTAAGTTGTGGTTGTTTAAAGCTCACATTTATCAACATGTCAAAAAGTAAAAAATACTGAGAAAAATGCTTCAAAAAAGTTTGAAGTCGTGGAAATGAAAGATGCCAATTGTTTTTCCGTGAAAACATTTTTATTTTGTGATAATATTTTGCGACATATTTCACGTTAAGGACGCTCGCGAAAGTTGCTAAATTGCTCACTGTACACACTTGTGTTGTGCTTTATTGGCCCACCAACGTACATGTGGTAGTATTATCGTATGGACATCTATGAACAACCTGAACAGCAGCTTCCAAGATTTGAATTTTATGGGTACCCGAGTACCGTTGTTTTTTTTCAATCGGCTCCCCTGTTCCTGTACTACCCGTAAATGCACACCTTTAGCTGGGTCCCATATGCCAATAGGCTGAATGCAACACAGATGCGCTACATTGTCCATGTTCTATGAGCACAAGTGTGATAACGAAGTTATCTTATGCACAGTAAAGATGCAGTGAGCAGGCCGTACACAAACATTTTCAGCAGTTATTCTATTAAACGCGTGTGCATCAGGAACAGCGCGCGCATCTTAGAAAAGCGCGCTAAGCAGAGTGTGGCATGGACCGTGGAATATGAAATAATACCACACTGTTGTTGCCATGGATCGACCAATCAGGATCAAGTTTGCTTGAAAATGTAATGTAATACAGTGTAATACAATTGTAATACAATGTGTTAACAATTTGTTGCCTTTGAAAATTAAAATGCCACAGTAGAAAGTCTTGTTCTGCTGGAAATGTCCTAAATACCCAGAGTTCTGTAAAGCCAATATTTCTGTCTTTTCTTTCACTTTTTTGTGCAGCTATGGAATGTATCCCCAGCTTTTCCAGAACTATTTGTCCATGACTGAATTCTGGCCAGCCATACAGCAGCAGTTGATCATTCAGAACCTTGCCATGGATCTGCAGATTGCATTACTCCAACCTTTCATTGGTAAACAGTAGTCCTTAAATCTCTCTCTACATGGCTGGTTTGTACTTAAAAGTGAATGCAAAGCAAGCAAATTTGACGTCATGACACAGCCACTGCAAAATTTCCTGGAATTGAAATATGTGCAGATGTCACAAATTCACATTTGTGTTCACTTTCATGTCAGGTATGCACCGACCTCAACACTTAACACTGGAGCCAATGATTTCTGTTAAAAAAAAATTAGTGCGAGCGCACAAAAAGCTCTGGCTGTCTTGCCTGAAAGTTGTGTATGGAAATCTATGGAAACGATCCCTGCCAGCCGGCCGTCTTGCGGAGGAAAGTCACAATGCAAAATAATAGTGACCTTCATAATGCAACTCTCTCCTCACCCGTAATGACCTTTGGTCTCATAAACTGACACAGGGCCAGAAACAGGGGTGTGATGGATTAGTGACAGTTGCGTGGAAGCCCCCTAACTTCCTAACGCATTAAATGCCACGTGACTATAACATGACCACATTATCGTGCTTCCATTCAAACAATTTTCATATACAAATTCACAAATTGTTACAAAGAATTATTGTTTCATAATGTATTTTGTTTGCTTTATTGGACAATTACAATTTGGTACTGACAGTTTTATGGGCCACTTAGGGGGTTCGTTTTTGGTCAATATTTTTTTAAGACGACCGACCGACCGACTGACCGACTAACAGCCGAGTGACTTGTAGAGAGCTTAAAAATGTGCCAAGTTGCTAATTATTTGGTTGGGTTGGATCACAAATGTCCGAATTCTGTTTCAGGTAGTCCTACCAACAACATAGGGCTGGATTAATCAACCTTATATTTCTAGAAAGTGTGTTTTTTTTAGTTGGGGGGGGGGGTGGCATTTCCCAATCCTTGGTTTGTCTCCAGTTTCTGCCTCATTTCTGGCCAAGGAATCCTTGAATCTTTGATCTTTGAAGTTTTTGATAAGTACTTTAGTACACCGGTATCTTCATAAAAGGAGCAATGTTGAGCACATCAGGTGCGCGTCGCACACCACTGAAGTAGCCTGATCTGAACGTAGAGTAAAATGGTTGAACAAAATCGTTACAATTTTTGCAACTTTTCAACTTTGTATGGCTGCTGATGGAAAAGTGTGATAGACCAGTTAATACAAATGTGATGTTAAAAAAAAACTAGGTAGGGGCCTGGGTTGTTGATTATGTGTCATTGAATTATTCGTCCCAACGCACGGTTCGGCCGCACTGCATAAATTCCACAGTAAGTAGAATTTCCATTGCACAGTCACACTATTGGGGGCTTTGACCAATCAGATGACAAGGATTTATTCAGGTGTTGTATAAAACAAATAATGACTTTCACATTCGCACAATGGAAAAACAAATTTGGTGACAGATGGAATGTTCCATTACACTCAGCTTGGCTTCATGGAATGGAACATCCCATCTGTCACCGCATGAAATTATTCTTACCATTGCACTCATAAACATTGATTATTTGTATAGTAACCGGTGGTAGTTGACTATAGTTGGACTAGTCTAGTAGACTAATCAAGACTATTCAATGCCTGGATAAATCCTTTTCATCTGATTGGCAGGTTGTTGATCACGTTTCATTGAATTTTCATCACAACCCAAGGCTTGGCCGAAACGCACAAATATAAGTTCCGTTCCATGGAAAATAGAAGTTCCAATGCACAGTCACACTATTGGTGGCGCTGTAACTCTGCTGCCAATCAGATGACAAGGATTTATTCAAGCATTGTATAAAGCAAATGTGATGCGATCAAGCTACATGAGTCATTTGTTGACCCTGGTCAATTTTGTTTTATTATAGATTTGAAAAGAGCACCATCTCAGCATTCCTACTGTGAAAACCGCATGCTGATACCATCTTTAGTTCAAAAATTATGGAAGTCAAAACACCCAGAGATTTGATGAAGTGATGTGATGAAGTGGCCCTATTTTGGCCTGTATCTCTAAATAAAAATTCCCGACAAACGACTCATTTAGCTTGATCGCATCACAAATAATGAATGTGTAATGGAAAGAATAATTTCATTCTTTGACTATTCTTACCATTACACTCATAAACATTCATTATTTGTAGACTGTTTCTGACATCGTAAATTCAGGCATTAGAAGTCCCAGAATAAGAAGAGCCGGTGTGGACGGTAATTCTGTCTCCCGGTAAAACTGTCCGGGGGACAGAATTACCTAGGTGAAAGTGTCCTCCCCGGCCCGTTAATTCTGTCCCCCTTCAGGTAATTCTGTCCCCTCCAGGTTTCTTGGTCCCGCTAGTTTGCCACGCAGAAGGCCAGTTCCCTATATTGTTTTAATGAATGCACTCTACAAGTTATACATTTGGGACTTTTAGTCTGCCCTTTGTGAAGATGAAAATATTTAACTTGGTCTCTTTCTTAGATGTGAATTAATCGCACTATGTTTCGATGCGGAGTACGGTGAAAATGCAGCAAGGTCATGTACCATAGAATAAGGCCTAGGCGGGGATGCATCGCGATGGCCCTCATTGATATAACGCCTACTTGGATTGGTCTGCGTTCCCATCATAGCGCGTAATGACATTCCCTATTGGATGAATTTTCATTGAAGAAGGCTGCACATATACACATGTGATAATCACTGCCATAAATTTTGCAGCATGTATACTGGTGTGACGCACATGCGCTGCTCACGACTCGTATGGGTGCTAGTTGCACAGGGACACATTTACCAGGGGGATACATTTAAAGTTAGGTAGGGGGACATATTTACCTGGAGGGGAACCTAGGTAAACGTGTCCCCCCGGACAGATTTACCGGGTCACGAGCCGGTAAATCTGTCCGGGGGACACATTTACCAGAGGGGACAGAATTACCTGTCACACTGTCACAAATAAAACAAACCCCACCTCCAAGACTCTTTGATTAAACACTAAAGCAGTTTTCTGCATGTGCCTTTCAATTTTAAACAGGCGGTACATGCAGGGCTGGTTGGCAGGGGGAACATACTACCTGCTTTCGCTATGTGAATGAGAGCAGTGACTGGTACTCCGCCTACCTCCGTTGTGATGCCCTTCATCCAAGGAGTCAACTTGCGTACATAACTGACGAGTGGGAACAGCGGTATCTTGAAAGCATTGGGTATGTGGATTGGCATTTTTAAAATGTTGACCCCAGCTGGGCAATATTGCACCATCACTCACGTTACATTTATACGCCATGAGGCTACTTTGACTTCTCACTGCTTCAAAAGTATTTGATCAAGCTGAATCAAACCAGCCATACAACCACCTTGGGGTAAGGGGTACTCAAAAATGGAAAGAAATATTCAAGCCATTCATTCACTTTTTGAAAACATGTGTTTTGTTGGTCGTTACTCAAGTTAGAAAAAATGACATGGAAAATTGTCCTGCAATTTTGTTGTTACAGTCTCCACAAACTGTAGTCTGCAACACAGAAGTAACATTATTTTACCTTTCATTCAACCCATAGCTAGATATAAAAACCCATTTTGAATCAAATAAGTGTGTATTTGAGATGCATGAAACATTAGATTACGGGCAGGTACATGTACCATCACTCACGTTACGTCACTCGTGTGTACTTCCTCTTCATGGTTTCTAACACGGCATAAAATCTGAGTTTGATGAACTGCAACATAATGAAACTCTTTTCTTATAATAATTATATGAACCTTTCTCTCTGCCTTAAACTCAAAAACTCACAATATGTGCCAAAATGACTTTCAAAAATCCATGATTTTAACCCACTTTCCAGCAGTGTACATAGATGTTGCTCGATTTTTGAAATTAGCGCTCAAAGGATATCGAAACGTGGCAATTTCCTCCCATATGTTGTCCATTCTTCCGATGTCTTTGTAGTCTATGTTAGATGTGTCATACAACTCACAATGTTTCTGCACCTCGGTAATTATTTGTTCGTCCATTTTGTACAACCAATCAGTTTTTAGGCACTTGTGACATATGTATGCGATGGTTTTAGTCGTGCGATTTTAAAAAAAATCGCGCAATAAGTCTCACAACTTCGTCACTTAAAGCTGGAGTCCATCATTTGCAGCTATCCAAAAAGTAACCGGCGTAATTCTTGTTGAAAAACATACTTGGTTGAGAGATAATAAGGGGACTAAACTCCCTGTGAAATTATTCTTTCTGGAAAGCTGTTATTTTGAAGAAATCAACAAAAGGAGGCCTTTCCAAAGGTGCTTCTTAAGACGCACCGTAGGAAATATACATTAGTTGTTCGTTTTGTTAATTGGCAAAGCGCGCAAGCATTGGCATGATGCACATGCACGTGCGGTTGCTTATAATTCGTCGGATCAATGCGCGACATCGCGTAGCTGCAATCGGCTCAGTGAGAACGTGTCTCGGACACTGAATTCAGGCCCAATTCAAAACATGATTCAGCAACTTTTGATTTGAAATCGAGATTCTAGAATGTTGTTTTTCTCGCAAGATACAGCTGAAGCTGAGCTGAAACTTCATCAGGTTAGTTGTGCAGCACCCTTCTTCAGATTTTGAGCATTGCTTCAAACGAACAAAATGCACAAATTACAAGTGATGGACTGTACCTTTAAATGAATCAGCATTTCGGTACCCTCAAAAACAAATGCTGTATATTTCTCGTTTCAATCTGGATAAAAATTGGACAATGACAAGTTTTACATAAGTGACAATAAGTCTGTAAAATTCTGTATATGTCTGTAATTTCAAAAACAAGAAAACACTAAAAAAACATATGGCCACCGACATAGTACGGCTCGATAGCTCAGTCACATCGGTTCAAATCTCTCCTCCAATTTTTCTGTTTCCAACATTGTTTTTTTTTTTTACATGTCTAACTTTTCCGAACTTGAAGGAATCAACTGTTAGAAACAGTAAGCATATTTTCTTTCCCCCGTCTGTAGTCGAGATGAGCTATCTTGGATCCTCCAAGGTTCCTTCTTTGGATTAAGTTATGAGAACTGGGCACCCGGATCACAGTTTGCAGACTTTTACTGTGGTGCCGCAAACTTTGGGACGGATGGATTGTGGCAACAACTCGACTGTAGTGCCAACTTGAGCAGTTTGATATGTCAAATGCCGCAAGGTAAATTTCACCTGCAATTTCACTACACTAATGGTCCCCATTTCATTGAGCTGTTAAGCAGAAATTGGTGCTTTGCAAATTGCTGTGCTAAGCAGAAATCGGCAGGGAACCAGTCACATGCAGTTTACTTGACATGCAATTTGGCAGGTTACCAGATTTTTGTACGCTTAGCAAAATTTTACACTAAGCAGCCTCATGAAATTAGCCCTTGGTATCAACCTCTTTCCCACGGGCACGATCTTGCTGTGCCATGTTGGATCCCACCATGGCTTAACCCCTGGTATTTTGTAATTTAAATCTCCAACTATTTGCGAGATTTAAAGCAGGACTGTAGTTAAAGTGTTTAACACCTGAGGCAGTGCTTTCAATAGTTGAAATTTTTTTGGGGTGTGTGGAATCAATCCTTTCAAAGATGAGATTTTGACACCGTGTCGCTAGAAGTTATAATGTGCGTACCTCTGTCGTTCTTTTTACAAAACCAAAAGCCCCAATTATTGTTCATGTTGTTGCGTGTATTTCCTCTTTTATGTGATTCTTTACAGATCATATCCTGGTCAAACTCTTGAAGGAGCAGCCGTTTGTGAATGCCACAAGAACCCTGCTAGACCTCGGTCCTAACGTCACCGAAGCAGTCATTCGATCACTCCTCAATGCCACCAAGTTACAGGTAGGAATATCTACAGTGATATTTGTTTCCATATTTTACTAACCTAAGGTAATGAAATATTCATAAATACCTGAGACAGTAAACCCATTCCTATCAGGGGCAGCGATGTTTAAGGCTGGTGTTTAAAACTGCGTTCCGCCCCAATTGTGCGCAGTATGCGCCACATGCACCAGCTACCGCCAGCTACCGCCAGCTACCGCCGGCTACCACCGGCTACCGCCAGCCTCCGCCAGCTACCGCCAGCTTCCGCCAGCTACCGCCAGCTGCTTCAGAACCACTTATATATTCGGCTTGGGCCACTATCGGCAGCCATGGCCCCTAGCCGGTTTTATCCAGACATTTAAAACTACTCTCCCACACTATTATTTCTTTAGTAAATGTGTATAATTTTGTTTATACGTACACAATGTTAATGAAGAATGCCCCCTAAATTAGTTAGGAGCATGGACAGTGGTTTATAACCATTTACTGCATAAATATTTTGGATGTGATGATTGGACTAGATGTGAATATTTTTGTTTATGCTGCACATTGTCAATGGAGAGTGCCGTCTGTCAGTTCAGTTGCTTAGACAATGGCATAGGACCAGTCACCACACATTTTTATTGATGAAGACTTTGTTTTTATCTTAGATGCTCGTGCTTGATTTATGAATTGCGATGACCATTATTGTGATTTTCAATGAAGAGTATATATTCTGTATAATCCCCTCCACGGTGAAAAATGGAGAGCTCCCTCTATTGATCAGGCGCATGGACATGGGTTCGGAATAGTCCCAGCACTTTGTAACGATAATGATTTTGTTTATTGTAGATGCTTCTGGACGTGAATCTGGAGGACCATTCGACGCTTCTGTGCAGTGAGGGCTTTGTGGATCTTCAGCCGTCCGATGCTTGGGTCAGACCAAAACTTTGTAGCCTGGACCCGTGGACCTTACTGCAAGAACAGTCTTCGTTCTGGAACGTGCCTGAAATTCAAGCAGCGGTAAGTGCAGTGTTTATAAGTTTTCAGATTAAATTATCTGGACTTATGTGGAAGTCAAAACACTGAAAGTGTTTTTACAAAATAAACGTCAAAAGAAAAAAACCCAAAGACAATGCCCTGTTTGAAATTAAAGTGATGTATATACGTGGAAATGTTGGAGGCAACGAGCATAGTAAAAGTCAAGTATTGTTCCGGATGGTGCTTGTTCATTTTTCATATTTGGCACGTGGGAAAATAAGTTGCAATAATGATAGATATCCTTTTCTACAGCTTACAGTACAGAATGAAAGGAGATATGATGTTACAGAAAGTTGTAAAAAGATCTTTGAAATGAGGCCATGCATTTGTAATAATGAAATGAAATAACGTTTACTTATTCCTGCATTCTATTTGGAATGAGACGGCAACCACAAATATTTTTGGGAGTAATTTTGATGGTTCACTGCTGTTTTCATTTTCTTTGGTTACAAAAGTTTGAGAGATTGCAGGCATTCCTTTCACACCCCAACATGACGGCTATCCCGCCCGAGTACGTGCCGTACGCCAATATCTCGGCGTATTTCATCAAGAACCGGCAGTTCCAGTTGATACTCGATGACGCGATCTGGCGACCCTTTGACCCGGAGCTTCTTTGGACGGACCCCAGCATAACTGTGACGGGAAGCGGCGCGGAATGGCAAGCCATGTCGACCAGGATCCAGGCCCTGCTGAACCAGAAACAACTAGAGATGTTGCTGGAAACGGCGTAAGTAGTGCAGAAACAGTTGTTGGGAAAAGCCAGAATTTCAAGGGCCTATTGTTGCAATTCACAATATAATGCGACAGATTTATTATATCCCAGTTTGGATAACTCTGGGACTGATTCTCATGAGCAGGCGAGCTTTATACAGTGCCAAGGTGCAGGATGTTTTGTCGGAAAGCAGTGTGAGTCCAAAAAGTGAAACCTAAATGTCGGGACTATTGTTTTAGGGAAGTTCTGCACGTAGCACTTTGAAAATCTAGTATGTGAAGGCCAAATTCATAAGCTTTCTTTTAGTACAAGTATCATTCAAATCACTCATATACTTTTCAAGTTACGGAATTTTAACACAACCACCGTTTTAAAGTTCTGTCCACTGATCATCACAAAAAAGTGTGCATTCTTTCAGCGAAACGAAAACAATGTGATTTGTTTTCGTTTTGCTGAAAGAACGCTTTCATTTTTGCGATCCGTGGATAGAACTTTAAAAAGCTGATTGTGTTTCAAATTCCATAACTTGAAAAGTACATGACTGATTTGAATGATTCTTGTACTAAACGAAAGCCTATGAATTGGGCTTTCGTATCCTAAATTTTGAAAGTGCTACATGCAGAACTTCACTAAAACAATGGTCCCGACATTTGGGTTTTCGCATATTTTGACTCGCCCTGTATAACTGCTTTACCAAACCACAAGAGGACTATGAATAAAACACTGGGACAAAGTACTTATGCAGTTCAAGCAATTTATTGTGGTATGAAAGACAATCAAATAAATGAGTTGAAGAAAATGTTGCCCTAGACTTGCTTGTGCCGAATGCTCCACAAATAATTGCCAGCATTTTGGATATTTTGCTGTCGTGTATTTTGCTTTTCTTTGGTGATTCATTGTTGTTTCAGTACATAACAGTAAGCCAACGAGCAAAGTTTTCTCACAAATGTTTTCAATGTGCACATTTTGGGTTGACAACTTGAACAGAAAACTCCTAAAGTGAAGATTGTTGTCCTGAAATGACATCACAGCAACAGCGCCCTCATTTGTCAGGGAAAGCATAGACAATTTTCAATGTTTAAAACAAGTGCACTATTCAATCAAATTAAAGGGATGTCAAATAGTTTTCATACATTTGAGAGGAGTAGAAAGTTGCAAAAAATATGTTCCCAAGTAAAATTCATGTCATGGGCTTTTTAACCAGTTCGTGCTGGAGGACGTGTCGACACGCAAACATCTTTCGAAAGTGAGATGGGATGACTGAAAAACCGAGCGAGGCCGGAAAATATCTGTCAGCGAGCCACAGCCACCTGGCATTGCTGTTGAGTGAATATTAAACTTGTGCCTCGGTCGTTCTTGTCAAAACAAACCCGACCTCAGCTGTTCGAAGGGATATTAATAAATACCTTGGAGAGTTGATGGCTTCTGATTGGTCGAGACTGATAAAGACGAATTACTGGGTACATTCGTCTCGGTCCATTAGCATCGGTCACCCCCAAACCCGGTCATTATCACGCAGTGAAGACCGGATCCTCACACTGTTATTCCCTTATTAAAGTGTTTTGCAGAAGATTGTCTCCACACCAATTATGATACAGTTGTAGTTATTTATTGCTTCCCAGAGGGGATTCAAGACGATTATAAAACTTGGATTTACAACGCCATAGCAAGACACTGTGTTCATGTTTTGCCGCTGCAGTGCACATGAAACGATAACCATGGTTGTACCGAGCAGAAAAGTTTGGACCGCTTTTCAATGATTTTTCTTGAAGAAATTTGAACAAAAAATATTGTATTTTCTGTTGCAGGACTGGCAGCGGTACTTCTATGATGAACATGGAAGCACTCCAATATAACAACGCTGTCCTCCAATTGGCCAACACAGTCCTGAATGCAACCAATGAGCTCATCGGCATCGCAATAAGTAAACAAAACAAACAATTATGAATTTTTGAAATCTGCCAAATTTGTGGGGGACTTGGGCTCAATGTTTGTCCCTGGTGTGCTTCAGAAACATCAAACCTTATTAAAAACAGGCAAAAGTATGAGTCTAAGAGTATTATTTCCATTAAAGTTGGGACATAGTAGGCTTCTCAAGTATTTGAAAGCTACTACGGAAACCAGAGATGAATTCGAACCTAGCGACAAATCCAGGGTTTCAAATACACCTTAAATTGCATACACGATGGGAATGCAAATGCAAAAGGATTGATGTCACGAAATTTTACCAGCAAAATTCTCAAAGAGTTGCAATAAACTCAACTTTTGCAATTGTGTTGTGTTAATTTTTTCAAAAGAAATTAATATTCAATTATTCTAATTCTGACGTAATTGAATATTTGAATATTCAAAATGGGCTCGCCTATTGACAAACAATAAAACCACACAACTTACATGATTAAGAAAACTAACATGAACATTTCTCATCATCTCCTAGAGACAGCTCACATGTTTTGAATATTTGAGTTGTAAAACATGCTTTTCGGATATTTGGCGGATGACTGTAAAAAATATGAATTCAAATCAATTCGCACGAAAATTCGCACTTGCAATGATATCACAACTTTTATTCATATTTGCTTTTACACGGAGTGTAATCAGCCTAAACTATTAACCACTTACATTCTATTGTTCGATAAAATGGCTGCGTCACCAAGTTTCTATTTGTTCCTATCTACAGCGTTCGGACATAGACAAGCTTCCAGTATCATATTGCCAGAGCTACAACGCTTTTTGCTTGGCGTTATGGGATTGATTGACGATGGCCCAGAACTACTCGGAGCTCTTTCCGCAACCTGGAACGACCCTTCTAAGGTTTGTGTTGGAATTCTTATGATCCTTTTGACCCCCAAAAAGAAAATATTTTGTGATATTTTGGCAGTAGCCTGCACACACATGCAAAGTATGAAATAGTTTCCCTGTGTTTTTATTTACATCGTTCTTTCTGATAATGAAACCAAGGATTCCCAAAAAGTGCATGGCACTTTACCTTGGAATCCTGAAGAAATGTTTTCGGAACACTTTCGTTATTTGTTGAAACAACAAGTGCGAGTGCACAATAAGCTCTGGCCCGGTTCTGGAATGTCTCACTTCATAATGCAAAATAGACGCGCATGCGCATCGATCGAGACAAAGGGGCGTGTTCCAAAAACTTTCACCAAGAGTGCATTTACTGACGACGGCATTGCATTTGGTAAACTTTTGGACAATTGGTAGTGATATTTTATGGGAAACTTAGGGGGCTCGTTTTTGGTCAATTTTCAGGGGACAGACCTACCGACCAACCACAAAGTGACACGTAGAATCTCCTGCTAGAGCTTAAAAGTCATAAAAAACAGACGGTTTAAGGACCTCTTTGCCCCACAAGACAGGAATTTGGGGTATCCAATTTTGTAGCAAATTTGTTTGCCAACTTTTTTAGCTAATTCAAATTCTTGTATTCTTCTCCGACAGTATTCCGATTTGATTGGGTCGCCCGACGTGAAAGCATTGTTCTGTGACAGCACCCTCCGGCAGACTTGGCTAAACAGCAACGGTCAGTTCGTCAACACCACTGCCTTGGACGAGTATCTGTGCAAGGTGAACTTTGACCTGCTTGCAGAAGAGCTGAAATACGCAGTCTACTACGACGAAATTGTCGCACAGGTGAGTAATATGCTGATATTGCCTTGGGCAACTTGAACATTTTCAGATTTGATTCCAATGCAATCTATGGGTTATGAATCTGTTCCAATACGACACTAACATTTTCCCTGAAATAACAGGATCCCACATTGAAGTCACCAATTTAAGTTCATTATTAAGAGGTGTTTTATTTACCTCAAAATTTGTTAGCACCCAAATTTTTTTCAGTTACAATGTTCACGGATGAAACAGATCCCCTTTGACTGTGAGTCTGTTTTTGTTTTTTGCAAAAATTGCTTCGTCTTCGTCCGTCTTCCTTGCTCAAAATGGACTCATGAGGGGAGCTAGAATTAGCCTCTAGAGAGAAGAGATTCTTAAAAAAAAATTTACTCTTCCCAGATTGGATTTTGCTTCTGTTCGATTGCAGTGAAAAGTTGTTTCTTCCATTAGCACGTTGAGTTCATTGTATTACATTGAAAAATCAATAAAACCATAGAGTGCTCAGTTGGTTTTTGGGCGCTACAGTGAGTAATAGGCAGGGAGGTTTCGGGCGCTACAGTGGCTAAAGGGGTAAGCCTACACGGGGGCAAGTTTTTCCTGTGACTAGTTGAATACATGATGCCTTAACTCTAACCGCCCTGAATCCTTCAAAATCCTCTTTGCCAAAGTGGACGAATTTGGAGGATTGAGGTTACATGGCAAAAGTGCGTTACTGATTTCGTAGGATGCACTTTGTCAAGGTCTTGGGCCAGACCTTGTGTTGTTTTTGCTCAGCCATGCATAAATATATAGGCCTGGATTATGCTTGAAATCCTCCGTACTGCTCCAGGATGTCACTGGCCAAGCCTCAACATATTGACAGTCACTGCCGCAGGATTTTGCAGGATTCAGGCAGTGGTCACCCCTCCACGGACCATATTCAAGAAATAATGGAGGAATTTGCAGGATTGAGGCTATATGCTATTTTTCCATGAGGCCAATTGGAGGATTTTGCAGGATGGAGGCTGCATCCTAGCAAAAATGCCTAGGAAGTTAGGGTTGATAACAAATTTCCCAAGTCCACCATTTTGGCAAACACGATTTAGGCCCTACACAGTATTGCTGGCACTGTATCCTTTCTTGTGGTTTGTTATCTCTTCAATTTTTGTTTAATTTTTAAAGCTTTTTTTAAAGGGAGATTACCGAACACTTGGCCAAGGGCCACTGAAGTTGGCTACAGAGAAAGAAAGCAATCTACAATAAACAAAAAGTGAACCGCGACGTTACAAAAGAAATCATGCTGTCTATAAAAACGACAACTTGTCATTTGTAGATCACCAGCCGGTCTCACCAATATGGCGTCAAATTCGTACATTGTGCGGCTCTGTATTAGCTATCCAGTCTTTATATAGAGATCAGTGGTTCCAATCCAGCTGCTGGTCATATGTTGTGTCCTTGGGCAAGCCACTTTACCCCACTTGCCTCTCTCCACCCAAGAATCTAAATGGGTACTGGCTGGGAAGTAACCTGCGATGGACTAGCATCCCATCCAGGGGGGATGGATATATCCTCGGTCGTTTCATGCCAAGGAAACCGGAGATAAACGCTGGCCTGATGGGCCACATTGGCTTGTGACAGACTTATTTACATTCCATGATAAAAAGGACAGAGGCAGATAAGTGCAATTCAAACCGATTTGACAATCGTCTCTTTCTTGACTTTTCAGTTCAATGCAATTCAAACTGGAGACTTCAACACAACAAACTTGGGCTCAGTCAGCATTGCGGATCTCGTGCACAACGTTGAAATCCTGCAACACAACCTACAAATAGTCCTTCCCTGGACCATAGATGCCTTCGATGAGCGCTACAACCTGACCGCTTTGGCTACCATGGCTGAGGCACTGTTCAACACAGTGCTGATGGGTTTCAGCAATGTTGACGTCATCAACCAACAGAAGTAAGTCCTCAACTACTGACGTAATTTGTATAAGCGCTATATACTCATCGGTGTCCAAAAGCTTGCAAAAAAAGGTCTTGCTCAGGTGTGATGACAATTAATATGATGAAAGGTACCGGTAGAGTATATCATTTGTTATTTGTGCATTTTTTTGTTTGAAGCAACACAAGTCTAAAGAAGGGTGCTTAACAACTAAACTGATGAAGTTTTAGCTCAGTGAATATTCAGTGAAAAGGCCCATGACAATCTGATGCACTGATATCACTAAATGTGTAAATCCCATTGGAATGGGTGAAAAACCCATAGCTGTTTATCTCTAGTTTGCATGAACGGATTTCCATGGCATTTTCACTGATTATACACAAGAGTATAAATTAATATGTTCCATCAAGATGAAATACTCTCGTTAAGTAGTTTTTGGGAAGATAAATGATATCTGTTTGCACAACTTTTTTTGGAACGCCCTGTATTTACCAAACAATAGTTTTGCTTCTTGGCTTTATGAAATTTGCCAACATAATTTGCAAAAGCGAGCTATTAAAAAATCAAGCTTATCAGAATGTATTTAAGGAAACATAAAGAAATAAAAGTTTTTCTAACTTCTCTTTCAGTGAGGTGGATCTAGGGAAAATACTTCAATTCGTGCCAGGGCTGAAGATGGTCTTAGACACACTGGATGCTGGCGGAGTGGCAGATCTGAAACAAGTCCATGCCTACATTGCCTTCATGAACCAATTCCTTGACAAGGCAAAAGGTAATTTTTGAGAACCATACATGTCGGGGCAGTTCCAGGCTAGATTGATGACGGGGCTGTTCTTGCATGGAGGGTGGGGATTACTCCCTGCTGCTCAACACCCTTTTAACAGTTTACTTATGAGCAACGTTGTAGTCGAGTACTTTTCCACGAGTACGAGTACGAGAAAAATTATTAATAGAAAAAGTTGAAGAGCACGGGAACGCAACCTTGAACACTCGTAATGTGTGTTCACCGTCTATCGTGGACGTCCTATTGTCCCTCTTTTGTTTGTACTTTAACTTTTTAGGAAGACTCCCATTGGTTTTGTACACGACCCCAATCACAGATGTATGCTGGGAATCGTGGACGATATTGTTCTCTTTTGTTCTCTGGTATTTTTCGTCCACGGTTTGAAAAGATGAACACGTACTTCTTTGTGGTGTTGAAATGATGGTTCACACAATCTACATTAGAGGCTCTCAATAAATAAAAAAGGACTAATATCATTTTTAATTGGTGTTGACGTGCCAAGACTTAATAAATTGTTTTTCTTTTTTTCTTTCTTGCTCGCTTGTTTTTTATTCCCCTGGCTTTTAAGCCAGAAAAGGGGGATATTGGGATAGTGTATGCCTGTGTGTCCATCCGTGTGTCCATCCGTGTGTCGGGACGTTCTGACCATACCACCCTTGTGGGGTGATGTTCCTTTCAAAACACATCACCCCACTTTTTTCACAATAGAAAAACATCACCCCAGAAGGGAATCTTTAGAAAAAGGGATAATGGGAACACAATGCTATCACCCCACAATTCCGTCTGGCTGGAACGGACGGACACACGTCCGGACACACGTCCGTTCTGACCATACCACCCTTGTGGGGTGATGTTCCTTTCAGGACACATCACCCCACTATTTTCACAAAAGAAAAACATCACCCCAGAAGAGAATCTTTAGAAAAAGGGATAATGGGAACACAATGCTATCACCCCACAATTCCGTCTGGCTGGGACGGACGGACACACGTCCGGACACACGTCCGTTCTGACCATACCACCCTTGTGGGGTGATGTTCCTTTCAGGACACATCACCCCACTATTTTCACAAAAGAAAAACATCACCCCAGAAGAGAATCTTTAGAAAAAGGGATAATGGGAACACAATGCTATCACCCCACAATTCCGTCTGGCTGGGACGGACGGACACACGTCCGGACACACGTCCGTTCTGACCATACCCCCCTTGTGGGGTGATGTTCCTTTCAGGACACATCACCCCACTATTTTCACAAAAGAAAAACATCACCCCAGAAGAGAATCTTTAGAAAAAGGGATAATGGGAACACAATGCTATCACCCCACAATTCCGTCTGGCTAGACCGGACGTCTGTCTGTGGGGACGTCCGAGTGTTCCATTTTGGTTAGGTTAACTGTTTAGTGCTGTCATATGAAAAGTCAGACTTCACTCTCAACCAAACTTGGTGACAATAATCTTTGGGTAGAGGGACTTCAGATGACTGGAGAGATTTGAGATCAAAGGTCATCTAGGGCTCGAATGAGGTCATTGTTGAAAAGTGTGCTTACTAACTTACTGTATAAAAACTGCCACCGTGCCAGGGGGATCGAGCAAGTTTAACTTGCCATATTTGTTTTACTTCTGCAGAGACAACTTGCCGTGATGGTTGGCAGAGACATGACCAATCCTGTTACAAATACATGAATGAGTGGCTCAGTTACCACAACGCATCCCACAAATGCTTCCAACAAACACAGAGTGATCTACTGATCGTGGGCAGCGCAGCCGAGCAGACGTTCCTGGAGAATTATGGGTATGAAGTTCGTTACGCCAAGTGCTCTGCCTAATGCATTTGTAGCACTGCCTTGACCTGTTGGGGCTTTTTGAAACCTGGGCTCCATCCCGGCTTTGTCTCCAGGAAACTATTTGCCAAGAGCAACCTTGTCCCCAGGGGTTACTTTATTTTCAACCTTGTTTCCATTGACCCCCTGGTTGGGAAAATTGCTTCCTATATCCCGATTCGATACCGTAATAGCAATATCATACTTGGTGGATTTTTTTTTCTGACGTCTATGACATGTTTCAACATACATGTACATTGTAAATTACAACGCGCATTCCTCCTCAAAAAGCATCCTCCCCTTTCCGGTTTGTGTATAAATAATATTTTATTGTAAAAGTGCTTTTTGGATTGGTAAACATTTTAACATTTTTACTTTGAAAACAAAATGCGTTTTCGGATCTCACGCCGCGGTAAATTTATCCCATCTGTACCCCGGACATTACGTATAAAACCACACTGAATAAGCATGGGCAGGAACCAGACCAGACTATTCCATACGTTATGCATGCGCAAGATTATTGAACATGCAAATGCTTCATTACCAGGGTTAGAGAGTAGAAAGTGGGAGCGCACCAGTTTGATACCATTGCTAAAATTGTGTTTATTTTTTTGTATTTGATTGTTGTGTAAGTACATGACAGTAAGCCAATGAGCACAATTTTCTCTAAAACATTTTCAATGAGCAAACTTTGGGTTCACAATTAGAGCAGAAACCCCTCTTCTGATCAGTGTCATCCTGAAATGACATCACAGCAACAGCGCCCTTTGAAAAGCATGGAAAGTTTTTAATGTTTACAGAAGTGCACATTTCAATAAGATTAATCAAAAAAAGGGATGTTGAATGGTTGTCATACAAATAAACAGGAGATAAAGTTGCACAAAATGTGTTTCTAAGAATTTATCGCATGGATTCTTTAAGACTCTTATTACGGGATCTGGCCACGCTTTTTTGTTTAATATCCTTTCAAATCATAAACCTTCCAAGAACTCTCGAGTACGGCAGTCATTTGTTATTGTTTTCTCTCTGGCAGACCAAACGCAGATGTTTGGATGGATACGTACCCTCCCTTCACCTATCAGAACTTTGCCTTTCCAAACTTCACTGAATATACGGGTTGCAAGAAGGCCAACTTTGGTGGTGACGGTCTATGGTACCCCGCACCTTGCACTGACATGCACACCTACATCTGTGAAGCCGTACCAGGTACATGTTTTGAAGTAATAACTCAATTTCAATTTGAATATAATAGAAACATTGGCACAGCCTCATTGGGGTCTCGTAGCCGAGCGGTTTGAGCGTGGAGCTACGGAGTGGAAGGTTGGCGGTTCGAATCCCATTTGGACCAAAAACTGGAAAAACTCTCTCTGACGACCCAACAGAAAAATGGGTACCTGATTTGTTCAGAGAAGTAAGACACCGCCACTCATATGCCGCGCCCAAGACACAGTGGACCTCTAACATCCCACTGCCCCTACGGCCAGTAATGGCTATGGGACCAATACCTTTAAATAATTACCCATTGGCACAGCAACTGGTTCACACTCATGCAAACGATATCAGCCACTGATTACCAGATGGTGATTTTCTTTCTTGATTTGGTCATGTTTTGTGCTTTTTGAAAGCTGTTAAAACGAGGCGTGACTTTCATTTGTAGGCTTACAGTTGCATGTAATTATTATACCCTATCCATTTATATTGTGCAATTTCCAAATGCATATGATCAAATACCATGACAATCATTATCCCTGTTCATCAGGAATGAGACCACTTTTTCTGCAGCAGCCTGAGATCAGCGCAACCTGGTCTCTACCTTCACAGGTACCCATTTATACTCCTGGGTGGAGAGAGGCAATCATAGTATTAAAGTGCCTTGCTCAAGAGCACAAGCACCATGTTCCCACGGTCAGGATTCGAACCCATGTACCACGGCACACGAGTCGAACACCGTAACCATTGGACCACAGCTCCTCACAACAAACCACATAGTTTAGCTTTAAGTATATCTAACAGCAAAACCCTCTTCTTCTGTGTACAGCAGCTGATTTCACAAAACTTTGTGCAATGGCATAAGTCCACTTGCGCCACAATTTCTTGCAGAAGTTGCAAAACATTTCGCATTGCACAACATTTCAGTTACGACAATTTCATAAAATTTCATAGTGCGCTTGTGCACTAATCATTTTAGGTGGCGTAAGTTAAGGCGTAGTGACTGAAAATGACCTATTTTTACCAGCAACTCATGATCGTTGTGGAGCCTGTTATTGCACAATTCAAGCTTGATACAAGACACTCACAGCTTTGTGTTTGAAGTAAAAGAATTGCTATTGTACTCGTGACACAGTTTTTAGAGTTGCGGCACGATTCCGATAAAAGTCAACAAAATATTTTCCAAATGGTGGCGGAAATTGATTCAACAACTATTTTATGAACGAACAAAATCATGCATGCACAAACAGCCGTTGTAAATGGATCAACAAATTGCAGCCTTGTGGCATTTACGACAAAGATGCTATATATCTGTCTGTTTCCAAACAATATCATGTCTTTAAATTTTTTGCATTTTTCTCCTCATATTCAGAGCTGAATCTAACGCTGGGACTGCTGCGTCCTTTGACCAACGACTCATCCATCAATCGTATCATCGACGCTCTAGAACAGACTCTAAGTGCAGAGACAGTCAACGCAATACTAGCTTCACCCATCGATCCATTCCAGGTAAGCCAATCACAGTGTTGCTCTCTATCTAATACATATTCATGAGGCAGTTCAGCACCGTGATTGGTCAAGTCATCATAATGTTGGAAAACATATTTAATTGCAATACTCTTGTAGTTTTTCCGCAGTTTCACAAGCAAAACTACATTTTGGACGAATATTAAAAAAAACTGTAGTATTGAAACTTGTAAAACATGTAAATAAATAATTCTTATGGGTGCTTTGGGCATTTACAACTCATTTCGTCACCAAGCATTCTGGGGGGGGGGGCTTTTCAACTGTATAGTTGATATACTTTGTATGTTGTACTGCAGTCAATCATCTGCAATGGTGCATGTGTACAACATGTGCACAAATGCAGTGGGCACACCAAGCTTGCTCTAGGCTCCCAGATACTTGGCATCCCCACAGGATGCAACTTCACACTTCATCGATTTCGCATTTGGTACTTATGTGTTTACTTTCTTAGAGTTAAGGCACTCTCCTGAAGACAGTCAGGGCATACTGACCGGAACGTTGGGTTTATACCTCTGGTTCTTTTCAGAACCATTCTCTTAGTTTGAGAGATTATTCCCACGTGGTGTTTCTGCAAACCTTTCATTCATCAAATGCATTCGGAAGCCTAACAGATAAAAAAAAGCCCTTTAATGTACTAAAGATTCAAAATTCATATTGCACGCTTCAAAGGAAAGTTGGGGGAAAATGCTTTTTTCTTGACTTTTCCCCATTATTTACTGTGGATGAGGCAGGATTTATGCCTCAAACAAACAGCAGCCCTTCTGCATTTATAAATTGCTTTAACCAGTTTGTGCCGGAGGCAGTGTATACACGCAAAAGTTTTGCAGTATTCGGAACGGATGACGGATAAACACGCAGGGAGTGAGGCCGGAAATATCTGTCAGCGACCTGCTCACAGTGAGCGAGGCCGGAAATATGAGTGTGCTGCCTGAGGGTGATGGCTTCAACCCGCCTGGCTTGAGGTTGAGTAAAAAATAATCCTGCGTCTCGTTACTTTCTTGTCAAAATAATGCCGGCGCCAATTGGTTCATATCAAGGTTGCCTGCACTGCAGTTTACATTTATTTGGCTCATTATAAATAGTCCTATTCCTATATTTGTATGATTGACTCTGTCTTACAGTTGAGTAGCGTGGTTGCTGGAGCTGACTGGCGGAAGGCGGTTTGCGACATTGACTCCTTGAGGGCGCTGTTCATGTCTCCTGATTCCTTCAATGTGACGCAGCTCAGCGAGGTTCTGTGCGGCGATGCCTTTATGGAGACACTGGTTGCTTTGACAAACAACACGCACGTGCTGGAGCAACTGCTCAATGATGTAGGTTTACATCTCTGTTATCTGTAGAACAACATGACTTTCCTTTATGCTCGTTCCCACAGCCCTTGGGCTCTGTGCACGAACTAATGTTGTGCAAACCCGACCCAAAACCGACTCGATCCGAAACCGACTTCGGGTCGAGTCGAGTCGGTTTGTCCATCATTTCAGTCAAGTCGGGTCGATTTGTTTTGCATTTGCGATTTCTGGTTTCGGGGCGGGTCGGTTAAGCCATTTTGGAAATACCTGAAATAAACTGAAATAAACCACACACAAAAAAACGAAACAGTTCGGAAATTCATTCGGTGCAATATTTATTGCGGAGTCACTGTGCCCGATACGACCAAATGTGGTTTGCGGTGTATCGTGCACAGTCTGTAACATGTAGGCCCACCAGTAGGTCATGTTGTGAGTGCTGTACAGTATGATTCAGTCACTGAGATGATATTTACGCTATGCAGCTAAGTTCAGGCCCAAATAGTGGACATACTTGCCCAAGCCAGATATTCAGGGTTTTTTGGGGGTCAGGTTGGTTTTGAGTCGGTTTGGCCTTTGGCCTGCGCCTGGTCAACCTGACCCGATGCAGAACATTAGTGAAAACAAGAGGGATCACCCAAGAGAGATCACACTTTCGAGAGCCTAGTGGACGGGATGGACTTGTGATTGACTTGACGACCTACCGCCTACTTGAATTATTTTTAATTTCATCTCTAAAATTGCAGATTGCTTCCTTGCAAGCCAGTGAATTCAACTCCTCAGCCTTCATCCGTGACGCCCAGACCTTTCTGCGGCACATGGCATCACTGAGCAAGTACAAGGTCAACTCTTACCTCCCCCTCATGTCCAATCCCTTCGCAGAATACACAGGGTTCAACCAGTCGGCATGGCAACAGGCCTGGTCCGTGGAAACACTTCTGTCCTCCCTTGAGTAAGTCTGAATTTTTAAGACCGACTCCAACGATGAGAAAATGAAATAGTATAATGTACATTATTTTAGACACCTGTAAGAAAGTTAAAACAAATTAAGCAATTCAATTTCTTTAATTTTTGACAGCTATGTTTTAAAATAATAACTCTTATTTCCGAGGGAAAAAGAACTTGCACATTGACAATTTATATTTTTATGACGTGAGAAACACTTTTCTTTGAGTTAAACCTACATAACCCGGATATTCCTTTGAAGCACTTCAATACTTGATTATATTCGGGGGCGCATGTAGTTAAATTTTTATATTTTCAGTGCCTGCCAGGTCTGTAGACATAATGAGCATGCGTCAGCCTTCGTGAATGGCTAACCGTTTATATGTTTAAACGGTTCTTAAAATATTTGCTAAACGTTTAAAAACTAAACGTAAAGTCACATCCTTACTACATTTATATCGCTGATTCAACGAAAATTCATATTACGTAAACATGCTTGTTTTTGTTTTTATGTGCCTGCTGCAACAGCTTGGGGTCCTAAATTCTGTATTTTTTTTAAAAACCGTGTGAACTGTATCAATTTTGTCAGTGAATTTTACTTTTCACATGACTATAAGGTATATGAAAATTATATCTTCTACTATTATTGGACTTGCTGTATGAGACGGTCTGTTTGTGTTTATTACAATGATGCCCTAAAAATTTCAAAAATGGATGTGAATTTTATAGCATTATAATACTTGTGAGATCTCAATGAGCATTTGCTCAAAAATGGCCCAGATTAAGTAAGTAAAGAAGATAAAGTAATTTGTTCACCAAGAATTTGATTTGTTGCTTTTACCCTTTAGTCACTGAAGCGCTCTAAATTGCCCTGGCTATTACTCTCTATACCGCCCAATACGGCCCAAGCACTCTTTGGTTTTATTGAATCTTCAGTGAATAAACACAATGTAATACAATATTGTACAGCTGCCAATAGCTGAAATCAAGAACTAAGACATTTTTGACAAATCTGATTGGTCAGTTTATGTATTTGATCATTGCGAATTGACCAATCGCCATTCAGGAGAGTAGTGAAGTATATTTTTGTGTACTTTGACAGTAACATTGACATGGGCCTCATCAATCAAAGCTGGTACAGGGACGTGACAAAGGAAATCCGATCCGTGGCCTACTTCACCGAATATTTCGCAGACAGAATTTTGGTTCTGCAAGGTAAAATAATGTTATAACATAGATGACTCCATGCATCAATACACTGATTAATTAAGCCCCACCCACTGCACACACATCGGCAACAACACGTGCGCCTTGCGACTGCCACACTACATGTTCCAACCACACATCGAGGACTGAAAGGATCTTTTGTTCTCCCTTTGTGTGTGTCAGAGTGTCCTCTATCTTAAAGCCACACATGTACAATATTGCCTGAGTTTGTTTTTGAATTGAATATTGTGCCAGCATATTTTCTTTGGCTTTGTTTATTTGTGTTTTCTTTAGAAATTCAGTTTTAAAAATTTGAATTTCCTTGAATTCAATTAGATCATTATTTGAAAAATCTAACACCAGCTATATTTGTATTTTCTAAAACAAAGGGATGCTAAGATCATCATTAAAAACTCAAAATTCCTTATTTTGTTGAGAAAAATTATGAGATTTCTAAGGGCAATTGATTGTTTTCTCCCTTGTCAGGCAAACATTTGGTGTTTCCTGAAATCCGTAACTTGCTGGCCAATATTAGCGAGATTGAGAGAGCTTTTGAAGTCGTGACTGGCTTCAGTCCTGAGCTGATTGATGCGTTAATGAGCCTCGTCGTGAAACAAGACAAGGTGAGTGTCTGCTTTTGTTGATCACTGGGGTTAAGTTTAGGTCTTAGCAACATCACAAAACTCAGTATCCTCTTTTTTGAATGTGACTCACTTCAAATGGAAATATGGTATTCCCAGCATACGCAAAGCAGAAGCATGGGCAAACAAAGTTTGACTAGTTTTCAATTGGAGATAAAAACGGCATATAATAGCACACTGGTCTATTGGGGTAACTGTCAGTTTATAGTCAGTTACGTGATGATGAATGTTCGACACTGATAGTCGCTGGACACTGACGTTTTTCTAGACACACGACCAACGTACGACTGACTATAAACCCGCCTTCATTAATACCTAAGACAGTTTACCCATTTCTATTGGTTGAGAGCCTGCCACATGGACGGTTTTAAACAGTTGATAAAACACCAGCTGGCCGGCTGGTCTTAAACACTTTTCCGTTTTCACACGAAAATGGACTCTTTTGAAGTTCGGTCAATTTTACCCATTTATTGGCTGAACGTTCACAAACTTCACTTAGACATGCGCCATACTACCCATGAGGCCGCAATAAAAAGATATCGGTGCTTATTTGTTAGAATTGACTTACCTCAGACATTCCTCTGACACTGTTGGTACATTGTATGATATTGCAGTGATTGTGCTGACATTTTTAAATAATCATGAATTAAGTCGTACATGTAATTGTAAAATTGTCAAAGGCAGTTTAGAAAAACATGCATGAAGTCTGTTGGTTGTGGGGAAAGTAAAATATTAATTCTGTTTCCAATTTATTTTCTGTAATAGCTGCAAGAGTTCCTTAGCTTTCCAAACCCCTTGGCTGTTCTGTGTACTGCTGGGAATTTCAGCTCCTACTTCGTGCTGCCAGCCAATTCCAACACGGATCTCGCCGCTCTAGAGAATGCTGTTTGCTCAGTGGACTTGCTGAAAGTCCAGATGGAGTTTCTTCAGGTCGTTCCCATTGATACTTTCATGAATCAGGTAGGAATGAAAAGTTGGAGTCAGACATTTTCTGTTCGAAGGTCTTGATAAAACATCTGTCATTGCTATTTTTATATTTGCATGCATTGGTAACTCTAATAGTTCCATAGATGTCGCATCTACCCATAGTATTATAGTTCCATCAGATGTCACATGTGCATTGTAAGTGCTTATGTTAACTCCGTCATGGTTAGCATGAGTAGATCCTTTGTGTTCTCATTGTTATATAGGCTCTTTATGCTATTATTTTATTTCCAATAACAACACCACTCCATATCCAAAGAAGCATGTTCAAACCTTACCTGTTGAAGCTCAATGGATATTACACTTTTCGAGGGAAAACAATGAAAAACCATGCGCAACCTTTATATCACGCAATCTGTATATCTCTTTATTTCTAAAAATCAGTCAATACGGGCGATTCACAATAGTGCGCCTCCAAGAGTTTGCAACGCGTTGGCCAATCACAATGTGCGAAATCGTCGACCTTTTCCAAACGCGCATTGGGTCGACCGATTTTGCGCATTGTAATTGGCCAACGCGTTGCAAACTCTTGGAGGCGCACTATTGTGAAACGACCGTATTAAATGATCGTTGGAAATAAACTACATTTCTTGATTTCTTCTAAATGACAGCAAGCCAGACGGAATAGTTTCACGGGGTGTTTAGTACCAGTATGATCTTTAATCCAAGTACATTGTAAGTTTTTGATAATACTTTAGTAGGTTATTTTTGGGATAAAAGTTAGGGATAAAAGCAAATGATCTCATATGCCTTAAATTTAATAACAAAGTCTACATTAAGAAATTAGCACTGTCCCGCACCCCCTTTCCCCCTTCCACTTACACTTCTACACCACCTATGGTGAGTTTCAGTATGTGTAGGACACAATTCATGAGCACCTTGGGTTGTATTCATATAGCAGAAAGTACCCATTGCAAACGCCCCCCCCCCTTCTCTCCTGCAACCCCTCCCTCTCCCTTCCACCTCCACTACATGAGTGCCAGCATTTAAGCGTAGGTTTCTCTTTCAATATCTTCCTTTGCCACTGGTGAGAAAAAACTTAAGAACAAACCTTTAACCTAATTTGATCAACAGTTTATGGCCTACGTCGACACGAGCCCCTCAGACAACCTGTCAGCGATCGCCCAGCGATTCATCGTCCTGTATGAGAAGACCCAGGCGTTCATTGCAGACCCATTCACTGTGAACATCAACGAGACTTGGCTCAACGACACGTTCCATGAGGTGGTGCAGGTCCTGCAGGTCTGGGGGATGAACCAAGCCCAGATGAATCCAAATGACATCAACAGGTGGGTTCTTCAGCAAGGCTAACCTTCAACAAAAAAAACATCTGTAGACTATCTGAAGGATTCTGCAATATTCGGCAGAATTCTGCAGATTTCTGCAGGAAGTCCATAACATGCAGCTCAGAATTTTCACAATCGTATTTCAGTCATGTCTGTGGCCAGTTCTCATTCTGCATAATGATAATAGTGGGTTAGGGCACATATCCACCAGGACTGGTGTTCAAAGCGCTACATCATTGTCAGGATAGGTCCACCAGCTATTAAAGTCAAGACAAAGATTTTTTTTTTCAATTATGAATATATTGTAATGAGATTATCTCAATCGTCCAATTAATAATCAAAAATTATTTTGTATGCACCTAATCAGTTTCCCCATGTTGTTAATAGACATTTTTTTATGAAGTTAACATGATAAGTAGCGAGGACAGGAATAGGAGCAAAGCATGTACCCAATAATCCCCTTGATCCCTTTAATCCCCATTAATCCTCTTAATCCCATTAATCCTATTAATTTTCTTTGTCCCATTAATCCTCTTAATCCCATTAATCCTCATAATCCTTTTAATCCCATTAATCCTCTTAGACCCATTAATCCTCTTAACCCAATAATCCTCTTAATCCCATTAATCCTCTTAATCCCATTAATCCCCTTAATCCCACTAATCCCTTTATTCCCTCAATCCTGCAGTGTGGTACCTGCGCTCCAACAGCTTGATGCACAGTTTATGAATGAGTCATGGTGGAATGACATCAAAGGTCCACTCAAGGAACTAACGTCGATTCTGGACTATGCCAACATGAAACTCGCACCTCTCCCAGGTAAGAATGGGGCCCAATTTTGTGTCTCTGCTAGTCTTGATCCAAGATTGGATTAAGGATGTATGCCTTCTTTTCAGAATTGTTGATCCTTTTTTTTTTATACCAAACTCCTAATTCACAGGGTACCAGTCCCTACCATGAGTGAAGTCTTTTAGTTGATTCCCTCACAGGTCCAGTCACAAGTATTTACAAGTCCATTCACAATTCCAGGCACAATGCACAGTGGATGAATAATAACAAAGGGATGCCTTTGTCCCAGTTTATTGTGTCGCCGAAACGCAGTTTTGGGGGACACTTACCAGTCCTTAATTCTGTATGACCATATCTCCGGGTCTTCGTGTCTCCATGTGACCGTATGTTAAAGTTTTGGTTAAGTTTTTGAAAAAAAACTTCCAAAGGCTTTCATGGATTTTCATGAAACTTGGATGGAATGACCCTTGGGTGGGAAGACACAATTCTTCATCGGATTACTGAGGTCATGTAGGGTCATTAGAGGTCATTGTTCAAATATGCTACAAATTTTTCTTTGTCTATAGAATTTGATGGATTTTAATGTCACTTGGATGGAGTGATCCTTGGGTGGGGGTTTATGACAAGTCTTCCGAAATTGGAGGTCAAAGGTCATCAATTGAGGTCATTGACTATAAATGATTAAAATTTGCCTTTTTGTAAGAACACAAAACAAATAGGGATTGACCATATGTGACTTTACTGTGGACAAAAGGGCTTTCGATTGACTCATGATGGATTTTGAGAAGCTGTGATATGGACTCAATTACAAAACTGCCTCGAGTGCTCACATTGTAATGGACAAAAGAGCATTTTAAAGACAAGATAAAATCAATTTCTTTTTTTGGTAATTTAAAATGTTATGCAATTTGTTTCTCCCACAGGAGGAAATTTCACTTTCTTTGACATCCTGCCTGCCACTACGGCAGACTTGCTTCAGAGGCTGATGGAAGATTTCCCAGAAATTGTCGGCGCTCTGTCGCAATCCTATGTCAATGTGACTAAGGTGAGTTCAGTGGAATATTTTTAATAAATTTTTTGATTTTGGAAAATTTAAAATGGCCTCCTCAGTGATGGCTGCATACCTGTGTCATGACTTTCTGACATATAGATTTTCTGACAGAAGATTTCATTTGTTCTTACACCTAAGAAACAGGACATTTTGTATTTAATTGCATCCTTGCTCATTCCCTCACGTAGACTACTTTTAAATACATCTTGGGGTTATGAGTGTGTGTGATTGTAGACCATTTTTGACCCTCCAGCACAAATCAGTCGAAAGTAGCGCCAACCACTAGCCTGCGACGTGTTTTAAGCTGTTGTCAAGGAACTTAAGACGCGTTCAACTTATCGCAAGTGTCATAAAATTGTTGCTACGTGTTACACGTCGTAACTCGAGTTGCGACGCATTGCAGCGCTTCGTGAAATCGGGTGCAGATCTCATAACCTGTATACATGAGGACAGGCAACGACCTCAGGCTTCTAATGTCTCATTTGTTGCTGTGCGTCTTGGCTGTGGCGCCTCCCTTTTAGTTTTGATTGGCCTACTTCTCCTGCACACTCATGCGTCACGCTTAATGCAGAACCCTATTGGTAGGCGCGTTGATATGTAAATTATGGTTGACCCTATATCATAGGTCGATCTGACAATCAACACGCTGGCCAGAATCGGACTTAATGGCCCGCCATGGTCCGCCATTTTTGAGTCTGTGTTCAAACCAACTACATTGTTAGCTCTGGTATTATAATATAGCTCTTTTTTTATGGATTGAATTTCCTTTCTCAGTTGGAAACATTGACCGGAGCCAATGACTTGGTCAACCTCCTTTGTGACAACTCTACCGGCATGACAGAGCTGATTGAATTCCTTCCCGGTGTGAACACAACGGCCATCAACTCGGTGCTCTGTTCCTTGGACTACGTTCTCCTCGCCTCAGAGTGGACCCAAGAACTTGTTTTCTTTGAGGTAGGCCAACTGATGGGGCTAACCTGGTCAAATAATACAACATAAGTAAATTTAAAAACAATTAACTTATCAGCCATAGGACACCTTTGGCTACCTCCATGGTTTTTGTGTCGCCTAAACGAACATTGCACGTGTCATTGTTCAAATATGCTTCAAACATTTCTGTCCACAGAATTTGATGGACTTCAATGTAACTTGGAAGATGTGATCCTAAGGTGGGGGTTCATCACAACTTTTCCAAAATTGGAGGTCCAAGGTCATGTAGGGGTCATTTGAGGTCATTGTAAAAAAAAATGCAGAAAATTTGACTTTTTATGAACACAAAAGATATAGGGATCGACCGCAAATAAAGGCAAAACATGCTATCTGCGGATCACTTGTTTTTGGGGGAATTATAGGGGGCGCTGTTTTTATGCAAGATTTAAACTACCATTTATTTCATGCACACTTGTCCATAGTGGCTTGAACGGTCTTTGCACCAGCCTATACTGAGGTTGGTTGTGAATTTAGGACTATGAAATACTGACTCATTGGTAGTATTGCGCATGCCTACATGAGCATTGTGAATGTTCAACAAATACAACGGTAAAAGGCACTAGATTTCATAGGAGTCCAAATGTCATGTGACGCTGGAAAATTGTTTAAAACCAGCCATCCGGTCTTTATCATCCGTTTAAAGCGGCGACGTGATGGGCTCTCGACCGATGGGAATGGGTAAACTGTCTTGGGTATTTCTGAATTGTTTTTCATATGCAGTAGAAAGGGCACGATCTGCTCTTTATTTTGATAGAATTTTTACATATACAAATATGCTGATATAATGTGCAGCAGCATGTTGACTGTTTCTATTGATTTCCATTGTGCAAAATGTATACAAATGCCTGTTTCTCAGAAGTAGCAAATTTAAGAGTTTTGTGGGGTCAGGTCACATTTCTTTGTTTTGTTTGTTTTAGGAGCGCCGTAATCTGCCTCTGAACTGGACAGCCTCCTATGATTCTGCTATGTCATTGGTCCAGACTTTGATTAACCTCGTCCAATCACCTCCCAATCTGCTGATGTACGATGCTGATTGGTTCAGCGCAAAACTCAGACAAACGGAAGCAATTCTGGCATCTCTGTATCCTGCGAGTAGCGACATGTACATGTAAGAGATACTTTGTGTGCATTGATACAAGACAGTTAACGCTTCATTACTTGGAATTCTTGTTCTTGGAGAAAGGTCGCTGCAGCGGCAGTCTCTGATACAACTGTTGTTGCTACTGTTTGCTGCTGCTGTTGCACGTTCTGCAGCTGTAAATGCTGCTGCTTTAGCTGCTGCTGTAGATGTTGCTGCTTTAGCTGCTACTGTAGATGTTGCTGTTTTTAATGCTGTTTCTGCTGCTGTAGCTGTTGCTGTTTTTATTACTATTTCTGCTGCTGTTGCTGCTGTTTTATTCCTACAGCTGTTGGTACTGCTGTTATTGCTCTTGCTGTTGCTGCTGATGGTTGAAATGGCTGCTGCTGTTACTTCAAGCTGTCGCAGCTGCTGTTTTGCTCTTACTGCTGGTGCTTTCATTGTTGCTATATTGTTGCTTCTGATTTTGCTGCTCTTGCAATCAATCTACTGTTGCTGCTTCTGCTGCTGTTGCTGTTGTTTCTTGTGCAGCTGCTGTTGCTGCTATTGTTGCTGGCGTAGCTGTTGTTACTCCGCTGCTGTTGTTGATACTGTGGTGGTGGTGCTGCTGCTGCTGCTGCTGCTGTTGTCGATAATCATCTGACACTCTTTTACACCATTTCTCTTCACAGATCTGGAGATGAACTTGACAACCTGCTGCTATTCATTGACAGCGCTCTCTCTGGTAGAGGTGAATTCTACAACAGCTTCATCATGCAGTACCGACTTGAGGACTACATTAATCGATTCCTGATCGACCAGATACCAATGTTTGTTGGTAAGTTTGGTCCTTGCGTTGTAGCAGAATTAAGGAAAACTCTGCTAAAAAATAGATTTAAGGAGTGGGAGGCCAGATTTAGATAACTAAATTTGATAGCACCGATCACATTTGACCATGTGCCATGTGCAAGCCTAAATTGAATGTGCCAGTCAGAAATTAAATGATTTGCGTGTGTCTGTCAAAAATGGACAATGAGCTTATTAAAATACCAAGAACATCATGCATGCATCAATATATTTTTGGGGGTAGTGGATATGTGAGTCGTTCTGGAGAAATGAGACAGAAATGACACTCCAACTGTCACTCTGGAGGTAACATGCTGAGTATACAGTGTATATACGTCGGTGAAGGGCAAACCCTAATTTTATTTACATCACCCCGACGCAAAATTCCATTTTATGAATAGTTAATGCGGTACCTGCTGCTATGTCAATTAGATTCGAACCGGCCAACCGATCCCGTTAGCTCGGTGGTCGAGCGGTAAGACATCTGCACTAGAAAGCAGGAGGTCGTGGGTTCGAGTCTCACCCGAGTGATTTTTTCCAACTTTCACTGAAGGTAACACACTGAGTATACAGTGTATATATGTCGGTGAAGGGCAAACCTAATTTGATTTACATCACCCCGACGCAAAAATTCCATCTTACGAAGAGACAGAACTGGGCATGGGTTGAAATGAGGGTTTGCAGGTATTAGGAAAGAGAATAAAGTTCTCCTCAGAATATTGTTCATTCGCTTCAATCGGACATTCCGTTGACAAGTTATAGCTGTTTAAAGTTTTTTTTATCAACATGTCAAAAAGTGTAATATTGAGAAACAGGTGTTTAAAATTTCGAGTTTTGTAGTCGTGAAAATGAAAGATGCCAATTGCTTTCCTTAAAAAAACTTTTATTCAGTACATTTATTATTTTTCTGTTAAATTTTCTGTAGTAGACATATCAAAGATTACAAATATCAATTAAAAAAAACCTCTGTTCGTTTCTTTTTGCATTTGTCTCCACTACGGCCTTTTCCGTCTCATTTGGCCAGAATGCCTCACATATTTGAAAGATTATAAAGATGGAATTAGAGCTGATATTCCTCTCAAACTTCATGTTTAAGTTGCATTGTTTTATTGTTTGTCGAATGCAACATTTCGGTCAAGTCAACCACGCAAGTTACAAGATTAAATTATCACCACAGACGTTTTTCTTCATCTTCTTAGGACCCATCACGTTTTTCAAACATTCACATTCGGATAGTCAGTTGATCATCAACTATTTGATATATTCGGTATAGCCCTACATTAACAGCAGAGCTTTAGATTTTCAATGTTTGCACTTATCCAGGTTGTCCGTTAGTCTGAGTATCACCCGTTATCCATGGAGCCAAGTCTCGTGTATAATGTCTGATAATGTCAAAGCAAGCACATTTATGCGATCTTGTGCCTCAGTCAATCGGAGTCGATGTAACTAAATCATGACGTCATTTCATTCCCAAATCAGGACTAAAACTGTGATTGGTCAATTTGAATGCAGTGTTTTATAATACAACAGCCGTGCGCGTGAAGTGTAACATTATACAGAGCATGTGACCACAGCCTTTGTCGGTGTGTATAGCGTTTTTTTTTATCCATGTCTAGACGGGACAATGGGTGAATGACCGAAGACGCGACATAGAAAGCGCCGCTGATTGGTCAAAATCTAGAGGTCAAGATGCAGTTGTCTTGCATAATTAATCAGTGAATATGTTCAAAAATGATAGACCATGGTGCCATGGTCTAATACATAGACTAGTTGGCTGTATGGCCTCTAGTATTTTTCAGGATTGGAAAACCAAAACAATGTTGATTTCTTTTTTCTGTGCAGGACAAAAGTGGACCTTTCCTTCACTGGAAGGGCTGTTTGCTGACTCTGACAATGTGAGGAGTTTGTTTGTTCTTTGGGACGTGGCACCCGATGTCGTGGATGTGTTCTTGTCTCTCAGTATTCGACCAGAGATGGTAGGCAGAGATAGGGTTCTAGACTTCAATACATGCTATACTACAACCTCCAATGCAATGCGTGTGGAGGGTGTACATAAATATAAAGCCGACTGTCGAAAAAACCAAAAACAAACAAGTGTGAAAACGCAGAAGGTATAGGGAACAATAATTTTGGAGTTATCCAATTGTGAGAGCCTGTTGATCTGTAAATTGCTGATTTTGCGAAAAAAAATTAGAAAACTTTTTCAGAAGTTTTAGAAGCAATTTGAGGAAATTAAAATTAGGGCCAACTGTGGACAGAATTTCATCAATTCAGGCCAACATTTTCCTTGGACCTTTTGTATTGAGCTTTTTATCTGCACTTGAAGATTACTGACAATAGCATATCAACCTCAAAAATGAAAACAAATTCAATTAGCCACTACGGTCAAGGGTGGATCCATGGGGGGGGGGGGGCCATCCCCCCCCCAAAAAAAACCCCAACTTTTTCTTTTTTAAGTGACGTCGCAATAAAGGCAGGCACTGCGCACACCATCATCTTTTCCTCAAAAAAAATTGGTGAAAGTGGTCAGAAATTGCCTCAGATCGCACCACAGAGCATCTAGAATCCATACATTTTTTGGGACCCTTAAGCGGGCCCTGAACCCCTTGCCGTAATTTTTTTGGACCCACTTCTTGGAGGACCAAATTTTCTTTTTGCCCCCCCCCCCCTCCCAAAAAAAAATTGTGTTCTGGGTCCGCCCTTGACTACAGTTGGAAACAATACATATAGTGATTAGAATTTTTTAGTTTAAAATCACATGGCATGCATCGCGGTTACCATACTTTGTTTTATTTTGCAGTGGTCAGTGTTTTGGGAGACGCCAGACCCTATTGCAACTCTCTGCACCAACAATCAGTTTGCCTCATTCTTCGAGCTCCCGCAGGGCAGCCCGTCGAATCTCACTGCACTCCAGGAGGCCGTTTGTGCCGTCAACTTCACCCTGGTTCCGCTAGAGCTAGCCAACCACTTCAAAATCAGCCAGATCCAGGCTGATCTGGAACAGATCATCATTAATGACCCGAGCCTTGGGCCGTTCAACTGGACCTCCTGGATGGAAAACAGGGACCGTTTGGCGGCGATCATTGCGGACCTAGTCTCCATGCCACCCGAGATTATCCTGGACGAAGCTTGGTGGAATACGACAGAGCCGCAACTGCAGGACGTCATCAACAGCTGGCTTGTGAACCTGCAACAGATGGCCGCAGACAACCAAGTCAACAAGTAAATTATTTAAAACTGCATTAAATGCTGCATCATGGTACATAGGAGAATGCCGAGTGACTTTCGCCATATTTGACCATGAATAAAATTAAGACAAGTGAAAAACTATATCAGGCACAAGAAATCCAAATTAGTGGTCAACACCTCGTGCAATTATGAAACGAATACTTAACGATCTAAAAATTAAAGTCGAAAAAACAAGGAGTGGTGTTAAAGTACAACCCAACCCCCTTGAACAGCATTAAGACAACGTGCATTACAAAACATTAGTGAAGTGGATGTTTCTATTCTGTATACCCAAAAAGTTGTGTTGTTGCACCCTATTCCTTTGCTGAATAATATTCATAGGAATATTGAAGACATATAGAATCATAATTTGCTGTTCAAGCAGTTTGTTTGTTTCCAATAATAACACCACTCAAAATCCAAAGAAGAATGTTCAAAACCTAGCCTGTTGAATTTTCAGCTCAGTGGATATTACACTTTTCGAGAAAGCAGTGAAAAACCATGCACACCCTTTTGATCACGACATACAATTTCATCCCTAACACTCTGTGTTTCCAAAAATCAGTCAATTGGCTGATCGTTGGAAATCAAGGCTACATTTCTTGATTTCTTCTTAATGACAGCAAGCCAGACGGAATAATTTCATGGGGTGTTTAGTACCAGTATGATCTTTAATCAAAGTAAGATTTTTGATAATGATTTGGTGAGTTACTTTGGGTATAAATGCAAATGATCCTAGTGAAGTAGTTGGATGAATTTCCAGGAGATGATTTTTATTGTGTGTTTACTTTGAATTGTATTTCCTGTAGTACACTGAATCTTCTTCAAGGACTGGAAGCCTCATTGAGATCAGCCGGAGCTTGGGAGGCTGTCAGGCCTTATCTAGAGATCTTCACTCTCTCCCTGGAAAGCGCTGCTAATCAGTTGCGCCAACAAGGTAGGCCCAACCTGGGTTTTCTTTTCTTTTTTTATTAGCAGGTAAAACTATTAGCAGGTAAGGAACTACAACAGGAGATAACAGAAAGAACTATATTTAAGGTTTGGTAGCAGAAAACGGAGCCCTGAGTCTGTGTCTCTCATGTCAGAGACCTGAAATATGAAACTACAGCCTGAGAGCAAAAATGCCTGAGTTTTGGGACCCAATGTAAAAAGTTCCATTCCAAAAAAAAAATACCGCAAGAAACCTATATGCATCAGGATCCTGGCCCACTTTGACAGTGTCGAGACAGTGTCGAAAGCACAGGTTGCTCTACTATTTGGAAGCTTGGTCCAATTCACAAGAGACGGAAAGCATAAAGCACATAAGATAGGATATTAACATCACAGGTGGAATTGCTCAACAGTAGGAATTACAACATATTCAAGCCTCAGTATGTCTAGCTTGTGAAATGTGCTAACATTTTTCTGCTTAAAGGCTGGTTTGAAAGCGAATAAGAAGCAACTTGACGTCACAAAACATTCATTGTGAAATTCACCAGAGTTGAATTGTATTCAGATTTGTCAAATTCCAAACGCAAAAGCTTGCTGTGACGTCACAAATTTGCGTTCGCGTTTGTTTTCGTGCAGAGTCATACTGGCATGTAGACACAATGGAGAAACTGTAGAGTGCATAATGTGGCGGCGCCCCACTAATTACAAGTGTGTTCCACACACCTGCACAACAGCAATGGCAATTAAATGTCCATCATCTCCTGATCGTCACGGTTAAGGGGGCCACTTGTGCATAGAGTTCATAGTTACATGTAGCAATTCAGCAACTTTTCTGTGGACAGTTAACTCTATAGAGTTGTGACCTATCCTAAGATATTGAGAGTGTTGGCCCTGAAGAGTTTTTTAATTTGATTTTTATGCCCCGCGGCGAAGCCGAAGGGGCATACTGTTTCCGCCTTGTCCTTCCGTGGGTGGGTGGGTGGGTGGGTGTGTGGGTGTGTGTGTGGGTGGGTGGGTGCGCTTGTCTTACATACGCAGTGTGGACTTCCGAACAAAAGACGTCCACATAATGTAGGTAGCACCGACGTTGTGTGGACTTGCCCACGTCCACACAGTGTTTCCCCATTTCTGGAAAACAGGTTTAGAGGCATTTTTGGGTTAGGTTTATCTGTAGCAGAATGAAGAGAAACACTAAAGGGAATCATAGAAAAAAAATTGGGTTGAAAGAGTTTTCACAGTTTGAGAAAAATGAGTTTTTTCACTGGTTTTTCTTAACTACACGAAAGCAATGGAAAGTCCACACTAGTCATGTGAAACAAGTATGGGTGTGTGGGTGTGTGTGTCCGGACAAATCTTGTCAGCGCGATAACTTGAGAAATACTTTACATATGAACTTCAAATTTGGTTTGTGGATTGTCCTTGGTAATCCTAAGAAGCCTTTTGCATTTGGGGCCGAAAGGTCTAGGTTCAAGGTCACAGTGGCTGAAACAATAGAAATTTTGTCAGCGCGATAACTTGAGAAATACTTAACATATGAACTTCAAATTTGGTTTGTGGATTGTCCTTGGCAATTCTAAGAAGCCTTTTGCATTTGGGGCCGAAAGGTCAAGGGTCAAGGTCACAGTGGCTGAAACAATAGAAATTTTGTCAGCGCGATAACTTGAGAAATACTTAACATATGAACTTCAAATTTGGTTTGTGGATTGTCCTTGGTAATCCTAAGAAGCCTTTTGCATTTGGGGCCGAAAGGTCAAGGGTCAAGGTCACAGTGGCTGAAACAATAGAAATTTTGTCAGCGCGATAACTTGAGATATACTTTACATATGAACTTCAAATTTGGTTTGTGGATTGTCCTTGGCAATCCTAAGAAGCCTTTTGCATTTGGGGCCAAAAGGTCAAGGGTCAAGGTCACAGTGGCAAAAACAAAAGAAATTTTGTCAGCGCGATAACTTGAGATATACTTTACATATGAACTTCAAATTTGGTTTGTGGATTGTCCTTGGCAATCCTAAGGAGCCTATCGCATTGGGGGTCGAAAGGTCAAGGGTCAAGGTCACAGTGGCTAAAACAATAGAAATCTTGTATTTATTCTGAGATCATAGGGATTAGGGATTAATTCATATAAAACCTACAGAAGACACTAATGCTGTCAATGAACGTTCCATTTGACCAAGGTACATGTCATTTGATGTTAGAGTGGTGTTATGTCATGGAAACTGTCACGGTTGCGGGGCATTTGTGTTTGTAAACACACCTGACTTGTTTTTTCTATTTCATTTTACAGTTCAACTTCAAATGGGCCTGGCCAACACCACTGCTATAGATTACTTAGTGAACAGTCTGAGCGTCATGCCAGACCAGCTCAAGGCTTCTCTGGCAGACAGTGCCTTCTCTGTGTTTGCGGTAAGCTCTGTACCTTGACATTATTTAGCGCAGACTTCAGTAGTGACCCTCTGCTGTGTCTACAGACACAATCCTTATTAGCAGTACCCACTGGGCTTTCAAGCTTGTAATGCTAATCTGCATTGTTTAATGAATGCCTATACAGGGCGAGTCAAAAAAACCGAAACCCAAATGTCGGGACTATTGTTTCAGTGAAGTTCTGCATGTAGCACTTTCAAAGTCTAGGATATGAAAGCCCAGTTCATCAGCTTTCTTTTAGTACAAGAATCATTCAAATCACTCTTTAAATTTTCAAGTTACGGAATTTTAAACACAACCACTGTTTTAAAGTTCTGTCCACTGATCACAAGAAGGTAAGTGTTCTTTCAGCAAAACGAAAACAAATCACATAGGGATGTGTGTGAATTGTTTTCGTTTTGTTGAAAGAACACACACCTTTTTTGTGATCCGTGGACAGAACTTTAAAAGGGTGGTTGTGTTTAAAATTCTGTAACTTGAAAAGTACATAAGTGATTTGAATAATTCTTGTTCTATTAAAAAGAAAGCTTATGAATTGGGCTTTCATATCCTAGATTTGAAAGTGTTATATGACGAACTTCACTAAAACAATAGTCCCGACATTTGGGTTTCTCTTTTTTTTTGACACCCTGTATTATGCTAAAATTTGCAGACAGTCTGCAAAGTAATAGTTCAAACCTGTCAAGAGTTCAGCAGTCTGTTTGTGTCCTTAGGCAATGCACTTTATCATTATATTTGCTGCAGCGCTCCATTCTGTTAACACGAACCCTGAGAGATGCAACTTGCCGTGGTCTCTTATAAATTTATATACAACTCAGTAGGAATTGCCGTAATCTTGGTCATTTGGGTAATTCCGTGGTAACTTGCGTTACGTTTCAACGGGGTCTGCCGTCAACTCTGTGTTGTTATTCTATGAAGTCAAAGTATTTAGGATGGATTATGCTCACAGAAAAACCTTTGAAGTGAAGTGACTATACTACCAGTAAGAGGCCAACAGAATACATTTCTGTTGGTTTGGCAGTAAGTTTTTATTTTTCAGTAACTCACGTTACAAAAAAAAGGACATGGCAAAAATGTAAAAACCTTGCATTTGCAAGTTTCCTCATACTGTTCAGTGTTGGAAGAATCTTTTCAGTGCCCTTACATTATTAGGGTCATATGCTGCCATAACACTTATTAGCTAATAATCAATCATGAAATCTCTCAGCGGGATATATTTCGGTAATGCATGTTACGGTAACTCATGTTACAGTTTGTCTGCTCATTTAAGTAAAAACATAAGAAACAAATTCAACCAAACAAAAAAACGTTTTCGCATAAAATGTGAACCTTTCTCTCTGCCTTAAAAACAAAAACTCACTATAACACTTGCATTTTGCATGTGGTAACAAGATTCCAAAATGACTTCCTTAAATCCATAACTTTAGACAAAAAAATACATTTGACTATATTCCATCTCACTGAAACACCACTGAAATGAAAGGTCTTGTCGTTCTCTTTAATTTGATACCACATTTGAGGTTGTGATGCTTGCAGTTCTAAAGATTTAAAATATTTTCCACTTTTCACCCACGTCCACTTTTGTGTGGAATTGCCAATTTATTTATGATTTTTCTTTACATTTTGAGCATCAATTTGAATGCCATGCTATTGGACGTTGTTTTTCCAGCTGGCAGATATCTACAACAGAGGATGGTGGGACTTTGTGTTCTGCAACAGTTCAATATTCGATACAACCTACCATCTTCCGCCCGCAGTAAATTCAACAGCCGTGCAGCAGGCCATGTGTGAGCTCAACCAAACCGAATTCTTTAGTCACGCGTCTGGGATCTACAACATTGATGTGCTGAGACTGCAGCAACAGGTGGGTTGACCTTTGACCTAATGTTCTCACCTTTAAAGGTTGCAGGCCAGTAAATAGGCCCGAAATTGCATACTCCGGCCAAATCACGATTTGCATAACCTCAAATTCTTCGGTACTAGAGCATTTTGAGGGCCATGAACTTGATGGTTCGTAAAAAGATATAATTAAGAAAATTAAGAACAATAAAATGAGACAAGGTTAATCATGGTAAATTGCACTGAGTTGTAACATTGGCAGTGAAAAGACAAAAACAAGACATACATGTTAGTTTTATTTGGTAACTATATTATGTTTGTCTATTGGTACGTGATACCCAATTTGTTGTGGTATTCTGTTTACTTAATCTGTATAGTTGATTTATTAACCAATAACACACACAAAAACCTGGCATAGGGAAGGCTTTTAATTTCAAAATATACTTTATTTCAAATTTGTGGCCAAGTTTGAGGTTGGCAATTTGGCCGCGAAAAAAAAATTCCTGTTAGGTTGGGTTATCTTAAACACCGTTTTATGGGGGCCATGGGCTCCGTGCACAAGTGCCCCTTCAACGGCCAAAAAAGAAGAGTTGGGGGAGACCTAGACTGGTTCCCGGTCCATCCACTGCATATTTCTAATGATCCAAAGTTATTAGGGGCGGGGATTAGTCTGCGACACGATCACAAGTTAAATTTGAACGTATTCGCGTGCCAACGACGCCTGACGCTCACGCGCGAAGACGCTATGGCTTAGCTTTGTGCACATTCAGTATAAAAAAGTTGCGCATACTTTGCGCCCGAACCAGAACAGTACGCACACAGTGTCATGTCCAAGGGGCTCTCAAAAGTGGTAAAAACGTGTCCTCTTTTGTTGGTGCATGAGAGAGATCTGATTTTAGATCACTTACCCTAACAAAATTAGTGGTTCATTTTGAACACCCAAAAAGCACTGAATAAGAACTTTTGTTTGCAAGTATCTGATATTTTGTGTTGTTTTTCAGATTGGGGTTATCCTAGGTCAGCAAAGTGGATCGATGGCTAACTTTGACTGGGCTCAACTTGGAAGATATGTTGAGGAAATGATGGCTCTACTGACCGAGTTACAGCGCATCCCTGAAGTCATGCATGGAGATGCCATACAGAATGTGACGCTACTACTTGAAGCTCTCAATAACCAGGGACAACAGAATTTGTTACTGTGAGTATAGTTCATAATGGACTATTCCGGATTTGTTGCTGAGAGTATAGGCCAGTTCATAATGGATTATTCCAGATTCATTACTGTGAGTATAGGCCAGTTCATATTGGACTCTTCCAGATTGTTGCTGTGAGTATAGGCCAGTTCATAATGGACTATTCCGGATTTGTTACTGTGAGTATAGGCCAGTTTATAATGGACTATTCCGGATTTGTTACTGTGAGTATAGGCCAGTTCATAATGGACTATTCCGGATTTGTTGCTGAGAGTATAGGCCAGTTCATAATGGATTATTCCAGATTTGTTACTGTGAGTATAGGCCAGTTCATATTGGACTCTTCCGGATTGTTGCTGTGAGTATAGGCCAGTTCATATTGGACTCTTCCAGATTGTTGCTGTGAGTATAGGCCAGTTCATATTGGACTATTCCGGATTTGTTACTGTGAGTATAGGCCAGTTCATATTGGACTATTCCGGATTTGTTGCTGTGAGTATAGGCCAGTTCATAATGGACTATTCCGGATTTGTTGCTGTGAGTATAGGCCAGTTCATAATGGACTATTCCGGATTTGTTACTGTGAGTATAGGCCAGTTCGTACTATTCCGGATTTGTTACTGTGAGTATAGGCCAGTTCATAATGGACTATTCCGGATTTGTTACTGTGAGTATAGGCCAGTTCGTAATAAACTATTCCGGATTTGTTACTGTGAGTATAGGCCAGTTCGTAATGGACTATTCCGGATTTGTTACTGTGAGTATAGGCCAGTTTGTAATGGACTATTCTAGATTTGTTACTGTGAGTATAGGCCAATTCATAATGGACTATTCCGGATTTGTTACTGTGAGTATAGGCCAGTTCATAATGGTCTATTCCGGATTTGTTACTGTGAGTATAGGCCAGTTCGTAATGGACTATTCCGGAAGTTTGTTACTGTGAGTATAGGCCAGTTCATAATGGACTATTGCGAATTTGTTACTGTGAGTCTGGGCCAGTTCGTAATGGACTTTTCCGGAATTGTTACTGTGAGTGTAGGCCAGTTCATCATGGACTATTTCGGATTTGTTACTGTGAGTATAGGCCAGTTCATAATGGACTATTCCAAATTTGTTACTGTGAGTATAGGCCAGTTCATAATGGACTATTCCGGATTTTTAACTGTGAGGATAGGCCAGCTTGTAATGGCCTGCTTCAGATTTGCCAATAAGTCCCGCCCACTTTTGGTTTGTATACATTAATCACAGATCAAGTCACATGATGACTGAAACCTTTTATCCAATCAGTCAGTGTAGACTGTATGATTGACAGGCAGGGAGGGTCCATTCATGCAAAAGAGAAGTGCACTGGGTGTCCAAAATATCCATGATGGCAACATTTTCTTCTGAAGTGTGTGCAACATTTTCAAAGAAAATTCATTTACAAAAAAAGTCTGAAACCTGGAATAAATTCGCCGCAAATCAATTTTTGTTATGGGCGTCAATTGGTGGGGGACGGGGGGACAAGTCCCCCTTCCCCCCACTTTTTAAAGTGGGGTGATACCAAATCATTTGCCCCCTTCGCACGTTTGTCATCCCCGAATAAAAATTGTAGCCTATGTATGATTCTATAGCTCAGAATAGCTGATTCAATTACTCCAAACTCAAAATGATTTTTAAATAATAATCTTTTGCTAAAGAAAAGATGGTTAAAGTGGTCAGAAGTTGCCTCAGATTGCACCTCAGAGTGTCTAGAATCCAAAATTTTGGGGGCCTTTAAGCGGGCCCCGAAACCCAGGCCATTAGGGCTTTGCGCTCGCATTAGTTCTGATCAGGGAAATGTCCCCCCCCCCCTTTTGAAAAGCGATTGATGCCTTGATTTTTGTAAATTTGAAATCCAAAAATTTTTCCGCATTTTCGTTTACGACAAATCTCAATCAGCCCTAAATAAGAAAACGGACAAAGTCTTTGGAAAAAGTCAATCACAAGTCAGTTTACAAATAACAGAAAGAATACTGACAATGTAATGCCTTTGCCACCGTTAGTTTGAATTGTTCATCACATGACTTGAGACCGAATGACATGCAATGTGACTGGTCATTGACTTGTCATTGACATATAACTTGTCATGACTCAATTACAACTCTCTCGTATCTTTTGTTAACAGCCTGATCCAAGTTCTTGAAGACATTCGGCCGTACTTCCAAGACGACACAATTGTGGTTCAGATTCGTGACTCTTTCTACGCATCCATTAACTTGTCCAATGCGCTTAACAGGTACGTCTGTAACTTTATTTGCTCAATGGAAAAAGCCTAACCCAAAATGCAAGGGCTGAAAGTATATCTCATGTGCCTGGCTACTAATTAAAAGGCAAGACATCAGTCTGTCAACTCATATATGTGATGGGAACTCTCTGATAAGTCAAATGGGCAGGCTATTCATGTACCAAGAAGGCTGCTAGCAAGTGAATGAAGTTACAATCACAGACCATGCAGCAAATTGGGGGATGTTCCAGTTGTTTTCTTTAGCCTGTGGCACAAAAACTGGAAGGATTAATTTTTTTGAGGTTAGTTTCGAACATCCGGTTTCCAAAATCGAAACTGAACAGTGGATTTCAGACCGAATATTAAAATATCCGGATTTAAATCCCACCACTATCAGCAACCCCTCCCACCCTTATTGGGTTAATGTGGGGGGGGGGGGGGGGCAAACAAAAAGGGAGCTTGGTTGTGGGGATTGAGGGAGTATAAGTGTTGGAAATCTGCAGTTTCTGAAAAATATTGAGTTTACAAGGTTCTATCTCAGAATCATACTTGACTCACAAATGAGATTGTAGTACCCTTGCCCTCACTGTTTCTCACCCGTTTTCTCACGCAGCAACGGCATGCAGCTGGATGCTCTGCCTCAGCTGGAAGCCATATTGAAGCAATTGGATCTATGGCATAGCGTCAGACCCTACTTGGAGTTTGCTAACGTAATCCTGGATGGAATCAACACAGACCTTCATCAAGGAGGTATGGGCCTTAGCTTCATCTCATACATATTAATGGACAAATTTACATGTTACAATTTTCATTGGCTACCTTAGTTGTATAAGGTTTATTCTCCTGAACGGGATCCACAGAGATCTTCATGTGGGAGGTATGGGCCTTATTTCCATCTCATACATATTAAAGAGCTTATTTACATTTTACACATTTCATTGGCTACCCAACAGGTACGAGGTATATTCTCCTGGATAGAATCCACAGAAATCACCTAAGGGATAGTGTTGGTCTTAGTTTCTTACCCTATTCGTAGAAGATAACAGATTGAATAGTTACTCGTCATGTATGTTAATTTAATGAGTGAATTGGCATTAGTCAACAGTGGTTCCTTCCATTAGGATTCAGAACACTTCATACATGAACTTGTGCAAATATTTCATTGGTCGCCAGTCTATTATGTTGCTTCGCAAAAAATTTAATTTTGTTGTTGACTATTTTGGTATGTGAAATATAGGTGAAGCCATACCAGCATTCTTGTACAACCGGACTGTACTGGATAGGTTCTTACAAGAGGCACTGGGCACAGCCTCCCCTGAGTTAGCATTGCAAATTGTAGCGGATAGGTTCCATCCAATATCGGAGGTGAGTTTAATAATCAAATTAGTTTGAAAGTTAAGAGGTTTTTTAAGATATTGAATCAAGTAGGATTTGCATTTCCAAACTTTTGTTTAACTATTACAATTTATACTCTGCTGAACCCCACATACATGTACAGCTGTAATGAACGAACCCTTTAGCATCCCATATTTCATTGAAGATGTTACTGAACTGTGTTTGCTGAAATCCCTGTTACAAATGAGGACTGTGCTGAAAAATCTTTTGGGGACTACGATTGTGCTCATTATAGAGAAGTTCTACTGTATAAAAATAAGCTTTGGAATTTTACTGAAACATATTGAAAGTTACATGCAAAAACATTTCCGTCGCAAGTCTTTGTTTGTGATACCTGCTGCTGTTATGAGATTCAAACCAGCCAGCCAACCCCAGCAAGAACATAAAACAAATTCATAGTCAGCATGTACTGTCCTTGCTGTTTTCAAGTTTCATAAAAGAAAAATCGATTTTCTTTCAAATTGCTATACTTTCTACAAAAAAAAAATGTTATGAGACATCAAAGAAATGAAACCATGTTAAGATATGGAATAATAACTTCACAAATGTCAAATAATTTGCAGCCTGACAATAATCCAAGCATATCTTTTGCGTGTAAGAGCCGCACCAGAAACCTACGGTAAAGATCTTTAGCACATGCCTAAAACTGGAGAGAAAAAAACGATGTGTCAGAATTAAACCATTTGAAGAATAGAGACAGTATATTTGTGATTCGGCAATGTGAAAAAAGGATATTTAATACAAATCTGACCATGAAAACTATTGATAATCTATCATTTGTTTCTTGAGAAATTGGCCAGCAGACTTAAACAGTCCTTTACAAAAGTGTTCTGCAATTTCTTTTGTCCAGTTGGCGTACCTTCATCTTTCTGGTAACTGGGAGGAGAGGTTTTGCTCGCCAATTAACTATCCCCATCCAAGTTACTACCCCCCAAATTTGAATGAAACGGCCCTGAGAGAGGAGCTTTGTCAATTGGACCGTGTGGAATTCTTTGGAAAGCTCGATAACATCACAGGGGTGGATGTACTCAGCCTGATGCGATCAGTAAGTGGATCCTGGTTTGGCCAGACTCTACATTGCGGTTTACATTATTGCAGTTTTTGAAATCTCGACTTTGTCATCAGCTTTGGCTTCTTGAGACTAAGGGCCCTTGACTTTGCCTCAATATGGGTTCATTTTGAGGCCAAAGTTTAAGTTATATATGATAGTAAAAGGTGATTCTGATGTACAAAATGTAGCTGAAACTGGAGATGAAGCCAGGTTATCTGGAAAAAAAACCAGATTCTTTTTCACTATGTTACGTGGTCTATGGATGCCATGCACAAGAAACCCCGACGCACCATGAATGTGCAAAACGGCATTGATTTGCATGGCATCATAAATCGATAAAACGAGTAAGAAAAAAATCAATGCACAAATCGTAAAGACAAAAAGGTGTCATTAGAATTGAGAGAAGTCTGCGTCAGGTTTTAAAAGTCAGTTTGGAATGATAAAAACATCCTTGACTCTAATTTGACCAAAAACTAAAGAGGGGTCCGTAACTACACAATTGCTGAAATTATGACAGATATGAAGACGCTACAGTTTCGTGCACAGTCAGATAAAATGAATTGTGCTTCTGCACCGTACGCATGTGAACAAGTGCGCACACACATGTAACCATCGCTAGTCGTATTTGCATAGACCTTATGCGCTAAGGCGGAGTTAGAGGGTAATTGTTTCGTTTCGCTTGGATAGGCATGAGTGAACCTTTCGCACATTCATTGCGACTAAAATAGAGTAACAAGGAACACCTTCCAAGATATCCAAAATGCATAATGTATATTAATTTGCAACACATTCCCCATGTACACTGTTTCTTCTTGAGATAATCTAATTTTTTTTAAAAACTTTAAAATTTATGAACCTTCCAGTTCTTTGAAATTGCGAACCACTTACCTGCCTCAAACGACACCTCAGCCAACTTTGATTGGGATGGAGTGGTTGGCAAGGTGGAATCCATCATGGCCGCCCTGCAAGGCATCCTGGGATTGCCTGGTAACCATGGCAATGTGACTGAAGCCTACCTTCTGTTGCAGGAACTTCAAAACGGGTTGGTGACGTTCAACCAGAAACTGTGAGTCCGTAAAATTTGAATTGTAAACTATCGATCATCTTTTTTTATACAAATAATATATGATGATCCACCTTGTGCTATTTCAGGTGTATTTTTGATGTCCCCTAACGTGACGCAGCCCGTAACGAGGCACACTTCGATTTTACACCTCTTTGTGCCTTTCTAGAGCAAATTATTTTTACCTTTGTGCCTTGAACAATTTTTTTTACCTCAAAGCCCAACTTCATCATGCTGTAAGCATTCCCATTCATAAATCTTGAGTTCACGTACCCGCTACAAAGTTCCAGAGAAATTCTATATTCATTTTTAAAATTCCCATTTTATTTTGAAGTGCACTCTGAACCCTTTTAAAACCCAAAAATAAGAAAATAATTGTTGACAAACTTGTAGTTGGGTATGTGAGTGGAGATAATAATGATCGGAATTTATCAACTTCAAAGAAATTCTTAAATGTAAACGTGGGATTTTCAAAGATTTGTTCAAGAGCGCCTTGTTAGGAACACACGGCCGAATTTGTGCCCAATTCCGGACGCCACCGTTTATAAATTTAGGACTAAATTTTCATGACACTGAAATTGTTCACAACAACAAGCATTATTAAGGTAATAGTACCAGCATTTAACTGAATGAATTTAAAGTCTGTCAACAAAGAGGTTTGGCAACACTGCATGAGGAAAGTCGGGGGAAATGTTAAAGTGTGCCACGTTAGGAAACTCCAATATACACACATTTCAGGCTGCACACAATATTCTAAACAAAAGGGAAACCGTACCCCCGGTTCAGACAGGCATTCCAGAGTCGCGTGATGTTCAAATATGACGCTTATTAACACTATATTACAGAATAGTATTACCAGTATAAATTTTTCGGGGTGTCGGAGCGGGGGGGGGGGGGGGGGGGGGGGGGGAATTTTGGATTATTTGTAATGAATTTCTATGAAAAAAAATAATTTTTGACAGAGCTGGTGGTTTTTGAACCCCCCCTGGATCCGCGCCTGCCATTACATTATTATTGCCTTAGTCAATGATTTAATCCCTCATTGAAGGCATTCCAAAGTTTATGAAAGAGTCAAAAAGATTTTGTGTTGTACCAAATTCTTTTTCAGATTGGTTGAAGTGTTGGGACGTCTTGACATCGTGATGAACCAGGAGGGGGTGTGGTCTGAAGTGCAGGAAGCTGTTGCCATGACAACACACATTGTGAAATTGTACAATCAGCAACTGGAACTACTAGCAGGTAACTAAAAAATTCAAATAAATCTGAAAGAATTTTTTTTTACAAAAACACAATGGGCTCCGCGTGCCAACAAGAGATGACGCTTTTTTACCACTTTGGAGAGCCACGTGGATGGTTCGCGCACGTATAGTGCAAAGTACGCACGACTTATTTTATGCTAAATGTGCACGAAGCCATGGCGTCTTTGCGTGAGCGTCAGGCTTCATCGGTGATACATTTAAATGTCTCTCCCGATGGTGTCCCCCAATTCTCTCTTCCTTGCCATAGAGGGGGTGCTTGTGCACGGAGCCCATGAGACCAAAGAGACAGCCAGGGGCAAGTTCGCACAAGAACTATTGTTGACCAAATGGTTAACCATAGTTCGACTAAAGTTCGCCCGAACTAGTATGTCTAGTCAACGATGATTCACTCCCTAGTCGACTATTTGGAACCAGCCTACCCCGGCTGGTCGCGCAACGATTTATAGCTGGTTATCAATAGCAATTTCCATAGCCTAGTGCAGAGGGGACCAACTATTAACAAAAATGGTGGAAAACGAAACTGTGAGCACTAAATTTCATTTTCATTGCACAAATATGTCCATGTTAGTTTACGATTAAATGTCCCTTTTGTCACCATTGTACAATAATATTTGCGATTATGTAAGATGTTCTAAACTATACACAATCACTTTTATTTGTGTAAATAAACAGAACAACAAGACAGTGTTGAATAATTGTGCGGCCGCCATTTTTTGACGGTCGTTGACATGACAATAGTTCAACTAGAGTCGTTCACGAACCAACCACTAGTTAACCACTGGTCCTTGCTCGAACTTGCCCCACATTTATGCTACTTGCAGTTTGGTGTCCAAGATGGACGTAGTTTCCTTAAGCATTGTTTACTCGGCGCTGACAGAGAGCTCATTACAAAAAACTTCACAAGTTTGCTTTGGGACTCGAACCCACGACCTCCTGCTTACTAGCACAGATGTCTTAACCACTTGACCACTGAGCTAGCAGGGGTGGATTGGCTGGGTTGAAAAGTTGATATTACTATGAATTGCCCTTTTTTTTAACCTACAAAGAACGTTTCATTTTGGTTTACAAACAATTTTATTGAGCTGCTAAACAGAAAATATTGATGTGATAAGCAAACAATTTGCAAAAAAAATCCCTGCTTGCTATAGAAGAAAATTCTGTACTTACGGTTAGCATATGTCACAGGTTAGCGAGACATTTTGGCTTATGCATGTGCGTACATCTGTGCTTACAGGGTTAGCGCAGAATTTATCTGCAAGCTCTGTTAACACAAAACGGTGATCGTTAGTGCAACATGCTATTGCAAGCAGCATGACTCTGCATAATGTTAGCGAAAAATCCATGCTTACTACAGCAACAAATTTCGTGCTTACAATAAACGTATTACACGGGTTAGCGAGGAATGTTGGCTTGATTTGCGCATGCGTACATCCTGTATTCAAGGCCATTATTTTTTTTAAATACTTGGGTTACGGAATCGCGGCCGAAAAAAATCGCTCTATGATGCACATTCCGTGATGCACAATTCATGCAAGTCAATAGGCATTTTATGCATGCTGCGCCGCTGCTAGGCTGATTCTGCCTCGGTCCGACAGGTGTGACATTCGTCAAAAACTTTCCTCTTTTTTTTCCAGCTAAATATAATTGTTAGTAAATGTTACTTTTAATTTTTAAAGTTTGATAACTTTACTCAGGCAAATTTTCATAAGTTTCCTGCAGTAATACTGAATGACGACATTTAGTTTGAGTACTTTCGTGTCCGAATACCGTGTCCGAATACTGGACGCGGCATTATGGGCGGGCTATAAAGGGCGCCCCACATGTGTGCGTTTTTTTTATATTTATTTCCTAGCCTCCGCGGGTCTTCTGGACCCAAACAAATTCTTAATCCAAGTATTTTTTTTTAAATGGCCTAACTAAGAATTCTGTGCTTACAGAATTAGCGTAGAATTTTTCTGCTAGCGCGGTTAGCACAAAATGGTGATTTTAAGCGAGGAATGCTGTGGTTAGCAGGAACATAAATTGGGCCCATGTTCATATAATTTATGACATTTTCGGATGAAGCCTAATTTTGCTATGGAAATGTTTATCCTGCTAATCCAGTTTCCGTGCGAAGAATCTGCATAGAATTGGCCCATTAGTGGTAAGAGTTCAAAGATGAAATGAAGTAGCATGCACACATGTACTGTCTTTTCTTTTATCCATGTAAGCATCTAATTACACCCTGGATGGGGTCTTCAAGCCAACTGCACAGGATTTCCTTGCCCAGTACCTGGCCCCGGAACATGTACAAGCACTGATGAGAGCGTCCATCAACCCAATTGTATTCAATCCTGCATTGGTACGTAGCCAACTAGATATTCTCTACCAATCTTTACTTGATTCATTGGTGATATAGCAAGCTAATGTATCCCATGTTCAAGGCATAATTATTTGAAGTTTTGGTGAATTGACTTTCTAAGTGTCTGAGACCACATTTGATTTGTGACTGACTTGTGATGTGATTGACCTGTGATATACTCGTTATGGACTTGTGATTGACTTGTGATTGACTTGTGATTGACTTGTAATTGACTAGTGATTGACTAGTGATTGACTTGTGACTGACTTGTGACTGACATGAGAACAACTCTCAAGTAGTTTCACAGCTCACTTTCATGTTATGTTCTTCTCAACAGCTCGCTATTCTGACGCAACCTCAACAGTTGGCGTCCATCCTAAGCAACCCAGCTGTATTCGATCCTGCATTGGTACGTAACCAACTAGATATTCTCTACCAATGTTTACTTGATTCATTGGTGATATCAAGCTTGTATCCATTGTTCAAGGCATAATTATTTGAAGTTTTGGTGAATTGACTTTCTAAGTGTCTAAGACCACATTTGATCTCATCTGACTGACTTGTGATGTGATTGACCCTGTGATATACTTGTGATGGACTTATGATGGACTTGTGATTGACTTGTGATTAGCTAGTAATTGGCTAGTAATTGACTAGTGACTGACTTGTGACTGACTTGTGATTGACTTGTGATTGACTTGTGATTGACATGTTACTGACTTGTGATTGACTTGTGATTGACTTGTGACTGACTTGTGATTGACTTGTGATTGAATTGTGATTGACTTGTGATTGACTTGTGATTGACTTGTGATTGAATTGTGATTGACTTGTGATGGACTTGTGATGGACTTGTGATTAGCTTGTGATTGTCTTGTGATTGACTTGTGATTGGCTTGTGACGGACTTGTGATTGACTTGTGATTGGCTTGTGACTGACTTGTGATCGACTGGTGATTGACTTGTGACTGACTTGTGATTGACTTGTGATTGGCTTGTGATTGACTTGTGATTGACTTGTGACTGACTTGTGACTGACTTGTGACTGACTTGTGATTGACTTGACTTGTGACTGACTTGTGACTGACATGAGAACAACTCTCAAGTAGTTTCACAGATCATTTTCATGTCATATTCTTTTCAACAGCTCGGTATGCTGACGCAACCTCAACAGTTGACGTCTATCCTGTGCAACCCAGCTGTATTCAATACGTTCATCCTTCTCCCACCGGGAACCGACTCAGCTACTATACAGGGCGCCCTCTGTAGTCAGGCCCAGACCAACCCAACCTTCCTCACCGATCTTGTTGCGATGTTCAATATTGACCAAATTCAGAAAGAGGTATGGCAATAAATCAGCGCATAGCGAAACGTGTTAATATTTGATGATACATTCAGCACCATTTTGATGTTCACTCAATCTCACTCGCCTTCCACTTGCGCAAATTAAGACGCTTTTGGTTTCAGCATGTTCAGTGTATCATGATTACGCACACGGTGTACTCTGTTATTTAAAGTAGCAGACACTTGCAGTTGCAACCAGGTGTTTCATTTATTGTCTCGCCTGAACTTTGTTCAACAAAGAGACTATGCAATCACTATGTCTGTACATACATTGTATGTATGTAGTATGTATGTATATGTATATGTATTTTGGTTAAAGTTTCGTAAAATTGATCTCATTTCAAAAGTTGCAGTCCAATTGGAACCAAACTTGAATCATAGATGCAACATGGCAACCTTCATATGATAATGATGTCAAAGTCACATACCAAGGTCTATAGTCAGCTGAGTTCAAGTTGTAAAATAGGCTGCAAATGTAAAATGGGTCTCATATGAAAAGGTGAAGTCCGATTGGAACCAAACTTGGGTCATATGCAACATGGCAACTTTCATACTCATTTGTCACTCTTTAAACATGTTAAATATAATTGCAAAAGCAGGCAAGACTCGTGGCTTGAGAACCATCTTGTTATTTTTTATTATTGTATTGTATTTCTTAGGTAAAAGCACACATAGACACAGAATACAATACACACATGTAAGGTAACATGCCAGTGTAACAAAAAAAAGCACATTGATAACACGCCTGAAGGATTGCCAAAAGCAAACTTAATCGCTATCTGGTGTTCTACTATTCAGTACCATCTCCATTCTTTCGAATCCAAGAACTTTTACTTCTTGATTTTCCAAAACCAAAACGTCATCATTCCTGTATGAACTCCTTTCCCAGCTTGAAAGTCTCTTCATGAACGGCACCAACTCCAGGAACTTCACGGACATAGACTGGCAACAGTCCATGCAGGAGTTTGAGCGTCTCATCAACAATTTCGTAGGTCTGGCCACACGTGACTTCCTAGGGGATTTCCTGACTCAGTGGCTGGCCATGTCTGTACCCATGGAAAATCTGCCTCACATGCTGATGAACGTAACGTAAGTTAATGATTGAGTAAATTACTAACGAACACTTTAAAATCAATAGTGTGTTGAAACACCTCCTAAATTCTGAAATCTAACTAGGAATTGCTAAAATATTTCTCAAAATTTCCACAATGCTATCCAGATTTACCCCAGTTCCTTCCCAAAACCTTGCTTCCAAATTTCAACCAGTTCTCCCTAAATCTTGCCAAATTTTTCTGAATTCTCTCCACAAATGAAATTTTTTTGTGTTACTTGTGTTCGTGTCATTCCTAAGGCAGCATTGGAATTACATTGTGTACTTGACTGTAGCCAGCAGTTATTCACTTGTTAAAGCTACAGTCCATCATTTGCATCTATCCAAAAAGCAACATAATTATTGTTGAATAACATACTTAGTTGAAAGATAGTAAGGGGGAAATTATTCTTTCTGGCATGCTGTCATTTTTGAAGAAATCAACAAAGGAAGGCTTTTTCAATGATGCGTCTAAAGAGGCATTGTTAGAAATTTTTGTTTAGACTAATTCGGCGAACAAAATTAGAAGCCATTTTTGTTTGGGTGCATTCCGCATGCGTTCCCAATGACAATAAGCAGCGCATGCATTTTGGAACAACCCTATTGGTCAAAGGAGCGTGGGTGTGCAGGCTTACTACCTTAGCAAGCCTGGTTGCTCCTTAGAAGATGGCTGTTGCCGAAGTAGTCTGGCCTAAACATTTCGCCATTCCTCGCCAAATTGCACTGATTCTCCCGAAGCCTCACTGATTCTCACCGATTCTTGCCAATTTTAGCAATTCGCCCAATACTATTCTCAACAATTCTCCCCAGTTCTCACCAATTCTCCCCAATTCTCACTGATTCTCCCCAATTCTCAACAATTCTCAACAATTCTCGCCACTTCTCAACGATTCTCCCTACACAATGTTCACCGAGTCTCACTGATTCTCACCACATTCCAGTGTCGACTACACCAGCGCGTGCCAGGCACTGACCCCTGAACTCCTGAACACCACAGCATGGCAGACTCTGATTAAGCCTTCAATGCTTTCCACCAATCTGGCCATGGAAATCATCCAAGACTTGGTCTTTGCTCTGCCAAGTGAGTAGAAACAGTCAACATGATTGTAACGTCATGGATGCGTTCCACTTGCTCAAACGTGTTTGCGTTCTTTAGCTGGGCCTTACGAACGTGCCAACTACCCGGACCCACAAATAGAATGATAATGCCATCAAAAAACTGTTGTCAAAGTGGTAGTGGCCTGTATGCCAATACAGTATCTTATTTTTTAAATCCTCAAAGAATTTAATTGAATTGAAGTAAAATGAAAGTGAAATGGTACCAGTAATACAGGAATTTACTGTGGATGTAAAAAAAAAACCGGAGAATATTAGCCTTGACAGGATCATTACCTTCATAGTGTGTGTCGGCCATTTTGGAAAACGTAGTGTTATGTGCGCAAAATTCAAATGACTAAAACAACTCGGGAAGACGGTCCGCTTTAGTTGCTAACATTAGCCAATGTTGGCTTACAAACAGTTAGTCCAATGTGAATTATTTTTGAAGGATTACATTAAAGTCTTCTGCATGTTTATATAATTAGCCAAATTGAACCAACAAATATGACAACAATTTCCATCGGAGAGAAAATGATTTTTGTCAAACAAAAAAGTGAAATTGTTTTCCAACCTGATCGAAAATTAAGTCTTCGTCTCTCTAATTTTGTGGTTGTTATTTATTTCTTGTTTTGCAGAATATCAGGAAGATTTTCAGACACTCATCAACGACATGACAGCGGTTGTTGAACTGTTGACGGTTTTCACTGAGGTTGAGAGCGACATCCTGCAATCAGGCGCGGTTGTTCTTCTTGACCCTGATCAAATGTCAAGGGTGAGAACGCCAGTAGCTTATACCTGACCCATTGAGGAAGCACTAGTCTGAAACAAATGATATTTAGTTCGATCCATGGACAACATATGCCAACATATGCCCTTATGCAATAGCGCGTAATCACCAAAATGTTTCCCAGCAAAAGGGCATATGCAGAAAACTGCCTCTATTTTTAATGAAATTTAAACATTTTCGTCAAAGTTGTTTCGAAACTTTAAGCTCCTCACACAGTCAAAATATTGTCCATCCTTTCACTGTCGTTTGTTTCCTTCCAGGCCATTGACCTTTTTCACCGTGTCGTACAAGGGGAAATTCCTAGAGGCATTGTCTGCAATGAGTATACACTCTCTCAGGTCACTCACGGAAACGCCACCCATCTGAGTAAACTGTTCTGTGGAGTGGAGAAACTCCTGCAAACACATGCTGTACAGGAAGTCCTGAGGATTGTGGGATTTGAAAACATCTTACCCAAGGTACATTGTTATTATAGGTCTGGAAAAACTACTTGAATCACATAAACAAGGGTAAAATTGTAGAAGTTGCAGAAGTATTTGTTCTTTCAAATCCATGAATTTGATCCAAATTTATGGCATAACAAAACTTTAAAATGCGAACAGAGAGTTGATTCATGTGTAACTGAGATCGTGGTGCGTGACAATAGTGCTTATTCAATTTACAATCTCATTGCTTTGTATTTTTTTGTCATACACATGCTTAGAGCCATAATCAATGATTACTGAAGATAACTCACAGACATCAAAAGATTTTTTTTTAAAAGGGGAAAAAAAAACTTCACAGATTCTGGTGCAATATTCAAACTTGACAATTGTAGAGTATTTAAGGCCGCCTACTACCTGCGAATACAAAGCATATTAGACGTCACAAATCATTCACTGTGAAATTTGCCTGACATGCCATGAATCCTCTTATACCAGAATACTTGAGTATAGAGCTTTAGACTTATATTTCTCTTTATATTTATAGATAACTACTCTATTTAGTGCCGATCCGACAAACTACGAGCCCTTTGACTGCCCGGCGTTTGCCATGAACAGTCAGAATTTCATCATGAAGTTGTGGATGCTCCCTTCGGAATACGCCAACTTCTTCAGTTCGTTCCAGCGACCCGAGTACTTTGATCTGTTCGAAGTGCTGCCTCAGATTCTAGCAAACACAACAACTGAGGATTTTGAAAGGTAAGCAGCAACTAACTTTACATAACACTGCATGACTTAAGCCATGCGCAGGACTTATGCAACCAATTTGAACAGCTTGAATGAGAATACAAACAATTTTTGACAGCTGTTTGTTTTTGTTTTTGCTAGGCCACAAAACAGTCATTTGCCTGCCATTTTGAAAATAGTTTTGTCCAACTTTCTTGGGAATCGTGCGGCAAATATCATTTACCTCAAACACAAAGCTGTGGGTGTCTTGTACCAACTTTGATAAGTTGTGCAGTGACAGGCTCCACGACAAGTTGTACTATGACTGGCTCCATGCCAATCACGATTTGCTAGTGAAATAGGTCCTTTTCAGTCATAACACCACAACTCACTGTACCTATAATGATTGTGCAGGTTATGTTATAATTTGTTACGCAAGTCGCATACTTAACGCACCATGAAACAGTTTTTAAATAGTCAAGCTTTGCACAGCATTACCTGTTGCACAATGTTCACAGTCAATTGTGAAGCAATTGGAGGTAAAGAAGTACGTTTTCAAAGTTTGATTTTCTTTTTCTGAAATTTAGCTTGACTGAGCTCTACCATCTTCTGCAACCTCTGATTGGTCCTCTGCTTGACAACGGTTTCCTGGACAACGCCACAAATATAGACGTGTTGCTGCCATATTTGGAGTTGATAGATGCATATCTGATATCCCAATTAGGTAATTAGTAGATTATTTTTTCTTGAGTCTTGTATGATTTTCATACAAAAAAGGAAAATATGAATGTCAAAATCACACAGAGTTTTTCTAATGAATAGAGGGCGAAATAAGACACAAACAAACATTGTTTATGTGGATAACCATACATAAATATAAAGAAGTTCATTATTTTCACCTAAAAATTTGCATCTAAATTGCACGCAAATTAAAAAAAAAGAAAATCGCTGTTTCCTTTTGCAAAAGGAATACAGTGTGGCATGCTGATGCCAACTATTTCCCATACTGCATTGTGACAAATGGCTTCACTGTGATACCGCATTGGTACTGTTCATTGAGAATCTCCACTGATCTCTATATACTGACTGGATAGTGCATAGAGAACAACGGGTCGAAGTCAGTTGAAGCCATGTTGGGAAGACCGCGCCAGTGTTCTTAAAAGGACAACTTTCCATCTTAGATCTGTTTTCAAATATTGTGATTCACTTTTATAACTGAATGATTTTCTTTGTGTCCACCAGTTCACTTTTTATGATGTGTAACTATAATCATGGCAGAAACTTGTCCTTTTTTGATGATCATCATACGTGCATGTGAACAAGAAAGCGTCAAATCAAGATGCAGCGCCCATATTGAATAGACCGGGGGTAAACTAGCCAAAAAGCCACACAATGAATAATCACCTGTATTCTCTCTATCTTCCACAGATCAGACAGGCTTTGTGGAGTTGAGTTCTCTTTGGAGTAACGCTTCAGTAGTCAGGGAGTACCTTGCAGCTATTGCAGGATTCAGTCCCGATATCATCGATGCCATCATCAACAATAAACTCAACATCTCAACAGTGAGTAGTCAGTGGCCATTTTCCACATCACGGCTGCATTGCCAGCTTTAACTTCATCTCAGACTACGGAGTCATTTTCTAATATTTATACGGAACCTAAGCAAATACTCCAAATTTGAGCATCACATCGGAACATCTTAATTTTTTTCTGTAAGAGAAAATGTGGCAACTTTGAACCTGAGGGCCTAAAACTTTGGCTTAAAGTCACAAAACTTAAGCCTAAAGCCTATGCTGGAGATGGAGCCAAGGTTTGGCAAACACCCTTTGATTGCGAAATGGGAAGTGAGATATTCTCTTTCGCATTAAGGAATGTGGTCTACTTGTTTAAATTCAGGTCCTGATCGTAGGTTGTGTCCTTGGGCAAGACACTTTACCTCAATTGGTACGAACATTAGCTGGGAAGTAACCTGCCATGGACTGGCATCCCATCCAGGGGGAAATATTTCTTTCATGCCAAGGAAACCAGAAAAAGACATTAGCCTGATAGTGGTGCATTGCGCTACATATCATGCATGGTAATTGTCTATTAACTGATCTTCATTGTGTTTTCTTGTTAGCTTATCCTACTCCAGGGTAACGTCAGAGATGAGCTGTGTACAAACATGTTATTCACCCGACTGTTTGTCTTCAACGATACGGCCACTGCGTCAGAGGTTCAGACCTTGGTCTGCCAATCTCTCAACAGCACCGACATCCTGGAATTCCTTCAGGGGTCACTCAACGTCACTGAGCTCATTCAGGCTGTGAGTGTTTATTTCGTTAGTATTGAGTTTCTTGGTGAAAACAGGGCTGTAAATAACTGAATCAAATTGTTAGCCAGAGTTGTGCCAGACAAACTAGCCGGTGCGTTCACATAGCTTTAAAGGCAGACATAAATAAAAAGTATATAAAAGTGTTCAGCGGATACTAGGAATCAAAGTCAATAGGTTTGGCTGCTCAAGTGATGTCTTGCCTTTTTTGCAGGGGTTCAAGAAGGGCTGTAACGGCGACAGTATTAAGACCTGTGTTGAAAGAGAGCCATTTACAGCCCTGTTTATAGGGCTACTGTTCATGGGGATGAACAATGACAAATGAATACTTAGCAGTATTTTAAATACCTTGACTTAAACTTGAAAACTGGAAGACTTGCCACTGACTTTTGTTTGGCTTGATGAAAACTCTGGCAAAATGCTCCCAAACAAGGTGAATTTTGGATAAACTGAGAGAGTTGGGGGTAAACCTAACCCTGCCAGATGCAGCAAAGTGCAGCAGGTGTCGAAAAGTCTTTGGGACTTTGTTGCATTGGTTCTAAAGATTATAGCAACCTAAACAGCCAAATCTGAGATTATGGGAATTACATGAGTGCCAACACAAAGGGCTCACCCCTCACTACTGTGGCCTGGGCTTGATTCCCAGCTCCAACCATATGTGAGCAGAGTTGTTCGTTGACTCTCTCCTGTACCACTTCAGCACTTCTGATCCGGTTGAGCTCCGTGGTCAGACACGGGTCGCATGGCAGCTATCTAAGGCACCCTTACATACCTTTGGCTCGACTACATTGTAGCTGTCTTCTTCCCATTTCAGCGTCTGCTGCGAGTAAGGATGATTACCCCCCCCCCCCCCAATTAAATGAATGGAATCGATTGATTTTTCTAATCTTTGCGACCAATCAGATAACATCCTCACCAATGGACGTGACCCTCCCGGAGTACATGGACCAGCTACTGGAAGCCCTGGCAACTCTGTCGGCTCTTGACCCGGCCATCCTTGACCGCTTCCTGACTGACCAGTGGCCGTCGCTGACGGACGGACTCGTTAACACCACGGAGATCATCCAGCTGGCCATGAGTGCCAAAGACCTGATCAGCATTGCTAAGAGGTAAATCAAAGGTTTGGCGGGTGATTCACAGTACATTGGTCTGCCAACAATTTTAGACCACAGAGCAGGGTTTCCCCAGGGTTTTGTGAGTGTGACGTGGTACCACCAACTGTCAGTTGACCTTAAAATGAACACTGTCACTTGCGCATTTTTAGCAAAGAAAAGGGACCCCTACATGTACGGGCATCACTAGATGGGGGGGGGTATGTACAAACCTCCCCCCCCCCCTCATTAGTCGGTTTTGTTGGCAAAATCTTGTGTTTGTTGGCAAATAAACTGTAACGAATAGCGCCACCTGTTGTCCAATAGTGTCCAAGATCAACTGCTTTGAACAGCACCCCCAACAGTCAGATAGTGTCCAGCCGCCACCCCCCCCCCTTGTCCTTTTTGATTTTGCTGGAGCTGGGTGATAAGAAAATATTCCTGGCTACCTTTCAGCACAGATGGTCCGTCGGCCAATTTGGTGTCAACCTCCACCCTCCTCCCCCAACAAGGCTTCAATAAGTTTTACTGTGTTTTTAGACAGTGTGCTGTAAGTTGTACTTTGAAGTTGTATACATTTATTTTTAAATGAAGTTTGTAGTTACAGGACTTATCTTTTTGTCTTGCCTGTTCAGCTTGCAGCCTGTGATTGATGTCTTACGGCCGGCGTTGGGCAACGATTCAACTTTCCAGATGATAGAGAAACTCTTGGATTCTCTCAACAGCCTTGATGGCTTGCTGGACCTCCTCAGCAAGCTTCCAGGTAAAACAACAAGCTAGCTGGGTGCTCCAACTGCAATTCTTTTTTGGGGGATTAATTTATTCGCTGTGTGTGCAGAAAATCGCAAATGCCATCAGCACGTTAAGAGGAAGGCTCTTGCTTTGAAGTAAGAACTAAGTTCACAAAATGCAATATGCACTGTTTTTGTACGAAACGTTTTCATGCCCAAGTTGTTCAAATAGATTTTGTATTTTTTATTGCATGGAAAACTGAAAATTGCAGATTTGGTCACCGGTGCCTTACACACTCGTGTAGCTGCAACGTTTTTCCTGAACTGAAAAACATTCAAACTTGATATGCGCATGGGCAGCTGGGGTACCAAACTGGGTTGTTGTAGATTCTCTGTGCCTGGAACCTTCAACTCTTTGAGTACTCTGAGCAATAGATCGGATTGAAACTGCATCTGCTTGACATGATGCAGATTGTGTATTGTTTTGATTCTGTTTAATTAGGACACTAAAAATCTCAAAATTGGGTTTTATCCTAATTCACCTACGTATTTTTTATAAACACTGTATACTCAGTGTTGCCCCCGAGTGGTTGCGAGAAAATGTTCGCTCAAGGTGGGACTCGAACCCATGACCTCCTGCTTACTAGTGCAGATGTCTTACCACTCAACCACTGAGATTGCCGGGGTCAGCTTGCTGGTTCAAATCAGATATAGCAGCGGGTACCGCAATGAAATTATTCATGTCCATCTTATGAACACTAAAATCTGTTGTCGTCATCCTACCTTTAGCGTCAGTTGGATACAATTAATAATAAAATGTTAAATGGTGACTTCTGCCGGCATTTTTTGTCAGGCAGCATCTCAAACCAATACCATTGGGTCATTGTAGTTGAAGTTCAGAATATAATATCAGCATTGCAAATGGCGTCGAATATCAAATCAACATCACCTGACACTGTTACCCCTGATCACCAGGTGTATCATTAGTTCTTCATTCCTTATTTTATTCCCTATTTTCCCCCCAGATCTTTCACTGCGCAAGCTCTTTAAGGACCCAGATGATGTGTATGAGTTTCTGGTGGCAGAAGTGGGATTCTCAGACCAGGCAGCATCTGATCTGCTTTCAGCTTCTTTGAGCCTGGAAGTGGTGAGTCGATAGGCTTTGGTTAATCCACTTATTGGGATTCTGAGTTTTGCTCTTCATCCATGTTATTTTTAACACTTGTAAACTCGGTACTGTAGTCCTTGCGAGAAAATAAGAAAGCTTGCTCAGTTGCACTCAGACCCAAAACCTCCTGCCAACTAGTGCAGAACTCTACCCAATGCAAACTTCTTGTATCTTTTCAAATAAACCTGAGTCACCGACTGACTGAGTCACTGACTACAACTAGTTTTCCAAAACTGAAACTTTAGGGTCTGCGAATTTCACAATTTCACAGATAAAGCAAATCAGGTTGCTTTAGTGGGATGAACCTCATGGTGTTTCACAGCTTTTTAATCCAATAGATATCAACATAACCATACTACATTGTACTACTTTGTATTTATTCAGTGACGAAACCATAAAGTGCTCGGATGGTTTCGTGCAGTACAGGGAAAAACCCACTGTTTAAAGCCTTGTATAGCTTGGAATTTCTTTTTGTTTGTTAACTAGTTCCCAGTTGCTTTCCTAAGAAAGGGTGATTTGGGGATCGAGCTTTCGAGGTACCCATGAGGTGAACACTCCTCTTAAGACCAACCCGACCAACCATATAGGCCACTCGGGTTGGGACACACCATTTTGGAGAGTTTGCCCTGGGGGATTAAGACTCCTAACCGCACTGATCCTATAATTGGTTCCATAAAGGAGCGAAGGTCACTCTGCCTGAGAGATTTCAAGCACATTATTTCGTTGCTAAATTCAATCTAAAAGTATTATCATGATGATGTACCTGAAATGTTGACTTCTTTTATATGTTGAACTGTGAAAATCAGTGAATAAATGGCCGAGAACGATCTTTTACTGCTATGCTAGCAAAAACCACAATCACCAGAAAGTATAGTTCCAGAAAGCAGTGTGGCCAACAGGTGGTAGTTCATTTAACCACAAGTGATTATCTTGCTAGGACTGTGGAGGAGGGAGGGGAGGGCTCCCAACAGAGGTCCAAAATGGTGTGTGAAACTAGCCACTTTCTTAAGAGGGCCGTTTTCATCATGACAGTCTGTTTCCAGAATTGCCCTTTCTATATATTTATTTCTGAATTGGCCCATCTTCAGGAGTTGTGTTGACCCTTTCATTTTTACAAATTTATCTGTGACCAGGCGCCGTCTTTGAACTTTACCGCCATCAACACCATTGCGTGCGACGAGACCGAACTGACCAAGCTCATCACATTCCCGAAGGGTACCAACGTCACCGGTGTCCTGCAGACGCTGTGCACGCTGGACTCTGAGCAGCTGACTGTTGCCTTGGAGGGGGTGATCGAGAGAATGTCCATTGGCGCGGTCATCGAAGAGGTATGATAAACAAGGGGATGGAGTCGGGGAACAAGACTTTGGAAATGACAGACAAGATGGCTTCAATTCGTACTAAGCACAGAAAAAAACTTGCTTAGCAAAGACAGGTCATCGGCCAAAATGTCATGTCATTTATACTTGCGTGTGACTGGTCTCTGGCTTATTTTTCGTAAGCTCATAAATTCACTAAGTAATATTTTCTGCTTCTGCAGCCCCATGAAAATGGGCCTTTGAAATTAGAATTTTTCCGGCTTAATTCGTACTGCGCCACTTTATGTTTCAGTAGACTTGTCAGTCTTGTGAAAGAATCATAACTGTAAGATAAAGATCTAAGGTAGCCCCATGTGACAAATCTCTTTTATGAGTTTGTGAGGTTTCTGAAAGGAACCGGGGAAAACTCAACGTTTCGGACGGTATGCACTGCCCGTCATCAGGAGACTGACGACCTTATCTTATGGATGCAAACCTTCAAATCGAATCGTGACTATAGACTAATCCATATTTGTTCTCTCTCTCTAGCTGTTGATGTACAGCTTCAAGGAGAGGTTTGGCAACACCACAGCCTCGCTAGGCGACCTATCCAATGCAGCTGCAGACTTGAACGCCATCCAAGAGTCTTTCCAGACCATCATGACCGAGTTCCAGTCCCTGAACTTCAGCTCTTTGGCGATCGATGAAATCGTTGACTCCATCATGGGCAACGCAGCCGCTCAAGCATCCACTTCAGCCAGTCCCTTGTCTGAAATGGTCTGCGGAAAGGGGGTCTCCATTAACCCTCTCTCGGCAGACGATCTGTCATCCGTGGCCAGAAGGAGGAAGCGAAGTGATGGGCGGAGCCGAATGAAACGGGAGGACCAGTTCGAAAAAGTACCAGGAAGCAGTGAGTTGCATCTCCTTTAATTTTGAAATGATAGAAACTGAAGCCACTTGCTGGCCTGGGCACTGGTGGAATTCAAATCTCGGTCACAGAGGTGAAAGGCCAGCGAAAATACAACCGCACCAATTTGACTTTCCAAAGGCACAGACAAGGACCTTGTCTGTGCCTACACTGTACTGTAAAAGATTTCAATTTTTACTTTCTCTAGTTATTGTTATTAATTTAGTTCTGGTCACGGAACCAAAGTTTTCCAATGACACTGTACCTCACAAGCCTGAAGAAAGCTTGTTTTTAAAAGACAATGAAGAAATGTTCAATTTTAGAGATGGGAGGGGAACCCCTGACCAATATTCTGGGGGGAACCTACAGAGTCAGGTAGAGACCCAAGACCTTATTCACAGCTTGGGTGGGGTTCGAACCCCGGGTCTGCATTTTACTAAATTCATAGTATTAACGGAAAACTATTCTACCTTCTTTGAACCTTGTGTGCCTTTAGAAAATGGAACATTTCAGGCTTCTCCCCAAAGAAGTACTTCTGAAACTGGGAAAAATATTGTTAATTATATCAGTATATTTTGGTTGTGTTTGATTCAGCCCCATTCTGCAGTTCCCTGTACGACGCCATTCAAGCTGGCGAGAACGGCCGTCTTATCTGGCGTTACATCAAGCCAATTCTACTGGGCAAGATCCCATATGCTCCCAACAGTCCTGCCGCGGCCAAGATTATCAAAGCAGTAAGAACATTCACAGTCTTAAAACCAGTTCATACTTCATGCGAATACGCTGCGAATTTGACGTCACGAAGCATTCGCTGCGAAATTTTGCCGGAGTTGAAATGTGTTCAACTTGTGCGATTTTGCAGCGCGAAAAATTGCCCTGACCTCACAGGTTCGCGTTCGCTTTTCGCACCGAGTATGAACCGGCCTTCAAGGGAATACATTTGTTTATTTTACTACTTTGTTGTATTCTTGATTGGATTTTAGTTTTAGATCAAAATCACCCTTGATGTCATTTGCCTATGGGCCCCGTTCACAAGTACCCCCTCAACGGTTACAAAGGGAGAGTTGGGGGAGACCACTGGGAGGGACATTCAAATGCATTGCTGAAGACGACTGATGCTCACGCAGAGATTTTTTGGCTTCGGGCACATTCAGAATAACATAAGTCTTTCGTATTTTGCATCATATGTGCGCGAACCAGTACACGCATGCAGTGCGTTCCGTCCACTGGGCTCTCAAAAGAGGTCAAAAAGGCACCATTCACCAAGTCCATATGCAAAACAGCTGTGGAATTGGTTTTCTCATGTTTTTCACTAGTGTAACATCAACTTTTTTAAAACCAAGTGATTATAGGACTGTGTGACCACAACATGACCATAACAGCTGTGACCACGACTTGCCTGCTTTGTCTGTTGACCCAGTTTCACTAGTCACGGTGCTTGCTTGACATAAGATCTGACTGCTGGTGACAAGCCCTTGTTATCAGGGAAAGTGGAAGTGAATTTTGACTGTCTGTGACTGTTTAAATACAGGAGGGTTAAAGTGTGATATGTTGATTGACTTCACAGCAAGGGATTTACAGTGGTATCAAAATGGAACAAGCGTGTGATTGATGAAAATGTAATGACACTCCTAGGGGTATTGAAATGAACGCACAATGTAATTTGGATTTTCCCCTTTTATCACGTTTATTCTTTTCAGTCTAATTTCCTGTTTGAGGAGATAGCCACAATCCGTGATGTGGCTGCGGCTTGGCTGGCTGGCTCTGCAGATCTGAACACACTGATTGGCAGCAGTCAGTTAAGCCTTATCAAGGTGAGTGTGAACGGCTAGCCCAGGATCTTATACCGTGGGGACAAACTGAGCTGCTCCATCAAAATGAGGCTTCAGTTGCAAAATTAGGTCTTGTGAGAGAATTAAGGAGAAATGTTAAATGTTAGCATCATTTTGTTTTTGGTACCGCGATGTCACACTATAAGAACTCCATTGTAGAACAGATGTAACAAGAAAGCACTCAGAGAGCACAAACCTCCGCCAAGGCTAAACAATTCCCCGCCATATTGTCGGTACTTCCAATAAGTACTCGCATATCCACTGGACTTCATATTTTATTGCACATTCCCCACTCCCCCTAGTATCAAATGGTTGAGTCCATTGACCTGTTGGTTTCAAAGCTGTGTGCGCTATGTGCTCATAGACTGCACGCTGCGTTACCCACACAAATCTCTTCACATAGCATATTTGCACACACAACATGGTGAAGAATCCTTTAAAAAAATCTTGCATCCAGACCTGATCTGGATTTGTACTTGTACCAAGGACCACCCCTAAAAAAAATTCATGAAAATCCGTCCATAAGTGTTTGAGTTATCCTGTCAACAGACAAACCAACAAACAAACAAACAACCCAACAAACTAACGCCGATGAAAACATAACCTCCTTGGCCGAGGTAATAGCCGTTCAGATTATTCTGGCTAGCTGTTTTTTCTGTTTGAGTCTTAGTACATTTTTTGAAATGATAGAAACCGAAGCCACTTGCTGGCCTGGGCACTGGTGGAATTCAAATCTCGGTCAAAGAAGTGAAAGGCCAGGAAAAATGCAACCGCACCAATTTGATTTTCCAAAGACACAGACAAGGACCTTGTCTGTGCCTACACTAAACTGTAAAAGATTTCAATTGCGTAAAAAAAATTGGTTATTCTGGAGGTTTCAGGTTAAAATTCTACTCCTGTCCAATTCTTCCAACTCAATTCTGGAGCAGCTGTTGGTTGTGTACAATTCCCCCCTCCCTTTTTAATTTTTTTGTTTTCTATCAAAGTCTTGAGAATCATTGTAATCACATTAATTTGAAGTCTGGATTGCTCAGTTGGTAGAGCTCTCGCACAGCGGTAGGTTCAGGTCCCTTTCTAGTCAAATTCTTTACTCGACAGCAAAATGTAAATCTTGGCAGATTTACCGTTGCTGTTCATTTGGTTCATTTACACTTGTTCAATTTTCTCCCGATTGGTTGCAGGATTTCGTGGCCAACTCCTACACCAAGGAGATCCTACAGGACCAGCTTGGGCTGGACGCTGACCTCATCGCGTCGCTCCTGGACAGTGACCTGGTAGCAATCTCAGCCGACGACCTGGCTATGATTGACGAGATGGCCGAGCTAGTGGTCAACTTGACCGGCTGCGTTGAGCTGAACCGGTTCATACCGTACCGGACCGAGAGCTTCATGAAGGCAGTCGCTCAGAGATTGAGCCGGAACAACACTCTCTTTGCAGGTCGGTCACTTACTCCAGAGATATCAAGGTGGGGGTGGGGAGGCAGGACAATGTCTGGCGGCAGTGGTGAACGAGAAATGTTTTCCCCAAAAATCCAACTTGCTGGATGGCCATGCTGATGGTGTAAGCATACACCGCGCCATGTGCTAGTGGGCCATGTGCAGTGAGCACGTTCAGTGCGTTTATCAGATGTGCAGCTACCCCTTTCTTTTTCCCTTCCCCCCCCCCCCCTTTTTTTGTTGTTATGGTCATAATGGGTTTCAACCCCCCACCCCCCTTTTGCTGCGCAACTGTCTGGCACTGGGGACTCTATGTGTAGCGACTTATGTTGCTGGCAACAACTGAGTTTTATCAAAAAGAATGTAAACAATGATGAGAGTTTATCAAACTTCCACACACAGTAGCACGTTTGTTTATGGTGTAAATCAAGGATTTTCTTTTGTTCCTCTTCCCTTTTCCTTTGTTTGTACTCTTTTTTGGCAACAACTCTCATTGATTTTGTACACGTTTTCTAATCAAGGTCGTCCTCGATTTGGTTCCAGTCCTCGATTCACTGATGATGTTGCACTTGTGTGTCCTCAATTTACATCATAAACAAACGCACCCATCTTTGTAAACACTGACAATCGTGGACTCCCTATTGTCCCTAATCCTCATTCCTTTGCTTGTACTCAAACTTTTTAGCAACAGCTCTCATTGGTTTTGTACACGAACTTCAATCATGGACTATCGGTCCATCGTGGACCCATTGTTTGTGCCCTAACCCTTTTGTCCCTTGTCCACGATTGCCGGTGTCTTCATACTCACATATGCACTCTAGTGATTACTTTGGAGAAGCAAACTGATTTTGCTGGAAGGCATTTGGAATTTGGGTGAAACGTCCAGCCTGACAGACATTATAAACTGCCAGATTCCTGTGAAAATAGTTTGCTGTCTTAGTCACTTGTACACTTAAAGGGAAAATACAACATTTGCAAATATCAAAAAATACAACTACCAAATCATTTTGAAATACCTTGCTGGACTGTTAGTGAATGACAGTGTAAAGCATCCTGTAAAATCATGGCACCTGGTATACTGTCATTTTCAAGAAAAGTGGTATTTTTGTATCAATTTCCAACGCTGGTCGGCCGACCAGCGTTGGAAAAAACTGGCTTTTTTTCAAATACTGGCCCCAATTGACCATCGCACTTGTTTGCAATCGATTACACACCTATGAACGGGTACAAGCCAGCTAGACTGGTTCCCTAACCTTACAATTCCCCAATGTATGTAAACTGCTCTGTTTCTTCTTATATGGAGTCAGGGAACCAGACTACAGGAAAATGATTGTTTTTCTTGGTTTTTATAGCATTTTCGAGCCCAAAACCTCAAAAAAGTCAGTGTAACTATATTTGCTATATATTTCCAACCCCCCCAATTCCATCCATTTCTGAAAATTACAGCAAAAGCAAATGATGTATATTCCCTTTAAACCCATGTTGGATTCCTGTGCAGAACTGACTTGGTATGAGAACTTATGTCTGCATGTTTATAGAAAAAGAACCAGGAAGTGGTTGTTTCTGATTTGTATTTACTATTGTGACATTTTCTCTTCTGTTGGTAGGTGTTTATTTCAGCAATCTGCAGAATGCCGATAGCCTGCCCCCGCACGTGCAGTACAAGATCCGCATGGACATTGAGAACACTGCAGAGACCAACCGACTCAAAGACAAGTACGATGACCCCTCCTTATTTTTGTGTTGACACTCTAAAGTGGTTTTGCTTTCAAACAGGCGTCCAAAATTCATTTCCCTCCCAAAAAATTACCTTCAGTTCTTAATGATCCTATGAACCTGTAATTAAACTGTCGTGATGCCCATTGTGATTCTAGGCTTTGGATGCTGTAATCATATCAATCATAGGGGAGTCCCAAGACATCACAAGACATCACAAGGCAATCACAAGTTAATCACAAGTTAATCACAAGTCATATTGGGAGTCATTCACAAGTAGATCACATAGCAACCACAAATAAACCACACTTCGATCACAAATCAATCACAAGTCAATCAGAAGGCACCTATTGTGACGGGGTGTCGGGTATCAAATCTCAACTTCAGACTTGACATGCTTGTAATCGGGTGAACACGGTTTAATCTGTCCATAACAAATACAAAATTTACTTTAATTAGTTGTAAAATATAACTATGAATCAACAACAATTTTGTTTATAATTAAAGTTAAGCAATCATTACTAATCACATAATATCAGGCAATTAACAGGATTGATGACACCAGCCTTGTCTGTGAGTCTACATGTACATTTTGTACCATTACACGCAATAACCCTAGTGTCACATGTAATTAACCACAATGCACGTACATGTACATTATAAACTGTCTCTAATTTATACTTGTGTGTGTTTTTTCCCCAAATTAAATACCTTAAACTTATCCCAGAACCCAAAGCATGTCCATAATAACCAAATAAAGGGATTATAAATGATGAGTTATGTATATTTCACTTACGACTTTGGGATGACGTACTAACAAAACATGAAATATGGCGACTGCAAAAGCGTGACTGCAGAAAGTTATAGCTTACGTTCCAATTTAACAGCGCCCTCTATTGATGAAATATAACAAATAATTAGTTTATCAATAAAAGAGCATTCTGACTTAACACCTATTTGAAAGCAAAACCACTTTAGAGTGTAAGCCCAAATCGAGGAGGGATCATTGCACCTGTCTTTGAGACTCCAAGACAAGTACAATGACCCCTTCCCTCCCCAAACAAATAACATTCAGTTCTGGTGTCTAACGTTGACAAAGAGTGGGTACGATGTCCTTAAAGCCACGTAGGAACATTTGCAATTACAGGAAAATTACCTAAAGTTTTAAGTAACAGAAACCTTTCTCATAGAGAAGATAGGTAAGATTTGAGGCTTTGCATGGTGGAGATACTAAATGATGAAAGGTTTGCGGAAACACCATGTGCAAATAATTTTTCAACTAATAGAATGGTTCTGAAAAGAACCAGAGGTATAAACTCGACGTTCCGGTCAGTACGCTCTGACCTTCTTCAGGAGAGTCGGTCAGACTTAGTTGAGAAATTATTCGCACATGGTGTTTCCGCAAACCTTTCACCATTTAGAGAAGATAGGACTGGTTCCAAATTCACTGTGAAGTTTTTCTGCCTGAAATGGTCTCGTTTGGAAGATAACTAACATTGAAGATGGTTACAATATAGAAACACTTTTTTCATGTGTGTTAGCAAAGAAATCCAGTTTAATGTGCGCACATTTTCTCTGTTTTCTCAAAAACGTGTAGTATCCACTGAGCTGAAACTTCAACAGGTTTAATGGTTGTAACATGCCCTACTTCTGATTTTGAGAAATGTTTTGCTTGAAACAAAAATAATGCACCAACAGTGAATGATGCTAGGTATGTGTAATTAGCTGTCCTGATGCCCATCGTGATTCTAGGCTTTTGATGCTGTAATCATATCAATTATATTAGTGAATCAAAAGTGAGTCACAAGACATCACCAGGCAATTACAAGTTACTCACAATTCAGTCGCAAGTCGTATCGGAAGTCATTCACAAGTAGATCACATATCGATCTCAAATAAAACATTGAGTCGTTTGTCGGGAATTTTCATTTGCCAAAATAGGGCCACTTCATCACATCACTTCATCACATCTCTTGGTGTTCCGACTTCCATAATTTTTGAACTAAAGATGGTATCAGCATGCGGTGTTCGCAACAGTAATGCTGAGATGGTGCTCTTTTCAAATCTGTAATAAAAAGAATGTTTGACTGGGGTCGACAAACGACTCATTTAGCTCGATCGCATCACATCTGTAACCGGCAACCAGCCAATCATGATCTCCAGTCACTTGGGAGTAATGTTGTGCAAACCCGACCCGACCCGAAAACAACTTTTTGTCCGGTCGGCTTTTCTATCATTTCAGTCCGGTCGGGTCGGTTTCAGTTTTGCGTTTGTGATTTTCAGGTCAGGTTGGGTCCGAAACAGTTTGGCAATTCATGCGGGACAATATTAATGCAGAGTTACTGTGCACTGTATGACCAATGTCAGCGTACCGCGCCAATGTGCATGTCTTCGCGGTCTATGACACAACGTGTAGGCTCGGCAGTAGATTATGAGTCTTCACCAAACCGTACGATATAATTATTTACTGAGAGACGACGATTTTCACGTGACGCGGGTAATTTCAGGCACAGAAAGTAGACACACTTGCCCAAGCCATAATCGGGTTTTCAGTTGGTTCAGTTTCGGTTCGGTTTGCGTCGGTTTTTGCTCAGGTCAGATTGGGTCGGGTCGAGTCGGTTTAGGGAGTTCAGATCAGTTTCAGTTTGGATTAGGTTTATATCTATAGTGTTTCAGGTCGGTTTGGCCTGGTCAACCCGACCCGATGCACAACATTACTCAGGAACGGCGTCTTTCATAATATACCCAATATGAATGTTCTGCTTCAAATTTGAATAAAATGAGGCCAAACGTAAGAGTGTTTTTATCTGGTTTGGACATTAGAGATGTCTAATTCGATTCTGAAACCAGAGAAAAAGACAAGGCCAAGGTTTGGAAAAACCCAGAAGACTTGTGATTGACTTGAATAAAACTCTCTCCCTAATACCCTCAGTGCCCACAATTCTTTATTCATGACACAATTTACTTTGAAATTCTTGTATCTTCTTAGGGACTGGAGTGCAGGTGCTAACAATGAGCTGTTGAATCAAGTTTACACCCGAGGGTTCATCATCCTGCAAGACATCATTGAGAAAGCAATCATCCAACTACAGACCAGCAATGACACGGCCAAGCCGGGGGTCTACTTGCAGCTCATGCCCTACCCATGCCACGTCGTCGATCGGTAAGTCTTGTAGACCCGAAACGATTATCCGGTTATTGGATTGATTGAGCCATTTGTCGGTTTTTCAGTCACGTTATTCACGTAATCAAAACTCTCCCTGTCAAAAGTGGGTTTCCTTCTTTTGCACCACCCTGTACTTAACTCTTTCAGTGCCCGCGAAATTTGAAAAGTTTAACCCTAAACTGCCCAACTTCGAGCTTTTTTGTTAATTGTTCAGAATTCTGTAAAAAAAAAAAGTTAATAAGTTTTACTCACTAAATTTGCTGTTGTTGCTCTCTGGTATATCCTTGGTATATTGGAAAGTCAATAGTAGTCACATACATAGTGATACACCCTGAAACACTGTCCTGCACACAGGGGAATTCCGCACTTTTTGCAGAAAATACGAGTGTCAGTGCTGCGCCCTCTCGCAATGAAAATGATATTATTAGAAAGAGTGAGAGCGCCCCCTTGTGATAACATGCTTACTCTACCTCGTACATGTACGAGGTGTGGCGATTTTAAGTACGAACATTACCTCGTACATGTACCAGGTTGGCGATTTCGAACTGACAAATATACCTCGTACATGTACGACTTTGGCACTGAAAGAGTTAAACACAGTTTTAGAATACAATAAAGCAAACATGAAGTTTAGAAACAGCTGTTATACTGTTTTGTTTCTTGAAAGTAAAGTTTCACAACTCTGCATTTTTCATCTTTTTATAATGGGTATATCTCGTTTAGGAAATAAAATCTTCTTTTTTGTGAATAATATTTCCAATCTTTCTTTCTAATTTTGTTTTTGTTTTTGTTCCATTGCAAAGGTTTGTGGAGCGTTTTGGCTATCTAATTCCTCTCGTTATGGTCTTTGTTTTCATCGGAGCCATTGGTTCAATGACACATCAGTTGGTATATGAAAAAGAACTCGGAATTGAAGAGGTTTGTACCTGGACCACAATCATCTCAAATGCATAGGAGGATGGCAGGGCGCACAGACTCTCTCAATACAGTTTCAGAAACTAGTAGTACTTTAGCCTGTGCATCGTTGATGTAGGGAAAAAAACAGTCGGTCTAGAGTGAGAAAACTAGCAAGTGTTTAAGACCAACAGTATCTAGGGATGGAATACTTGATGTTTGGGGCTCGTTGGATTTGAACCTGTAAATACAGCTTTGTAGCCTGTACTTCTGGAATAAAAAAACAAGAAATAGTTATTTTGTGAGTGAGAGAGATAAGTGACGTATTTGAGGGAAATTGAACAAATTTAAGTTAGGGACCGAAAACTTGTTTGGGTTTTGGAATGGCTGCATTCGAACCTGTACCCATAATATTGTAACCTTTGTATCTAGGTAGAAGTTGGAAGGAGACAATGGGGAAATAGTGCGTTTAGGATGGACAATGCCAGAATTAAGGAGAAACCAAAAATGTAGGGATTTGAAAACTTATATGTTTTGCACTGACTGGTTTCGAACCTGTAACCCCATGTTGTACCCTGTGCATCTGAACAGAAATTAAGAAATACCAAAAAAAAAAAACTATTAGTTTTGGAGTGACAAAGCAAACATAAAGGAGGATTTTGTAGTTATGGGTTAAAAATTTGTTGTTTGGGATTAGCTGTGATTCGAACTGGCACCAACCATATTTTAGCCCCTTTTTGGGTTAAATCAGATGTAGGGAAATATAACAAGTGACATTGTCAGCAACATTAATGAAAAGGAATAGTGGTAAAGTCTCAAAGCCAACATAAGGTCAACCAAAAATAATAAGTTAGCAATTGAAAACTTGATTTTTGGAGAAGGGGCGGGAATCGAACTTGAGTCACTGAGGTGGAAGTCAAGTGGGCTAATGTTGTACCACGCTGATTGTCTGCCATTTTGTCTCCAACAGCTAATGAAAGCCATGGGCCTGCGGGCTGGCCTCAACCTCCTGTCCTGGTTCCTGAACAACCTCATTCTCATGGCCATCATGTGCGCACTCATGGTGCTCATTCTCAAAGTGGGCAACATCCTGCCCTCCTCTGATTGGTCGCTTCTCTTCTTCTTCCTGATGTGCTTCTCGTTCTCTCTCATCATGATGAGGTAAAGGACAAGCCGCCGCACCCAATGCGGAGTTAATGTTCAGCTTGTTTGTGAAGTCCACTTCATATTCAGTTATCTGTTTTGAATATTCATAAGAATAGCAGGGATGTCACGCTTGCGCATTGCAGGTGAAAGTCAAATGACAATATAACCCAGGTGTCCTTTCTTCTGCACGTACTTTGAATACTCAGTTGACGTCCTGGAAATAAATCCCCTGCAATAGGAAAAAAATGGTTTCACAGAAATTTCTCAAAACTAACCTGTGTAAAATAGCTGAAACGTGGAATACGGTGTGACCTTCGCCTCAACACCCCGCAACATGTTTTTTTTTATAATTTGATTTTTGGCAACATTATCCGTACAAATATATCCAACGATAATGATAAATTTGAAACGTACGTCTCTATAGGTATTAAAGTTAGTCATATTCACCGTGTTTACACTGCATAAACGGTAGGAGGCATGAGAAGTTTTTCTTAGCATATTGCGCTTGAAGTTGGCGTTTTAAGTTTATGCATTGCTCAGTGACTGCACTGCAAATTTCGAAATGAAAAACGTGTGCAGTATGCGCAATTAGAGGTGATGGGGGCCTTGCAGAGACATGTAATGACAAAGAAAGTTTATGTCGAATAATTCCAATTTGTAATTCCAATAATTCCTTTGTTTACATGTGCACTTTCCTGTGGGAGCTTGGTGGATTTCATCCCCATCCGGCTCCCATAGGAAAGCGCACATGTAAACAAAGTGTAAAGTCATGTCTGTCTGAAGGCTGATGCCTCAATCTTAGAAAAATTCTGAACAAGTTCCAATGTGATGACCAAATGATGCCATTGATGTCAGTTTTTGATGAGCATTGATACCTCATGATGCCGAGTGATGTCACATGAGTACTGAATGATGCCCAACTCATGATGACCATTGATGACTGTTTGATGCCTTCTGGTGCCCAGTGTTACTCAGTGGTGCCTTATGACAACCAAATGATGCCTAAATTGAATAATGATAATAATAATAACAGGCACAGGTGTAAATGTACCATTAAGGAGACACGATATCGTAATTTCTTCGAATGGTGGGAGACACAGGTCATTAGCCTCCCTAATGTCACAGCCCCCCCCCCCCCCCTCCTTTAGAGGCAAAATTTTGTTGTCGCAATTGGGTTATTTTTGTTGCTCGTGGTCTAATTAGTGAACATACCGATATTCGTGGAAAAAGGACAAGGGAATATTGGGTTAGGGCACATTTAAGTTTGAAATATTTTGTGCACAAGTCTTATGGGAATGCCTCCCAAATGTCCTTTCCAAGGTAATAATTATTATAATAGCACTTTTACACTGCAACGGGGTATCAAAGCACTTTACAGTTATTATTTCCCTGTTTCAACGGGCAAACACTCCTGAAACCATCTCAGCTCCCTAGGGAGCATACAGCCCCATGCTGCCTGTTAGGCGTAAGGAAGCAAAATCAACCATGCACAATAACCATCTCTGCCCTCACAGGTACCCATTTACTCCTGGGTGGAGAGAAGCAATGAATAACAAAGTGCCTTGCCCAAGGGCACACACACCTTGACCCCAGGCCCTTAAAGCCAGAGTCCATCATTTGCAGCTATCCAAAAAGTAACTGGCGTAATTATTGTTGAAAAACATACTTGGTTGAAAGATAGTAAGGGGACTAAACTCCCTGTGAAATTATTCTTTCTGGCAAGCTGTCATTTTGAAGAAATCAACAAAAGACGGCCTTTCCAACGGTGCGTTTTAAGAAGCACCGTTGGAAATTTCCGTTAGTAGTTCGTTTTTTTATTCGGCGAAGCGCGTGCATGCGTTGACACGACGCACACGCGCCCGTGGTTGCTATGATTCGTTGGATCGGTGCGCGACATCGCGTAGCTGCAATCGGCTAGTGAGAACGTGTCTCGGACACTGAATTCAGGCCCAATTTAAAACATAATTCAGCAATATTTGATTTGAAAATGAGATCCTAGAATGCTGGTTTTTCTCGAAATATACAGCTGAAGCTCAGCTGAAACTTCATCAGGTAAATTGTTCAGCACCCTTCTTCTGATTTTGAGCGCGTTTGTTGCTTCAAACGAACAAAATGCACAAATTACAAATGATGGACTATACCTTAAACCACAAGACCACTGATGCCCCACATGTACAGCACTGATTGATGACATCGATATATATTTGTTGATTGTTTTCCATAGCTTTCTGATCAGCACCTTCTTCCAGAGAGCACATGTTGCTGCGTTTGCCACTGTGTTGGTCTTCATAATATCCTACGTGCCGTACGTTCCTTACATCATTTTGGAGAGGAGTTTTGGAAGTTTCCATGAGACCTTCCTGATTGTAAGTATTTCCTATCTGACTTGATTTCAAGCAGTGGAGTGTTATTGAATTGTCAGAAAAGTTGCTTGCTAAAGCACCTTTTTTGCGCGGTTATTTGTGCATTTCACATTAAAATATTAAGATTATTTGGGTTTGGTGACATAACCACATAAAATGGTAATACAGTGTGAGTAAAAAAAACCTGAACCCCAACCCCCGAAATTATATTTCATATTTAAAAAAATATGTAGCACCAAAAATAATAATGACTGGAAAGCCAATTTCATAAGCTACTTTTGTATGAAAAGAATTACTGAAATTGCTCAATCCGTTCAAAGAATATTACCATTTAAACACAATGACCCTAAAACCTCTTTCGTCCGAAAATGCAATTTAAAGAATCCTCTTCACAATCGTCTTCAAACATCACCAGCAATAAAACTTCAGTTTAAAAATTAAAAATATTCAACAAAGTCCTTCTGAAGGCCCTTCTTTTCAAAAAAAGTAGATTTTATTAATCATATTGTTTGCCTAACCAGGGTTGTTATTAGATATTGTGTACTACATTTGTTGACAGTTGTTGAAACAAGTATTCTGTGTCAATTTCTTTGTTGTTCCAAACAGTAAGAATACACAATAAAACATTTTGGACGAAACTGGTTTAAGGGTTTGGGTTCCACTTTATTTGACTCACCCTGTATAACCAATTACCCTTGGGAGACGCATATGTATCCCATACCCACACCATTTCTAATGGTCTCTATTGACGATTTGGGAAACCGCCAGCAAAGGGCTGAAAAGATCAGTGTTCCTGCCGTCACTGGTTCACAAACAACATCGGTCAGTTTCTCTGTACAACTCGAAGTTGACTTTTTAATAGTCAACCTCACCTGATGCCCTTTGTGGTATATTTCAGAAATAAATGTGAGGCGTTCTGGTCTACTACACACATTTAAAAGAAAGAGCATGAAAATGGGGGAATAAAAGTATTTTTAAGCAAAAACAAGTGGCATCTTTCACTTTCACGACTACAACCAGTCAAGACTTTAAAGGGCTCTTTCTCAGTTTGTTTGGGTGGATATGTCAATAAATGCAAACTTTAAACAGCCTTGACTTGTTAACGGAATGTCCGATTGAAGTGCTACAAACAGTAATGATTGGAGAATTTTGGAGAATTTTATTCTCTTTCCTTAATAACCGCAAACCCTCATCTCGACTTCTGCCAAGTTCTGTATCCTTCTGCCAGAAAGCCTCATAAAAATAAAACTGTTTTGGTCAAATGTTTTTTTCTCTCTTCTAGTCATTGATTTCTACGTGTGCGTTCACCCTTGGTTGCAATGAGATCGCTGTAAAGGAAGCGCAGACGGTCGGTGTGCAGTGGAATACCTTCGGCCCTGACTTCCAGCAGTTCGGTATGTTTAACTTCAACTGGAAATGTGTGGCGATGCTATGGGATGGAGTCATCTACTTCCTGATCGGCTGGTATATCAGCTCTGTCTTCCCAGGTAAGACCGAGACCAGCAGCCGATTGTCACGCAACACTTGGAAACAAATTTTGAAACAAATAAACTTACGATTGATTTCACGAAACATGGCGGATCTTCACAACATTTTAAATAATCTCAACATCTTGGGCAAGGAGTATTACAGCCTTTACGACGCTCGTTTGTGTGTGATGTTGTTCGGTCACGAAACAGTCACTGAATCACAAAGTCCAAGAAATAGGGATAGTTTCTTTGACTGACTGAGACAAAAAGACCTAAAAATGATTACCGAATGCACATGGAAACAGGGGCGGCAAAGCTGGAGGGGAAGGGGGGCACACTTGCAGCCCAGATTTTCCCAGGCCAACAAAAGTGCCCCTCTCATGGTTATAAATGTGCCCCCTCTAGAGGATAACAAAACTGCCCCTCAAATGCACATGTATGAAAGCATATGATTGCGCTACAAATAAAATTGTCTCCTCTCTTGTAATGCAAAACTGCCCCTCAAAAACACAAGTACCCCTCTCGCATTAACAAGATTGTGCACCTTCTCGAGATGGAAAACTACCCCTCAAAAGCACAGACATCCCCCTTGCAATAATAAAATTGTGCCCCTCTCGAGATGGAAAATTGGCCATCAAATCAATAGTGCTCCTCTCGCGATAACTTCTCGAGATGGAAAACTGCCCCTCGAAAGCACAATTAGTGCCCCGCTCACAACATTTAAATTGTGCCCCCTCTCAAGATGGAAAACTGGCCCCGAAAAAATAATAGTGCTCTTCACCCGAATAAAATAGTCACTGAACTGGCCATCAAAAGCAACAGTGCCCTCTCGCGAGAAAACAATGGTCTCTGCACATAACTTGTGTTGCCCCCAGTTTGAAAAGCGTTCCGCAGCCCCTGCATGGAAACAAAGTGAATATAGACTATCGTTCACCCATTGTCAAACACTGATTCTTTTGCTTTGTTTGATTATATTTAGGACGCAATGGTGTGCCCAAGCCGTGGTATTTCATCTTCGTTCCCTGCTACTGGTCCAGCTGCTTCAGTTGCAACTCAGACTCGGGCAGCGGCAAGAACTACGCCGATGGCAGCAACAACAGTAAGTCCAAGAGAACCAGGATTATGATGAACAGTATTATGGGCTCCGTGCACAAGTACCCCCTCAACGGTTACAGAGTTGGGGAAGGCAATGGAAGGGGGTCTACTGGGAGATAAATTTTAAGGCATTGCCAACGGCGCCTGGTGCCCACGCTGAGATGCTATGAGTTTGTGCACATTTAGAATCAAATTAATCGTGTGTAATTCGCGCTGTTCAAGTGTGAACCCATATGTGAACATAGTATGTGGAGTGCTGTGGCCTCGTGGTTAAGGGCACTGGATTCATGGTCTGTGGGTAAAGCTGCGGGTTGTGGGTTCGAGTCCAGCCGGGGTCATGGTGCGTGTGCCCTTGAGCAAGGCACTTTGTCACTCATTGCTTCTCTCCACCCAGGGGTAATTGGGTACCTGTGAGGGCAGAGATGGTTATGTGATTGATTTAGCTTGCTTGCGCCTAACAGGCAGCATCGAGCTGTATACTCCCCAGGGAGCTGAGATGGTATTTGGAATGTTAAATTGGCCAAATGATCAGGGGTAATAATAATACTGTAAGCGCTGTGATTTAGTGTACTAAAAAGAGTGTTCTTAAATGCCGATTATTATTATTATTATGTCGAAAGTGGTCAAATAGTGCCATTTACTGTTTGTGCACATAAACGATTCCCTTATGGACTAGACTGATTTCTAAAGACTTCCGTATGGGGTCTATTGTTCCATTATGTTTTCTACCCCATAAGGAACCCTGTACATGTACACAACTGTGGAAATTCCAGGGTTCCCAGAGTCATGAAAAAATTACTCCTGGGAAAATCCTGGATTTTGAAGCTGTCATGGAAAGTCATGGAAAAGTCATGGAATTTGGTTATTTTACAAGGAGTCATGGAAAATTGATATTTCAAAGAAAAAAATCATGGAAAAGTTATGGAATCCTGCACAACCCACATGTAATGATGCCTAATATTTGGCTTTTGCAGTATTCCAGTGTGCTATCAGTTACTCTTTGTGCTCTATACTTGTTGCATGTTCAATGCACCATTGTGATGCTTTTGTGGTGCTCAATGGTTTGTTTGTCAAACTGGAAGGCTGAAAGGGAGTGGCATCCCTTGCCTCAGTGTGATGACTGGCAAGTGTATTGTAACTCTTAGGCTCCTCAGATGCCAAAACAGCGTAAAAAAAATATTCATGTAAAACCGTAATTATGTACTGGAAAGGTCAGGGAGTCATGGAATTTGATTATAAGATTTCTGTGGGAACTCTGAATTTGTAGTGCCCCACAGAGCAATTCAAGCATATGGGTAACCGTAGTCTGACATGAGATACGACACTTTCCCTTCCCCTCTTGGTCGTGTTGCCACAGATCCAGATGTTGAGATGGACCCAACCAACGTTCCCTGTGGCATCTCCATTGTGGGCCTCACCAAGAAGTACAACAAGAAGAAGAAAGCCGTGGATGACCTGACCCTCAACTTCTATGAGGACCAGATCACGTCCTTCCTGGGGCGAAACGGTGCCGGCAAAACCACCACTATGTGAGTAAAATCTATCTCATCAATATCCATGAAATCCAAGACGTATGGAAAATCTTATTTTAAGGTTTTTGAATGGAGTAATATTGAAAAGTTTATTTTCACAATTATGTCATCGACAATGCTTTGTGATTTTTTCCCATCATTTCAAACTCTGCATGATGCTACAAAATCAGTCTTAAGCGAATTTGTAATCAGTTAATTTTAGAGGCAAATTTTCTCACTTTAAAAAAAAGTCCAAGTTCCTTGTAGAGCTTGGAAAAAAAATTCACTTGTATTCTGAGTGTAATTTAGGTTAAGGATAAAGGATTAGTCCTATATTTTTATTTATTATTACGTAAGGTCTGTTGTGGAAGCTGAATTCTGTGTCAAGAAAGTAATTTAATTCCATAAATTTGTTAGTTAAGAAATTGACTTAGAGTGGGATTCGAACCTGTAACCTTTGAGGCACCATATTGGCCCTCTGCCAACTAACTGTTGTGACAGTATTCAACTTGGATAATGTCTATGTTCATGGGGACGCTTTTTTTTCTATCAGAAAAGAAAATTGATATCAGTAGAATGCAAACAAGTGACTGAAGAAGGGTTCTAACCCAGACATCCCGAATGCCGTTCTGGGAGCTCGACCAACTGAGCTATCCAGCCATACGTTGGTAGTCTAGTCTCTTTTTGTTCTTTTTGTACAGTTCCATCATCATGGGTCTGTTCCCGGCTACGAAAGGCAAGGTGTACATCTACAATAAGGACGTCATGAGACAACTTCACAGTATCCGCAAGGATCTCGGAGTGTGCCCCCAGCACGATGCGCTCTATGACCAGTAAGTACTCATTCCATCATTGCCCAGCTGAACAGTCGGCAAGAAAAGTCATGCTAACCATAGCAGAAATTTGTGCTTTGGAAACCTTAAGTGCTCTCTCACGGCGTGGGTGTGGAAAGGATCGCATAAGTGAGTTGTGTCACTAACTTATACAAGTTTTTATTCCTCTGAGGCATGTGCGTCATGAGAGAGGGGCAAGGAGGGGCTTAATGAAATGGGTGGTTGGGGGAAAATGTCCCTGCCCACCCTCGAAAAATGATAAATCGAGAATATGCTGGAAAAGTACAGGGATTTTTTGGGGGGGATGTGCTTTGACCCTCTCTAGAAAAAAATCCTGGCGACGCCCAGGCTCTGAGGTAAGCATGCTTTTTGCTGTGCTTACTACTTTGGTCTTGGTGAAATAGAAAAATACTTTGTTAGCAGAAATATTGTGCTCAGCAGCATCCAGGGGTCAGTCATCATGGCGCTGTAAAGCACAACTTTTTTGCTAAGAACCTAAATGTTTTCTTCCCAAACGCAACTTTCCAGCCAAGTTCCTATGCAGCCTATATTGCCTGTGACTGAGTTTTTTTTGCCGATAGATTGTGCAGAGATTGCATTCTCCATTCTGATGTGGTAATGATTTGTTTTCTTTCTCATAGGCTGACAGTGCGGGAACATCTCGAGATGTATGGTCGCTTGAGAGGAATGTCTCTCAAAGACATCTTCCAACAGTCAGAAGAGTAAGTTTTGGCTAACCCCCTCCCCCCCCCCTTTCTTTTTTGTGTATATTGAGGTCATAAGGTCATGATCTGGGAAACAATACTTTTCTCACCTAGGCCATTGTGGTTGTGTCTTTTTTCTACTTGTAAAATCAGATTGAAGAAACAATACTTTGTTCTCCTCTGGCCGCAGTGGCAACCTCCTTTGCCCTTGATCAATTATTAGATCATAAGATCAGATTGGAGAAACAGTACTTTCTTCTCCTTCGGCCACTGTTGCCACCTCTTTCGCCCTTAATCAGCTAGTATAATAAGATCAGATTATAGCAACAATAGTTTTTTTTCACCTTTAGCCGCTGTGGATGCCATTCAGCCTTTTCTCAACTATTTCAGTCGGAAGTTCAGATTAGAAAAACAATACCTTTCACCTATTTCCACTGTGGCCTCCTCTTTCATCCAATTTTCAACTGACATCCTGTAAAAGGCAACAGATCGGAGAAACATATCTTTTCCCGTCTTTGGCCACCATGGCTTCATATTAGTGTTTTGACCTTTTGACCTGTTCTTGTTGCCATGGCAGTCTCATCGCCGATGTGGACATGCAGGACGCAGCCAATGAGAAGGTTTGCAATCTCTCCGGGGGCATGAAGAGGAAACTATCCGTCATGATTGCGTTCCTTGGAGGATCCAACATCGTCATTTTGGATGAGCCCACTAGCGGGGTGGACCCACATGCCCGTCGAGCCATCTGGGACCTGATCAGCAAGAACAAGAAAGGTATCAAATACCTCCGTGACTTAGAGCTTAAAGCTACAGTCCATCATTTACAGCTATCCAAAAAGTAACTGACATAATTATTGTTGAAAAACATACTTGGTTGAAAGATAGTAAGGGGACTAAACTCCCTGTGAAATTATTCTTTCTGGCAAGATGTCATTTTGAAGAAATCAAAGAAAGGAGGCCTTTCCAACGGTGCGGCTTTAGACGCACCGTTGGAAATTTCCGTTAGTAGTTTGTTTTTTGTATTTGTCAATGCGCGCGCAAGTGTATGCACGACGCACACACGCGTGCAGTTGCTATAATTCGTCGGATCGGTGTGCGACATCGCGGAGCTGCAATCGGCTCAATGAGAACGTGTCTCGCAGGCTGACTTCAGGCCCAATTCAAAACATGATTCAGCAACTATTGATTTAAAAACGCGAGATCCCAGAATGCTGTTTTTCTCGGAATATACAGCTGAAGCTGAGCTGAAATTTCATTAGGATAGTTGTTCAACACCCTTCTTTAGATTTTGAGCACGTTTGTTGCTTCAAACGAACAAAATTCACAAATGACAAATGATGGACTGTACCTTTAAGTTGTGAAATCTTTAGGGCCCATCTTATTCATATCCAGGATGAGTTCCGGATAAGGTCTGGACATTGTATTGGGTATAAATTTCAGGATTCTGATCAACTTACCTGCAATCTTTCCGCAATGAAGTTATTGATGAGTCAAGCAGTTGCTTATCCAAATGTTCCCGGAACATGTCCGGGACAAATGCAGAGCTTCTTCCGGACAAAGTGAGTGATTCTACTCTGCAACTTGTCTGGAACTCGTCCAGATGTGGATAGAGAAGAGCCATTGGTTAGTTGCCACTTTTTACTTTACGAACATAATACAAATAGTATTCTGTGAGTAACATGAATATTCATGACTGTATAGGTCGTACCATCCTCCTGTGCACTCACTTCATGGATGAGGCAGATCTCCTTGGCGACCGCATCGCCATCTTGGACCACGGCCAGCTGCGTTGCTGCGGCTCCTCTGCGTTCCTCAAGGGCCGCTTCACCAGCGGCTACACACTCACCATCGCCAAGGAGTTGCCTAGCAACCAGTCCACCCCGGAGACCATGAGAAAGTTGACGGACGGTGCCAGTGACCCGGCGGACTACAATCGGAACACGGCAGTGGACAACGTCTACGTGGAAATGACGACCCTGAAGAAACCAGAGGCAGCCCAAGATCACGCTAGCACCAGCTCCCAAGATCACGCTAGCACCAGCTCCTCCAGTGGTGTTTCCTCATTTGTGGAACCCTTCAATTGCGCCAAGGTTAGTTTATTTCTTGCACTGGTACTCCCCCCCCCCCCCACACACACACCTGTCGTTTTTTACCCCTCAGCCATGAGGCTCGAGGGGTATTGTCATCGCCTACGAGATCCGTCTGTCCGTCCGTCGGGATGTCTGGGCAGCTTAGTTTCTGGATGATAACTTGACTCTGGCTGAGGGGTTTCAACAGCAATGCTGTTATTTTTTTTGCAGGGTTTGTGCTCATTTATATATGAAACAAGTGATATTTGGTCAATCTGCAATTGTTATTTCTCTAAAACAACCATTTTTTAAATTAGATAAAAACTGGGGAAGACGCTTCTATTGCACTCTCAGTTAAAACCAAATTTTCAGATGTTCTCCTCTGAACAAACCAACCTCCAAAAAAAAAATTTGTTAACTGACATTTTGGCAGAGCAACCCTCCTACCAATAACAAATAAGGCCAAAATTTAAGATAAATAAATTCATAATCAAGGCCAAAATCATCAGCAAAAATTGGAAGCTAGAAATCTTTCAAACTTTTAAGTTCATGGACCTTGAATCACTCTTTTTTATGAATATCGGTTGTATTTAGCTTTTATGGAAATAAGCTTGGCCGCTGGTCATTTGGTGATGTGTATCCCTTAGCTGTTTGTCAAATTGACCCTTTGACCCTTAACCTTTGACCATGCAGGTGACCTCATTCATCCAGTCTCACATCCCATCAGCCGTGTTGAAAGAGGACGTGGGCACAGAGGTGTCCTTCACCCTACCGGTCAGTTTTGGCCAGACTGCAAAGTTCCAGGGACTGTTTGAAGAGCTGGATGCTAAGCTGCCTGAACTACATGCCTCAAGTTATGGCCTGTCAGATGCATCACTTGAAGAGGTACGTCCACCCTCCCCCCCCCCCCCCCCTCCCGCCTCCTCTTTCCTTGCTTTTCGTATTTTCCAAGTTGCTGATCCCCCCCCCCCCCCCCCAGTGTTGACACAAAATTCGTACGGATGGGAGTGTTTGTACACAGTATGTCCCAAAAAAAGTGTCTCTCTGACTATTTATGAAATAACCAACTACAAAACCATGAGGTCAATTTTGAAAATGTTTGATTGTGCAGATACTCCTAAGCCGAGGCCGGAAATATCTGTCAGTGACCCGCTCGCAGCGAAATATGAGTGTGCTGCCCGAGGGTGATGGCAATGAACCCGCCTGGCTTGCGGTTGAGTGAAAAGTAATCCAGTGCCGGTCTTGTCAAAGTAACCCTGGCATGAACTGGTTAATGACTTTTATTTCTTTTCTTTTTTTAGGTTTTCTTGAACGTTTCCAGCCAGGACGAAGGTGAAACTGACGGACCCAAGGATAAGACTAAGATGGTTCCTGAGTCCACCATGGAGAGTGTCCAGGTCAGCTACAACATGAAGCCTTCGAGTAAGTCTTGCCACAATAATTATTTTCATCTCTTTATAACTGTGCATTCAAAACACTCCTTCATTATTGAATGTATTTGTAGCTCAGAGTTTTAGTAGAGTAACTAGGTCCAGACCGGGTTCGAGTCTCAGGTCATTTGGTGTGAGTCTGATTCTGAGTCTTGGCGATTGTGTAGAACCTCTCTTTAGTTTCGATCAAATTAGGGTAAAGGGTTTTTTATCATTTCAAAATGATTTTTTTAACCAAAAGCAGACTTCTCTTAATTCTAATGATGGTATATTTTTACCAGTTTCCTTGGGGTTGAAAATGCGATTTGCTTACGCGTTTTACGGTTAGTTCCATGCGAATCAATGCAGTTCACTGTGCGTCATGGTGATCGCCATCTTTATTTTCGCGCTGTGTTTTGTCATCTCAATCGTCGCTGCAACCAAAATTTCTCCAAAAAATTAGACCCTGCCCTCTATCTCAACATACATGCTAGTTTGTAATGTCGCTAAATAGTTTGGCAAGTCCAATAATCTAAAAGTGGATTTCTGTTCCCTAATATAGATTGAAAATGTTAACTCGGAAAAGGACTTAACAGCTGAATCATATACTACGTTCTTGTTTTACCCCGCCAGCCCTGCATCAGTTTTTGGCCATTCTGACCAAGCGTTTCCACTACACCAAGCGTGATTGGCGAGGATTCATCTGGGCTCTTCTCTTGCCCATGCTCTTGCTCCTGTTGGCTGTTGTTTTTGGGACCCTCAGCTCTGGGGAGACGAACCCGCAGCTTCACTTTGCACCCTCGCTGTACAGGCCTGACGACTATGTCTTCTTCAGGTAAGTACAATTGTCTGTATGTGTGTGGTCTGTGGGTTTTTACATCAACGACAAAGGACCAATTTACCGCTGCATTTTACCCTCTTACGCCGTACGAGTCTGGTGACTTATAGCCGCATTCATATTCGACTTAATTTTGTGGAAAATTTACCGCAATTGTTAACATTCCATTGTGGTTATTCTACCATGCACCCACGGATTGATTTTTGGCCCGCTGAAAGTCATTGGTTGTGTAAACTTTACCGTGCCGTTCTCTCTCAGAATCTTATGAGGGTGCCCTTCTATTGACCTTCGAACCTATCACCGGATGAAGCTGGGGAAAAAGGTCCAAATATTATCGCAGAACACAGAAATGCGGTAGAATCTTGCGTATCGTATGTATGCCTACGCTTGTGAATTACAGAGGTCAATATAGGTGACCACTCTGGAGTCACGTGATCATAACGTTAGTTTTACATAGCAATGGCCATCCGCACTGGACTTTAAATGTAAATTTAACGATGTTAATCATCCGCACCCAGTTGGCTCTATAAATGCTGCGGACCGCTAAACTATCAATCAGCAGTCAACACTTGACAAATTGGGTTAGTTTACCATCTGCCGCACTGGACTTAAATTGGTAAAGTTGACAACAGTCTCCGTTAGTTTAACCAATGCGAACATGGCTAATATTTTCTTCAGTTAAGAAGGTCGAATTGTTTGCATGGATGTTAAGAAGGTCGAATTGTCTGCATGGATGTTAAAAAGGTCGAATTGTCTGCATGGATGTAGTCCATGGTTTTTTACACGGCCAGGGTAAATGATAAATCCACTGCTGCATTTTGCCTGTCACTGTATGAGCCTAGTGACAACATTCTCTTCAGTTGAGAAAGTTTGTGCACAGTTGTCTTCTACTGATGTGGCCCGTGGTGTGGTCCATCTCATGTGGTCCATGGTGTTTTGTACACCTAAGGAGGAGTAAGTGGACTCCGTGCACAAACTGAGGGTGCCATTTGCCCCATGGGGTGTACATTGTGTTATCACATGTGAATTAAAATGCAGATTCCTAAGAAATATTAATAACAATAATTATAACAATAACAAAGCATTTGTAAGGCGCACAATATCTGAAAACAACAGTCATTCAAAGGCGCCGGTCAGTGAAAAGTCAGTGTGTGTGAAGGTAGAGGTCATTATGTGTGAGAGAGAAACTGATTGAAGAGGTGGGTCTTTAGTTGGCGTGTGAAGAGAGATAATTGGTGTATTGCCTTTAACTCGTCTGGTAACGAGTTCCAGAGACGCGGTGCAGAGCTGGAAAATGCTCGGTCTCCGTAGGTCGCCAAACGAGTCTTCGGGACAAACAGTATATTGGATGACGACGACCTCAGACCTGGTCTCAGTTGACGATGTTGAACCATTTCCTTCAGATACAGTGGGGTTAAGCCATGAAGAGCTTTGAAAGTAAGAAGGAGAACTTTGTATGCGTTACTGGATTGGTAACCAATGAAGTTTGCGCAAGGTGGGTGTTATGTGGCAAGATGATTTCATTCTTGTGAGTGTGCGAGCGGCAGATTTATGGACAAGTTGGAGACGTTTTATTGTATGTTGTGGTAGACCTACAAGTAGGCTATTGCAAAAATCTAATCTGGATGATATGAAAGCATGAATGAGTTGTTCTGCGGCAGAGAATGTAAGTGAGTTTCTTACTGCTGCTGTACGTCATAGATGAATGTAAGAGGACTGACACATAGAAGAGACACATGGCATTTGTTTTGTTATTTTGTTCTTTACAGCAACAGCGATTCCCGGACGGCGGATGGAACAAAAATGACGAATGCTCTGTTCAGTGCACCTGGCCTGGGAACAACATGCATGAATGACTTTGAAGATGGGTACATAATAATTCTTGTGGTTTTAGTTATAGCAACCTGTTGAAAACTTAATGAAACTTACAACCATCCCTTGTGAAAAATTTACAACTGTACTGTTTTATGATTCATACTCTTCCTTTGCTATCGTTCACATCTCCTTGTTACAACTCCTCCCTTGGAAAACTTGCAGACGTCCCACTCTAAAACTCACAACCTTACAATGTTAACACAATCTGACCCACAACCTTCTCTTTGACATATCCACAACTTTTATTCGTTAAACACTTGTAACCTTGCTCTTAAAACTAACAACCCTCCCTTGTTTAAATTCAACCTTCCCCTGTTGTGATTCACAACCCTCCATTGTTTAAACTCACAACCTTCTCATGTTAAAACTCAGGATCTTTCCTTGTTGAGAAATCCTTCCCTTTGAAACTCACAACCCTCCTTTGTTAAAATCCAACCTTCCGCAATGGTTGTGATTTCCAATACTCCCATAAAATCCACAACCTTCCTTTGTTAAAAGTGGTTCAAACTTCAAGTAAAAGCAAAAGCTTTGTGGTGTTTGCCGTTACCATGGCAAAGTGTCTTAGCACTGAAATTTGCATCAAGTATGAACTAGCCTTTGAAATTCACGATTAACTTTTCAGACCCACTCTTCTTAAAATTCAACCTAATCCTACTTAACGTACACCTACCGTGATTCACAAGCCTCCCTTGTTAAAAACCCAAGCTGACCTTGTTTTTGGTTCTTGGTTGGTTCTTCTCCTAAACACTCCACGTGGGAGTTTTAACAGGAGGCCAGAAACACCGGGGCAAACCCCTTCTCTTAGCGATAAATGTCACTGGGTTCTTTTACATGCATTGCATTACACAACACACTGGACCTACGGCTTTACATCCTATCCGAAGGACGAAGCAATAATGGTTAAGTGCCTTGCTTAAGGGCACAAATGTCCACTCGGGCTCGAACCCACACCACTGTTACCTTTGAAATACCAGAGCATGAGTCCGGTGCTCTTAACCTCTAGGCCATGACACTCAACTTGTTGCAATGATCAACTCTCTCTTATCAAATCTCACAGCGTTTCCTAGTTAAAATTCCTAAACCCAAAGTCCCTCCCTACTTTCAAAAATGACGCTACTTACGAGCTTTCTTGTTTTCTGGTTTTAGCACCTGTCACTTCACGGAAGCTTTCTTCAAGAACCCAATCTCCAGCTTGTCCCCAGCTGAAATTGAAGAAATTCTGGCCGTTGATCGCGCGGCCCCAGACTGCTCATGTGCAAACAGCTTCCTGGAGTGCCCAGAGGGCGCTGTGGGGGCTGCACCACCGCAGTGGATAATGAACACCACGGATATTCTGCTGGATGTCAGCTTGAAGGCAGACCTCATCAAGTACCTGCTGAGGTCCACTGAGGACTTCCGATTCAAGAGGTTGGCTTTGTCCAGATGTATAAAACCCATAGCAGGACTGAGTCATTGGCAGGATGCTAATATTGCAGCAACAAGCGTTTATCAGGGTTCCAAGCCACTCGGGAAATCAGGAAAAACCTTGAAAATGGGTTTTCATTTTCCCAAGGGCGTCAATCACTTCTCAAAAGTGTGGGGGAACATACCTTGATCAGAGCTAATGCCAGCGCAAAGCTGCAAATGATATACTCTACCTTTAAAGCCACATGTGTCTACGCACAGATATTAACTTATACCATATATCCCTGCAAAAAAAATTGGCCTGCTCGCGGAAACATCTTGGTCGCTCCAAGTCTAATAAATGTAGATTGAGTTTCAAGCGTGGTAGCCCATTAGTTCCTGCACCACCCAAAACATATCAAATAGAATTTGTAGTTTAATAGCATAAATATGAAATGTCCATCAACCGTTATGACTTATGCATCTATGCAGATGGTTCACCTACCCTGAACAGTGGCTCCTCTTTTGGGCAAATGATCTTATAAGAAAAGAAAAATGCCTCACTTGGCCACAGGAGGTCCTTCTTTCCATTGTATTTGTATGTATTCTTTTTAATAATAATTGGTTTTTTTTTTTAAATTTGTTAATTAGGTACAACGGGCTTACCCTGCACAGCAAACCCACAGGAGACACACAGGAATTTATCAAGGTAATGAAAAATATATCAATTTTTTTTACATGACAATTTGGTGGGGTTTTTTTTCTGTTTGTTTCCCCAAGTTTAATTATATTGCATTGCCATTCAGTTTCTGGGCCATGTTGTCATATTTTTCCCAAAGTGTCGTCTTGCTCCAAATTTTCACCTAGGAGAAATGTCACTTTTCTGGAGTGGTTATGGTTATAATAATTTATGAAGTTTTTCCATTTTCATTTGGCATTGCAGGCGTGGTACAACAACAAGGGGTTCCATGCTATGCCCATTGCACTGAACACCGCCAACAATATCATTCTGAGGTCCTACCTGCCCCCCGGCCAAGACCCAGCAACATATGGTGAGTTTGGGATCGGGAATACATAATTTATCCATTTTGTATTAAATGTTGCACTTTGATTTAACATTTTTTTTTTCAGGATATAAAATTCATTTTGCAGAATTCTTGAAACAGTGGACTGCTCTATATTTTACAATTATTTATGGTCCCAAATTCTTGCAAAAATGTGTTTTCTTCTTTTTCAGTGATTGTATGAAGAAATGCAAATTGCAGATTTCTGTATAAAGAATTACAATTGCAAATTCAGTGAAGGGCAAAACCCACTATTAAATCGACATCTATTGGCAGTTTGATAACTAATTGTTTTACTGCTATCCCAGGTATATCAGCGTATACTCATCCCTTTGAGTTTTCTGGAGAGGGTCTCAGCGTACGAGACATGTAAGTACATTTCATTTTAAATGAATTAGTAGAGGGCCCGTTCAAAACGTGCCTGTTTGGAACAGGCAAATGCTTGGTCTCTGGTCGACCCGCAAACGTGGCGGAAAAGAGTACCGTGCCCGTATAACAGCGCGCCATATTTACACCTCGATCACCGTTGTTCAATCCTCCCCTTCAAGAAACAGTCGAGCCCATACAGCCAACCACCATTTGCACGTGTGTTGACCCGTACCCATGGTCCGGTATAGAGTGCAGTGACCGTTGAAGATGTGCAGCAGTGCGTGGCGCGGTCTGTATATACACTTTTGTATGGTCAAGTCATCCAGTATTGCAGTGCTTCGTTTGCAGCTTCTTTGAGAACCGCTCATCCAAACAACTTCAAATTGACACTGAACAGTCTTGGGTGCTGAGCAATACACCTGACGATTTTCAACTTCATACAGCGCCCAGTTCTGGAGATAATCGAAATACAGACAGACACACACATAGACACACAGAGATTCCTGGAATTACAACCCTGTAGCTAGCGCCGTGCACAAAACTCATGAAGTAGGTGTATGCATGGGCAGGCAAGCTATTTTGCATCTTGGTGTAACAAATGATGTCAAAAACAGGAAATGAGGGTTTTTTAATGTTGAAAGGGCATGACTGAATTAGTTGCTATTTATAATCTAAAAATTTCAACAACTAAAAACAGAAATAAAAGCAGCCAATACATTGACTCGCAATGAGCCTGTACAGGATGTAGAATTTGTTTCCACGTTTGCCTGGTTCGGTGGTGAAACACATGACACCCTTAAATTCTGCAATGCATTTTGATTTGTGTGGCGCTTTGGTCCCATAAACCCTCTTGGACCTAATAAGGCTCTCCCACTGACCTGCATGGCTTGACCGACATCCGGGTATCGGAGAGTCAGTGCCGCCATTGTAGTAGGCAAGGTTTGTATAGCTCCGCGTGCAGTAGGTAGTAGGCAACCGTTCAATTCTGTGATGGATGGCAAAAACTGTGAGAAAAACACAGAGCCAACACCCAGTGCTGGGTTGGCACAATTGTGACAACCGTACACGACACGGGTAGTGACCATTATGCCATTTGATAAACAATTCACGGTTATTTTACGTGAAAATAAGCCCTGCTGTCTAGTTTACAGCTCACAACATGGTTGCCTACTGCAATGGTGGCCGATCATGGGGAAACGGGATGGGAACTTTACAATTTGAATAAAATCTGGAATGCAGACTTAATCCAATGCTTTGCACGTTTTAAGTTTGCATTCTCCCGACCAAAGAGACTGTTACTATATCATGTGATTCAGGGCAAGCCTTATGCTAGCAACCCCAGCTCTGGCATGGTCTGGTGTCTTTGTGCCATTCTCACCCATTGTGAACAATTATGTATTGATGCTGAGCGCCTCTTACGTCACTATGCAAGAGCTTGCCCCGAATCATGCGATTAGCAACAGTGTCTTTGGTCTGGAGAATTCAAAGTTAAAATGTGCCAAGCATTCTTCAAATGTAAATCCCAAAGGGCATAGGTTACTCGCAAATGGCTTATTGGAACAAATAGACCTTTGACCTTTATGTGTTAATTTTTCCTGTCAGTTGGGACCAAACGGCCCAGAACTTTGGCAACTGTCTCATCATAGTGCTTGCCTTCTGCCTGATCCCGGCCACCTTTGCTACGTTCCTGGTCATGGAGTACAACAACGGTTCCAAGCGTCTGCACTATGTCAGCGGGGTCACTCCGACGGGATACTGGCTGGCTAACCTTGTCTGGGATATGGTGGGTACCGGTGGCAGTTGAACATTCCAGGAAAATGAGAAAACAGAAATTAATCTTAACGAAACACAACATAACTCCAATTTTTAGCATTGGTTGTATTTTAATGTACAGGGTGATTAAAAAAAAATCGAAACCCAAATGTCGGGCCCATTATTTTAGTGAAGTTCTGCATGTAGCACTTTCAAAGTCTAGGATATGAAAGCCCAATTCCTAAGCTTTCTTTTTGAACAAGAATTATTCAAATCACTCATGTACTTTTCAAGTTACGGAGTTTTAAACACAACCACCATTTTAAGGTTCTGTCCACAGATCACCAAAAGGTCCATGTTCTTTAGCAAAACGAAAACAAATCGCAAAAGGATGTCAAATGAGTCATAGCATTGACTGTGTCTAGTGCATTTTAACCAGTTCGCGCCAGGATAATTTTCGCCAAAAAATCCATTTTCGAAAAAGGCAACATATAACAGCCAATTTTTGACATACAGCCAAACGCCACAAATACTGATTCGAAAGAGTTATTTCAACAGTATTTGTACGATATTTTTAACCGCAACCTAAATTTTATCAACACTCCGGGGTGTGCCGACAGAGCACAACAGGCCGTGCACAGCGGCCTTGTTCAAGTTCAACACACGGTCCACCTCCACAGACTTCTCGGACTTTGTGTGTGTGTACAGATCAAATGGGGAATTAGTGTGTTAACATGTCATTTGATGTCATCCGATGCGAAGTGGTTTAAAATAATATCAAAAAACAAAAACATTTATCTTTTGCCGGAATGTTTATGATCACTGTTACCTTAACGACGTAGCGTCACCCTGAACTGTGGTTGATATTGAATCAGGCTTTACTTACACTGTGTCTGTTCTTGTACTCATACTCCCTATTTTCCTCTTGCAGTTGATGTACCTGATACCCATTGGTATAAGTCTCATCATCGTCTGCGCGTTTGGAATGCATGCCTTTAGCTCATCCAGTAACATACCAGCATTCTGCCTGCTGTTGTTCCTATATGGGTAAGTGTTTTAGTCAATACTTGTATGCTAAGAAGTAAGAAATAATTTTTAAAAAGAAAAGTGATTTTAGATTAGAAAAGATAAAAATCCTTGTAATAAATTGAAGTTGTATAATAAGCGTATTGTTTAATGTGGGTTGCATTTCATGACTCTGCCTACCATAATTGAAAATCTTTGCTTAAAGTTCCCAAGAATCTTTGACTGTAGTAAAATTTTTGCACTTACAAAAAATGTTAACAAAGTTAAAAGTTATAAGGTAATTCTTGACTTTCAGCACAGATTCATGTAGGCATCTCATAATTAAGAATATTGTGCTTTCATGTTTTAGAGCAGCAAAATGTGTGTGCCAGCCCCTGTAAGATCAGAATCATGATTATGACTACAGAATTCCATGATTTGTACAGCTTTTAAAATTGGATCCTGGACACAATTTCTTTAAGAAAATATTTCTTGTTATCTATGTTACAAATGTTTTTCCTGAAATTTCTGTCATGTCGGGATTTCTGAAATCATGGGTTCCATGTGTGAAGCAGAGAGGATGCTTTTTTCCACTTTCTAGAGCCTAGTGGACAGGGCACTCCGCGTGTGTGTACTGGTTTGCGCGCATATAGTGTGAAGTACGCACGACTTAGCATCCTCTCATAAGTGTTAGGCATCGTCAGCATTGCATTTGAATATCTCTACCAGTGGTCTCCCCCAACTCTCCCGTGCTTACCCTTAACCCGAACCCTCTAGGGTATTTCGGCTAGAAACCCAGCCAAAGGCAGCAACATGCAACACTAAATTACAAGCCTATACCCAAGATCAGGTCGAAAGCATCGAGGCCAATCTGCCTCAGAGTCTGTGGTCACAAAATACAGCAGGATACAACTGTGGCATTGTTCAATGGGACTTCTCATTGTCTCAGAAGCGGCTGTTTATGCACTGGTGTTGGTAGCTGAATGCATCAAAGTTCACCAGACTTTTCCACCTGATGCATTGTGTTGTGTCTGGCAGGGTAAGGGTTAAGGGGGTACTTGTCCACAGAACCCATTTTTAGGATTGTCAAATTTTACAAGTGTAATCATTTCTTATCATCTTGTCTCCTTTTGAAAAATGATTTGTGCCCTTTTCATTTTGTCAGTTTTGCCACCGTCTGCCAGCTGTATGTCCTGGTGCCGCTGTTCAAGTCAACAGGCACAGCTTTTATCGTCTACTTTTGCCTGACGTTCCTGGTCGCTATCCTCACCATCATACCCAAATTCCTGCAGGAGTCGCCTCTGGTAAGTGCTGTCAAGTAAAGTGTTCCGAGCTGATACTAAGCTGATCAGGTTGATACTTTTATTCTTTTCATGGCATGAAACAACTGAAGCAGGAATGCCAGTTTTCTGGCTTTAGCAGGAATTCCAGCTTTTTGTTTTGGACAAAATTAATTGCATTTACCGTTTGTCTTTTGCGAACTTTTTTACTGCGGTACCCGATTAAAGTATTTGTCCACGAGGCATCAAAATTTTGCATAAGAGCAGAAACGGTGCAATAAATACATTATAGACAACATAGATTTAAAACTGGCTGAACCTTAGCTCAAGCTTCATTTTTTGGTGTTTCACTTTTTATGTTAATGCAAAGTTTCTCTCGGCTATACTATAGTTGCTGTGTCCTTCTTTGTTAGTCCCGAGATGGTGTAGGCTAGGCTGCACACTCGCATCGCAACCATCAGCGTTTACACAATTGCAGCGCTGCCATCTACCTGGCAACTTTGTAAGGCAATGCATGTCTCTCCTCTAGACCTTATGACTCTAGACCTTATGACTCTAGACCCACTGACATGCCTGACTTGCCAAGTTACTATCTGGACGGAATACCAATCCATTGCAGGTTCCTCCCCAGCTAATGCTGGTACCTGTTTTCGTCCCTATATGAAAGTGTACAAGTTTACTATGTTGAGACTCGAACCTATGACCTCTTGCTTACTGGTGCAGATGTCTAACTGCTTGACCAGTGAGTCATTTGTCAGGGAGTTGGCAGATTGGACCTTAGGTGAATTCTGAAGGTGGACTGGAGACAGTCTGCTGACAGTCTTTAGAGCTATCATTTGGAGCTTGCCCTAACTTATGTGGGTCACAGAATATGCAGAGTGTTTACATGGTTTAGTCCTCATTGGCATCTGGAGACGGCAGAATTCTGCATTCCGTCTATATAATTTTGTAGTCAGTCTGCAGAACTTTTATTGCACTAATTTGGAGCGTGGTGTATCATCATCATCTCATCTTCATATCCCGTGCAGAAACCTCCTCTGGAGTATAATAATAATAATTTGGGAGACTAATCATCCTTACTGGCAGCTGGTATGCTGAATAAGCCATTTGCGAGTGACCTATACCCTTTGGGATTTACATTTCAAAAACATATGGTGCACTGACTTGCTCAGAATGCTTGGCACATTTTAACTTTGAATACTCCAGACCAAAGACACTGTTGCTAATCACATGATTCGGGGCAAGCTCTTGCATGGTTACGTAAGAGACGCTCAGCACCAATACATTGTTCACAATGGGTGAGAATGGCACAAAGACACCAGACCATGCCGGAGCTGGGGGTTGCTAGCACAAGGCTTGCCCCGAATCACGTGATATAGTAACAGTCTCTTTGGTCGGGAGAATGCAAACTTGCAAAACGTGCAAAGCACTGGATTAAGTCAGTGTTCCAGATTTTACGCAAATTTAACACGCAAATGGCTTATTGCGAAGGACGCGGCTACAACGTGGTCGGGCCGCTGGCACGTTAAGGCGCCTATGGCTGCCGGCCACATCGAACCATATATGACCACGGAGCACAGCCTGAGATCGAAAGTGTTTGATTTTTCCGGAGGGAAGAAAACCGGAGGGCACGGAGAAAAACCCTTGTGGCACAGGAGAGAACCAACGCACAACTCTACTCACATGCGATCCGCGGCCAGGATTCGAACCGTGGTCACCTTGGTGAGAGGCGAGCGCTTTACGCACAAGCCACCCATGCCACCCACTATACACATTGATTGAAGTGCAAACAAGCAGATGCAGACATAATTCAAAGCATAAAAAGACAAATTTGTACAAATTAGTACACCGTTTACTCTGGTCTTGAAGACATCCAGGGTTGGTGACTCAACGACTTGCTGGGGTAGTGAGTTCCACAGGCGGATGGTGTCTGGGAAGAAGGAGCCCTTCAGTAAGGTTGTGCGGGTGGGTGGAACGAGGAGTTCCTGGCTGTGGCCTCTGGTGAATGAGTTGACTGGAATTAGTTGGTTGTCCGGGATGTCATTGAGTTTGTTGATGATCCGGTACCTCATTGTAACCGTGGCGATGGCTCTTCCATATTTTAGAGACTCCCAACCATTGTTCAATGAGACTAGCTCTGATTGTATCAGAGTTGGCTGTTTATGCTCTGGCATTGATGGCTCAATGCAGCAAGGTCCCACAGACTTTTACACCTGATGCACTGTGTTGCGCCTGGCAGGGTTTAGGATTAATTGGTCTTTTTATCCCCTGGCTTTCAAGCCAGACAGGGGGATATTGCGATCTGGTGACCACAAATTTGTAGCCTTGTGGAGACTCACACACAATAGGGAACAAAACATTGTAAAGGTCTCCACAGGGCAATTTCTATAGATGAATAGGTCTCCACAAGGTTTTCACGAAATAGATATATGGGTTTTACTCAAAAACTAGGAATTTCCAAGGTGGATTGATCTGTCGCAAATGGAAGAGTTTTAGAAAAGGGATATTAATTCCAAATTTCAGCCAAGGAAACTAATTCTGGTTAAAATAAGAGCATTTTGAAAATTCACTTTCAAAATTGAACACTTTACTACACGAGAACAAAGAAATGTCTCCACAAGGATACAAATTTTGGAGGGGGTGTTCCCTTCTGTGTGTCCATGTGTGTATGTTCCAGTTCACTGTAAGTTCAGTCATCAATCTCAGTCAAACTTGAAAGGTGGTCTGTGGAGAGAAGGCCGACGTTGAAAAAATCCTTTCCACTATAGATATTTACGAGGTCTCTGTAGAGATACTCATGACTCATGACTAACATATGTTAGTCCGGTGTCTCACCCAAATTCTCCATTCAACCCAAACTCCCCATTCAACTGAGTACCTGCCGGGTGGACAATCAATGCCATCACTGCAAATTGTCCTTACTAACTGCCTGTACATGTACACAAACTGGCAGGATGCCGGGGGATTGCGCAAGTTTTACTTGCAGTATTTTCATTTTTATGATTTGCAGGGTGGTGCAATCAGAGAGCACGATGCCTTCTACTACCTGGACCACATCTTCCTGATCTTCTCCCCATTCTGTCTGGCCTCGGGACTCATCGAGCTCCTCTACAACCAAGCCGAGGCAGACATCTACGCCACCTTCGGCCTGAACACTTACCGCGATCCCTTCGGCTTCAACATGCTGGGCTGGAAGTTTGTCGCCCTGGCCATTGAGGGCGTTGTTGCATTCCTGCTGCTGATGATCGTGGAGAGCTCCAGCAGACGTAGAAGTGGGGATTGCAAGTCAGGGTGTGTATTGTCTCAATCAAATCCCATGAGGTTCTGACCAATCGCAGCCCTGATTAAAGGGCCCACGCTGTTGCTGTGACGTCATTTCAGGAAGACGCATTTTGGGGTTTCTGTTCAAATTGTTAACCCAAAACAACTTGCTCACTAAAAACGTGTGTGAGAAAACTCTGCTCACTGGCTTACTGTCATCTACTGAAATATCAACAAGTCACAATCATAAATACTTCAAAATATTTTTAAAATGCACAAATGAACGACAGTTTCACAGTGGGTTTTACAGCAACATGTTTCACTGTTTGTAGCACCTTTGAAAAGGATAAAAAAAAAATCACTTCTTTGATATAATTTATAATTGGCATTTTCTCAGCAATCCAATGTGCTGTTTTCGTGACTTTTTAAGTATTTAAAAGAAAAAGCTCTCAGCTTCAATCTGATATGCAAAGCATAAAAAATCACCAATCACGGTTTTTTTTTTTGCCAAAAAAGCAAATGTTTCAGAGTTGCATTATTTAGGTCACCCTTTATACACATAGGGAGCTCAAAATTGTTTGAGGATGTAAAGTACTTAAATGTTGTCACAAGCGCTTATATAAACACCTGTTTTTATTAAAACTAAACACATGGAATTTATATCCTTTGTTTAGATCACCGGATCACAATGGCGTTGAAGATGAGGATGTTGCCATGGAGAGGCAGCGCTTAGTGTCTGGAGATACCAAGAACGACTTGGTTTGCATCCAGAATCTGACCAAGGTGATTTGTCCAAATGAGCTGCCTTTGACGTCCTTGCGTAAGGCCCCCTCCCCTCCCCCAGCCACAACGATGCACTCTAAACACATACATTATATGGCAAGCCAACTTTTCTTCCAGCAAACTTGAATTAATGATATCCTGTACTGCATGATTGGTATTGCACTGCCATATTGGGCACTCGCTTTCCCCTCATGCTCACGTTTCCTGCTGCATGCACATGTATTTATAGCCTCTTCGGTATTTCAACTGCGCATATGCACATGGGTCACAGGTCATTCGGGATAATCAAACAATCGAAGGCGCATGAACACGCGGGCGCACGACGCTTGCGTGTCAATTACCAACAGAATGGGCGTGCGCGTAACTTCGCATAACATCACGTCAGCGATGTTAGCCTGAATGACCTCGGGTCATTGAAATACAGAACTGGCTTATTGTCCGCACACAATAGGTAAATGTGCAGGAATTTGCATGAAGTTAAATTCGTTACCCCACTCACGCATTTGAACACAAAAAATACCGATGCTCAACATCAATCGCACACTGTACCAGTCCTGCCTAATTGAAGAAATAGATTCCTGAGGCAATTAAAACATTGATGAAATTATCAGGAATATCTCTTGTTATCACTCTGGATTTAGAAGAGCTGCAGTGTAAACCCTGCTAGTCCATTCAGAATCAAGATAACAAGTGGTCACAGCCAATGGCAATTGTTCTACTGTACGTGCCTGCCGTTCTAATGCCAGTACATACCCATGATACATTTTGAAGGAGTAGATACAGTATGTCTGTTGATTTCAAAATGTTATTTGCTGGGGGTTTTCTGACCTATTCTTCCAATGTTTTGATTATACTGCTTGTCAATTTTTTTTTGTAGGTGTATCGATCTGTCAACAACTCGTCTTTGGTGGCAGTGGATGATTTGTGTGTCGGCATTCCTAAGGGACAGGTAAGCCAGTCTAGTCCAAGACATGAAACTACAAGGGTCGGTTTTTCCGTAGACATGTAATCGAGTCAGTAACAAATCATCACAAGTCATCGTAAGTCATCACAAGTCATCACAGGTCTTCACAAGTCACAAGTCGGTTTTTTCAACCCAAATTTTCACTGCCAAGGAGTGAATTAAATCATAGGTGTTATGTGTAAAGTTTGTTCCTTGAACCTTACTCTTTTATGTGATGTAAAAATGAAGTCCATATGTGCAAATATAAGAAAGTTATGCCGTTTTGTTCATCTGGTTCCATTTATCAAACTGCAAGCCATTTCACCACATGACCAAATAGCACTCCATACCTCAATTTGTGCGTGGATACTTCTGAAGCACTTTTCTCATTTTTTTGTAATGATAACACTATAAATAAACTACACCATTAGAACGATCTGAAAACACTCTTTCAGCTGGTATATGGTTGATGTATGGGCGGCCAGACATATCAACATGCCGCCTTTCTGAAAAGTAGTAAATATATCTGTGTTGAGGGTGTTCTGTGTGTGGTTTCCTGGTCGACTAAAGTCGCCCATGGGAACCAGCAGGGGGGTTCTTCTTGTCGACAAAAGTCACCCATGGTAAGGAAAGGGTTAAGTAAATGGTGACAGACATTACTTTGTCAAATTGAATTGTGATTGTGTCTTGTGATAGACTCAGTTACAGGTATGGTGCTTCACAGAGCTGTTTAACAGATTTTGAGAAATTGTTCTTCCTAAAAAAAAAGGAACGTTAGCTGTATCTCAGCCTTACTACCAATGTCATTGTCTTATTTTTTTTGGTCAGTGCTTTGGCCTTCTTGGTGTCAACGGAGCCGGCAAGACCACAACCTTCCGCATGATTATCAACGATCTTGCGCCCACACACGGCAGCATCAAAGTCAGGTCCAACAGGTAAAGAATGGAGAAACAAAATGAACAAGAGTGGGAGAAGAACCTGGAACGGACAGAAAACAGGACCAGTGCTCTACCCACTGAGCCATTTCTACCTATTACTGTGTTGATTAAGTGTAAATGGGATTTGAAGTTGTCACCTGTAGAAGGGGTGCAGACCAGTGAATAAATTCCCATAGGCAACAGTGATAATGCCCCCCCCCCCCCATTCCAAAATTCGGATAAAATACTCCGAACTCTCACAGCTAATCAAGACATACATCAAATTAAAACTCGATTTACTCTCTGTCACTTTCTGTTCAATCTTTTTTGGGGTAACCACTGGTTTTTTGGTAAGTTGTTTTCCATCCAAAGATGATCACCCCTAATAGCAGTCCTGAAGCCCAGTGTTACCTTCACTCCAATTTAATTTACAAATTTGTAAGAAATAAAAGAACGAAGAGCTTTCATTTCTACACACCCTCAGCTGCAGGGGCCACAAAACTCTCTTGGATTACAATTTGGGACCTCTTTTCTCATTACGGACCATTGTATTTTTGGACAGTGTTGGTTACTGCCCACAAGCCGATGCCTTGTACAGTCCGCTGACCGGCACAGAGCTGCTGTACTGCTACGCCAGGATCAAGGGCCTCACTGGGAAGCAGTGCGAGATGGTAAGCTGGATTAGTATACAAATAAGGAATGTTTTGCACAAGTACCCCATCAACGGCCAGAAAAGGAGAGGAGACTGGTTCCCGGTCTATCTATTGTGGACTTTGAATGTATCCATAGTTGTGGGGGTTGGGGATTAGTCTGGGAGACCGCCAAAAGATAAAGTTAAACACACCCGCGTGCTGACGACGCCTATCACACGAAGACATTCTGGCTTAGCTTTGGCACGTATTCAGAATAAATAAGTCCTGCAGCCTTGCACGCGAACCAGTACAGTACGCACACGCTGTGTTGGTCCCGTCCATGGGGCTCCAAAAAAAACCTCTCTTTTGTTGGCGCACAGAGCCCATAGGCACCAGTGCACCATAGGCCCTACTCTGCCCTATAGGCAACGGTACCAATTTCGCAGCTCTGGTAAGTGCTGGAGCCTGGCATTTCATGGCTGATGCTAAGCTATGCTAGCATGCACTAAGCAAGCCAGGCCAAACTGGTAGCTCTAAAAGCCTGTACAATGTATTACATGTACTGGATTCGCTATGTATTTTTATAGCGCTGATTTTTTGTTGGATTTGTGCCTGGGCACTTCCCTTAACCAAACCATAAATATTCCTAAGTTTCAAATGATTTTGTTGCGTTCAGGCCGTCCGTCGCGTTGTGCACCAGATGAACATGGAGCCGTACGTCAACAATCGCATTGGGACTTACAGCGGAGGAATGAAGCGCTCATTGTCGACTGCCATAGCTCTCCTGGGTAACCCACAAGTCATACTCATGGTAAGCTAGAAGCCTCTCAAGCAGTGTTGCAGTCAAGACTTTTTGAGACCGCACTCATTTTTATCAATTATTTGGTTTTTTAGAAACAAAACAAGTCAAATAACAATTTACCAAGTGTCATTATTTGACGAAAGAATACTGGGATATATGTTTTGGGATCAACTTTCAAGCTCCAGTAAAAATGTCATATTGACCGTCCAACTCTGCCCAAGATCTTTTCGAAACCTATTCAAGATAAATTTTCCCATAAAACATTTATTTTAAACTATACGGTATTACCTTAAAACAATCCAACTGTTAAGTATGTTCAAAGTCACTTAAGGCACTGAGCGTCTATCCTCATTCACATTAGACTTGACTCAAATTTGACATTCCATTAAGCATTTGTGTGAGGTCTTAGAAAAGGTCTTGACTGCAATGTTGTTTACAGATCCAGTAACACTCTACATTTTCTGCTGATGTACTCAGGAATTCCTGGATTTTTTCTGGACATTGTCTTGATTAGTTTGACGGTCTGATGCATCGCACTGGTTTGATCATCTCTTAAAAAATACCGATGTATCATTCTTAAGATAAGTTTTTGACTGGAGAATGTTGTGAAGTGCTCACTCACAGACTGTAGTGTGAATTGCATATGACAGGAATTGCAAAATACTTCACTTGATTCGACTCGGAACTCTACAATCTTTTTTGTTAAGAGCATGAGCAATTTGTTGTGGTGTTGACATTTTTTTGGCCATGCTTTATTTCCCACTAGGATGAGCCAACAACTGGCATGGATCCAGTCGCCAAGCAAGCAGTGTGGTCTAACGTCCTCGCATTGATCAAGAACGGCCACTCTGTGATTCTCACATCACACAGGTAAACAGGTTTTCACAATCTGAATTCCACACCCCCTGGCCCAGTCCAGCACCAATCCAAGCGGGGGTTGTGAGGCTGGCCGGGGGAGGAGGGAAATTGTTGTTTCCTTGCCTGCTAACTTTTGGATAAAAATAATCTTAAGCTTTCAGAGTTCTGTAGGAAATACTCTGCCATTGCTTATGTCTCCGTCAAAAATGGGGGGAAAAGGAGGGGGAAGAAGGGAGGGGTAGCCGCACATCTGATCAATGGGCTGAACATGCTGTCTGCACACGGCCCGCTTGCGCATGACGTGCTATATTTGGATGTCACTTAAATCATCAGTCTCAGACTGTTTCTCAAACGCTGGCTTCGTCTCTGTTTTACAGCCATCTGGCAAACTGAAATTTCGGTGAAAAAAAAATTGGTAAACCCCACTCATGACAAATTTCACACTACGCTACTGAATCCCCAACTTATTTAGGGCCTGTCTCGATTCATATCCCGGACAAGTTGTGGACATTGTATCGGGCATAAGTGGCAGGATTCTGAACAACTTCCCCGCAATCTTCCCGCTATGATGTTATCAGTATTGATGAGTCAAGCAGTTGCTAATGAAACTTTGCCATGGAAATGAATTGAGAAGGGCCCTTATTTACTTAATTTGTTGCATAGAGAACTGATATTTGAAACAGCCAAACATTTGTTAATTTTTTCATGTTCCTGATTATGTTTTGCAGGCACTTTAAATCCAATCTTTAAATTCAGCAACAATTAAAATTTTTTTTAAATGAATCATCTTTCTAAATCATGTGCAATCATTTTTGTACGCATTTTGATTTTCCCAAATGGGTTTGTGTATGGCTCTTAAAGCTATCATTTGCCAGGAAGTATCTTTAGAAAACTCTTAAACAACCAATGAAGTGATTTTTTAGGAAAGGTGGGGGATTTGAAAACCTAAATCATTGTTGTATATAATGAGCATGGCGGTGGTTGTATTGTGCTTTTAATTTGCAGAATGAAATCTGTAGCTTAAGACTTTAAAAGTCAACTTGATTTTTGATCTTACACACATTCCAGCATGGAGGAGTGCGAGCTTCTGTGCACGCGTCTCGCGATCATGGTGAACGGTCGTTTCCAGTGCCTGGGCAGCCCTCAGCAAGTCAAGCATCGTCATGGCGACGGCTACACTCTTATCCTCCGCATCAATGATGAGACACTGGATTGGAGCAGCATCATGAACTTTGTCAACGACAGGTTTCCTGAAGCCATCCTGAAGGTATGCACAGTACATTTGCCTTGAAACCCCTCCCCCCAAACCCCCCCCCCCCCTCCCTTCCTTACGGAAAATATGGATCCTATACAGGATAAATAAATGGTGTATGTTGCAATGTAGGCACATTCAGTTGTTTGTATTTGAGTGTTTTCAGTATTCAGGGTTCTCACAGTCAAGGCAAAATTTAGGAATTTGAAGCTGATCATGGAAAGTCATGGAGTTTTGTTATTTTACTAGGAGTCATGGAAAGTTTGATCTTCCAAGACAAAAGTGGAAGACAACTCATAGAATCCTGCATCGCCCCAAGTCATGATGCGTAATATTTGCCTGTGGCAGGCTTACTACACATGTACTTCCTGTTTATGCATGTATGCTCTATTTTTGTTGCTTGTTCGATGCACCATAGCAATGCTTTTGCGGTGCTCAGTGGTCTTGTGCCAAACTGGAAGGCTGAAAGGGAGTGGCACCCCTTGTCTCTAGAGCAACAGGCTCCTATGATGCCAAAGCAGCGCAGGAATTTGTCGAATGCTAGAAAGCCTTAATTTTGTCCTGGAAAAGCCATGGCATTTCATTACAAGATTTCTGTGGGAGCCCTGAGTATTACAGTAACCTCCATTAGTGCTGCTAGACAAGAATTTGACACTTTGAAAGAGTCATTGTTATTGAAAGAGAATCTTCTGTGTTTTTGAAAGAGAACCTTTTGGGAAATTCAGCCTTTCTACTCAAAATTAGTTCTAGTGACTTTTGGCTCATTTTTGTTGGGTTGTGCTACTAAATGTGTTAGGCCTATATAGCCCCGTTTCCTAACACACTAAGTGTGCAACTTTCAAATCATCTTCTTGTAGGAGAGGCATCACAACATGGTGCGCTTCCAGTTGCCCCTGGCAACCAGGCGCCTGGCGGACATCTTTGGCGCTGTGGAGGAGAACAAAGCCCGCCTCGGCATCCAGGAGTATTCCGTTACCCAGACAACGCTGGACCAGGTGATTGGTCGCTATATTTATCCACAAACAAACTTTGATTGGTCCTCAACAATTTAACAATTGTTTCATAAGTGTGATTTCTTTTATATTGGTTGGTGAATATTTGGTTTCCGAGCATTTTTGTGAATATGGCGACATTTCTAGGAATTTTCTTACAACGGGTAATGAAATAAAGGCTTAAAATAATTTTGAAGCATTTGTGTTGGCCCCCTATAAGTTTTTTTTTTTATTTGGCTAAATTTCAAACAGTCTTATTACAAGTTTTGAACAGTTTAAATCAAATAACTGCTTTAAAAAATACCTTCCAAGCATTTGTGTTGTTCCCCCTTAAGGTTTTCTTCAACAGTAGATGTTGCCACAGTGAAAGCTAAAGCTGTAGAAATAAACTCTTCTTGTAAATCAACCCAAATTCCAAAAGAAGAAAACAACGATCGTAACCTTTATCAACCAAAACTTGTTTGAAGAAAAGTGTGTTTTTTTTTTTTCAAATTTAAAACTAGTCTTTGCCAGTATCCACACACATGCTCGCAGTGCACACATACTGAAATTTGTATTCTTGTGGAGACATTTCTTTGTTCTCGTGTAGTAAAGTTTTCGAGTTTGAAAGTGAAGTTTCAAAATGCTCTGATTTTAACCAGAATTAATTTCCTTGGCTGAAATTATGTACTTAATATCCCTTTTCTAAAACTCTTCCATTTGCGACAGATCAAAACACCTTGGAAATTCCGCCTAGTTTTTGAGTAAAATCGATATATCTATTTCGTGATAACCTTGTGGAGACGTATTCATCTGTAGAAATTGCCCTGTGGAGACGTATACAATCTTTTGTTCCCTATTGTGTGCACGTCTCCAGAGGGCACGGTGTATCAGATCACAATACACAATACAACAGTGTGCTACCACTCCACAAGTTTACATAAGTTTTTTTTTTCTTTTTTCTCGTCATCAACAGGTGTTTGTCAACTTTGCCAAGCGACAAACAGACGGCCACAAGAGCGGCAAGGAGTCTGTCCAAGAGTTCACCAATCAGGCATTCACAACTGCCGATGAAGCCTAAACAAAGCCTAACAGAGCCCACATACACCAGAGGCGCTGTTACATTCTAACACAGCATTCAGAAATAGTTTTCCATTTTTTTTTATGAAGTAATATTTGTGACAATGCAGCTTTTACTAATTGTTACGTTTTCATTTTAATCCTAAGAATAAATATTGTAGAACAGTGATGGGTTGTGTTAAGTAGTGTTAAACATTTCTGTAAGTTTGTCAAAAGTTTAGTGGACTTTCCCGTGATTGGTCTGAGAAGAAGTAATAAATAACTGTATGTTTATTGCAGCCTTCTATATTTTGTACGCACTAAGAAATGCAAAGTAGTACTTAGATGTGTTAGGCCTACTCACAAGCTGTATATTTTATGTTTTTTTTAACACAAGGCCTGTATATAATGCAGCCTTCTATATTTTGCACGCACTAAAAATGCAAAGTAGTGCTTAGATGTTGTACTCACAATTTGTGTATTTTATGTGTTTTTTTAATACAAGGCATGTATATGATGACAGTCAGTAATCCAATTTTTTAAAGAATCCTTTTTCAATTGTGCCCTAATAGGACGATTATTTGATTGTTGAAAAGGGATTTTGCAGTAGTGAATGGGGTTTTAAAAGTGATTTGTTCAAACAATTGTTAATGCTGACAAAGAAAAGTTGCTTGACCCCTTTATGATCCCAGGATATTTTCCCTCCAAAATCATTCAGTCTGCTGCAAAACTAATGAATGGTCCATTCATCCTGCCGATTTCACAAATTCTAACAGGACATGTCTTCCCATGTGCATGGCTAAGCCATGGTTGTTCTTGTTCTCCTTGGGGGGCAAGTGGGGGGGGGGGCTTGAGGTTACAATGGAGGGGCACCCAATTTGATCATGCTGAGAGGTAGACCAGTTTTTTTGACTGGACACCGGACCTCCATGAAATAAAATATGGGGGGGGGGGGCTGGAAACCATCTTCCCACGGCAACGCTGTTCAAAACCTATATCACGGGCAATGTCAAACAATAGCTAGCACTAATTGCTTTCCACGGGACGTTAAAATAAACAGCCACTCATGAAAAACAGGGTTTTGGTGACAATTACACCAAAAATCAAGGGAAAAAGGCACTTTATGTTCAACCCGCTAATCATGGTAACTCATAGGACAGTGCTTTTATTTTCTTCAGGTGCGGGGGGGGGGGGGGGGGGGGGGGATGCCGGATGCACCACCACGCCATAGCTATGCCGTTGCTCATGTAAAATAGTGGCATAAAACAGTCTTCCCTTGTTGCGTGGCTGGTAAAAGAAATTGAAGATTACAGCATTTCCGTGTTTTTATTTGGACCCCTCCTGATGTAGACTGCTTTCGATCTGTAATGATGGCATTTATATGGTGGCTGGACTTGTATGGTGGAGTGTTTCTGGGAAAGTCAAATGTACTATGTAATCCAACCGTACAAAATGAATCGGAAGTCGCCAGAGTTGAGTTGCGGGCCCTTGAACAAACCTTTCACCGCGGAAATAAGGAACCGTGTATTTTTTTTGGGACCAAAATCATGTTCACAAACAAACAACAAATGTATGCAACTGATCTTGTACTAATATTAATCATTCTTATTACCATAACTTTAGTATTAATTATGAAATGCTCTTAATTATACATTTAGAGACTTGCTCTGTAGCATGTGTTATATCTTTTGTAAGTTTGTGCGAAGTGTTCTTTTATAATTATAGCAAACTATACAATTTGGTTTCATTGTGGTAGATGTTGTATGTGTAAATTTTTGTATTTTCTAAAAAAAGAAATGAAAAAAAGAAGTGCTCTTTTTTTATAATGAGTAAGGAATGTTTTATATTTCAGGACTTTTTATATTTTTATACACGTTTTCTGAGACCTCTTTTGTATGTTGCACAGTGACCTCCATGAATTTGAATCTGCTTCTAATTACAGCTATCGTTTCTAATGAATCTTCTAATTGAGAAAGGAAAAAAAAATTGCTGAAAATGAATAAATATCTAGGAATAGTTTATAACTGATAAGCGGATCTTTCATATATACATTTTGATGAAGCATTTATGTAGAATTAATAAAATAGCGAATGTTTGTAATAAACTTGTGCCTTCTTTTTGTCCAATTTCATAAGTCATTATACTATTTGAATTTGGGGGATTATTTTTGTGCATTTTCTAACAGACTCGGTATAGTAAAGAACCTACATTGCTATTGCAAGCACTTTGTATGAACTCGTCGGCACTTCTAGGCAATAAATGCTGCATTACTCAAGTCATTTGATGATGAGGTAGAACCTTCAATACAGCATTATCTCCCATATAACAAAAGTGACACATTTGCCTATCAATAATCAACACAAAAGGGAAGGGGAGGGGCAGGGCAATATGGGCACGCCCCTTGTGCCCCGCCTTTCTCCCTATCACAACAAAGGAGTAAAAAATTACCTTTTGTGCTTATTAAAACCATGACTAGGCTTATGCCAATCCCCCCCCCCCCCCCTTTCCAGAAAACGGGTCCAAGAAAAATCAACATTTCCTCCGAAAATACAGGGCGAGTCAAACAAAAAAGCGGAGCCCAAACCCAAAAAACTGTATTTCATATTTTAAAAGAATATGTAGCACCAAACATAATAATGACTGGAAAGCCAATTTTATAAGCTTAGATGAAAAAATAACTGAAATTGCTCAATCCGTTCAAAGAATACCACCGTTTCATCGCTATGACCCTAAAACCTGTTTCGTCCAACAACAAAAAAACATTTTAGTGTGTATTCTGACAGTTGGGTACAACAAAGAGAAGACACAGAATGCTTGTTTGAACAACTGCAGTACACAATATCTTTATTAACAACCCTGGTTAGGCAAAAAAATATTCATACTCCCCACTTTTTTTAAAAGACGGGCCTTCAAAAGGACTGTGAATATTTTTAAACTGAGGTTTTATCGCTGGTGATGTTTGAAGACAATTATAGCGATGATTCTTGAAATCGCATTTTTGGACGAAAGAGGTTTTAGGGTTATTGTGTTTAAATTGTGATATTCTTTGAACGGATTGAGCAATTTCAGTATTTTTTTCATCTAAAATGAAAGTAGCATATGAAATTTGCTTTCCAGTCATTATTATGTTTGGTGCTACCATGGAGCTGTGTTTATAGCTCCATGGTGCTACATATTTTTTTTAATATGAAATATGATTTTGGGGTTTGGGTTCTGCTTTTTGACTCGCCCTGTAGAAGTCCTATTTTGTATTTTTTCAATGACGGCACCTATATAGACCTTGTGCGTTGCGGGTGTCTCAAGCTCAGAGTTTTTGTGTGTGTTATTTTAATCTTGTAACAATGACTGCACAAATGGTTTACTCATGCCTATCCACACAATACGGAACCATTGCCCTCTAGCTCCGCCTTAATGCATAAGGTCTATATACTGCGGGTTATAAGGCGTGGTGTGCGGGGATTGAAGTTTTTGGACTTTGTTGAGATACAATGTATATGTCCTCTTCTCAGGCCGATTTTGTGTCAAATATCCAGACCCCCTTTTACATTTTAGCGCAGACTTCAAGATTTTCCGTACGTTGCGTCAGAAAATTTATCTAGATAAGAGGACAAGTTACTTGGGTTTTTTTAGGCCACAAATTTCGGGTTCACTGTAAGATAAATATAAAAATCGTTTAAGTTTTTGGATTTTGTTGAGATATATGTCCTTTTCCAAGGCCGATGATTTTGTATCAAATATCCAGAGCCCCTTTTACATTTTAGCGCAGACTTCAAGATTTTCCGCACTTGATTTGCGTCAGAAAATTTATCAAGATAAGAGGACAAGTTACGTGGTCTGTAGCTTTCATCAACATGACAACCAAGAAGTTAAAAGTTTAGATACCCGAAGTCGAAAGGCGACTCGGTCATGCGGGATAAATGCCACAAATATAGTTTTGCACCCCCCCCCCCCCCCCGCAATGCCACGCCTTTCCCGTTGCTGATACATGGGGGGGGGGCTTACCCCGGACAAGGCATTTTTCAATAAAATAGTTTGTTGTTTTTTTTGTGCGGAGGAGCGAAATGTTAATAATATCATGGAGGAATAAGAATGGAGGGCCTAGGTACGGTATGGTTCGACTCGGAGCCACAAAGAACTTCAGGCCAGCAGTAGCAGACGACAGGACAACACATGACGTCATAAAAGGCATGTCTAGTCTAGGCCCTGCCTCCTCTACCCGTACATATGCAATGTGGACTTGCAATAAGTAGTGGGTACCATACCAGTCTGGCCAAAATGGCGGCTCCCACGTTTGATTTCGTGAATGCGAGGCAGACGTTTTCTGTGAGTATTTAGGCTAGTTTTCATTCAGATATGTATTATATTTCTAACCGTAAAAGTTGGAGTCTTTGCTTGTTTTATCTTGTAATGTTTTTCATAAGTTTGAACACGTTCAGATATGTTTGTTGTACTTCAAATTAGTTCACGTTAACTTCGTCAACGGTAGGCCTACTACCACTACCACTGTACCAGCAGTTACGCGTTTTACGCTGTTCATTTTTTATTTGTGCCCATTTTCCGGACAAAGTGGTCTTTGTAAATTTGTCTCTGACTATACACATGATACAGGGTGCACCCAATCAAATAAATTCCCATAGGCAACAGTGATAAATGCCAATACTTCAAAATTCTTTTGAAAATACTCAAAACTCTCAGTCTCACAGATTTCAGGCTGCACAGAAAAATGATCAACATGTCATCTTTCAAGTTTCATTTGGTGGGTTGACCGATGACTTTTCGAGAAATTCTAACCCAAAGAAGATGACAGATTCATGTCATTTCAACATTTTTGCAATGACTGACCTTCATTGAGATAATATATGATGGAAAAAGTGGCGTCAGGATACAACATTCTTTCCTTATATAATTTTTTCAAATTGATTATAATTTGATACCGTGCTTCATGACACCACCCTTATTCTGTTTCTCTTGTTTTAAAATCATCATGACCATGATTTATGGCATGAATATTAAATTAGGCCCTTTAGCCACATTACTTTCCCCCATGGACAAAATAACCGTATACGAACCTCAACATGACAGACAACTTTATAAAATCTTAACAGAAAAACTACACAGTTTACAAAAATGAAATTTACCCATCATAATTCCTGATATCTTCGGGGTATACCACCCAAAATCAATGAAATCAGACCATTTTTTTGAAGATATCCTTAAAAATGCGACGCAATGCCCGAAGTGCTCCATTCGCGGTCATCTGCACTTCGGCCTGATATTTTGATGTCTAATTTGCCAATTAGAGCTGGGAATACTTACCAGGGTCAGATGGTGGTTTAAACATTTTCCAATAAAATTACCAATGATTACTGGCAACATGGTCAAAATTTGCCCCAAAACATACCCCAAACTACTGAATACGCTACCAAATACAGATCGAGAATTTAAGATGATTATACAGAGGCAATTTACAATTCGGATGGAAAGTGAGACTTCCCGCTCATTCCCGAGAGAGCTCCCGTCGCATTTGTAGACATGTTAAAATCATTTGAATGGTAAGACAGTGAGACAGTACCCAGGGTGTGCTGATGAGATCCCGAAGAACAAGTGTGTAGTTCAATTGCGGACAGCTTCTTTCAAGATCGAGTGCGGTGATATAGTTGTCATATGATGCATATCGATCATATCTACACTGGTTTCCGCCCTGGTCCCTTTCATGATTGATTGGAATTTATGTGGGGGAGGGGAGAAAGAAGGGAGGAGAAGCCATGCATCTGATCAACATGCTGAATGCCCCCTCTGCACATGGCCAACCTGTGCACGGCCCACTTGCTTGTGGCACGCTGTATGTGGATGTGGGTTCAGTCTCAGGCCATTTCTCAAACCCCGGCCACATCTCCAGATCTGACTCCAAACCTCCTCTCCCCCCCCCCTTCTTTACAGTACATTAGCTTCTGTACAGTAGCAGTGATATAATCATTTCACCCACAGACAACTTGCAGTCCATGTTTTGCGCTGCAGGAAAATGAGTTCTATAAGGCCAAAAAAAAGTCTCTGGATTCTAGTATGCGCGCGCGTCGCCGTAGCCATGCGCGTCGGCAAAATGAAAAAGTTTTTTTTTCAAAGTAAGATGATGTCTCAAAACCGCCCAACTCACAGGTTTGGCTGGAATCTTGCTGCTGCACAATTTTAACGTGTTTTTAGATGGGGTTACGATCGAGTATAAGCTTTATGTGACCTCTCTGGACTCCCATATACTGGTATTTTGCACTAAATTTAGTCGGGCACCATTTGCAGTCATCAGCCGACATTTGAAGAAGAAAAAAAAGTAAAAAAAAAAAAGGACTTTTTTTTTTGGCCTAAGCAGAATGAATTTTACAATGTGCATTATTAGAATCTGTACCCATGTTGTTGAATGTGCTTTTGCTTGATTGCAGGAGAGTATTGAGGAAGCTCGTCAAAATAATGAGAGTGACAAGTTGAAGCAACAGTCGACAGCCGTAGATGGCAGGTACACATCATTTTTGGGTTTAGGCATTTTTGCTAGGATGTAACCTCAATCCTGCAAAATTCTCCAACTGAATCCCTGTAAAAATAGCATACAACCTGAAGTCTGCAAAATCCTCCGTTATTTATTGAATGTGGTCTTTGAAGGGTTGCCCACCATGCCCACTGCCTCAATTCTGGGCCTGGGTGGCTTTTATGGAGGAGGGGGCTGGGATATTGACAATTTCAATGCAATATTTTTCGTTTGCTTGGGGGGGGGGACACCCACTCCTGTCTCAAATCCTGATTCAAATCTGGGTGGGAAAAGTCGTAGTTCAATTTACAACAACAAAAAACACAATATTTTGTTTATTGATTTATTTTTTAAATAACTCCGGTGTTAAATTGTCAAGAATCTTGTATGGTTTGAACAGTGCAGCAAGGTCATAAAATGTTTTATTCACTGTAAACAATATCATATGTCTCCCCTGAAATAAACTACATTTTTCTGTTGAGTTTCGACCACATCAATGTTTTAATTAATTTTTTGTTAAAATCTTTTTTTCAGTGAAGCAGAAAAGAAGGTTGCATTAGACCAAGCATTCCGCGATGTGATGATGAATTTAGTGGTGAGTTTTCTCCAAAATATGTACCGTCAATACTTATTTGTGTTGTTTCGGATGTGTGTCTTTAGTTTCCACGCTATTCGTGTCTTAAACCTGGCATTTGACCTCTGTTGACATTTGACCCCACAGGTCAAGGGGAGTGGCTGCGAACACTTCACCGCCCTCATCAACCTGTCCATCGAAGCAGTGCATCTTGGGATATGTTCGCCGGCCACGCCCTTCCTGTTGCTGTCAGACGTGTTTGAGTCGGTGACCATCAACATTTGCGACAAGGTCTTCAAGTTTGTGGAGGAGAGAGTAGATACTTGGAAGTCAGTGAGTACCATAGAGCCATTAAAGGGGCACTAGGTCCTGAAATCCCCGAAAATGTTATGTTTTGGATTGTTTACTTAGCCTATTTCAAACATCTGGTTGAAAGGAAACCAACCTTATGTATTACCGTTGCCGAGAAAAGACAAAAAAAAACAGGCTTGTTTACATCGGACGTGACAGAGTACGAATATGTTTTTCGTGTCGTTCTCATGTACGCTATACACGTTGTGTGTCTCGGGAACAGCGCGCGGTGACCGATCACCAATGCAAAAAATTGTGGTTTCTTCAACGTCCGCAAAAGGCGAACACTTTACGCGTACGAATGAAATCACAACTAGCATCCAAACAGCTCAAATTTATGGGGTCGCAAAAGTGGACCCCGGAATTCGTTCTCGCACACATAATACAGGAATAACACAAAAACGCCCAGTTTCGAAAGGATAGTTGTGTGGATGTTTATATCCTACTTTTAAAAGTTATTTCCGAGTATCATCATCTCGTTCAAAGCGCGTTTTGTAGCCCAATTGGGCTGTTCCAGGACCTAGTGTCCCTTTAATCAAAATCCTAGGGCTCTGTGCACAGCTATACCCTTAATGGTAAGAATTTAGGCATTGAAGTTGGAAAAATATTTGCATCTTGGCATTTGGACTTGAAACTGTATGTGCAAATGAAACCAATGGACGCCGTGCACGAACGGTAAATAGCACTTTGTGACCACTTTCGAGAGAAGCCATTGTGAACGCAATTGTACAAAGCAACTGGCCTGTGACAGATTATCTGAACAATAGCTAGCACAGTGCCTACACCATGGAAGGTGGCCTCTGTGATAGAAGTGATGGCATGCTCAAATTGGTCTGTAGGTTGAATCTTGATGAAAAAAATATTTCTAATAGTTTGCCTGAAATCTGTCCAGGAGTCAGATTTTATTGTTTTATGTTGTTTATTAACAGAATGTGCTGTACACATCTGGCAAGAATTTCCTTCTCCGAATGTGCAATGGTGAGTTGCTAACGTCGTTGCCCTTAGGCAGTTTTGCATTTTATACACGGGGAGGGAGGGGAGGGGAGGGGGGGGGAATGAAACACGACACATAAACCATGAAACAAAAAAACACGTGTCGGACCTTCAACTTATTTAAGTCCAAAGTGCAGCTTAATTTATCAATGTAAAAAAAAAAAAATCAAATTGTACAAAAATAAAAAAAAGTCCAAAGTCATGGTAAAAGGAAAAATACACCATATGCTGAAAAATCTGTCTCATTTAGCCACTTAATTTTAGCTTCTAGTTAGGTGTAAAACGTCATTTCAAAGGATTTTGTTGAAAATAGAAAGTCGGAATCTGTATATTGCTTTAAGAGTAAAAAAATTAAAACCATTGTGTGGAAATATCCAAGCTGGTTTCAGATGAAATTTACTTATTTTAACATCTTTTTTCCTCGTTTTTTTTCATTCAGATTTGCTTCGTCGACTTTCCAAATCCCAGAATACAGTGTTCTGTGGTCGCATCCAGTTGTTTCTGGCTAGGTTTTTCCCTCTTGACGAGAAATCAGGTAAAAAGGAATGTTTTCAATTATTTATTTTTGCAGACAGTTTTGAAATCAAGTTTTGTTTGTTTTGCATGATAAATTAATTTGCAGTACCCCATCAAAATATTTTATTTTTCAAATAATTATACCACAGGGGGGCTGTCAAGGTTCGGTCACGGGTCATTCGGAATAATCGAATGTTTCGAAGGTGTATGAACGCAGGCGCACGACGCTTGCGTGTACATTACCAGCAGAATGGGCATGCTCGTAACATCGCGTAACATCACATCAGCGATGTTATACCAAATGACCTCCGGTCATTGAAATACCGAACTGGCTTATTGATTCTTTTCTTGTTTATTAACGTTTTTGTTTTTTTACAGGATTGAACCTTATAAGCCAGTTCCACTTAGACAATGTCACATCCTACAACACCGAGCAGCTAGATGGACCTCTAAAAGTAAGTCAATCAGTCAGGTATCTTGAATCCCTCTACCCTCGCCATAAAAGCTCTTCAAATTTTTGCTGGTCCCAGAGGGGCCAGTGTATAGTCCTCTGAGTACCTAACGGACTTACTGCCTCACTCCCCCACTCCCCACTGACTGACTGACTGACTGACTCCCCCGCAGACTGTCACTTGTGAATTAGATTTGCCTTAGTCTCACCTTGGCCCAAAGGTGTGATATAGGATTACCCTGTAAAACCAATGAATGGCCCATTGTGAAGACCATATGCATGACAAGACTTCAATCCGATCATTTTGGAGGATTTATTTGCACAATTCAGAAAAAGAAAAAAATCTGCAGTGTTTAAATTACATCTCCCCGATGCAAATTCCATCTTATAAATTATCTTGTTTTTTCTTTCCAGTCGGAGGATAAAGATGAAACGATGGAGGTTGAGGAAGGAGAGATGTCTGCCGGTACCTCACCAATCGACTACCTCCTCTATCGTAAATTCTGGGCCTTGCAAGACTACTTCCGCAACCCTACCCAGTGCTACATCAAGGACAAGTGGAGAGTGTTTCAGAGGGTCAGTGCCGAGTTTTTCTCTCAATAAACAGTTTATTTCATCAGTTTCAATATAATTCCACTAATATGTTACATTTTAGTAGTTATCGAATGGTTGCAGGTTCGTATCTGTCTCTAGTCAATGGGGTGTCTATCTCATAAACGTCAATCATCAGAATTAAGTACATTAACCCTCCTGCTGTCTGAACAGTCACAGACAGTCAAAAAATCAATACTCTTCCCCTGCCATGCCTTTTACACAGGCTAGTCACCAACAGTCAGACATTATTTTTAAGCAAGCACTGTGACTAGTCAAATTCAGTCAACCGACTAAAGCAGGCAAGTGGTAGGCACAGCTGGCTTATCAATCACATGCAGTCAAAGCATAGCTGTATCAGGTTACATAAACAGTCAAAGCCAGTCAATCCTGTCCTTCATGTGGCCTGGGAGCTCTTAACTGTTAAAATCAGTCACTTGACTGATTTTGACTGAAAGGACAACTTCGCACAGAGTGTATGTTTGCGTAGGAGGGTTTATGGAGGCCCTCAGTTATGGTGGAAGTCATTGTTGCAGCTATCGTTCAGCATTTATACCATCATGGACTAGTCACTTTGCACAATATCTGGATCAATGCTTTCACCATTACTACATGTAAGGGCTATAATGCATGCGCTGCTTACCCCACTTTCCATGTAGTCATGAAATTGAATGAAAGACTGTTTGTTTTATAACCAAAAAAATAGTAATGCAAATTTAACAAACCAGTTTCCCAAACCTGATGGTAAAAAAAAATGTATTTTGTTTGCAGATTCTGCAGACTCTGAACAGTACTGACTGTGCAAACTCCGTAAAATCAGCAGTGCAATTAGCATAAAATATGCAGTTGGTTTTTAACAGTGAACAGTGCAAACTTAGCTTACCATGGAAATTATTTTGTGTGCGGTTTCTGCAGACTCTACTGCCTCTGCAATCTTTTTGAGTTGCAAACTTCCAGTCCAGTGTTCAACCTTAACTTTTTTTGTCTCTAGCCAGCCGGGCTACTGACACAGACTCTGAACTAGCCTGTGGGCATTTTCACTAGCCCGCATGGTTTTGTTTTATAGAGTGTCTCATAAACAACAATGTGCATACATGTTCAATGTGTATCCTGAGGCAATCTTGTCAAATAAACAGATCTAATAATTTAACCCTAAACAGTTAATAAACAGATGTAATAATTTAACCCTAAACAGTTAATAAAATTAGACACAAATTGATACAGATTTGCTTTTTGAATTTAATGATTTATTTCTTCATGTTCTTTCATCTTTGCTGTATCCCAATAATTTTTGACTCGTCAGCGACTAGCCTGCCGCTGTTTGGACTAGCATTTGGCAAGCGGGCTACCACTAAAGTCGAACCCTGCAGTCAGTGTTGCAGCCTTCGTTACTAACAATGTTACAATCACCTCCTGCTTGTTCTTGAATAGAATACCAAAGCTGTCCTGGGAGCATTCAGCAGTCTGAAGCTTGATGACGTCACTGCGTCCAAATCACAGGACGAGACACCGACAGAAAAACACGTCTTCTTTTCAAAATACCTCACCAGCGAAAAGGTTAGTTGCAAAGGTTGTCTTGAAAATATACAGCTCATCAGCAGACCAGTGTTTATCTCCAGTTTCTGGAACCTGGTTTTGAACTAGCTTTTGTGCAAAGTTTTGAAAAGATATTAACATATTTAGTACCTGAATTACATTGTATTACATTGTATTACATTGTATTACATTGTATTACATTGTATTACATTGTATTACATTGTATTACATTGTATTACATTGTATTACATTGTATTACATTGTATTACATTGTATTACATTGTATTACATTGTATTACATTGTATTACATTGTATTACATTGTATTACATTGTGTTACATTGTGTTACATTGTGTTACACTGTATTACACTGTATTACACTGTATTACACTGTACTACACTGTATTACACTGTACTACACTGTACTACATTGTACTACATTGTATTACATTGTATTACATTGTATTACATTGTATTACATTGTATTACATTGTATTACATTGTACGTGTATATGCACCTTGATGAATCTATGAAACCATACGGTGCTGGGATAGTTAGTGGCAGTATAAACAAATCTGGCCACGTGATTACTGTACATTCTAGGGCTGTGCATTGGAACCGGTTTCCCCAGTACCCGAATGTTGATGTCAGGAACATGTTCCAGATTATGGAATCGGGTGCACGTAACCAACTTTACAAATCACTTAGTAACTTCTCAGACAATGAAAAAGCATTGTTTTGAATGCCATTTGTGGGGATTTTAAGAATGAAAACCAGGCTACATGGGGGGGGGGAATGTATTTCGTGTTTATGACACTCATGAAAGCTGCAGTTTACACCGTAAAGCTATAAGCTCACTGTACACACAAGTTTGTATCTTGCTGTATCGACACGTGGTTGAATTATTGTGCGGACCTTATCCCCTTAAGGACGGGGTGTAATGGGGACATTTCTCCACACATAGAGCAAGTGGCCCGCATGACTGCACAGCCTTTGTGTGGTAGCGGGACTGCACAAAAGCAGCAAACTACCCACTAGCCGTGTGCCGCGGCATACCACAGCTGGCAACTGCATTCCAATGAGGATTAGCGGGCGTGGCCATGACCGCTTCCCGTACGCATGGGGTTAAGGACTGTCTGAACAGCAAATTCCAAGATTTGTATTTTGGGCTTGGGTTTCTTTTACCTGTGTTTTTTGTTTTTTCAATCGGGTACCGGGTTTCTATACCCCTAAATGCACACCCCTAGTGCATTCACAAGGCCCCCTTCAATGGAGTATAAAGCATTGTCTCAGCTATTGTACAAAGCTACATCTACTGCCCCATGACACATTATCTGAACAATAGCTGGTCTATAACGAGTAATTGGGCTGTTTGGAGGCAGGACAGGGACAGATGGGATAAAAGAATGATCTTTTTTTCCATTAGTTGTACGACCTTCAACTGAATGACGCCTCATTCAGACGCTATGTGCTGCTACAGTTTCTCATCTTATTTCAGTACCTCAACCAGCACGTCAAATTCAAAGGGTAAGAGTGTGTCTTGTTATATCGTGTCTTTGACACTGTAATTTCATCGGTCTAGAACGGTCACGTATCGAGTCTATAAAAATGACTGTTTATTTTTATTTCTGCATTGCATATTAATGACCTCATATACACTGCATTGCATACAAATGATCTCATATGTACTTCGTTGCACCTAAATCAAAAGGTTACACTGTAGTAATTTGATTTATTTCTTGCATTGTGAGTTACAAAGCTTTCCTTTTCTGACTTACTGGCACGATATATAGCAAAACGTTTGTTGACTGCTGTGATGTGGGATATGGCTTGGCCTTGGGTGCTAAACGTGACTTTTTTTCACCGTCTATCTCATTCACAGAGCTCAACAGGTACTGACAGACGACATGTCTCAGTTCATCAAGACCACGACGGAGACTGTCTATGATCTCCTGAAGGAAACATCCCCAAGAGGAGAGGAATTCGCCAAGACTATCCAGGTATGGAAGGACACTAGTTTGTATTTACCAACAAAACACCTGCAATGCTTGTAAAATCAGTTTTGAAAATTTTGAGTTCATATATTTCAATACCAGGCATAACTGTATTAAAGTCCAATATGTTAGATGTTATGCCTCAAGTATGCACTCGTGTTATAACACAAGTGCATACTTGAGGCATAACGTCTAACTATCAGGGGCGGGCTTTGCTTTGTCATGTTCTGGGGTTTTTTTAAGTGACAGTGTCATATGAAAATCCGACTCCTGTGAAAATCCGACTCCTTGTCCCTATTATTGGTTAATCCCTTGCACTTGACCAGTCACTCTCCTAATTATCATACTTACGCATGCGCAATACCACCAACGAGTCCATATTTCATGGAATCGGATATTCACGCTACAACGGCTACCTGACCTAAGATTTTTCAGAATGGTCAGAATGTTTTGGTGTGGGAACTAGACTACAATAGCCCATACAGGTTTATGATGTCGAACTTGCAACTGGGGAGACGGCTAACACAGGACTGGATGGCTCAGTTGGTTGAGTGTCATTTAGTTTTCTGGAGGTGAAGGGTTCGAATTCCACTCCATGTCTTATTCAACTAATTATTCATGAAAATGTTAACCCAGTCAGTTTCTCTTTGTGGTTTATTTGATTCTTTTTTTTTTGTATCAGCACATTCTGAGTCGAGAGGAACATTGGAACACATGGAAAAATGAAGGCTGTCAGAGTTACATCCGAGAAAAGTAAGTAGCCCTTAAAAACTACATTGATCTCAAGCAATATCTCGATTTTCTGAACACAACTATTTAAACGGGTTGTTTGTGGTTGACTTGTATCATTTTATAAATTCCTGTCTGTTACCTCTGAATTCTGCCTGTAGCTTTAATTAAATATGACTTAAATGTAATTTTCATTTGTTGGTAGGTTATTTGCTTCACATAATCACTCTTGGAGGAAGAATACATTAACCCTAACTCCCCAGCATGATTTACTAGGAACCATACCCATCCTGGCAAATTCCATCACCATATGGCAAACTGCACACACATATTTCTGACTTTGATTCTGGAGGTGTGCCAACCCAATGTAAAAGACTGTCAGTTTAGGGGTACTGTACCCATCCTGACAGATTCCAACAAAACATGCCGTTGGGGTTTGATGGGTCGAGTTCTGTTAGGGTTAAGGAATGGATCCAAAATTATAGAATCGTACAAGTCTCATGTAACAGGGACAGGAAAAAAGTGGAACCCCCAATTTATAGAATGACCCCTACTTTCTTAAAAGCAGCTTTGGACAATCTTTTTACGTCATTTGCATAAAAAAAAATCATAAAAGTGTTAAGTGTGGGCACCCTTATTTTTCAAAGCAAAGAAATTTGTTACACTCACATTTCCCAATCCTGATCCAAAATTATAGATGCGATTATTTTGCGGGTTTTTTTTCTAATGGATATTTAAAAAATTCATACTTGAATGTTTCTCTTTTCAAACAGGCCCGATGCTACACAAGTGCAACCAAAACCACGGTAAGTTCTTGGTTTTAGAGATATTTTCTTGAATGTGGGCACAAGGTATCTGTGGCACTCAACTGTCTATCATCTTGTTCATGGCATTAATAGATCATGTTGTAGGATTTATTTATAGGCATGAGCAGCACGGGTAATAGTACTTTTACGAGCATAATTGAATGGTTTTAGGTCAGTGTATTACTGCCTCCTTTGTTTTATGTCTTTATGTCTAGAACAAGGAACCTTTGTAATATCTGTATGAAGAAATTTGCAGAGATGTTTATTTAATATTGGGTGTTTGCTCTTCGCCGACATTTATTTCATAAGTGCCCCTAGCAGGCTCTGTGGTCAAGTGGTTAAGACATCTGCACTTGCAAGCTTGAGGTTACAATGTATTTTTTCTCACAAGCCCTCAGACAGCAGTATTTGAGGTTTAGGAGAAAAACCTCAAAGAGTGTTAATTTTGATCTCCCCACTAGGGCAAGAAAGCGAAGCCTAGGCGAGGAGCTGAGAATCAACGCGCCCAACAAGAAGATCGACATGGGAAGCCCTGAACTGACTAGACTGTGGAACATATGCCCGGACAATCTTGAAGCCTGCCGAGCAGAGAATAGGTGAGAAGTCTGTGAGGTTCAACACATGAATGACAAAGTTTTGTGTGTGCTGTGAGGCTCGAACCTCACAACTTTCATATTCAACTTGTGAGGTTTGCCTTGCACAGTTTTTTCTTGTGTGAGGTACCTCACACACCACATGTATATCCTTATCCACACTGTGAGGTTAGAGCCTCCAAAATTTCCTTATTTGACTCAAGAGTTCTTCCGTGGACTGGTTTTGAGGTGCCGAACCTCGCAGATTTTTCTCAATTTAACTTTTGAGGTTTTGCCATGGGCATTTTTGCTGGTGCAGGACCTCACACACCACATGTGTATCTTCACTTGAAATGAGAAATGCGAAACCTCACAGGTTTCTTCCTTCATTTTTCGAGGTTCTCCATGCACTGATCTTCATGGCACTGAACCTCATAAACTCAAGCATATCCTAGACCAATATTTGAGGCACAGTGACTTACAGTTTTTTTTATTCAACTCATGAGGTCAACAATACACTGATATGTTTACTGCGGCACCTCACACACATGTTAATTGTTTTCTTATTGAACCTCAGAGGTGAACATTTTCTTGCTCAACCATAAAGGTCCTGAACCTCAAACCTTTTTCATGTTAATTGCTAGAGGCTGAGAATCTCTGATGGCATGTAGGATTTCATGACTTAAAGTGTGCCCTAGATGTGATTTCCAAAGACTTTTGTAATGTAATGTTTTGGGAAATTTTGCATCTGACACTTTAAAAACATCTTGCAACACTGTGTGTTGCCTTAATACTGACCATACAGTTTTGATGGGTCCAACATTGCACATTTTATTGGCATGGTGTCATTATTCTCAATTTTTGTATTAACAATTATTTTCATTAACGACAACAACACATATTTTTTCCCATTCACAAGGATCTTTATACCAACCCTGGAGGACTACTTTGAGGATGCGATAGAACAGGCAGACCCAGGAGCCATGATAGAACAAGAATACAAGTAAGTTTACCAAATTCAAACTTTTTTTCAAAGTTGAACAAAGAAATTGACTGGAGCAGGGTTGTTGGCGGTTCCCCAATTTGTCACCAAAATTAAAAGCTTACAGGAAATTCACGCTAAAAGCCACTTAAATTTTCGTTATTCAAACTAATTTTTGAATTGGTAAGTTAGGCAATTTAATTTCTTCTGTGGATTAAAATGAGTCAGTTGTTCCATTTTGAAGATTTTACAGAACGCCAACTTCTGAAAAATATTAAGGGTTTTTTTTTTTGTATGCTGGAAAAAATATTTGCAATGATTTGATGTTGAAATGTTAAGCTTTAAATAAAAATATCAAAGAACAAACTTCTTTCCGTGGTTGTTACCTCATTATGCCAAGTTTCAGGTCATTCTGCTTATGGAAGCATTGTGCTTAATAGTCTGCCTTTTTGGTGATAGCTCTAACATTTTGTTTGTAATTTTACTGTCAGGGTTGTAAACAACAGTAACTTTGCCTGGTGTGCTCTGCGGCTGCTAGCGAGACGTAGCCCCTACTTCTTCCAGACGATCACCAGCACCCAGGCCCCAGTCAAGTCTGTGCCGTCGTACCTTGAGATGATGGTCACCAAATTGGCCAAGGATATGCCGGTCAGTCTCTCTGTTGTTTGTGTCAAATACTGATCGCTAGTTGATTGTCTGTTTGCACAGAAAAATATTTACTCGGTGAAGACAAATGACCATCCAAAGTGTCCTGCAGTGCAGTAACTCAACTCCTGAGGCCTTGTAACCTTTTAAATTAACCCTAACTCCCTAGCGTCTTTTACTAGGAACTGGACCAACTCAAAATACATCAATCCCTGTGCGTCCAATACAAAACTGTACATGACAGAATGGAATCCACCACTGACGCACTGGTTGACATTCATGGACTTGCTACACATGGCTTTTATTACAATAGCAGTACAGGAAGCTAGGCAAAATCAATCGGATACCCCTAGCACTGCTTCAGGCCATTAGGCCCAAGTCCATCATACTCCATCAATATTTGCCCCGGTAGTCACGCCAGGCCTTCGGACCAAGTCCCCCAAACTCCACCAAAATGGGGGGATGGATTTTGATGCATTTGGGGTGGTTAGGGTTAATATTTCTGTGAAAGTCTTCACCTAGCGACTGGCATTCAGGAAAACAATGTGGACAGAAATGCTCCTTTAAAGGTTATATACAACATTCGCAAACATCAAATAAACCAAAACTACCAAATTATTATGAAATACTGCAAGTAATAGTCTCAAGCATCCTATGAAATCATGGCACCCTGATGTGCTGTCATTTTCAAGAAAAGTGAAATGTTTGTATGGTCGACCAACAATCTTCAGAAAAGAACTGACTTTTTTCAAACATTACCCCATATTTACCAAATTTAGTCCACCTTTTTTTGCCATCGGTTACACATCCACAAATGGGTACAAGCCAGCTAGTCTGGTTCCCTGACCTGACAATTCCCCAACGTCTATAAATTGAACTGTTTCGTCTGAAGTAGGGTCAGGGAACCAGACTACAAGAACATCGTTGCTTTTTCTTTGTTTTTCCAGCATCTATGAACACAAAACTTTAAACAGGTCAGTGTAACAATATTTGCTGGAAAACACTTACCCCCAAATCCATCCATTTCTGAAAAGCAATGGTGTATATTACCTTTAATTGAATTGTATTTGTGCAGAGAGAAATTTTTCAGATTTTAATTGGACTTCCGATTTTTAAAATTTCCTTCTAAAAGCCTGATTTTTTCCCCTCAAAATCTGACTTTTTTAAATTGAATTTCAACCAATTAGATAAAAACAAAATGTCTAATGAAGGCACAATTTTAATCTCCCGACCCCGATCCTTTTTTCAGAATATTTCCACAAACCAGTTGAATCTCTGTTCATGGTGTTGTTTTGTCACTTTTTATTCCCACAGCAAACATCAATAGAAGAGTTGAAAACGGAAGCAGTTGTGGAAGAAAACGACGATTTGTTGAAGGGCGGGGAAGAAGGTATAAAGCAATAAATGTTTTTGTATTATTATTTTTTCCCAATTATGAAACCAAGGATTCCTCATAGTGCCCGTGGCATTATAGCTCACAAGCCTGAAAAATAAAACTGTAGAGAGAAAACAATGAAGACAATAAAAAACCCAGACAAATTGACGGTGTTTTCATGAGTTGACAAAAACCTCCATATCCTTCAAAAAGGTCATCCCGAGATAATAGCATTCGAATTTAATCCTTTTTTCAAAACACATTTTCGACCAGTTTGTAGGTAAAGATTTGGGAAATGTTTGCATTGTCAAGTAACTTATGCTATGTTCTTTGCTAATTCAAAGTTTTTTGTTAAAGTTTCTCTTATTAAACAGTAATTTATTATTCATAAATACCTAAGACAGTTTACGCATTCCCATTGGTCGAGAGCCCGTCACGTGGCCGGTCTTAAACAGATGATAAAGACATGGCTGGCTGGTCTTAAACACTTTTCCAGTGTCACATGAAATTTGGACTCCTAACAATCCAGTACCTATTACCGTTTTATTGGTTGAACATTCACAATCCTCACGTAAGCATGCGCAATACTACAAGCGATTCAGTATTTTATAGTCCTTCGGCTCGGGTAATTATCAGCACCCAGACTCCAAGCGGTCTTAAACAGAGTGATTAAAACTTCCAAAGCACACATTTATTCTCTTAATAAAACTCCTTTTCACTTCATGAAAACAGCAATACGCGGAGGTCTATTATTTTTCCCATTACTTTGTACACAGTCTTTGTCACTTCGTTAAAACATAAAAACGTTGTGAGAAATTGTTACTTTTACGCACCTTACGACAGTGGAGCGTGGATGCTTTTGTTCTTTTTCAACATCGTTAGTGGGCGCGCGTCTGCTCCCAGAGCAGTGCCCTGCTAATGAGGCAACTTTTTTTGTCACTTCGTGAAAACAAAAACACATGGAGTTCAGGCTTTTTGTTGAATGTTTGTTTAGGATAATTTAGAAAATAAACAATATTTCACTTTGAAACTTGGTCAAGTTATTTTTCCTGTCAAGTGTAAGAAAATGGCCAGCAAAACTCCATATCAAAAAAATATCGATATATCAGGTTTTTGTCACTTCGCGAAACTGCTGGTGACTAGCCTTTGTTAAAAGTATGGCAGGGGAAGTGGAAGCGAATTTGACTGTCTGTGACTGTTTAAATAGCAGGAGGGTTAAAATTTACTCTCAGTGATGCAAATTCCATTGAAATAGGTCGACTAAAATCTGTTCTCATATTTTCTTGTTGATTCTGTTCACAGGTCTTGAAAAGTCCAATTTCCTTTTGGCAGAAGAAGTCGATGCTGTCGTGGCCCGACTCGGTGAAAACTGGAAAACTCTGGCCGTGGAGCTGAACTTCACCGACGAGGAAATCGGAAACGTTCAGACGGAGAACCTGGAGGTCAAAGAGCAAGCTAGGGCCATGATGGCGGCGTGGCTTGTCAAAGAGGGGGAGCAAGCAACCCGGGATGAGTTAAGCAAAGCATTGCTTGAGAGCGGACTCAATGATATCATAGAGTCGGTGCTGTCCGACAATGGCAAAACCGACCTTTGAAACTCAGACGAAGCAGTTTTTTTCTAAATAAGTGAATTTAACAGACTGAAGTTTGTTTGAGTTGCAAAAGCGGAAAATATTGGTATTGGTTGTGTGCTTAGCAGAAATCCGCTGAGAACCAGTTGCAAGAAATATCAATTGTATGGCATTTTGGCTGGTAACAGGTGTATGTTTAGCAAATATTTATTATGCTTAGCATCTCCATTGGCCGCATGGCGGGCCAAAACAATACAGTTGCTTCTCAAATTAGTTTCTTCAATCAGTGTGGGTACACCGGTCAGGAACAGGCTCACGAGAGATATTGTTTGTTGGACACATGTGCATGCTCACACAAGCTCAAACACCCAAGTGTGTATTTGCCTGCAATCGGGGACCCCCTATTGTCCCTCTTTTGTTTGTACCTTAAATTTTTAGTAAGACCTCCCATATGTTTTGTACACGATCGAAAATTAGGGACCTTCGGGAATTGGGGACTCTATTGTCCTCTATTGTTCAATGTCCTCTACTGAATGCAGAAACAAAGTTATGCAGTCGTGTACTTGGACAAACAAAGGGAGAACAACAGATCCTTTTAGTCCTCGAGCGTTGGGTCTTTTGTTGAAAACGGTCCTATATCGTACGGTTATGTGCTTAGTCTATGGGAGAGTGTTATATTACAGGGACAAAGGAAACATAAATTTCCCTCAAAAAATTGAAACCCTGCCCTCTATCCACGACATTTCTGATGGTTTTTAACCGTTGCCTAATGTAGGAACGGGGCCCTTAACTACACAGTTGCTGCTGGCTTTCTGTCTCGTGGCATTTTTTTTATAGAATTTCTCTTCATACAGTATCTGATCTGTTTCCAAATTCCGCACGTATTATCTTGGTTAAGATGAAACTAAACTGATTACTTTATTTATTCAGTTGCAGTTGTATGGGGCATGCGGTATACTACAGTGCGAGTCATAAAAAAAAACTATTCACTTTTAAAATTGGCCATAGTTTTATTCTGTAGCAATATAGATAAGTTATTTTCATGTTCTTTTAGAGTAACTGTTCCTGCTTCTTTTGGTAACATTTTCACTGGATTAGTTTTCGTGCATGACTGCACAGGAGACAATTAAAGGTGTCGGGTGAAATCTGACTTGCGCCAACTGGTCAGGGTAAAATCACAACGATTTAAAAGAACACAACGATTGTCTGACAATGAGACAAAACAGGATTTCATTAGCTTTTAAACTTCGTGTTTATCTAAAACATTTAAATTAAATTAAAAAGGCAATTAAATTCCACGGTGTCTTAGTTCTCAACATGGCCACCATCTCGTTCAGTGCACAGCTGGGCTCGGCGCATCATTCCTGCAACAGCACGGCGAATCACCTCCCTGTCTTGTCTCAGAATCCAGTGAAAATGTCACCAAAAGAAGCAGGAAGAGTTACTCTAAAAGTACATTATGAAAATATCTTATCTATATTGCTACAGAATAAAACTATGGCCAATTTTAAAAGTGTATAGTTTGGTTTGACTCGCACTGTATTGTTCACAAAAAAGACTGTATCAAAAATTCGGCCTGGCGAATCTCCTTAAAACTATCTACATGTACAGGAAATAATTTGAAAGTGTATTTTCATGAATGGATGCATTGAGAAGATTGGAGCGCATCATGTGTTTTTGTTCAATAAAACAGCATCTTGAAACTCAGCAACTTTGTTATGTTTTTGGATTTTTCATTAACATTGTTCTTGAAAAGCACCTAATATATTTTTTAAAATAAATTTATTACATTTTTGAGAATCGTTCAATTTTTGGTTGAATTTGAAATGGTCAAGTGGTTATTCAACCTTAAAGAGAATGTACAACATTTGCTTTTGCTGTAATTTTCAGAAATAAATGAATTTGGAGCATTAGCCTGTCATAGCAAATATGGTTACACTCACTTGTTTCACGTTTTGGGTTCGTAGATGTTCGAGAAACCAAGAAAAGCAATCATGTTCTTGAAGTCTGGTTCCCTGACCCCACTTCAAGATAAAACGGAGCAATTTATAGATGTTGGGGAATTGTAAGGTCAGAGAATCAGTCTAGCTGGCTTGTACCCTTCACAAGTGCGTAATCAATTGCGAAGAAAATGCGGAATAATTAAATATGAAAAATTAGGAACAGTTTTTGGAACAAAGCCAGTTATCTCCAACGCTGGTCGGCCGACCAGTGTTGGAAACTGATACAAAAATACCACTTTACTTAAAAATGTCAGCACATCAGGAGCCATGATTTTAAAGAATGCTTTAGACTGTAATTCCCTAACTGTCCAGTAAAGTATTTCGTTACAATTTGATCATTTTGTTTTTCGATATTTGCAAAGGTTGTATATTCCCTTTAAATGTTATTCTTTATTTTCAGTTATACCCTAGAGGTATGAGTGTTTCTGTGGTCGTCTTAAACTCTAGATATTCCTCAGGTATCGAACTGAAATTACATTTGGTGATTTGACATGATAAATAACACAAGCCTGTTGAATGTCAAGAGAAGTTGTCAAACAATAGAAATAATATAAGCAGAACAATGTAGTGTGTCAAGTGAAGGCAACTTAAATTGATCAAAATAATTACATTAATTGCGGACACGATGTTTCAAGAGATTGATTGGTCCTAGTGGCGCACCTAGGATTTGGCTTGCCCCCCGCAAGCCAAATCTTTTCAATCAAGCAAGGCTCAATTGTTTTGGGGTTTTTTCAAATTTTTTAGAAGTCAAATTTTTTTGTCTTAGACAAACTTACAATCTTTCATCAGGAAATATAACTAAATTAAGTTAACACAACCCCCCCCCAAAAAAAAATAGCGGTAAGCGCGAAAATACAATCCGAATTAAAGTCTAATTTTGGGTCGCCCCTAGAGGTACGTGCGTTTCTATCGTCATTACCTCTAGGGGCGAGTATTAGTGGTCGTCCCTAGAGGTATACATGCTGGAATCCTCATAATGAACTCTGCCATCAGTACCTCTACGGGCGACCTTTAATGGTCGCCCCTAGAGTTATTCATTTTAAATCGTCATCGGTATATGGTCGCCCCTAGATGTCATCAGTACCTCTACGGGCGACCATTAATGGTCGCCCCTAGAGGTATTCATGTTGAATCGTCATCGGTACCTCTAGGGGCGGCCATTGATGGTCGCCCCTAGATGTCATCATTACCTCTAGAGGCGACCTTATTGTATTTAGTGGTCGCCCCTAGCGGTACGCGCGTTTCTATCGTTATAAGTTCCTCTAGGGGCGATCTAATTTATGGTCGCCCCTAGAGGTACGCGCGTTTCTATATCGTCATTTGTACCTCTAGGGGCGATCTTATTGTAATTATAGTCGCCCCTAAAGGTACGCGCGTTTCTATCGTTATACGTTCCTCTAGGGGCGATCTTATTGCATTGATGGTCGCCCCTAGAGGTACGCGCGTTTCTATCGTTATAAGTTCCCCTAGGGGCGATCTTAATGCATTTATGGTCGCCCCTAGTGGTATGCGCGTTACTATTGTCATTTACCTCTAGGGGCGATCGTATTATATTTATGGTCGCCCCTAGCGGTACGCGCGTTTCTATCGTCATGTGTACCTCTAGGGGCGATTTTAATGTATTTATGGTCGCCCCTAGTGGTACGCGCGTTTCTATTGTCATTTGTACCTCTAGGGGCGATCTGATTGCATTGGTGGTCGCCCCTAGCGGTACGCGCGTTTCTATCATCATTCTGTACCTCTAGGGGCGATCTTATTGTAATTATGGTCGCCCCTAGCGGTACGCGCGTTTCTATCGTCATTTGTACCTCTAGGGGCGATCGTTCTGAATTTATGGTCGCCCCTAGCGGTACGCGCGTTTCTATCGTCATTTGTACCTCTATGGGCGATCGTATTGTATTTATGGTCGCCTCTAGAGGTACGCGCGTTTCTATCGTCATTTGTACCTCTAGGGGTGATCTTATTGCAATTATGGTCGCCCCTAACGGTACGCGCGTCATCTGTACCTCTAGGGGCGATAGTATTGTATTTATGGTCGCCCCTAGCGGTACGCGCGTTTCTATCGTCATTTGTACCTCTAGGGGCGATCGTATAGTATTGTATTTATGGTCGCCCCTAGCGGTACGCGCGTTTCTATCGTCATTTGTACCTCTATGGGCGATCGTATTGTATTTATGGTCGCCTCTAGAGGTACGCGCGTTTCTATCGTCATTTGTACCTCTAGGGGTGATCTTATTGCAAGTATGGTCGCCCCTAACGGTACGCGCGTTTCTACCGTCATCTGTACCTCTAGGGGCGATCTTATGGCATATATCCTGCATCATGCGGACCTCTTTTGTTCACAGGTGCATGCACAACGAGTATGTAAGGTTAAAGCAAACACGCAGACACACAATAAGGAATACACTTTAGCAACACCCCCCTTTTAGCTTAAAAGCCAGGGGGTAATGATAGGGGGTTAACCTTGCACATTTTAGAATTTGGCAAACTTTTGTGCCCTCAAAAATCAAAGTGGTAGGGTTTACTCTTTTTTCTTGACAGGGATCTAGATGTTCTTGCGCTCTCTTCAGTTCAACATGGTAAAGCAACAGGTATGAATAATTTTTCACAACCTCCAGAAAAAAAACCCAGAATCAAAGATGAGGGGGTTAAACTCAACATATTTAACCCAGCTCAATTCTTAAAATTAACAAGAAAAAAAAACACTTCAGTTTTGTGTGTTAATTAATAATTATATATGAATCATTTAATAGTAAAAGTGAAGCAACAAACATGAAAGATTTGGAAAAAAAAAGATAATTATGCCTATATTACAATTTTACTGAAAGACCCAGATGATTGTTCATACTCCACCACACCCCTCAAAATTAAAAAAGCTAATCCCGCAAGTGCACCAAAAAAAAAACAATTTAAAAACTCTCTTATACTGAGGGAAGCTAGGCTGAATTGTTCAGATGAAATACAAAGACCCAGAACAATCAATTTTGAGCTATCTTGCATTCAGACGTACTAACAATACAAAATTTGTTCGGACAAATAAAATTGAATGGTTTACCATCAAAGTCACACCACAAACCCAGCGAATTTTGTAAAACTCGGGAGGGGGGGGGAAACATTCTGGTAAACTTAGTTGCATAAAACCTTTACTGACTACAAATAGTGTAAACTGACTTATGAAATAGAAAACATATCGCACGCAACAAACAGGTTAATTATTTTTCAATACTGACTGTAAAACCGCAATCCTGAGAATGCATGATTAGGTTTTAAAAAGTACCTCTAAAAGATTAATATATCAATGTATGTACAAAACGAGAAATAATTACATGTATGTTAACAATTTGTTAAAGTTCACCAGTGAAAGCCATGTGTTTCAAGCACTTTCGGATAACACATCTCGTGTACTTTTTGAGTATGTGCACAAACCTGAGATATCCCAGATGCTGGATTTAAAGGTAGAGTATATCATTTGCAGCTATCCATAAAGAAACTGACAAAATTGTTGAAAAGCATACTTGGTTTAAAGATAGTAATGGCACTAAACCGTCTGTAAAATTATTCTTTCAGGCATGCTGTCATTTTGAAGAAAACAATGAAGGGTCATTTCCAAAGATGCGTTTAAAGACATTTTTTGAAATTTCTGTTAATAGTTCGTTTTTAGTTCGGAAAAGCTGTGAATGGGTGTGCGCAAGTGTTGACACGACGCACACACAATGTGAAACGCTCGAAAGCCAAAGATGCAGCCAAAGCTGGAAAAGAGCCAACGTTTTGTAAACACTTCTGATGGAATGGATACAAATACAATAGGAACCATTTTATCATCAGAATCACTACAAAAAACACATCACATCATGGACATATTGGGTTTGTACAAGCGAGCTTTTTGGTCGGTTAGACTGTCGGCTGTGAGCGGGGAACAGGCAGAGTGGTGACGTAGGCGGATCGACCGGCGAACGGTTGCCTTTGCGACGTTGCAAGTCGGTAGGTCTGTTTTGCCGTTTGGGCAATTTTCAGAACCTTGTCTCTTTGCTTCAGCTGTTGAGAATAATAACAAAATCACATATTATATTATTCGGTTCGGAATATAAGCACCGTCGATATATTGATATTACTCAATTATTCAATATTATTTTGATATCGATATCGCCAATAGCAATTTATTAATCATATTAAAATTTTCAATATTGAGGAATCTATAAAAAAAATACCGAAAATGCGTCAGATTATCGTCAAAATAAATCTCCAGTTTGTGCTTTTACTTTGTGTTTATCGTTTCTATACAATGTAATACTTGGCTTACTTGGCGGCAACTTGTGCTTGTGACTCAAAATAACAACATCGCGAAATGCCAAGTGGCATTTCTTTGTGCTCTGCATTTTTTAAACTTTTTAAATTGCCCGTTCTGGACAAACTGTCAGTAATTAGATTTATTTTAAAAAGTTTGAGCAATGTGCTCCAGAGAAAGCCGTGGAATTTTTTTTTAATCAAAGTGTCATCTTTATGGTCATTAACTTTTACATGGGATAATCGATATTACGAATATTGATATTCTCGATATTGGATTTCTGATATATCGATTATTGAACATTCCGATATCGACGGTGCTTAGGTGAATATAGGGGTAAATACAGTTTAGGTTTGCATGGTAAGGTCAGCTTTAGTGGATAATATAATCTGTTCTTTTTTTGCTGAGCCCAATTTCATGGCGCTGCTAAGCAACAACTTTTCTGCTGACAAAGCCTCTCCCTAATTGGAGACATAGGCACTAAGCAAAGTATTAAAAAGGTACCCTAACCACAGCAGAAGAATTTGCTCATAATAATGGCATAATTACATAAATCTCCAAGTGCATGCAGCCATTAACTCATCCATGCCGTCAAATAGTGCTCAATGTTAGCAAAATGTTCAAACTCTGCTTAGTATTTGGTAGTAAAAATGTGCTAACTTTAGTTTGGCTTCTTCTTGAGTTGACAAAGATTCTTCTCGGAACCAACAAATGACTTGCAAATGACTTTGATTATCAGATGGTACCACCAAGTAGTGCAATGACTGATCCTGACTGAGGCATATATCAGGATGCGTCTATCTTGTTGTGTTATGTATTACATCATTATACCCCCTGAAATATAACAATGTGAAAATTATAAGCTACCTGAGGTGACTGGAGCCGGTGAATCAAAACAGATAAGGTCGTCTCCTAACTGAGAGGTGGCGGCACAAGACGGAGGAGGTGTGAAGATACTGCAAATTTTAGCCTGAAAATAAATAACAACACCATAAAAGGTTCCTATCTTTGTGACATCTGAAGACGCATAGAATGTGACATTGTGAAACATTCTCAACAATAAGTGCCAAAGTTGAAATGCATTCAACCTTTTTTTTTTTGAGTGAAATGGACTGGCAAATATAATAGACAGGGGCAATGATGTAGGACTCGAGTCGAGGACTCGGAGTGTGTTGTAATTTCATGATTCAGACTTTACTCAAGTCACATTGTGGGGGGCACGTGACACCCCCCCCCCCCCCCCCCCCCCCCCCCCCCCCCCCCCCCGGTAAGACTCAGACTTGACAATAACGACTCAGACTTGACAATAACAACTCGGACTTCATGCTAATGACTCGTGACTCCCAAAACATAACGCCGATTTTTCTTTCCCAAAAGTAATGTTAAACAAAAAATGTTAAACGTCTTTTCTCGGGAATGGTAAGGCATTACGGTTGGTTTCTTTTCAACCAGATGTTTGAAATAGGATTAAGTAAACAATCCAAACATTAAAATTTTGTGGATTTCAGGACACAGAGCCCCTTTAAATGAGACCCTCTCATTTTCCATGATAGCGCAGCTATTTCAGAGAAATGTGACTCAAATGACTTGCAACTCGGACTCAGACCAAATGACTCGCGACTCAGACTACATTACACTACTGGTTGCGCAAAGATTTGCATGGGGCTTTTAACGCACAAATCAATCTGTATGTGCCGTGTTTAGGAGGAGCCCTAGCCCCATAAATGTGGCCATTTTACTGGACTACCTCCGTAAATAAAGGCCACACTTCCACTATGCACAAAAACATGTCGAACTTTGTCAAATTTTGATTTTCACATTTAGGCTTAGTTTGTAGTTTACTTTTGCTTTAGAAGCATACTCACCCTCTTTATAGGCTAATCAGAAAGTGCTGCCTTTTTCAGATGTCTAATTTTCGTGAAATTTCATGTTGAAATTTTGATACGCAAACATGTGCAAACGAATCCGGAAATTTCACGAAAAATAAACATCTGAAAAAGGCAGCACTTTCTGATTACCCTATAAAGAGGGCGAGTATGCTTCTCAAGCAAAAATAAACTACAAACTAAGCCTAAATGTGAAAATCAAAATTTGACAAAGTTTGACATGTGTTTGTACATGGTGGAAGTGTGGCCTTTATTTATGGAGGTAGTCCAGTAAATTGGCCACATTTATGGGGCTAGAGGAGCCCTTGCTTGGCACTTTGCGTTAGGCCGCGCAGCACAGCGCCCCCTACAGTTTGCTATAGAGTAGAATGCACTCACCTTGCTCACACCAGCTGGTGTCCGGTGTACACGAGGGCTGTTGAGACCGGGAAGCAAGATGCTGCTTTTGGATCTACTCCTGGTGCCTACACACAGCAAATGCAGTCAACAAAATAATGAAAGGCATAAAAGAAGAAGTTTTGTTCATACCACCAAAGATGTAGTTGAGCCCTCACAATTCAAAACAATCACTAGTCATTGACTCTCTATGTATAAGGAGAAGCTATTCAAATGAACATGCAGTTGAGTGCCGAAGCTGCCATGTACATTGTACCTGGCAGCTTTGGCAGAACATTTGACAGTACAGGCTTGCACACACTCACATGAAGATTAATCGTTAATCAATGGTAATCGCACACTTTATCTTTTACGAGTGCTTAGGCCAACAAACAAAAAAAGTCTACGGTTTGTGGTATGGAGCTTGCCCCAAAAGTGGTGCGGCGACACAGCATTTTTTCCCCATACTTTTTTTCTGGTTCAGATGTCGGCTGATGTTGCAGATGATGACGCTTCGATCCCCTTAAAACTCTCATAAATATCCTTCAGAGTGAAGCTTGAGGTGGCCTCCGTAAGGCCATAAGGCTTGAGAATTCTGCACCCACTTACAATCTCGACCGACACAAACATTCTTCGGGAAATTTGGATAGTCAAGACAAAAATCAGAGACAACGGTATCATCAGACCATGGTCAGACCATACAGCGACATCGACATCGTGCATGTGCTGCCAGGCTGGTTATTACAACGCCGTCTGCAAATGGTGCCCGACTAAATTTAGTGCAAAATAAATGCGAGCCCAGGGAGGCCACATAAAGCTTATACTTGATCGTAACCCCATCTAAAACCACGTTAAAATTGTGCAGCAGCAGGATTCCAGTCAAACCAGTGAGTTTGGCGGTTTTGAGACATCATCTTACATTGAAAAAAAAAAAACCTTTTTAATTTTGCCGACGCGCATGGCTACAGCCATGCATGCGCAGACCAGAAACCGGAGACTTTTTTTGGCCTTATACAATGTCTGCATTGTTCCTGAACGGAGAATTAAAAACTTACGCGGTGTGTTAGTAGCAGGAACAACACATTCCATCTCCAGGCTATCTGCAAACACAGATGTGTTCTGCGTGTCCACTCCCTCACTGTCCAGATGCAAACACAACGGCTCTGGGGTCGTGACAGCCGGGTCAGAGTTGAGAGGTCGCGACCTAACTCCCAGGTCAACCAGCTGTTGCTGTGGCTCGGTCTGCATGAAATCCTCAGCTTGCTTGTTGAGATTGACGACAGCAGGGGTAGAGGGCTGGAGGTACCTAGCAAACGGGTTCTGTGGGAAAATTTGTTTCAAAGACATCTAAAAGGAAGTGATTGGTGTTGGATTTTGAGTTCGACAGATTTGAAAATCAATAATTAACCCTAACCATCTCAACCCATCAAAGCCCAACAGCAAGTTTTGTTGAAATCTGTTAGGATGGGTACAGTACCCCCAACTTGATGGTCTTTTACATTGGGTTTGGCATACCTCCAGAAACTAAGTCCAACAGTGTGTGTGTACAAATTGCCAGGATGGGTACGGTCCCTAGTTAATTATGCTAAGGAGTTAGGGTTAAAAGCTTTCCATTCTGTTATCTTTTGAGAAGGAAGATGATGTGAAAGGTTGAAATCATTCTTTCTATATTTTACCTCATTTTCATTTTCCATTGAGGCACTTGGTGTTGCATCATTTTCTGTGTCTGTCCTGCAGGGTGTGGCCAACTTTATAGGTGTGGCACCCTTGTTGTTGGGAGTGGCATTATTGCTAACAGCCATTGCCGCATTACTTGCGGGTGTGGTCGTTTGGTTAACAGGCTTGTCCACTTTGCTGACGGGTGTGTCCACTTTGGTGATGGGCGTGTCCAATTTGGTGATGGGCGTGTCCAATTTGGTGATGGGCGTGTCCACTTTGCTGATAGGCGTGTCTACTTTGCTGATGGGCGTGTCCATTTTGTTGGTGGGCATGGCCATTTGGACAATGGGTGTGGTCACTTTCCTGATGGGCGTGGCCATTTGGACAATGGGCGTGGTCACTTTGCTGGTGGGTGTGGCCACTTTCCTGGTAGGGGTGGCTACTTCTCCCAGCACAAGCTTGCTGAGTGCTCCACAAAGCTTTCCCTGTATCGACTTGCGAGCGTTCTTGGGTGTATACCCCTGGACACGTGGGGTGTTTGCGTAGCTGCCACTGGTGTGAGTCTTGAAGGGCGAGCCAGCTGAAGCAGACAAATACATGAAACATCCAAATACTTCCATCGCATTTGACAATTCCAACAGTAAACTTCACTTTTTCAAATCAACTTGAGTACGCTTAACTCATTTTTTGCGAGGAATTCAAAGAGAAAGTTACAAATAAACAACAAAAACAACTCAAAGGTCTAATAAACTTTAATGAGGCCCTTCTTGGCAAAATGAAAACTGAAAATTTAATTCCATGGAAATCCCCCAAAACACAAGATGAATATTATAATTTAGAGGGAAACTTTTGATCACATTACTAGAGAATTTCATACCTGTAATTTTCGACCGAAACTCCGGTCTTCATCCTGCTAATGAAGACCGGAGTTAACCTCTAAATTATATATGGAACTACCAACACAGATAAACTTTCAGGCTACTAAGATGAATATTGTATGCGTACCTTGGCAGTGTGGGGCAGGTCTGCGTACAGGGCTCTCCACCTTGAAGAAACCACCCTCAAACACGGTATGCTCAGCAGCTTTGGCCCGCGTTTGCCTGGCCTTCATACTGGCCTTGATGGCCGCTAGACGCTCTCTGGCTGCTTCACGGTCCTTTGTGGGTTGGCTTTTGGTGGCCGGTTTGGCCTTCTGATGACAAAATCAGAAAAAAGTTACAGTCAAAGTTATGTCAATAGGGTCCGATCATAAGTGCCAGTTTCAATCATAATCACACACCATGCAGAAATCAGTATTGAAAATACACAGCCATCAAGCAGGGTTTTATTTAACAAAAACACATCAAAAAGAACTAGGCCTACCCGAAAAGGAAATCAGTTTTCTTGCATTTGCTGGCTGATTTCTCCAGTTCGGTTTGGGCCACCACTTTAAATCGCTATTTGCGTGGCATTGTTGATTTTTCCGAGTTTTTGTTTTTGTATTGGAACATAGTAATAAACTTACTATTCAAAAACGTTTGACAATCGGAACACCACGTGCACCACAAAATATTCTGTATATCGTGTGTACAAGTACTGAGAAAAAGAAAGTCAGTAGACTGCACGTAAGATCTGCCGTACGTACTCCTGCTGGTATGTGAGTGTACGAATACAGACATTTATTTTTGCGGCAGGGGTGCCGCTGCTTTAAGTATCAGGACACTTCTGACACTGGACTGGATCTAGTTTGTGATACCGTGTCAAGAAAAATGGAAGCATTGATATGCCATCTTGAAAAATCTCCCCCCCCCCAAAAAAAAGAGCAGCCCCCTTCCTCTACTAAAAAGGCCCGGACGAGAAATTGTTGTTGTTCTTTACTTGGCCTTAGTCTAAGAGGCCGTTCATTTCTTATTAGGCAGTAGATGCCCAATCCAGATACATACCTTGATGACTTTCTTGGTCTTGATGGGCGCGGTCTTGGTCTCCTCTCTAACCCAATTGTTGGCCTGGAGTTTGTCAAGTGATGCAAACATCCCCATAACGTCTTCAACCTTTGTAAACCAAACCAGATGTGTTACTTTTTAAAGTTTTGGTTAAAATTCAGGATTTGCCTGTAATTGATATACAGTCCAAGAGCTTGCAAGACAACAATCAGAATTTTACTCAGGTGGGACTCGAACCCATGACCCCCTGCTTACCACTCAACCACTAAGCTCACCAGGTCAATACTTTTATCATTTGTGAAAGATAGTGGCACATTATTTAAAGGTAATATACAACATTTGCTTTCACAGAAAGAAAGCAAAGCATTTGGGGGTTATTATTTTATAGCAAATATTGTTACACTGGCCTGTTTAAAGTTTTGTGTTCAAAGGTGCTGGAAAAATCAAGAAATAAAATACTGTCTTTGTAGTCTGGTTCCCTGACCCTACTTCTGACAAAAAGGAGCCATTTATATACATCAGGGAAATTGTCAGGTGAGGGAACCAGATAATCACCGTCGATATCAGAATTTGCAATGATCGATATATCGGAAATACAATATCGAGAATATTCGATATATCGATAATCCCCGTGTTTAAGTTAAAGACCATAAAGATGAAACTTGATTAAAAAAAAAAAAAACAATCTCAAGTCCCAATTTTCTAGCGCTTTCTTTAATAGAGTATATTGCTCAATAGTATTTTAAAACAAATCTCAGCACTGAGAGTTTGTCAAGAACAGGCGGTTTCTTCTGAGGGTATACATTGGGGAGACCAGGAATTCCAGCGAATGCAGAGCACCAAGCGACACCCCTTGGCATTTCGCTATGTTTTTATTTTCAGTCACAAGCACAAGTTAACGCCAGGTTTTATTTCATTATACAGCAAACACTAAACACAAGGTAACAAACGGGAGATTTAATTTGATGATAATCTGACACATTTTCAATATCATTCCTCAATATCGAAATTTTTGATATTTCAATATGATTAAGAAATTGCTATAGCCGATATCGATATCAAATATCGAATATTCAAGTAATATCGATATATCCACTGTGCTTACAACCAGACTAGCAAGCTTGCACCCATTCAAGGATGTGCAACAAATTGCAAACAAATGTGGACTAACTAAATTTGGTACGACAGTCGGTGGACCCTCGTTGGAAAAAAAATTGAAAGAAAAATTCCACTGTTCTTGAAATTGACGGCACACCAGGTGCCATGATTTCACAGGATGCTTGAGACTATTGTTCACTTACAGTCAAGTAAGGTTCTTCACACAAATTTGGTAGTTTTGTTTTTGATGTTTGCAAATGTTGTAAGTTACCCACGTCTAGCAATGTTGACTGTCAGCAGTGCTTGTATGGGAAACATCATTGGCGTAAAATCAGATCAACTGCTCACAGCAAGCAGTACTTACATTCTACTTTAACAAGTGGGAAAAATCAATAATTGTGTTCAACTTTGTCACAGCCGATTAGAAGTATTCATTGATCAACACAAACACACAAGATCTGTAAAAGAAAATCAGTCATTCTTGGGTTTGCTCATTAAAGAACCCAGAACACTGACTATTTTATAGAAAAACTTCATTTGTCTTACCTGAAAGTAGATCATTTCCCAGAAACCTGTCAGATCTGAGCAGTGAGTCTTTTTCTCCCCGAGACCAAGCTCGCAGTTATCCACCAGGCCAGAGAACTGCTTGAACCTCTGGGCAATCAGCAGCTGGGCCTTGCCGATGGTAGAGCGGATCTCACCGCCCACTGTGCGAGGGGGCAAAAGAAAAGTCGGTGTAATCAAGCATGTATCATAATTAAGGGTGTCCCTTTTTGTTTCTATGGTTCTCATTTTTGTTTTGCCTTACAAGAAAAAATCTTAAGAAAAGAAATTGCAGTTGCACCCGAATAGATGCATAAAATAAATGATGCCAAGTGCATATTGTCTCTGGTTTTGTTTATTGCAAAAAGGTTATCATGAGTTGGTGTCACTGAACAAAATATCAAAGCCATCTTGGGCAAGTGTAGTTGGACGTATATTATTAAACATTATATTACATATTATATTGGAGTGTCATGGCTGAGCGGTTAAGAGCACCGGACTCAAGCTCTGGTGATTCTGATCAGCAGAGTGTGGGTTCGGGATTGTTTAGAGCTTGATGAAAAAGTAAAACTTTTGCTCTAGCAGGGCGCTAGAGGCGAAAAATCAACAAAATATTAATCATTGGGTCCAATGCATACCATCTTCACTTAGACTGGTGTCATTCTGTACCGCTTCCCACTTGCTACAGAGGTCGTTCAACTTTGAAGTCTCTGTCTTCAAGAGGTTGCGAAAGTAGGACACATCTACAAGAATGATAAAGAGGTAAAATTAAAATGCAAACAGATTGTCCATGATTGGAATTACATCTGAGGAGCTCCGGCTTAAATTAATCAACAAACATCATACAAGCCAATGGGTTGGGAAATATTCCATGTTAACGATACCTTCCTTGCTGCTTTCGATGCCGTTAGGGGGCGGAGCCTGTTGTAGGGGCTTCTTGGGGGACTGTATGGCAGAGATTTCTAGAGGTAGAGGGGAGGAGGCTCGCTTACGCCTGCTGGCTGACGTCGGAGTGGAACACCTGCCAATGAACATAGAGAATCAAAATAATAATAGACCTAAGACACAATGAGGCCACGCTTTGATTGCATGTGCGCTTTCCTATGGGAGCCAGGTGGGGAGGCCAGCCTATCGTCCCTACCTGGCTCCCATAGGAAAGCGCACATGTAAACAAAGCGCGACGTTATTATGTCTTAGGTCTGTTGTACATAGTCTTTCTTTCACTAGAAATTCTTTTGGGAGTTCGAGCACATATTTATTCCCATTCATGAATACCTTTTAGGTCAAACAGTCAAAACAATTAAGTCAAAAATTATACATTTCCAACGAATTTGTTCAACAAGTTTACTTCATGTTTTTTTTAACACCCTATAAGCTATGTTATGGTATGTGCCTCTCGCAAGTAGTCGTAAACAACTCCTTATATGGAGTTTGGCGCCCATGTGGTGCAGAATGCAGCTGTGCCGGTGTAGTGTGAATTTAGGACTATGAAATACGGACCCACTGGTAGTACTGCGCATGCTACAACCAAGGATTGTGAACGTTTAACCAATAAAAGAGTTAAAGGGACCGGACTTCATAAGAGTCCAAATTTCATGTGACACTGAAAAACTGTTTCAGACCAGCCAGCCGGTGTTTTATCAACCGTTTTAGACCGGCCACGTGACGGGCTCTCGACCAATAGGAATGGGTAAACTCTCTCAGGTATTTATGAATTTTGGCTTGTGACTGGTTCTTTCAGCAGATTTTGCGCATAAAAAAAAGAGAAGATTTTCTTGTCTTACCGTCCTCTTCGTACTGCTGTCTCAGGGAACAGAAAGTTTTTCGTGCTAGCGGGGCTCATGGGCTCAAACTGGAAATTGAAGGTGAAGTGGGAGGGAGCGAAGGACTGGTTCATTTTAGGGTCAGGCAAGGAAGCCCCCCTCTCGCTGGTGACGTGCTGGGTTGCGGATGGTGAGGGTAATTTGGGTTCACAAGCGACGGGAGGAGGAGGCATGGCTGGTTTGCTCACAGTTGACTTGCTGCTTGTCTTTGCGACGGAAGCAGTCCTTGAGGTTGGTTTCAAAACTCGCCGATTCTCTTTTTGATCTGTGGAAAGCAGATGGGGTCACTGTTACTGTATCTCAGTATGCTTGAGTGGCTCACGGCAAAAATGAGATTTGACTCTGACCTCAGCAATCAGAATCTTGACTCTTGGTCCAAGAAGGTCAGCCTAGACAACACACTTTACAAAAGAGCCCTCTTCCAAGCAACATGCAGAGATGAAACTGGCCTTGGCAAAAAAAATCTGAAATTGGACCTTGGTTACGAGCCACGGCGTCGCGCAGCGCAGTGCAGCACAGCGCATCAATGTCATACATGTAGGTCAGTATTTAACCTTTTTTCCACCCAGAAAGCATCTGATCAGTGTTGGTCTAAATGTTTGACACTTGTGCACATTTTACATGCCATTTTCATTTACTTTTCTTGGAAATAATAATTTAAAAATACATTTTGTGGAAATGGTTAAAGAATGTGAAATTTCATTGGAAAAGTTTTAAAAATCTGATTTCAGATTAAAATCTGAAAAGTTTCATCTCTGAATATGGAAACATTGCAACCTTACCTTCATGTCTGGATGCCTGTCTTGTGGACTGCCTTGTCACTCGTTTAGTTTGCTCTGGGACAGGGGCTGCCGGCTTGGATTGGGTGGTTAGCGGCTGTCGAGTTATACACACACACACAAATTCAAAACTGACAAATTGGAAATTTCCTTCATTTTGTTTAGTTTTTCAAAAGAAAATGTCTTTTCCACAATGAATGGTACAGCTTTAAAGTGAATATACAACATTTGCTTTTGCAGTAATTTTGAGAAATGGATGGATTTGGGGGATAGTATTTTACAGCAAATATTGTTGCACTGACTTGTTTAAAGTTTTGTGTTCATAGATTCTGGAAAATACAAGAAAACAAATCATATTCTTGCAGTCTGGGTCACTTCCCTGATCCCACTTGAGGTGAAACAGAGCAATTTATAGATATCGGGGGAATTATAAGGTCAGGGAGCTAGTCTAACTGGCTTATACCCGTTCATCTATGTGTAACCAATTGCAAACAAAATGTGGACTAACTAATTTTTGTATTAAAATTGGGGGCAGTATATGAAAAAAGTTTGCAAATGTTTTTTATTGCCTTTTAAGGCTAGCCTTGGTCCAAGACGTTAGTGATCGCTAATGGTCTATTAAAAGCTACTCCACCAATTTCCACAAATGTACACCCTCGCGTGACTGGTTACGGCCGTGTTATTTAGTTGCATTAATGTCTTGAGAATCCTGTTATGAAGGGGTGTGGTTGTTGCAGACAAATTGGACTGCTGAATTATTCACAAAATAAAACAATGCAGGCGGTCAAAAACATGCAAATGATATGCAAATCAAATGCATAATTCATAGTGCATTGCTTTGAATGTTTCAAGCAGCAGTTCCATTGAATAAATTTTTCTGGCCAGAATCCAAAAGTTAGGAAATCCTAAGGTTTAATCCTAACTCCCTAGGCCTTGTTGCTCGGAGGTAGCCTCAATCCTGCAAAATCTTCCAATTGGCCTCATGGAAAAATAGCATATAGCCTCAATCCCGCAAATTCATCCAATTGGCCTCATGGAAAAATAGCATATAGCCTCAATCCCGCAAATTCCTCCATTGTTTCTTCAATATGGTCCGTGGAGGGGTGACTACAGCCTGAATCCTGCAAATCCTGCGGCAGTGACTGTCAATATGTTGAGGCTTGGCCAGTGACATCCTGGAGCAGTACGGAGGATTTCAAGCATAATCCAGGCCTATATTTATGCATGGCTGAGCAAAAACCGCACAAGGTCCGGCCCAAGACCTTGACAAAGGAACGAAATCAGTAACGCACTTTTGCCATGTAACCTCAATCCGCCTAATTCCTCCACTTTGGCAAAGAGGAGTTTGAAGGATTCAGGGCTGTTAGGGCTTTAGAAAAGGCCCATTTCAATTCATCTCAGGGACAAGTTGCGGACATTGTATCGGGTATACATGTAAGTTGCAGGATTTTAAACAACTTCCCCGCAATCTTCCTGCAACCAAGTTATATCAGTATTGGTGATCAAGTCAAGCAGTTGCTCATGAACATTTCCCCGGAACATTACTGGGACAAATACTGAGCTTCTTCCAGACAAAGTGAATGATTCTACATGTATCTCTAACTTGTCTAGAACTCCACTTGGATATGGATTGAGATGGGCCCTAATATAGGGTGAGTAAAAAAAAAAAAAAAAACCCAAATTTTGGGACTGACGTTTTAGTGAAGTTCTGCATTGATAAGCTTTCTTTTAGTACAAGAATCATTCAAATCAGTCATGTACTTTTCAAGTTACAGAGTTTTAAACACAACCACCGTTTTAAGGTTCTGTCCCTGGATCACATAAAAGTTCAGTGTTCTTTCAGCAAACGAAAACAAATCACATAAGGATGTGTGTGAATTGTTTTTGTTTTGCTGAAAGAACGCACACCTTTTTTATGATCCGTTGGCAGAACTTGAAAACGGTGGCTGTGTTTAAAACTCCATAACTTGAAAAGTACATGAGTGATTTGAATGATTCTTGTACTAAAAGAGAGCTTATGAATTGGGCTTTCATATCCTGGATTTTGAAAAAGTTACATGCAGAACTTCACTAAAACAATGGTCCCGACATTTGGGTTTCGGGGTTTTTTTTGTACTAACCCTGTACAATCAAGTATAAACTTTCTGTGTGACAAACTGATTGAATTTCTCCAGCCATACCTTGCTAGTGGAGGCTTTGGTGGAAGCTCGGGTGACTCTGCGCTGTGCTAATGGAGCTTCTTTCTGTATCTAATGCAATATCAAAAAATGAAAATGATTTCCGTGGCACTTTCACTGATTATACACAAGTGATGAAATCCTCAACAAGATTCATTTATTTTATTTGTCTCAGATCGTGGCCCTGAGGGCCAAATTCCAAAAGACAATTACATTATAAACAATTAATTCTAAAAGCGATTAAAACTTGCATAATACAAAAAAATGAGTAAAATACTAGGCAGGCATTACATTAAAATTGTACGTAAACAAACACCACATAACCAGGGAAACAGAACTATACATGAAAGGAGGGACAAGATGCATCCCCCCATAAAAAAAAATTGCGCACAATAAAATCACACAGAGCCGGCATTTAAAATGTTAATGAAGTAGGGGATGGAAGCGCTTGGTTCTAATAGGGAGTTGAGTTATGTGGTTACTGTTCCTTAGGTTCCTACCATGACTTGCTAGCCTCGTAGGGGGGAGTAAGTGAGTTGTTCTTGAATTAGTACCAAGAGCTTTAGCAAATTTTAAGCAATGTCCTACTCTTCTGAAATACTCATGTTAAGTAGATTTTGAGAAATTAAAGGATCTGTTCGCATAACTTTTTTGGGGGCATCCTGTATTTCCAGGCCACGAAAACGCCAGAATTCAGGCTATAACAGCCGGAAAGCTGGCAGCCTCAGAGGTTGCGTTACCTGTGGCTTTGTTGAGGCAGGTGCCTTGGTCTTGGAGGACATACTAGGCGCCTTCTCCTTGGTAACATGACACACCTTGAACTTTGGTTTCGATCGTTCTTTATCCTGGGCCAACTTCTTCTTCAGCTCCTTCTCCATCTTCCATTTTTGTAGCAGGTCGCGTCGGGCCTGGGTTTCAGCCGTCTCAGCCTTGACAGGGACTCCTGTGGGGATTTCAGATGTCAACAAAATGTAATGACAAATCATCATGGCTTTTTTTATAGAATTGTTGGGCACAATCGGATTTGCGCCAGTGCCTGATCGTGCAAAAGTGCCTTATGCGGGATTGGTCAATCCTGTAGGAAATTTCTTTATATTATTCTTTAAAAAAAAATTGTGAATTAGAAAGAAAAGGTGATGACCGATGGCAGCTCGATCGACTGATGGCAACATGATCGCCCTATAGCACGGGGTACTTTAAGTTTAACCAGGTAAGTAGCTTCCATAGTGACTATGAAGTACAAAAAACAGTCTAGATTTGAAATTCAGGGAACACAACTTTTCAGGAAATTTGGCATGCATCGTTGTGTGTCTCACAAAACAGAGGAAATTCAGTATTTGAGACATATTTATGGGGCTAGTATCTGGTACGACACTATGCCATAGTTAAGGTGTACCTTTTTTTAGTGTCTTGTCAGCTTTCTGCTGTCTCACCCTCGTTGTCAGATGACTTGTATTCTTCTGGATGTTGTCGTCTGTGTTTTCCCTCAGCGGGGTCAGTGAGCCAATGTTTCGTTGTTTCATGATGGTTTCATCGCGATGCATACGTTGGTCGACGGAGCGCCGCTTTACTCGGAGAATCCGCTTCTCATTGTTGTCAAGTCCTATGCCCTTCTTCTTGTACGAGGATGCGAAAGCCATTTTGGTTTTCTAAACCCCCAAAAATGGGAATTAATCAATTGATAAACTATCATCACTTTTCAAAACCTTTTTTCAAATGTTTCGATGGCACTAGTATTACTTGGACTAGTTTAAACTTACAAAAAAGGTGTCATTAGAATTGAGAGAAGTCTGCTTTAATAGTTTGAAAAGGTCATTTTTTAGTGATATTAACACCCTTAACCATCGACTCTAATTTGATTGATACTTAACAGGGCCCCTACACTACACGGTGGCATTACTGCTATTGGGAATATCGCTTCGTCCTTTTTGTAGGTCCCATAAGTTGTGTAATGCAATGCATGTAAAACTAAAAGAACCCATTAACACTTATCGCTAGACAAGGGGTTCGCCCTGGTGTTTCTGGACTCCTGTTATAACTCCCCTGCGGATAGCCTCATAAATGTGGCCAATTTACTGGACTACCTCCCTAAATAAAGGCCACACTTGGAACACATACACGAAAATGTAGAACTTTGTCAAATTTTGATTTTCACATTGAGACTACATGTATATTTGTAGTTTATTTAAGCATACTCACCACTCACCCTCTTTATAGCGATAAAAAAGAAGTCCCGTATTTTTCAGACATCTATTTTTCACGTAATTTCGTGTTGGAATTTAGATACACAAACGTGAGCACACAAACCTGGAAATTACACAAAATATAGATGTCTGAAAAAGGAGGGACTACTTTTCAATTGCTTTAAAGAGGGCATGGAGGTAGTACAAGTCAAAATGCGAAAACAACAACTTGACAAAGTTCGGCACAATTGCAGAATACCCCACCACTCGATCTATACACCTCGTAGCCGGCTATATACGGAGTCACGGTTGTTTGCCCTCAACAAACCTTCTCAGTACTACCTGTACGCATGTACACACGTCATGCTCCACTGCACTTCCACTCGTAGCCGCCAACAGGGTAGTTGGTTTGGACTTGGAATTTTTTCAGCAACTATTCCTTTTGTGTTGCTTTGTTCTCAAAGGGACCCCCACTCAGTATCCGCATAGCTGGCAATGGACTTGAATTGTTTCTTTTCCAGCGATTCCAACCTCATAGCCAGAGATTGCACTACAATCTCTTTGTAGGGGTGTATTTCCGAGTGGCGGGGTATTCTGCAATTACTCCCAAAGACAAAGTTCTACATTTTCGGGTAGGCCCTACATGTTCCAATTGGGGTCCAACTAAAATGCGTCAACAAGCATCAACTGGTGTCAACAAGTGTCAACCCAACGTCAACAAATTTTGTATAGGTTTTTGAACATCAGAAGTAGCTTTATATTATAAAAAGGCCTAGCGAAAAAGAACATCTTCAGCATATTAGTTAAAAAGGATTTTTTTCAATGCGAAAATTACGACTAGGCCCCCTAATTTGTCAATTTAGTATTGGCCGCCATCTTGTTTTGATCTCAGTCCACATGAACAACATGGCCAAAACTAAACCGCCGAACTTGTACTTTCGTAGTACTTTTCAGGTAAAAAAAAACTAGGCCTAATTTTTACTTTAATGTATAGGCCTATGCCGAAGATGTTCCTTTTCGCTATTCCTACATAAAGCCACCTCTGAAGTTCTGATGTTCAAAAACCTATACAAAATTTGTTGGTGCTGGGTTGACAACCGCTGGCGCTGTCATGGCTGTTGACGCTTGTTGTCGACGCATTTTTAGTACCGGTAGTAAGTGTGGCCTTTATTTACGGAGGTCATGATGGAGGTAGGTAGTCCAGTGAATTAGCCACATTTATGGGGCTACCTACTCCTAGAACTATGAGGCTCCGCGTGAGCGGAGCCTCATAGATGTAGAAGCCCGCAAAATTGTCTGCAGCACAAAACACTAATAAAGTACAAAAAAGTCCATCAAAATGCAGACATTTCACACAGAACCGCTGCACAGTTTGCCCCTATACTCCGTACTTTATCTCTTGACATACTCACGTATCTTGTGCGGAACTAACTCGGAGCGCGCTGCGGGGGGTACGGTACAAGCACGTCATTTCGCTTGTACCGTACCCCCCGCGGCGCGCTCCGAGTTAACCGAAAATCATCGCTCAATCATATGCGTGCACGTTTCAAGTGTCAGGTTGGCTCAGTGCGGAAAGGGCATATTTTTCATCATTTTGGCCTAAAAACCGACAGAATCCACCTATGTTAGTTCCGCACAAGATACGTGAGTATGTCAAGAGATAAAGTACGGAGTATAGGGGCAAACTGTGCAGCGGTTCTGTTTGAAATGGCTGCATTTTGATGGACGTTTTTGTACTTTATTAGTGTTTTGTGCTGCAGGCAATTTTGCGGGCTTCTTGATCTATGACTCCGCTCACGCGGAGCCTCATAGTTCTAGGAGTACATCTATGAGGCTCCGCTACATAGTTCTAGGAGTAGGGGCTACCTACTCCTAGAACTATGAGGCTCCACGTAGTGGAGCCTCATAGGTTCAGAACCCCGCAAAATTGTTGTCAGCACAAAACACTAATTAAGTACAACGTCCATCCCAACCAAGCCGTTTCCCACAGAACCGCTGCACAGTTTGCCCCTAAACTCCGTACAATACCTCATGACATACTCACGTTATGTGCACCCAACAAACATCGGTGGATTCTGTCGTTTTTTTGCAAAAATGATGGAAAATATGCCCTTTCCGCACTGAGCCAACCTAACACTTGAAATTTGCACGCGCGCAGAATGATCGCAGTCATTTTCGGTCCGATCGCTCGGAGCGCGCCGCGGGGGGTATGGTGTAGGAGCGGAACGATAGTATGCGCATGCGTACAAGTGCGAGTACGTACCCCCCGCGGTGCGCTCCGAGCGATCGGACCGAAAATGACTGCGATCATTCTGCACGCGTGCAAATTTCAAGTGTCAGGTTGGCTCAGTGCGGAAAAGGCATATTTTTCATCATTTTGCCCCAAAACCGACAGAATCCACCGATGTTTGTTGGGTGCACATAACGTGAGTATGTCATGAGGTATTGTACGGAGTTTAGGGGCAAACTGTGCAGCGGTTCTGTGGGAAACGGCTTGGTTGGGATGGACGTTTTTGTACTTAATTAGTGTTTTGTGCCGACAACAATTTTGCGGGGTTCTGAACCTATGAGGCTCCACTGCGTGGAGCCTCATAGTTCTAGGAGTAGGGGCTACCCTGTGGAGTATTATGAGGAGACGAACCAACCAAGTATCAAGTCTGGTTCCAAAAGCCAAAGATCTTGACGTTAAATACTAATAAAACTACATGTAGGTCAGGGAGCCCAAAACGAAGCAGGTCGTTTCGTACCCAAGTCGTTTCGTACCCAAGTCGTTTCGTACCCAAGTCGTTTCGTACCCAGTCAATTATGATGCACAAAGGAGATTAAGCCAGTCATGCAAACACGGAAAATACATACACAGACAAGCTAGATCAAATCTGTGAATTAACTTGCAAAAATGTTCTTTCTCCATCGGTGTTTTCTTGGCATTTTTACGATGTCTTTCTCAGCATTTTTACGATGTCGAATCCGACCAGTTGACAGAGCGCTGAGCACGTGCCTGCGCCTGCATAGCCATGCTAGCGCTATCGATCGCATAGCTGTGCACAGACTAGTTACCGCATTTCATCATTGGCCCCTGCGCGGCGCGGCGGGAACCAGTCGTCGCCGCATTGCGCTTATTACGCACGTGATTATAGACATCGAATTGCGAAGTACATGTAGTTGAATCGCGCAGTGAATTTGTAAAAATAACGGAGTTTTCTTTTGAAAAAACAGCGAATGTAAGTAAGAAAACAATAAATACAAGCATTTTTTGATGCAAAAGGGTTGTTGAGAGGTACTTTGTAAAGACAGACAAGACATAAGATTTTTATTTTTATTTATTCAATCATTTTTTATTAATTTTTTTTGGAATTGCCGATACAATTTTTAGGGTCGCAGCCTAAAAATAGGGTCGGTCGGGTAACCGGAAGCAGAACTATTCTTTTTTTTTTGGCCTAATTATAAAAAGTACAATTCGAAAAACTGAAAAGCAACCAAAGAAAATCACGCTACAATATAGAAGACAAACATGAATCCTGTGTGCGAAACGACCTGGGTACGAAACGACCTGGGTACGAAACAACCTGGGTACGAAACGACTTGGGTACGAAACGACCGACATTCAGGGAGCCAGACGGTTCCAGTTGAAAATCGAACGGTCGATAGCCGCTGCGTTTACCATGTTTACAAATTTGTTTGGTCTTCAACATTAACTTTACATTTGCAAAGAACATGAAGAACGCATTGCATAAAATCTTAACGGCTACTACATTATATTTGGTTATTCCTACTTCAAAACTTTAGGTTAATATCTAAAATCAATGAAAAGTTACCTTTACTTTATAAGAATCGTTACAAATTTCGTTACGCCCGTCACTCAGTCTGCGGCATCTGGGAATCGTAGCCAACTTAAAAAACGATCCAAAAACTGCCGCTTTGATTGGCCGTTTGAAAATGACGTCACATGCGAGGCCACAAAATAGAACAGCGCCCTCTTTGACTGGATAGAGGGAGGACCAAGGGAGACGTCCACAAAAAAATACACTTAAAAAACCCGAAATTTCAGAACTTTTTTCCAGATCAATACTCATTGTTCCACGGGGCGGGGATTGTGTTTTTTAGTTACTCAAACTTCGGCTGTTTTGGTAAATAAAAAAGGGAAGGGCAAAGGGACTTTTGAAACCATACTTGGAAATCCCCCTTGAAATGGTGTCGGGTTTATAAATATAAAATACTGTGATGAGCCGATGTCAGGTCCTGGCCTTGATATCCCATGCCATTTATTAATGTGAAAAACGGGGGAAAACGCATTCATTATTGATCTTCGCATAAATTACAACATTATCAACACAACAGCAGTGGGTAAATTTAGGCAACAAATATATTACCCCCTATAAATATCGCCCGGCTTGTGTCCACCATAATTTAAAAAGTAACAACAACAACAACTCTTTTTTTTTTTTACATATATAAAAATGGATCTATTTCCTTTTGAATATTTTTGTTGATTTTAGAATAATTACGGATAATTTATATGTACCAATTGAGCACTAAATTGATTTTTGTTGTGCTATTTGCACGTTTTATCCACAAACAAAAGTTATTCATATTGGAATGAGACATCGACCGAAAAATCGGCCTACATTTTAGTTATTGAATTATTAATTTTACTATAAGGGAATAATAATGTGTGTTTAGGAGGTTTTAAACACTTTTTTTAAAGACCAGTTGGAGTGTGGATGCTGATAATTCACTCGAGCCGAAGGCGAGGCTGGTAAGACCGGTTGGAGTCTGGATGCTGCGAAGGCGATGGTAATTATTAGCATCCAGACTCAATCCGGTTTAAACATATAGTGGAACACCGACGCGACTATCAATTAATTGCAAGATTACTCCATGATCCATGGTTTTTGGAATAATATAACAAGGGAATAAATGTGTGCGTGATCGGTTTTAAACACTATGTTTAAGATGGTTTGCTGATATTAACCCGAGGCGAAGGCGAGGGTAATTATCACCATTCCAGACTCCAACCGGTCTTAGTGTTTAATAACGCCTAAGCACATTTATTCCCATTCACTTTGAAAAAGAAAAAAAAATCAAAACTTTTCGATTCATAAGTCAAAACAAGTCAAACATTAAACAAATTCGTACGATTTTGTCGTAAGTCGTAAATTTAAACAACTCCTTTTGTGCAAACAACTCCTTTTGTGCAGATTACTCACTGTTAGTATTGCGCATGCCTACGTTGGGATTGTAAATGTCAACCAATAGAACGGTAAAATGCACTGGATTTCATAGGAATCCAAATTTCATGCGACACTGGAAAAGTGTTTAAAACCAGCCAGCCGGTCTTTATCATTCGTTTAAGAACGGCCACGTGGCGGGCTCTCCACCAATAGGAATGGGTAAACTATCTTAAGTATTTATATATGAATAATTTATAGTTACTTGCGGCCCGACAATAATTCTGTTTTCGTGGGGTAATCGGCTGGTTATTTCCCGCCGTACAATCGTATTAATAATGTACGGACCGGAACGAATCTGCTCGTAAATAAGGCAGATCTACAATCCTGGCCAAATCTCGCCGGGCCCCAACCCCCGGTATAAATGTTGTCTCTCATGACGCGGTGTGTGCTTCATAAGTTGGAGAGAACAACATTGACCGGGGAGCGGGGGAGCGGGGGAGCGGGGGAGTGGGTGACCGTGGCAGGCTTAGGAAGTGTCCAAACCATTTTGGCCGGGATCGTAGCTATCTGTTTGTGCCCAGCCCCCCCCCCCCCCCAAAAAAAAAATAAGGGGGAAATTTGGGTTGGAATAAAACATAGAAGTTGACAATTTATTAAAGAGGACAACAAAATAAAAAAAAATATGGGAAAGCAACTTTAAAGTTGTTTCATCCGCAAAATAAAAGAGTTGGCCAGGGAATGGGATTTTCCGAACTTCTGGTATTTCACCACTTTTCTTGGGGGGGGGGGGGGGGGGGGACTAGAGAAAGAAAAGTTAAATCTGATACATGCATTTCGTTCCGAATCGGTTCCAGACAAATTTTGCCCCTCATAACCACTTCAAATTCAACAGGGAAAAATCAGAAACGGATCGTGGAATATTTTTAAATTATGTTTTTATTTTATTCATTTATTTCTTGATTATTGTATAAACCTGTATACATAATCTTCGCAAAGAAAGTGCATTACTCCTAAAATATGTATGTGCATGTGAATAATAAAGTTTTCATAAATGTTCATCCCTGTTCTTAAAGTTCAAAGTGGTTTACACTGGGAATGAGCATTTGGTTCAGTTGCAATAAATTAAGAATATAGGGTTTTTTTAAAATGAAAAACCTCTTTTTTTAAAGATAAATTTCATTCTCAAATCTGGTCTAGCATTATAACCAAATAAAAATCTCTATCAATTTCAAGTAGAGTGTTACATGAAGCTCTTTGTAAACCACTGAACGGCCTAGTATTCAAAATTAGTAAGACTTAATTTGTTGGATTGGGCACATTTCTCCCAAACCTGGCTTGTGTACATGTAAATGCATACCTTTCAAAATAGAAATATTTAATGGTCAACATCATATCATAAAATAATTATGTAGTACTTAAATTTAAAATAATACATTGTTTGCATTGCATTGCTGATTTGACTTCAAATCTAAATATCTTAAAATCTTCACAATTTAATTACTGTGTGTGCCCTTCTACAAGATAGAATCTTTTCCACCACTTCATAATCCAATAACATTGAAAGAAATATTAATTTAAGACATATGAAACAAACATTTCACGAGAAATCACGAGAAATAAAAATATATTGCAATGTTTCAATGCCTAAATTTCCCCTAGCATTTTCAATTGCTAAAGTAATTATCAACCAGAAAGCTCTTCTAATATTACACATATAAACAGAAAATAATCTCTAATTTTGAAATTTTGACAAGTTGCAAGGGTACTGAAATTGTCTCAACTATATGAATCTCATAAGCCATAGCCCCTACAATCAGGCTGTATATCCTGAAACATTGGCTATGACTTACAATTACACATAGACCTATGGAAGCCACTTCCCATAGACACGTGTTGATGCCAGCCATAGTCATAGCCATGTACGTTGGACATGGCTTTCATCCACCTTGAGTTACAGGTAACTGCAAAATAAGTCAACATCTGATAAGGGAATTTGTGAAACCTTGGGCTTACATCTGCGACTCCAGATAACTGGCTTTAGAGTCAGGACTACAATAACCTAACCAATCGGAACACTGTCTTGAAACTTTTGCCACATTTTTCAAATTTTGAGAACCTAATGAAAGAGAAAAGGCCAAGGTTTTAAAATCTTCAGGCATTTACATTCACCTTGTATTGTGTAAAGTCTTAAACCTAACAGCTACATGTCTACATGAAGACTTTATTTCCCAAAACGTGATATACCCATTTGAAAACAAGGAAAAATGTGCAAGGTTATGAAAGTTTAAAGAATAAAAACAGTATAACAGCCATTTCTGAACTTCATTTTTGCCTTATTGTATTCTAAAATTGTGTTTAACTACATGTATATAAAACCCGTTGAAACTGACTTTTGGGCAGCCAGGAGAGAGCAGGATTTAATTTAAAAAAGGGAACAACATGGCATATACCGCGTTTTGGAAATAAAGTCTTCACATCAAGCTATGAAAGCAGGCATGTCCAAATTCAATGGCTTGGTTTAACTTGAGCTAAAACTCCCTGCTTACTAGTTTAGCAGAATCTTAAATGGTAAGCATATTTCACAGGTTGGCATAATTGTGTGAATGTGTCTACATCCCGGAACAAGATTCTGCACTTACAGGAAAGAATGGGGATCATCAGTACATAATTCCCGGGTTAACAGAGCCATCGGAAATTTAGCCTTTCACCAAGGCCATCGTGGCTTAACTTGCCCGCATTCAAAGCGGCGAAAAATTGGGCCCAGATGTTACACATATCATTGTTTTGGATGTTGTTCGCTATATTTTCAATAAGTGTAACAATCCTACTTCTTTCCAAGACAAGTTTAAAGAGAACCACCTAGGCTGCTCAGAACTCAAACATCTCTCTCTCAAATACTGGGATGTTATATGCATTCTCGAAAAAACAAAACACCTTCTTTCTTTAGAATTTAGATTAACTTACACACTCTGTCAAGAACTTAGAAACATACATTAAAACAAAAGCCGACCGCGTTTTCTCAGAAACCAAGACAACCCCAAAAAAGGACAACTTGACTAAACTGTCAGACAAGAAGACAGAAAATATATGTGTACTCAGTAATAAGACAAACCTAATACATTGGTCAAATAAAACTCAAATAATTATGCATGTAGTGTTTGGAGACTGACAGTTTATACCCTGGTTACCTTGAAAAGAGGTGTTTTCCTTTTTTTTTAATAATTAAGAATTAACATCAGGCAAATTTGAAAATTTCCCTGAATAACGATGCTACATTTGTCTGGAAAAAAAAAATTAGTATATTATGTCTACATGAAAAATGTTCCAGGTTTTAAACTTCATTTCTTTCCTGTACATTTTAGTATGTCTGATTTCAGATCATCTAGTTTTTGTGTTGTTATAAATGGGTTATATTGCCAGTGAAATGTGGATATTCTTGATCTGTAACAAAATAGAAGAGATAAATATATAAGATTTTTGTTTTACACCAAGAAGCAAATTGCAGGTTGAGTTGGTGGATCCCGGGGGAAGAGGGAGGGGGCAACGAGGGCCATGGCCAATTTGTTTTTAATCGGAGGAATGAAGACATCTTTTTGTCTTAAATTTTCAGGAAATAAACTAAAATGTTGAATACCGTATCTCCCTCGCAAGCCATCAGCTGCAAATACCTTTTACGTTTTAATATCACAATGTGGAAATAGCGTACGATGACACATACTTAACCCCTTCCCCTTTTTGAAAAGAAATAATCGAACCCTTTTGCCCCCCCCCCTCCCCAAAATGTGGTTCTGGATCCGCCCTTGTTCTCAACCAGTAACAAGCTGATGTAGATATCTTAAAACACATATATTTGCTTCTGTAAACATGTCAAAACTCACAAATTCAAAATCCTCAAAAATAGAAATTCTAAATATTCATATAGGTTTTTTTAAAAACATTTTGAATTAAACTCTTTTGAAGCTGGCATTCTATCTATGTTAAAGCTGCATATTTGTGTCTAATTCTTTCCCTCCTTTTTTCTTATAGTGCATGAGGTTTGCGGTTTTTGGCCATTTTACCACAACTTAAGTCAACAATTGTTTTCAGCAACTCACAATACTATCTGAGAAATCATCTCTATATTATCTATATTCTAAATAAAGTTTCTTAACCGCAAGCAATACCTTCCTATCAGCCCAAAAAACAGCTGACTGTATGGACTTTGTATCTAGTTTTCTTTTGTTCTTTTGCCCTTGTCAACAGATTTTGGTGTACAAATGTAGGCTAATCGTGACAGACTTTGACGAGCTAGACACTGCGGTACGAGATCGGGCACTCCCCATGAACTGGACGGACTTTGTGTCCGTCCGATGTACTTTTTTTTTCAAGGTGTCAAACCAAAATGTTATGATGAAATGTGTGTGCATGTAATGCAAGGGTTGATTTTACCTTAAGATGGTTGCTGAAATAGTCATACCAAAAATGCTGTGACAGGTATACTACACCAAAATTACCAATATTTTTCGTTGCTACACGAAAGCGTTATGATTTTTTTTCCTAAATATGAGGACTAATGACAAATCAGTTTCTATTAATTAACAAATCCCTGTTTGGTTTCGACAGTAATTTCTATTTTTTTTTTTAATCATCAGAGTCTAAATTTTGTGCGAAACTGGAAAGGCTCCAATGCTGTGGTATGCCAGTAACTTTCGACCTGTAATGAAACTCTACACGGGTGACTCTATTGCCTATAATGACTGGATATAAATAGGAATGCCTGTGTGTTCTTATAACCTGATTTAAATACTGTCTTATACATGTACATGTATACACTATACCCTTGTGTCTCTCTATTAGACATGTACATGTGTTTGTAAAACAAATCTTTCAAACAATGTTCTTCTTAGAACAGACAAATTTTCCCTTTTTCGATTCCGGCATTTTCTAAGCGATCACTGGTTGAGCAGCTTTTCGGTTGCAGGAAAGAAATAAAAGACAGAAAGAAAGAAAAATACAATGATTTATTATTGACTGGAGTTTTGGGTTTGGAACTGGATAAGAAAGATTTTTTTTGTTTTCATGCAATGACTTGAAATGTGTGTACATGGGGTGAATGCTTTGCTTTGAACAAGTAAAAGGAGTTTAAAAACGTAATTACTTCACCAACTAAGAAACCATCACCAACACTCTTGTATCATGCACAAAAAAACGAAAAGGGTTGCAAGCTCACAGAAAACTTGTTAAAAAGAAAATCAAACTTAAAGCAAAATGTAAATTTGAACCCCAAAAGGGCAAACTGTAAGAACTAACAGAAATCACAGCCCCCTACTGTAGCTGTACATGAACATGGCAAGTACAAATACAATGTTCATTTCGTCGGGTGCACCACGAAGTGACGTATCATCTACGGACTTTGTGCACACGATACGTCACTTCGTGGTGCGACCAACGATCTCATCAAATGAAACATCCGAACTCAAAACACATGTAGCATATTCAACAGAGAGTTGTTTTCATTAAAAGCACATTAAAACTGTGAACATTAAGGACAACAATCATATCTGAAATATGTACACTACCTGTACAGTCGACTCTCGTTGATACAAACTCAGCCAGGCCTAGCCAAATGTTGTATTAAGTGGAGTACTGGTCCGATATATTCACTGTACACATAGATGCACAGTTGGGACCAAGGCTTTATGTTTGTTAAAACCAGAATTTGTAGCAGAAAGTGTCTGTATTAACGAGAGTTGACTGCATAATACTGCTTTCCAAAATTCTTATTTCCAGAGGGATTGTGAATTGACCTATCGCCGTTTGCAAGTTAGCCACGCCCCTTAGACACTAACACTAACTGTACACCATTCAAAACTTTTGTTTGTCTCAGATTTTGCGCGTTCCGCGTCCATTTGTATATATCATGTAATTAGACAATATTTCACAAGCTGCGTTGACGCGATTCTGCCGCGATAGGTCAATTATGCCATTTGTGTGTTGTGATATAAAAAAATACTGACATTGTACAACCTGAACTAGTCAACAGATTCAAGTATCATCTCACACTTTAAAACAAGATGAAATGAATATATGGTAAAAATAGCAAGCACGGATCTGAAAATATCTCATGCATGTAAAGCTTACATCATGCTTAATTTAAAAAAACAAAAATATGATGATGCTTACATTCACACAAAAATACTGCACATTTACAATATACCTGTATGGAAATTATATTGGGGAAATGGGAAGTTCTGCTATACTGTTGTGATATGCAAATCAATGACCATTTTGTCTTGCTCACCAGGTCTAGGCTTCAGCGGGATGTTGTGCAATAACTTGGAAGTTTGTTGCTTGGCAACTGCATCTTTGTCTTTCTCCTCCTTGGGGGCACGGTGGGGCATGCATCTTCCCATGAATGTCAAGATCACAGGGAGGAAGACCAGCCCGTGCAGAGCCCCAAAGACCATAACGAGGAACAACGTCTTGAAGAAAATTCTGAAGATGTAGACGGGCGCAGTGGAGAGGGCAGAGATTGCTATGATGGATGAGAGAGCGCCTTGGAGGATGGCCATGCCCAAGGCATGGAGAGCATACCCTGCTCGACTGTTGGGGTCCTCCTTGGGCGCCACGACAAAAGCGTAGGTGACGTGCGCCGAGAAGTCCACACTGAAACCTATGCAAAGGATGATGTTTACCATGGAAATGGGATCGACGTTGACGTCCCAGAGTGCCATGTAACCCATCACAGCAGCGTCGATGGAGATTACGCAAAGGGTAACCCAGACTGCGCAGACGGGATGCGGGATCATGATGACCGCGACCAAGAACATACAGGCGAGCGCAATCCCCAATGTCTGTAGAAGGTTAGGGATGATGCCGACTTGGCTCTCATACAGAACAAAAGCTGGATGATAGACGATCACATCCAGGGCCGATTCTTCCGCAATCTTCCTCATTCCCAACATCATTTTGGACTCGTCCACATACGTTAACAGGTTCCTTGTCTGTACAAGAAAACGCGACGTTCTGATGGTTCTTTCCCCCGTTTCGTTGTCCTGAATGAAGTCAATGTCCAATTGATACATCTGGTAGCGTGGATCCATCAGGAAGTCCTGTGTCAAGACTTCCATGAATGCCTCCTTTCCCGGCTTGGCTTTGTCCGGCCAGACCAACTCGATTGCCCCCCAGTAACGGCTGAAATCTCGCACCCAGGACTGCGTAATCTCCTTTCCAAACGCGTAGTAGCTTTTCTCGAATTTCTGCGTCAAATTCTCAATCTGCCCCCGGACAGCAGGATCCCAATATGCCAGTTCATCCTTTAAGATCACGCTCACGGCTGGCCCAACCTCGCGGAATTTTGTGTCCTCCAAGTCATAGTAGTGAAACGTTGGCGAGTCGTCCAGGGCTAGGTTCTTCAGAGTCAGCCCCTCCTTAATCTGGGTGCAGCCGTAAATAGCGCCCCCTAGGTACAAGACGTAACAAACGAGCACCACCCCTTTCACCCAGGACCTGGTGATGAATGGCGCGTAGTAGAGGTGGAAGAACTTCATGATGCGGTGTTCCAGATCAATGGTATGGCCTTTGTGTTTGGTCCTTGAGATACCTCCAGAGCAGAACAGAAGGTAAAACTTGTTGGGTGACTCTTCCCTGGGAAGTACCTGTGACACAAACGGACAAAATCAACATTAACACATGAAGTAAAATCTTAAAACAAACCAAGGCACAGTAATAGACATTCTAGACAATTTTCCAACATTGCAGGACAGGAGCTGCACACAGACACGTAGTTGAAGCAGGAGGGGGGTGGGATGAAGTTAGGGACAAAACATGCTCCAATAGCTTTTTTGGAATGCACAGTACAACTTTTTTTGACTAATCGTCATCGGCACCAAGAACTGACATCCAGTTTTGCGCGAGTGCGCATGCACGCGCACATATTTTACAGAACCGGGATATTTTGGGTTTCACGAACTGACATCCTCCACAGTGCGGCACTTTTAGAGCGCACCCCGTACATTTTTGGTTTCACGTACTGAAACTGATCATAATTTTACCAATTTTTAATTAAATTGCTGTGTATGCACACATGTACGTATACGGATGGATTCAATTCGTGTAAAACCTTTCAAACCGTATTTCTCCGTTCTGTTTTGCTGATCATGCGTGGGTGTCAGTTCGTGAAAAATAAAGAAAATCTTCCTATTTTGCGTCAGTGTCTAATGTGGGCGCGCACTACCGGGTGTCAGTTGGTGAAACGAAATCGATTACACGGTTTTCATGAACTGACACCCACTTGCGCGTGAGTGTCAGTTCGTGGTGCTGATGACGAAACAGTGTAATGGTTTATTTTCATCCTCGTCCTACCTTCTTGCATGTGTAGCAGTGCAGATTCTGGGCCTCCCTCTGGCCGATCAGAGCCATCGCTGCCCCGAAGAACGTCATCTGGTAGAAGTAGACAAAGAACATGGCCACGCCCGCGTAGATGCAGAATGTCCGGACGCCAGGCAGGGAGGAACTGGCTCCGATGATGAAGGCCAGCACCGTGGTTACGTTGGTGATGGTGATGGATACAGCAGCTTCCGAGAAGGTGCGTCCCATGCGCTCTTCAACGGAGAGATACAGGCTGAGCTGTCGCCATGCCGCTACCATGACGAACATGTTATCCACACCCACGCCTACAGTGTCAAGATAAAAACTTCCTTTCAGTCAATGAACCCAAGGTTTAAAGGGAATATACATCATTTGCTTTTGCTGTAATTTTCAGAAATGGATGGAATTGGGGGGTTGGAAATATATAGCAAATATAGTTACACTGACTTTTTGGAGGTTTTGGGTTCGAAAATGCTATAAAAAGCAAGAAAAACGATCATTTTCCTGTAGTCTGGTTCCCTGACTCCATATAAGAAGAAACAGAGCAGTTTACATACATTGGGGAATTGTAAGGTCAGGGAACCAGTCTAGCTGGCTCGTACCCGTTCATAGGTTTGTAATCGATTGCAAACAAGTGCAATGGTCAATTGGGGCCAGTATTTGAAAAAAAGCCAGTTGTTTCCAACGCTGATCGGCCGATCAGCGTTGGAAATTGATACAAAAATACCACTTTTCTTGAAAATGACAGTATACCAGGTGCCATAATTTTACAGGATGCTTTAGACTGTCATTTACCAACATCCTATTAAGGTATTTCGCAAAAACTTGGTAGTTTTATTTTTCGATGTTTGCAAATGTTGTATATTCCCTTTAACACCTGCACGCATAGGCCTTTGTGCAAAGCAGACTAAAGTCCTCCATTCTTCAGATGAATAATCAATGAGTGAAAAAAAAATCCAAACCACCCATTTTGTGGAATCCCATCACATTTGGCATTTTCTACAAGCTTCCCATCAACTGCAGGAGCATTGCAAAAGCATTGCAAATAGTTTAGCATTGCAAAGTTTGAATTAGCAATAACAAATTGCAACACAAAATGTCTTCACTCTTTAATCGTATTGGTGTGAATGGTACTCTACTGGTTGTGAAGCATTTTTCTGCTTACTCGCTCCATAAAATGTGGTCCTTTACTAGCTATGCGAAATTCATGTTCTGAACTGCAACAGGCACTGATGTAGTAAAAAAAAAGCAACAGGTACGATAATTAGGATGGACTTGAATACATGACCTCATACTTTCTAGTAAACGTTTTTAATCACTAGAATGTGATAAGGCCAAAAAAAAAAGTCTCCGGTTTCTGGTATGGAGGTGCCCCAAAAGTGGTGCGGCGACGCGGCTTTTTTTTTTTTTTTACCTGTTTTTATTTTTTTTTGGCTTCAAATGTCGGCTGATGACTGCAAATGGTGCCCGACTAAACTTAGTGCAAATACATGGGAGTCCAGAGAGGCCACATAAAACTTATTCTCGATCATAACCCCTTCTAAAAACACGTTAAAATTGTGCAGCAGCAGAATTCCAGTCAAACCAGTGAGTTTGGCGGTTTTGAAACATCATCTTGTATTGAAAAAAAAACTTTTTCATTTTGCCGACGCGCATGGCTACGGCGACGCGCGCACATACCAGAAACCGGAGACTTTTTTTTTTGGCCTAAAAGCTCTGGACAGAGTGATAAAATATGGGAAAGGACTCACCTAAGATTAGGAATGGCATAAGAGACACGATGTTGTTGTATTCTAGTCCGACAAGGCTCAGCATTCCCAGAGCCGAGAGGATGCTGAAGGCGGCTGAGATGACACCGATGAATCCAAGCCAGGGCTTGCTGAGAACCCAATCCCTCATGATGCAGGAGCAGACAGCAAACAGGACTAGGATGCAGAAGGTGGCCACAAACCGGGGCAGGACTGTGAAGGCTGCCTCGTTCACCTCGGCCGACAGGGTCATCGACGTGCTCCTCATGATGCGCATCGTGGACGTCTCGTTCTGGAAGTCATCCACGACTTGCAGGAACTCGCGCTCCCAGGCGTCTGCAAAATCGTCCTCATCCGGGCCGGTACCCAGGGAGTAAAACAAACGGATGGCTTGAACGCCTTGGACGACGCTGGCATTGTTTAACTTCACCCCGCCAAGATTGGGACCGATAAATGCAGGTATCGTCAACCCAAAATCAGTGGGGATTTCGGACAAAGGGTAAGTCAGGGTGAGGTTTTCAAACTCATGCAGGCGACCCCGGTAAAACTTGAGGATCTCGTTGTCCACGCATTGCCCCATGAATCGTTGGCAGACGTCCTCGTGGGTGAAGACCGTGTAGTTGAGGGTGACCTCGAAGGAGCGGATTTCCTGGTCCAGTCTAAGCAAGTCGACCAGAAAGTCCTGACGCAAGGCTGACTTGCCGTCCAACGCGGTGAGGATGAGCCGTCCTCTCCGGTTGAAGAGTTCCAATTCCCGGTTGGGCAGGAAATCGCCGCCTTCAGTGCCGATTAGGAAATGGTCCGTAGTGAAAGCGCCGTCCAGCCGGGCTTCACAGTCTTCAGGCAAGAAGAGCTCCACGTTGCCGTTAAGACTGAACTGGCTCAATCCGACGCTGAGAAGAATCATGATCAGGATTGGACTGATCAGGAACACTAGTGGATGTCGCGCAATCAGCTTCCCGTATTTGTAGAAACCTCTGCTGAAGCTGCGATCCATGCAGTCATAATTGGCCATTGTGAAAGTTGTGTGGGATTCCAAGTTTCAGAAAATGTATACGGCAGCAAGTGCTAAGGATGAGATGTTGAAACAAAAATATATTTCCTTTCCGGTTTACAAGCTGCTGATGGAGAAATCAGGGCAAAGGGTTTTGTGTTTTAGGAAATCCTGAGTTGGATGTGTGGTCTCACAATTGGAATAAAATGCAGCGCAACAAATTTTCGAAGTAGCCTCTTTTGTCATCAGGGCAAGTTTCTGTAGGTCGTTTTGTTATGTCACTGCAGCAGCAAAAATGACTCAAACTGGAGGATTCTGATGTGGTAATACGTAAGCCTCCAACTTGTCTGACGACCGTGATCACATTTCAGCTTTCTCCCAGAGTTGATGCCGCTATGGTGACTCTGTAGAGGGATATCAATATTTCAAATAAGATATTATTAGCACAGCGTAACAGAATTTCAGTTTCTCAATCTGTTTCAATATCTTGGGAAAAGGTACATAAACAGTATTAACCTTTGAAGTTAATCTGTTTCGGTATTAAGAAACGATGATGAAATGATAGCCCTTGAGTAAGGCCAAACAAAAAAGTAGTTCTGCTTCCGGTTTCCCCGCCTACCCTATTCTGACATCCCTACCCTAAGTTTTTTATGGGAAAAATGATGAAAAAAAAACCCCACCCAAAACCATCAATTTCTATCCATTACCCTTGACTACACGCAGCTGACGCCTCCATTTGATTGTACACAATCACTTTTTGCAAAAAACAAAAAAATTCCCTACCTACCTACCCTATTTTTGAATGCCATGTAATTGGAAGCAGAACAACTTTTTTTTTTGGCCTAATGCCTCACACTTGCAAACCTCACGCTGTAAATAAAATCGACTCTGCATCCAAAATGTTTTGGTGCACAAAAGAACTTTGATGTGCGTGGTGGTGACCGAGGACTGGCAAGGAGTGGAGGCGAGTGGGATAAAGGGTTTAAAGGATTTAAGTAGCGATCATGAAGTACAATGACTCCAGACTTGCATCCATTTTAAAGTTCATAATCCCTTTCCCAAGCTGTCGTCTTCGTAATCCACCTTGACTTGCACTTAAAAGTCTGACACGATAAATTCATCCTTAACCCTGGTGTTACTATTAGATTTTTTAGTGCTTCGTAAACACTAAATTCTACATTTTCAATTTTTTTTTTTGCAATTTTTTTTTCTTCAAATTTTTGTCTAACACTTTCACAAACAAAAGTTACAGTTTTAAAAGTGAATTTCCCAAACAAATCCTAAACTTGAAAGAAATATCTCCAAACTCTGTTCCTCTGAAAAAACAAAAACAAAGAGAGTTGTTTTGGCCATACATCATCTCAAAGTGTTTTTCCACCCTTGTCCACATGTACATGTATACGTGAATGGAGTTCCAATGTTAACTAATTTCAAAGTTGGGTGAATGTCAAATCAATGTTACATAATTCTAAATCTTCAACATGCACACCAGTACTGAAGATTGCCTCTAATACATGTAGTACTTTATAGTTGTTCTACCCATCCTGTTTTGTACTTACATGTAGTGTTTTTCTCCTAACAACTTTTCAAATTGTATGCTTTATTTTAACGGAAGCACTTATTTTCTGTAGGCTATTTTGGACGTTTTCCACCATTGTGAAAGTTTGCTTTTATCTAAGATTTTTTTGTTTGCACCCATATTACACAGTAGATTGTCTTTGCTGCTAATAATGAAAAAATTGTATAGTAAGTATTCAATAACTATTACATGGACAAATTAATTTGTTCCATGTCTCATTCAAAAGTGAATCACTAAGAAAATAGCAATTTAAAAACAAAATCTGTTTTTCAGGTTAAAACTAAAAACACAGAAGGGTAGAGAAACTTTTACAAAACTTGTGTGCAACAGTTGGACTTGACTGAGACTATGAACAGCCTCGGGTCCCTGGATGACCTTAATGAGTCAAAGGAGCCTTGGTAGGTTTAACTTGGACTGAAGGATCTGCTGAATGATTTAGCTGTTCCAGCCGGACTAAAGCCAGTCACAACACAAACAGGTGGCTAGTCTGAAACTGTAATCTGATACTTTGGTCATATTTCTGGGACTGGAGAGTGGCTTTTAAATGGTTTGGATTTCTCAGTAACTTAACTTTCAAGTTTCATACACTCCTAAACTTCCATTCCCATCCCCACTCCCCCCTCCCCGAACAAAAATGGGACGAGTAGAAACCTTTTTTTTTCAAAGAGAAAGTATGAATAATACATGTTTCCAAAGTGAAGTCATTTTATATCAAAGAAAACAATATGTAATATACAACAGATAGGATAAAATAAGAAAGGATAAAAATAAGAAGGGCTAGTGATCTGATACACCGTGCCCTCTGGAGACGTGCACACAATAGGGAACAAAAGATTGTATACGTCTCCACAGGGCAATTTAATTCATCTCTACAAGGTTTTGACGAAATACCGGTAGATATATGGATTTTACTCAAAAACTAGGAATTTCCAAGGTAGGTTGATCCGTCGCAAATGGAAGATTTTAGAAAAGGGATATAAGTCCGAATTTCAGCCAAGGAAATTAATTCTGGTTAAAATAAATGCATTTTGAAACTTCACTTTCAAACTCGAAAACTTTACTACACGAGAACAAAGAAATGTCTCCACAGTGATACAAATTTCAGTATGGGTGAACGGACTTGTTGATGAATCTTTCTCAAACGTTAAAATAATGTTCAAATGATGGTACAGTTCATGAAAATAAACATATGACTGTGCAGGCGTCATTTGGTATCTACACGTACATCCTGTCTTTGTTGTTGAAACTTTAGGACCTTGTGAAACAACCGACACTGAACTTTGTGCAACTAATCTGCCTTCTTGCTCAACTTTCGTTTTAATGAACTGTACTCTGTGAGACTTTTTACGTTAAATTCCCACGATAGAATCCGCACAGGTGTAACAACTTTGTAATTTACTTTCGAAAGTTGCCCATACATGTATTTATAGTTGATCTTTCAACATCGTTCAACTGGCATAATAAGTAACATTGTAAATGAATGTTACTCTTTCCTACTTTTGTTTCTGGGTTTTTGTTTTGTAGTCAGTTTCAATTGTTCTTTTTACAGTATATGAAAATGAAACAGAAATAAAAATGTATACAATACTGAAAGGAACAGTAAATACAATTTTGTAACAGTAAAGAGAATTTATAAATTTATAGGAAGGTTCTTATTGAAAATGTTTTGAATTAAGATGGAGGCACATCCAATGGGTGCAAATGAGACACTTCTATTTTACAAAGCAGTTATCAATTGTAGCTGATTACAAAATTGATAAGTTGTTTTCTTTATTGGTAAACCTTAATGAAACTGTTTCATTCTTAAAATAAATGTAAAGTTACAGCAGTCACAACATTTGGAAGTCATTCCATCCAGCAACCGATGCGTGGGGAGATACATGTGGCTGCAAAAATTGGGCTATTTTTGGTGAGCTCAAATTTAATGTGGCAATTTTGTAACTGCCTAAATACCCAAAACCACCCACTTGCTTCAAAAGGGTGTTGGACAACAGGATTTTGCTAACAATAACACAGTCAGTGTATTTGAATGGCAACCACAATGTGTACCAATGCGTACCCACGTCTGAATCCAATGGAAAATAACTTGACGCCAGATATAGAAAGTATGTAATTGGAGAATTCCACAGGTTTACATACGAAATGAACTGGAAAATCCCTGAAAGTTCAAATCATGGGCGTTTGGATAAAGAGTCAACAAACTTTTCCAAGCCAAGGCCTTTGTTATGTTAATGAAGCCGGCCCGAAACGCTTTTACGCACCAGTGTTTTTAGCACAACCACTGTCATATCCTGTTATGAGCGGGAAAACGTAATCGCTGGATACCTCCCCGGTATAATGACTATAATTATACAGACTTTGATATTCCCGCCATCATGAATTCTACCAGGCATTCTCATGACTCAAACATGTAAACTAGCATTCATTCTTAAACTTAATTCTTTAATGTTTTGGCTGGGGGGGGGGGGGGGGATAAGACTGAAACACCCCCCCCCCCCCACACCTCCCAATATTGCGCATATATGCAAATAGTTCCACTTTGGGGTTTAAAACCCTAACCCCTTAAGGGTTGCTCAGGACTAAATCCTGCTAAATCCAACAGAGTCCAACAGATACTTCCTGCTCAATCCAACAGAATCCAACTGTGCCTAATTTGTAGTCTGCTGGATCCAACAGAGTCCAACTTTACTTGGCGTTATTTATCAGTACCCAACAGAATCCGACTCTGAATATGAGCACATTTGTTTCCAGCTCAATCCAACAGGCTCCAACAAGTTTATGATATAGTTGGATCCTGTTGGATTCAGCAGGGCTAGGGTTTGCCCCCCCCTCCCAACTGGCCAACTTGACACAAAATCAACCAAATTGTCAAAAACAAAAATGTGCTTCTCCTGAAATGTATATTCCACTATATACACAATTTGTATAAAAAAACCACGTATATATGCACTGTACAATGTTAATTATATTCAGAAATGCTGAGATTTATCAACTATGAACTTCCAAGTTATACGTTTGAACACGAATGTAAACAAGTAATACGTTTACACATGCTTCACTTTTTATGGTTTACTTGGCAAAAACGTCTGCAGGTCGCATAGAGTTAAGCGAACTTTACATGCGTACGTACGTACATACGTGTACAAGTTTAAAACAATATTGTTGACACGAGTCACATGCAATGTTAGTAAATACTAGCTTTGGGACGTGAAGTGCAACGCTATAAAATAAGAGATAAAAGTTTATAGCCCACTCTGCAGATTTCATCTACCAGTACATGCCATGGAAAAGATTATGTCCAAATCTTAGAATCTGACACACACAGAAAGTGCACAACAATCTTAAGCGAGCATCAGAAATGTCAAACAACAAGTAGCACACGTTATATTGAAATGTGTATTCAGAGTGAGTGATTATGTGGCCCGGGTTCGAATCCACCCAGTATACAGTTTATCACACACATTGGGTTTTCCAGCCCTACCTGATTCTGTGCGGGGATTCTCCACAATACTTATGGGTTTTCCTCCCCCTTTTTAAAGCTCAACTTTCTTTGAACAAGCATGCAACTGGGAAGTAACGTAAAAAAAACCAAAAGGGAAATTCCAAGCTTTACCAGACTTTATACAGTGGTTTGTCATTTTTAATAGCACAAGTTTGAAGTTGAAAACAAGGAAATCAGCTGATCGGAGAAAAAGTTGCATACCTGTTTTTAAACTTTTCAGGCTTGTAAGCCCCAGTGCACAGTTTTTTTCAGGAATCGCTTTTAACAATTGTTGGTTCATTTTAAGAAATTGTTCATCTTCATTTTACTAAATAGAAAACAGT